CACTAGCTCCTCAAGTGTGGTTACCAGCACCACACCTGGGTCCAGCAAGCATTCAGAATCAACATCTGCCTCAAGTATGACTACGGGATCTACTTCTGAATCTAGCCAGTCTAGCGGAACAACTTCTGGAACAACTTCTGGAACAACTTCCGCAACTAGTTATTCCACTTATACTACCAGCTCAACTACTATTGTCACAATTACCAGCTGTGATCATACCAGTTGTCACATGACCACTCTGGAATCAACTTGCATTACAACTATCACTACTCCTTGTACCACTAGCTCCTCAAGTGTGGTTACCAGCACCACACCTGGGTCCAGCAAGCATTCAGAATCAACATCTGCCTCAAGTATGACTACGGGATCTACTTCTGAATCTAGCCAGTCTAGCGGAACAACTTCTGGAACAACTTCTGGAACAACTTCCGCAACTAGTTATTCCACTTATACTACCAGCTCAACTACTATTGTCACAATTACCAGCTGTGATCATACCAGCTGTCACATGACTACTCTGGAATCAACATGTCTTACAACAATTACAACTCCATGCACTAGATCCATTAGTACTTCTGAAACTTTATCAGTTTTTAGTCCATCTTCATCTGCACCAAGCTCAAGTAGTTCGGAGTACATTCCAGTTTCATCAACTTCTATTTCAACATATGAAACCACTAGCTGTGAAACTTCAACAACTACTTGGATATCAACTACTGATATCACCATTACGCTGTGCGAGAACCACCAATGCCACACATCTACAACGATGTCAACAACCTGCATCACCAGTGAGTCTGTTACAACTCATACTTTTTCAACTACCACTCCAGTCACAACTACAGTGACAACACCAAAGACTACAATTACTACATCAGAAACAACGCCAGTTACTACACCATTTACTACTCCTGAAACTACCACTTTCAGTACTACCTCCACTACAGTTATTACTGTTACACTGTGCTCCGACCACAGTTGTCAGACCACAACGTCTATATCTGAGGTTACTACTTGCATTACTACAGTCTCAACGCCTCAAACTACACCAGTTACTACACCAAAGACTACAGTTACTACATCAGAAACCACACCAGTGACACCAAAAACCACTGTCACTACATCAGAAACTACCCAAGAAACCACTTTAGTTACTACTCCAGAAACTACACCTGAAACAGTTTCAACATATTCAACCAGGGTTCTCACCGTTACACTGTGTGTTAGCAACGAGTGTCAAACCTCAAGGGTAACCACAGGTGTCACTGTCGGCACTACATCGATTGATATCACTTCATACTTGCCACCTACTACCTCAGGCACATTAACTATCCCCACCACGGTGATTAAGACCAAGACTTGCGACCACTGTGAGGAAACAACCATTACCACTGGTTACCAAGTCACTCCTTCACAAGTTTCTTTCACCAGTTACATTCCAATTCCTCCACCACCAAGTGCTACTACGTTTGTCTCATCTGTCAGTCTGGCCAAACCATCTTCATCAATTACCATCTATGAAGGTGGCGCATCCTCATCATCAACCATGGTCAATCTTTTAAGTGCGGTCATGAGTTTGTGTGCTTTTATCTTTATGGTTTAGAGCATAAATCCACTTTATTTCATTTCATACTATTATTATTATTATTATTATTATTATTATTATTTGGTTTTTTATAAATATACACGGGACCTTTACTTTAATAAATCAATAGTAGTCTTGTAACAGTAAATCATACTTGTTGTGGTCATCATATGTTATTCCTAATTGGGAAGGTGGCTACGCAACACAAATTATAAATTTAACAAAGTAAATTGCCTGTTCCACTGCTAATATGAATGGAATAACTAACCCAGTTTGCTTTATAAGCCAAGTGTTAAAGAAGTCATCATGGATCCAAGATACTTAAGGTACGCTCAAGTAATATACCTAGACGACAAATTGAGCAAATATCATAAGATCTGATAATTATAAGATCCGATAATTATAAGATCCGAGGATTACTCTACGGGGAAAATATTCGCTTGCATAAATATCATCTTAAATATATTCTAGATCAAATATGCGAGATCAAAAGGTCACTTATTCTTCGCTGGGTTGTTTAGATTCAAATCCCTGTCGTGATTGTGCCGAGAAGGTGCGTCTCGTATATATTGCTTGACGTATTTGGACTGCAGGTAAAAAGTTCATATGCCTTTGACAATTTAATTGCCTAACAATAAAATTAACACACAGGTATTATGAAGTATTGTACTCATTATGTAATTATATAGTACCCAAGATGTGATTAGACTATTATTAAAAGTCTAGGACATTAAACTTGGGGAACTGGGGAATAGACGGAATGGGTATCTCAGGTATTAAATAGACTTCACCTTCCTCATTAACTCTTTCTCTATCTCTTTCATTCATAGTGTGAATCTCTTTAATATTAGCCTCAACAAAGGTTATAAGCTCTGTCCAGTTGCGTTGAACCTGGTACGCTTGTTCCTTCCTTCTTCTACGAAGTAAGCACTCGACTAACCTGACGGCATCTGGTTGAGTATGAGTTAAACGGTCTAACATACGGCCAACGGAATTGATAAGATACTCTTCTTCGTAAATGGTACCCTTTCTGCCTTTCGCTCTTTTCCGTTCTTCTCTCTTTCTGTTTTTCGTTGTTCTTCTGGAAGCTCCTGTCTTGGCTGTTCCTGCTGTTTTGCCGGTGTATCTGGTGAAAAAGGAAGCCGTGGTGGAAGCTTCAGACGCTGCTACTGAAACATTATCTGGAACATCACCACCATCATTATCTGCCATACCATAAAAGGCATAAGGGTCTTCGGCTTTCTTCTGTCTTAACTCTCTTAATCTTCTCAATTGACTTTCGATTTGACCCCTACAATCAGCCAACAACTCAGCTATAACACCATACCCTTCACTCATCTGAACATCCACTATGGACTCCACAAGCTCAGGTTTCTGAACCTCTTGAGAAACCAAAATGGCCTTGTCAAACATATAACTCTTACAGTACAACCTAACGGCTTCTTCAACATTTTTCAAAAACATATGCTCAATTTCTGCTGCCTCGGCGTACTTGTGGTCTTCAACCAACATCGACACCAACGTGGTAGCCAGCTCAACCATCTTATGGGTGTACTGCGGTCTCTGAACAATCGATAAAGCTTCTTTCCAAGCCTTAGCCTTGACATAACAGTCCAAGGCACTGTCATAGTCGTTCAAGTATTCGTAGCAGAGCGCAGCTTCTTTGTGGTTTTGAGTGCTGCTCAAATGGTCACCGTAGAGTTTAAGAATGCCTTCAGATCTAGAATCGTCATAACGGTAGATCTTGAGGGCAACCTTGTACAAGTCGTGAGCCACCATGTACTCATTGAACTCGGTCTTAATGTCGTCGTTATCATCATCTTTGTCCTGATCAAGTTCGTGGAGCCATTGAAGAGCCTTCTCGTAGCGCTTCAAATAGTCATCGATAAGGAACTTCCGTCTGAGCGGTGCTTGCACATGGAGGTTCTGCAAAAAGGGAAGATACTCTTTAGGATCCATCTGAGACTGCTGAGCAAAGGCTAGAGTCAACTTGACATCATATAAGCCCAACGACGCCTGGTAAAGGCTATTGGCATCTTGTAAGAAACACAAGTGGATAACTGCTTGCTCTTGTTTCTCCAAGTCTTTGAAATCTCCAATGAGATCCAATGCCAGGGCCAAGTTAGGAGGCTGTTCACAAGCATAAGCAGTAAGAATGGTCTGTAGGTATTTTTCCTTTAGGGTTGAACTGTTAATTAAAGCAGAGACAACGATTTCACATACCTTATTGATCTTGGACCCTGTACTCACCACCTCTGGTTCTTTATTTCTAATAATTTTCCTAAGGCCGACGTCTCTCGTGGGTGCTGCAACTTCAGCTGATACCGGTGCACCAGCAGCATGTAAAATAGAGTCTCTGTATTTTGTCAAAGTGACATCCTCATCGTGCAAACAAGATACAAACAAGTCCAAATACTCTACCTTACCAATTTGACTAATAAAAGCTTCAACATTCAGTTCAAACAACTGCGGATCGTAGTCGTATAAGATATCCAAGTCAATTCTATGAGCACGACAAAGCAAGAATGCTTCCCTGTACTTCTTTTCGGAGATAAACTGCCTTATACCCGACAAGCACATAATTCTGGGATAGATGGTTTCCAAGTTCCCTCTTGGAGCTTCAAGAACCACCGAATAGTTTGAAGTAACACAGTTGACAAGAATAGAGCCTCTTTCTATGGTTCTGATTCTCTCATCAACAATCTCGTGAGCCTGTTGCAGGTTGTTGAGGATTTCAAAGAACTTAACACTCTCTTCATGCAACTGTTCGTTCAAATGAAGGAAACATAACTTTGAAAGTGCTGTGGTGAACAACAAGTTAGACTCGGTGATCTTCATGGAAGTCACTGCTGAGGCCACAAGCGTTTCATTGCAATAGAGCTTCCCATTGTTGGAGATCCCAAACGAACCGTAGTCATCACCAGTTTCGCTGTCACTCAAAGGACCAAATTCAAACTCACGACAAAATTCGGGGAACTGACACAACTGGCGTGCTTCCATGGTGTCATCTATTTGGTGTACCTCGCCCCGAATGGTTTCAATTCCCACAGACTTGAAGTCAGAACTGGACTTGATAAGAACGATGGGACAAGAAAATGGAACAGTCAACTGGAACTCCGGCTTGGTAACGTCTTCAACATTGAAGACTTGAACTTTCGAGTCCAGATCAACAGTATCAACCACCACAGCCACATGGGTGTCGCCTATGAACGCTAGTTGTCTGGCTGTACCACCAAGCATCGAGTCCAGAGCAATTGTGGAAACCAATTGGGGGTGTTTGATGGACTTGGGTAAGTTTTTGTCCATTTTCAACGTAATTAAGTGAACCTCATTGGTGCTAGTCAAGGCACCATACACTTGGTTATTTTTACTGACGGCCAAGTCATTTATAATGCCAGGAACATCCTCTTCTCTAAAGCTGATTGGCGGAGGTACATTGGCAATGGATAACGGAGTGATCTTGCAAGTAGTACCGTCAGTTACCAACGTAACACCAAGATCATAACCTTTGAATGCTGGACCTGTGACTATTTTAATACCCAAATCAATGATTTGGATCTGACCATTAGAGGTTCCAATCATAAAGTGTAAAGGCTTTTCCGGATGAAACTTAACAAACATAATTTCTGTATCTTTAACCATTATTTCCTGTTTAAGATACCAATGATAGTTCTTAGTAGTCCATAATTGAACTCTATCATGTAATTGGAATGCTAATATTTCTGAATCTGAAGACCAAACCAAATCCACAATGGTTTCTGTTGTCGGATCCAATCGACTATTGAATTGTCCGTGTCTAAGACCATTTCTTTCATAGAAAACCACATCCAACACTTCTTCACCTTCTTCTTCGTCAAAATGTCTTTGAGTAGACGCAATTAATGACCCTTGTGGTTTCCAAGCCAAATTATGCTCTAACCCATCAACAGCCTCATTGACACTGTCTAATTTCCCGTCTCGGGAAAACAGTCTTATCACTCTTCTGTCATATACTTCCGACGTATCTTCAACCAATACTTGTTCTACAGTGGTCACAGTAAAATACTCACAATCTCCTCTCCAGTCGATCTTAACGGCAAGAGTATCAAAGCTAGAAAGTGTCCCCTGTTCAATCTCATTGACGGTAGGATCCTTCAAAGGTCCGTCTTCAACATTCTTCAACCCCGCATGTCTTAATGCGTCTCTCTCCCGTTCCAATGCCTTAGCACCTTTCCCCTTGAATTGGGTCTCCTTCTTCCCCCACCCCACCGAAACGTGCTTAGAGTCACTGATCTTAATGTCATCGGGATTAAGGGCCTTCTCACTAATGGGTTCAAACATACGAGACATCAATAATAAGTTGCTATCTCTAGTCAACAACGTTAAAGTCTCTTCATCAGGTGACCACGAAGCAGCACCGATTCCAACGTCAATTGACCCCACAATCTCAACTACTGTGGTGTCGGGGTTAGGCTGCGTCATGTCGTAAGTGGCAGTGACAATGTCTCCACCGCTGAAGATAAACACTAGTTGACAACTATCAACAAAGTGAGCAAATGAACATAACTTGTCACTGCCGTTGTCAACAGGAACAGACGCCAATAAGTTGATATCCCCGTTCTTCATAAACTGCTGGACCTCCAAGAATCCTGCATCTTCATGGCCCAAAGCAAACGTTATACTGTCAGTTACCGGATCAAAGATTGCATCTACTAATCCCATGTCAGGATAGAGCATTGACTCGGGAACGACCGAGCCCTTGTTGAGCACCACCAAGTTCCGCATATTAACCGACGGTTCTTCTTGTCTTGACTGGGGTGAACGGCGGCTAACAAGGATAAGAATAAAGGATACAACGTAGACTGAGTTAATGTAAGGTTAACTTCAGTTAAAGCTCATCTCTAAGCATTTTAGCACAAGTACACGACCATCATCGAAGTCGTGCACGTGATAAAAACGTTGAATTTGACCTACAATTTTTTTGGACGTTTGCTTATCGTCTCAATGATAAGCACAGGCTTTATTCTACACCAAGCGTTCAATTGCACTATCACGACGATGAGTGAGGTTGAGGAGGCTGTTTTCCGTATGTAATTTGGATCAAGATAATCATGTGCCCTTTTTTCCCGAGTTTTTCTGATGAATATTGAGCATAATGCTAACCATTAACTTTGTATAGGCTCTGCGGAGATGTCAATGGTACAGATGTACATTCCGACGGAAGTCGCCCGGGAGGTGATTTACTCTGTGGGTGAGTTGAGTCTTGTGCAGTTTATTGATTTGAACTCGAAAGTCAACGAGTTCCAACGTTCTTTTGTCAAGGAGTTGCGGAGATTAGACAACATTGAACGGCAATACACGTACTTCAAGACCGAGCTAGACAAGAGGCATATTGAGGTTAAAGCGACGCCCTTTGAAGTCACAGGTGTTCAGCAATCTGAAATTGACGAGCATGCGGAGAATGCACAGCTTTTGGAGGATCGGTTGTCTCAGTTGATTGATGCTAACTCCGATTTGTATGTTAATCAAAGAGACTTGAAACAGTTTAGATACAGTGTTCAAGCAGTAGATAACGTTTTCAAGAGTTCGAGTAATTCTGACATTCCCAGTGGCCTTGGGGAGTCCGACGAGTTGTTGGGCAACTTGGAAAGTGGTGGTAACAGTGGTAGTGGTAGCCGTCAAGGTAACTTTATCTCTGGTGTTATCAGTAGATCCAAGGTAGGTACCTTGCAACAGATTTTATGGCGTGTTTTAAGAGGTAATTTGTACTACTACACTGAAGAGGTTGTTGAACCCATTTATGACGTCAAGAACGACGAATACGTTGACGTTAACACTTTTATTATCTTCTCTCATGGTTCAATGATTTACCAAAGAATCAGAAAGATCTGTGAATCTTTAAACGCCAGCATTTACAATGTTGATCTGATTCCTGATTTGAGAGCTGTTCAATTGGAAGAATTGAAGGTTAAATTGACAGATGTTGATACTGTTTTACAACAAACAGAAGCTGCTTTGAACTCGGAATTGATTGCCATTTCCAGGGATTTACCTAAATGGTGGGAAGTAATTGCTAGAGAAAAGGCAGTGTATCAAACGATGAACAAATGTGACTATGGTGATTCAAGAAAGACTTTAATTGCTGAAGGTTGGGTACCAAGTGATCAAGTGATTCAATTGAATTCAGCTGTTAAAGGTGCTAACAACACTCAATCCATTCCAACCATCGTTAACGTTATGGAAACCACCAAAACTCCTCCAACCTTCCATCGGACCAACAAATTCACTGAAGCTTTCCAATCAATTTGTGATTCTTATGGTGTTGCTACTTATCAAGAAGTTAATCCTGGGTTACCGACCATTATAACATTCCCATTTATGTTTGCTATTATGTTTGGTGATTTAGGACATGGTTTTATTTTATTTTTGGCGGCTATAACTTTGGTATTGAATGAAAAGAGTATTAGTGCCATGAAGAGAGACGAAATCTTTGATATGGCTTTCACCGGTAGGTATATCTTGTTGTTAATGGGTATCTTCTCCATGTATACCGGGTTCCTTTACAATGATATCTTTTCCAGATCAATGACTATCTTTAAATCCGGTTGGGAATGGCCAGAAAAGTTTGAAATCGGACAAACCCTTTTTGCCAAACAAGTTGGAACTTATGCTATGGGTTTAGATCCAGCATGGCATGGAACTGAAAATGCCTTGTTATTCTCCAATTCTTATAAGATGAAATTATCCATTTTAATGGGGTATTTGCATATGTCTTACTCTTATATGTTCTCATTGGTCAATTATCTTTATTTCCACAGTGTTATAGACATTTTGGGTAACTTTGTCCCCGGACTTTTGTTTATGCAAGGGATTTTCGGTTATTTATCCTTGTGTATTGTCTACAAATGGTCAGTTGATTGGTTTGCTATTGAGAAACAACCTCCAGGGTTATTAAACATGTTGATTTCTATGTTTTTATCTCCGGGAACAGTGGAAGAACCTTTGTATGGTGGTCAAGCCACGGTCCAAGTAATTTTACTCGGAGTTGCATTGGTATGTGTTCCCTGGCTTTTGCTCTTGAAGCCCTTGTATTATAAGAGAAAGTTTGACCGTGAAGCCAAGGAACAAGAGTACATTCAATTGGCCAATAACGAAAGCGAAGTCACAGATGAAACCATTGATGATGGTGGTGATGGTGACGATGATGAACATCATGAGGAACATACATTTGGTGATATCATGATCCACCAAGTTATTCATACTATCGAGTTTTGTTTGAACTGTGTTAGTCATACTGCTTCTTATTTAAGATTATGGGCATTGTCCTTAGCCCATGCTCAATTATCTACTGTGTTGTGGACCATGACATTGGGTGGCTCTTTTGGAATGGTGGGAGTTTCAGGAGTGTTTATGACGGTGATCCTATTTGGAATGTGGTTCATTTTGACAGTAGTCATCTTGGTGGTTATGGAGGGAACTTCAGCCATGTTACACTCTTTACGTTTGCATTGGGTTGAATCCATGTCCAAGTTCTTTGAAGGTGAAGGAAGATTGTATGAGCCATTCACATTCAAGAGTTTATTAGCCGGAGTTTTCTAAGACAATTAACAGAGCACTATAATTAAGTCAGGGTAAAAACTAGTTTACTCAATCAAACTAAGTATTAGTGTAGTAATGTCGTAAATGTTGATGTAAATGTCGTCAAAAATAAAGATATACCAGCAACGCACAGCGCAGCCCAGCTGTAGGACAAGTGCTAGTTGGGATAAATTAGACATTAGACGCTGGATGCCAAACTGTCATCATTCTCGGCTCCAATATGATGTAAACATTCAGTCTTCCTGAACACCTCTCAATGCTGATTGTACTATATGTCCACTGCCTTATAAATTGATTCTGCAGTTGAGCATTATAAGACTTCAGTGTGCGATTTCATCTGGGAGAGCAACAAGAAGCTTAACATAGTTTCATATAAACTAGTACCGATGTATCATTTCCAAGCTGTATGCTGCAGCCGCTTTGAGTATACTTAGCTTAACTAGACATGATAGATCATATTCTTTGCAATCTTCATAGGTATTGTTCCGTTTCATGCTGCAACCATAGACGTTTCTCTTGAGGCAGTCTTAGCCGCCACAAGTAGCTGTTATCATGAGAGCAGCTAACACTGAAACATACCTTTAAGCGAAGAGAACTTACGGTTACACAAGACAAATGATGGTGTACTCAAATTTATGAATAACCATTTCCATATATAAATATAACCGCAAAAACTCTATAATCTCAATTTATACATTTCTTTACACCATTCTCTTTTCTAATCGTTTTGTTTCCTAATCTCGTAACTCAATTGACTACTATTATATTCTGATTTGACATCTATAACACCTTCTCGGTAATAATTCCTTAGCTACCAGTCAAGAATTCTATGAATTCTACAACACCTTTTCGGCTATTCCCAAAATGTCCAATGAAGTCGCAGCCACCAACCAGATAACTGCATCATATTTATCATTTTTATTTATTCTTAACTATCTAATAATTAGCAATTTGATCGATTACTCCATGCTGACTAGCGCTTCACTATCAATGCTAATGGGTTTTCGCAGCCACTAATGTTTCTATTTCAAGCCTTTTCTCTTTTAGCTACTTGACTGAATTTCATTACATGGCGTCGAGAGTTGTAATTGGTTAGCCAGCTATTTCTAGACTTTAGTGCTTACTAACCAAAACATCAGCCATTAGCTATTGTCAGACATCACCACTAGGGGCTTTGGTCCCCAGCTCCCACCGCATTACCTATTTCGGCAATCGACGTCATATTTTTCATGTCGCAATTCCCTGCATACAACAATCAATGTGCAATAAGTGTCTGCATATATGACCACCTCATCTCTACAGCTTAAACTAATGGGATAAGTTACTATGGACTACATCTGTTCCTCTCATTATTCTAATGAGTTATTATCCTTTATCTATTGTGCTTAAGGAACTTGAGGGTCCGCTGAGTTTGGTTCCCCTCCTTCGAAGTTTACACCATGACCATCAACTTTTGAAGTCTGCATCTAAATCCGACCTCAACCATTTGGTATCAAGAACACTTAACCTCTGTCGATCTCCTAACCCATACCTTAAATGGTGTGGTATAAACGTGGTTTATGTCATATGTGACGATTATACCGTCTTGGCCTCTGAAGGAACCAATTTACTCGGTCAACTTATCAAAATAACCGAGTCCTATAACTCCACCATTGACTTAAAGATCTTCACCAGTTGTATTGACGCTATCAATAAGATATGTGATAACATTAGAGGGAAACCCACGTTGACCAGAGAAATCTTGACGCCCAAGTTGCCCACCATCATCAGTTTATATTTAGAGAAGTTACACCATCAACCCTTGCTTGTGGTCAATTCATTGACCAAATTAATCACCAGACATCCAACCACTTATAGAACGTTTGGTAACAAGACAAAGGTGAAGTTGCTCAATATGCTTTCGTCGTCGTATACGTTGCCCTCGGACTTAAGAAGCGCCATCATGTCAACCATTGCTGCGTTGCCCTGTATTGAAAAGACTGAGCCTGAACAAGTTTGGGAATCCAATGTGCGAGATGCTATTAGGGAATTAAAGTCCGTTATTGAAATCTATGGAGAGTTTTTAATCTTTGAAGAAGATCAAGACTTGAAATCGTTAATGGAGAAGCTTCCTAGAACTGACGCCTCTCAAACGATGCTATTGCCTGCGTTAGCAATTGATGTAAATGAAGGGTTAACCTTATTCCAATTGTCTACCAGAATATCCATATTATTTGAGTTATTGACGGCTTATACCACTACTGAAACACAGTTCACAGTTAAGGTTCCCATTGGACAGTTAATCACATGTATTGAAACGGTTATCTCCATCAGTACCAAGTTCTTAAAGTTCAAAGGTGATGTTCGAGACCATACCATAAAAGAAATCATCAATTGTACTCTTAGAACCAACCATGAGGCTGCCATGAAGTTCTTGAGCCAATTATGTCGTTCGTATGGAGGAAGCATATTGCCGTTCTTTAATGATATATTGGGCTTTTTGGAGTTTGTGGTGCCTTTTAAGGATAATACCATTAATTATCTGGAACTCTTGGCCAATGAACTGTTATACTTGACTCTTTTGGAAACTGTCACTACTTTGCTTGACCTTACAGACAATTTAGGAGACTCTTCCCAATTGATAAGGTTTGTGGATATGGCCCTCATACTTGTTGAACCAAGAAGTGAACCTGAACCTACTAACAAGGCGAACACTAATGCTAATGCTAATGGTAATTTCAAAAAGAATAAGAAGAAGAATAACAATTCTGCTGCACTTTCTGATCTTCTCTCACATAAGAACTTATTCAACAATTGCATTCCACCCCAAACTCTTCAAGGGGTTAGAAGACTATTTAATGTCCTTATTCCAAAGGTAAACCTTCCTCCAACTCAACACTATAAAATAATTAGATACATTATAGTTGAAGCAGTGAACACCAGGAGTACCAACCAAGAACACAAAGTATCGGAAGACCTTATTAAGCTTTTGGAATGTGCATTATTAAACCCGGGCTTTGAAACAGTGTCAATACTTCCTATAGTGTCTTCGATCTTGCCTCAAGATTCATTGATTAGTTTGTTTAACAGTCCAAGGTTCCCTCCTTTACCTCAGTATGTGAAGCAAATCCCATTGGAGAAAGAGCAAGACTATGAGCAAGACTATGAGCAAGATCAACCTACATTAAAGAGAAGAACAGAAAACGAAACAGAAGACAGTTCAGATGACGTCATTCCAGACTCTAAACGTGCAAAGATTGAGCCTACTGAACCCGTTAAGACGACTGTTGTGGAGGTCAATAGCGAATTAGTGTTCCAACCTCCGGATCCTAATCAAGTAATGCTGTTTGCTACTGCCGAAACGACTGAAGAGACTTCAGTTCCAGCTTTAGTTCCGGCTTCAGCTCCAGCTTTAGTTTCGGCTTCAGTTCCGGCTTCAGTTCCAGCCGCTGTTCCAGTCTCAGTTCCAGCTACTACAGCAAAGCCCACTCCTTCTCAAGCAGTAGACATTAACGAGTCTGATTCTGACTTTGAAATGCCATTGCTTGATGGAGGCGACGACTCTGATGAAGAATAAATAATAGAATAACTACATACTTTATACTGAAATTAACTTTTTCTGAGAGTTAAGAGCGTGCAAGTACCAAATAAAAATAATTACACAAAATCAAACAAAAGTATAGCCGTTCTTAAATAATAAACAGATATAGAACATGAACTTGACACTCCTTTCTTAAGCACTTCTATTATGGATATTGATACTGTCAATGACTCCACCAGTATTCCGACGGAGCATGTTCTTGTGCTTACAGAGAACTTATCGCCGCACAAATTAGCCATTTTGGGCCTAGTAGATCTATACTGTTCAGGACTAGTACCTGCGGAGATCACCAATATCGTTGTTACTTTCCTTATACAACTAATAGTTGGCGAGCCATTGATAGATGAAAATGGAGTTATGGAGATTACTCCTGATCTTCTGACGGTTACCCGGACGCTTAGGGGGTGTTTAGTTCTGACCCCATCAACAACAAGTAGCAGTATTGAGTTAATGTTGTTACGAAGAATGTGGTGTATTAAGGTGATAGACGACGTAGACACGTTGATGCAGAGTTTGGTCCAGAAGGTGAGTACTAAGGAAGTCAAGGAGGAGGAATCAAAAGAGATCTACGTGTCACCCAAATCACTCTTGGGTCAGATGATCCAAAGAGTAGTCACTGATTATAACATACTACTGTTTGAAGAGTCCCTGATACTTTTTGAAGCCTTTTTGGAGTACAGGAGTCCGACTAAGGAATACTATATATCAATTGAGGATCCAGACCATCTAGAAGCATCAGCCATTAATTTAAGCAAAACTTCGGAGACTGTTTCAAAGGATGAACGACTCTTTAACGACTTGAATACTCAATTACAAGATATATTGGGTATTTCTATTAATACTATTCTGGAAGGAACCGAATTACCAAGTACCTTGAAACGGAATTTGATATGTGTTCCTAAGAATGACTTGCAGGGGCTTATTAATAAGCAGATCTCTTTACTTGAAACATATGGCACCCCAACACCACCACGATTACGAGCCATAATGACTCTTATGGCATCTCCAAGTTCAAATACCAGTTCAATTGGAAACATTGGGTATAATAATTATCCTAGTTATTATTTTCTCAAATATCTTGAGAACCTAAAGGAATCCAATTATACCGGAGCTTTCGATTCTTTGTATCAATATTTTGATTATATGGTATCGACCAATTCCAAATATTTTTATCATTTTGCATTGATTGCAAGAGCAAGTTTCCATCAATATTTTGGTGAAGATATGAAAGTATTGGAAGCCATAGAAGAAGCAATTTCTGTTGCTAGAGAGAATAAAGATAACAGCACACTAACTTACATTATTTCCTTTTTATTCAATTTCATGATGAATAGACCAAACCTTTGGAAGAAACAAAGTTTCTATAATAATAATAATAACGAAGGCCAATTGTTGGAATTTTTGGTTAAGAAATCTCTGACCATATCTTCACATATGCAAGCTTTAAGTTATCAATTTGAAGTGTTACATCAACTCAATAATGGTGGAGTGATGTCAAAGTATTTGGAGAGTTTATTAAAAGCTGGATATGTTTCTATTCATGAGAATAAGGCAACATTTATCAAGTCTCTTGAGATAGCATCTACCATGTGGAATAGAATATGTGTTCCCGAACTCAGTGATGTTTATGGTACATTAGCCATGTCATTATGTGAGAAATGGGAAGATAAGATCTCCTTAAAAATGAGAAATTATCACTTACAAATGCAAAGAGGTAACGTGGACCATGCCTTGAGGGACTTAGAAGCATTGAAACTTGAGGTGGGCAATCGAGATATATCATTACGGGATTCTATTGAAGTTCGAAGATTAATAATGGAGATAAGATCCAATTTAATGAAGGGAAGAGTTCATTACAGTAAACAATTGTTGGATACTATCAACAAATACTATAATCCTAAAGAATTGGATCTTGTTAATGAAATCCTATTATTAACTATTGAAGTGAATATTTATTCGGAGAATTATACTCAAGCATTAAAGTTAATAGTAGAGAAAGTCAATGATGATTTCAATAATATCCCCAGTCTAAATACTTATTCCATGAGTCGTCTTAATATTATGAAGTGTCGGATATACTTCACCACTGGCAATGGGAGTAAAGTATTAAGGTTAGTTATACTGCAGATCCAACAAACCCAAAAATACGGCTATACTTATTTATTCCTTGAATGTGTGCTTTTACTCATTGGGATACTTTATGAAATGAACCAACTTGAGGAGTGTACATCAGTGTTGAATGACGTGATGCCTCTGGTTCTTAGTTCCGAAAGCAATGTACTTATTTCCAGATGCTATTATTTACTGGCACGAGTAGCTGGAGCAAACTATATGGCTACAGGGGATACCTATTGGCTTACTAAGACATTAAAGTATTTGAATGGGAGTATACTTGGATATAAGGAATTAGGAGATGTTAATTCATTAGCGGAATGTTTCAATCTTCAGCTTGAAATAGCTCAGCATCGACAAGACTCAATATTAGTAGAGCATGCAAGGGAATCATTAACCAAAGTTGACTTGCGAACAGAACAAGCATCAAGTTTAGGGTTTATTTAATATTAAAGATTATTAGTGCTTCTTTGATCTTTCCTCAGCATCAATAAGGGCCAAATTAAGAGCAGCATTTTTCAATTGAATAACATTTGCCACTTGTTTGAATAACCATACGGGAGTACTGAGAAATACCGTGACCGTCCCCAACCAGAAGAAGTGATAATGGTGCAAATAAAGTGCCATATAAAAGAACTCATTGACCATACACACAAAGAATAAAACCTTTCTATTGGTATAATAAAGAGCCAACAACCGACTTTGATCCTTATCGACATTCTTATGAGATGTTGAACCCGAAGACAACAGAGAGTACATGTGCATGTAATGGCTGGCCAAATCCAACGACACCAACAATTGCCAAAGAATAAAATAATCCGGATAAATTACTCCTAAATACACAATCAATGATGAGGTGGCACACCGGTCAGTTACCATATCTAGAACAGCACCAAATTTAGTGCCCTGGTTAAACATCCGGGCTGCATAGCCATCAAAGGCATCAAGAAACCCACTTATCCCATACAAAATCAACGTATAGATGGGATGATTCTTCATACAAAAGAACAGCACTATGGCCGTGATAACCCGGACATATCCAATCTTGTTAGGTATGAATAATAAGATGTCTCTAGAAGTGACCGAACTCATGATACAAATGAAATATTATTATTGATTGAGGGTACAATCGAATGTTCTAGACCATTCACCGGAGTATCAATGGTTCGCTATTACTTTGATATGTTGATGATCAACTTTAGTTGGGATGCCCCGGTGGCCCAGATCACTTTTTTGATGTCAGTTGAGTTCCGAAAAATTTCCTTACTTAGATAGTGTGCATATAAGCGTGGTCGCCGGTGAAGTCGGCGAATTAATGGGGAGTAGTAATAGTAAAGGTCCGACTTCAAGGCAGTACAGTACGGTGAGATACAATGATGATGTAACTGTTTGTTATTAATTGCTAAAGAACTATTGCTATGTACGACTTCATACGACATTATAAGTCCTGTTTAGGCAGTAGTGTAACATACAGGTCGTCTACAAGAAGTTGGGATTATTTAAGGTATGGATGAACACATATATGCGATAATTACATCCATGTAATGCAATGGATTAACTAAGAGGCTGGATTAATTGATGTGCATAGTTTAAATAGGTCAAAAAATGTCGTCTTATCGTACGTGTGGGTAACCTTCTTCGAGTCGATAAGGAATATACAGACAAGCAAACAGACACAATAACATATAGACAGCCAAACAAACGTACTTATATACGATTGACAAAAATGACAAAAAAGCAGACAGACATGATATTCATACTACAGACAAAATTTCAAGTAATGTAAACATTGTAATGCACACTAATCAATATATATATATATATATATATATACTATTATGACGTTCCTGTCCTGCAGTCAGGCTATCATTGTCTGTTTTGTCTGTAGATACGAGACTGTTTGGCCGAGTTACACGACATGACAAAAAAAAATTGAAACGACGTCTCAAAAGGAAAACCAAAACCATTGCACACGTCTAACCGCTCATTATCATCTATCATTCCTTCATCAGACATAAAATAGTATTAACGAGGTAAAGAGACTCATTTATTATCCATCTATCGCTACTGAGTGTCTTATTCTTCCGGAAATACTTCCGTAACCCTCAGATTATCCGTTGTGTCATTGACCTCGAACAGAACTAAAGAAGGTTACACCAAAATCTGACCAGTCATAATTGACCAGTCACATTAGTCAACAAATCTGACCAGTCATATCAGCAGCAAGATAACTTAAGAGTATCATGGGTGTTTGTTGTAGTTGTTGGGGATCCCGAAACAAGGACGGCAAATTTGCTCCCTTATTGCTTGCAGAGAATGAACGAGAAGCCATCTCTGCTTTATTACAATATTTGGAGAATAGAAGTGATGTTGATTTCTTTTCCAATGGACCCTTGAAGGCTTTACTGACTTTGGTGTATTCTGATAATATTGATTTACAAAGAAGTGCAGCTCTTGCCTTTGCAGAGATAACGGAGAAAGATGTCCGAGAAGTCAATAGAGATGTTCTAGAACCTATTTTGATCTTGCTTCAACTGACCGATTTTGAAGTTCAACGTAATGCTTGTGGAGCATTAGGAAATTTGGCAGTTAATAATGAAAATAAGGTTCTTATAGTTGAAATGGGAGGTTTAGAACCGCTAATCAAACAAATGATGCTGACAAATATTGAAGTCCAATGTAATGCAGTTGGATGTATTACCAATTTGGCAACACAAGACGACAACAAGTCAAAAATTGCCAAATCAGGAGCTTTAATCCCATTAACCAAATTAGCCAAATCAAAAGATATAAGAGTTCAAAGAAATGCCACTGGTGCACTTTTAAATATGACTCATTCATTTGAAAATAGACAAGAATTGGTTAATGCTGGTGCTGTACCTGTTTTGGTATCCTTATTATCAGCTACAGATACTGATGTCCAATATTATTGTACCACAGCACTATCAAATATTGCTGTTGATGATACCAATAGAAAGAAATTGGCATCAACTGAACCCAAATTGGTTAGTCAATTGGTTTCATTAATGAATTCTCCATCCCCAAGAGTTCAATGTCAAGCCACATTAGCTTTAAGAAATTTGGCTCTGGATTCAGGTTATCAAGTTGAAATCGTAAGAGCTGGTGGATTACCTCATTTGGTTCAATTATTAACATGTAATCATCAACCTTTGGTATTGGCAGCAGTGGCTTGTATCAGAAATATTTCCATTCATCCATTAAATGAAGCATTGATCATAGAAGCAGGATTCTTAAAACCTTTAGTGGATTTATTAGATTATAAAGATCTGGAAGAAATCCAATGTCATGCAGTTTCCACCTTAAGAAATTTGGCTGCTTCTTCAGAAAAGAATAGAACAGCTTTAATGGCTGCTGGAGCCGTTGAAAAATGTAAAGAATTGGTCTTAAGTGCTCCACTTTCAGTTCAACTGGAAATATCTGCATGCTTTGCAATTTTGGCACTTGCAGATGATTTAAAACCCAAATTATATGAAAGTCATATAATTGATGTCTTAATTCCTTTAACTTTCACAGATAATGGAGAAGTTTGTGGCAATTCAGCTGCTGCTTTAGCAAACTTATGTTCAAGAGTTTCAAATGAACATAAACACTATATATTGGAAAACTGGAATGAACCACAAGATGGAATATTTGGATTTTTGAAACGATTCTTACAAAGTGGATCAGCAACCTTTGAACATATTGCTTTGTGGACTATTTTGCAATTATTAGAATCAAATAATAACGAAATCAACGCATTAATTAAAGATAATGAAGAAATTCTTTCAGGGATAAAAGAATTGAGTGAACAAAATACCATGAATCAATCTGCTACCCAAACAAGAGATGATCAATATGAAGATCCAAAAGTTGAATTGTTTAACTTGACAGAACAAATCTTGCAAATTTTGGGTTAGATCCGATTCCGTTGATAATTATTGTACCATAAAGTTTTATTCTTTCTTATTTCCATCAATTAATCCTTTTGAAATCATATTTAAATAAATAACTCCTTTTATCTATAATTCTGTTAGTAATTGAGTAGAGTTGTTAGTAGTGACAATGTCGTCTTTATCCTCGTTAGTTTCATTAATGTCGTTAACATCTCCAACGCCATTTAAAGTCAACTTTCCAAGTCTTTCAATTGCTTCATCTTGTTTCTTCTTCTCGATGGCTTCTTGTTCATCGACTAAATTCTGTAGCTCATCTTCAATTTCTTGATCATCATTTGGTTCTGTCATATTCATCATGATTTCTGAAATTTGATTGGACCTATCGATATTTTCCTCCACATCATCCTTTAAATCCGCCAATCTCTTTAAATCCACATGACTATTTAAGCTTTTCAATGCTTTGTTTGAAGTTTCTAATATGGATACCAAATCCAAATTTGTAGACGCTTCTTTTAAAGTAGTTTGCAAGTTTTGGATCAGCTTGGAAGTCTCCAAATATTTACTTAGTGATTTCCTTAATAAATGTTTCAAATGCAAAAGATTGGTTACTTTAAGCTTGACGATTTCATCCTTCTTATAGTCAATAACAATCAGTTTAATATCAAAATCAATTCCTTTAATTTTGGCTTCAACATCTGAAATTTGCAGCTGCAATATCAAGTGCTGTCGGTCTAAATCAATAACTGATTTCTCCCATTCAGTTATTGGACCATCACCAAACTTAATGTAATCTCCTTCAACAACACAATAGCCCAAATCTTTAGACCAATGCACTAGTAACAAATGTAGATCCATATCTGATACGTCATAATCTTTCAATAATGCCAACAATTCATGCTTGCTATATAGAATCTTGTCTCCACGCCGTACATGTTCATGATAAGCATTCTGTGATTTGATCTTCAATTCATTGACACTGACAAATGGCTCTTTCTCCCATTGAATCGTGGGTTGTGTAAACCACAGAGTTAATTTGGTATACCAAGGATCACGTTGTAACCCTTTCAATTTAAACCAACTCAAGGGTACAATGGCTTCATCTTGAACTAAGGTTTTAAACACCAATAACAATTCCTTTGGTGGTCCCAAATCAGGGAGGGTCACTGAACTTACGACTGAAGTCCAATCCAATAACATCAGGGAGTGACCAGTCACATTCAATCGTTTATCTTTTATAAGATGAGGTATCAAATGAGTCCACGCAGTTAAATTAGCTTGGTATCCTTCAGGATTTATATCCTTTAGCTTGGTGAAACTCGAATAAAGTGACGATAATCTTGACTGTCGGAAACCAGGGACTGACAAGAGGTATGATAAGTTATCAGACATATTAGAAACAATGTTATAGGTATTATATGTAATGTGATACTAAATGACAGGTAAGATGATAGGTAGTTTGATAGGTATTAATGTGACAGGTAGTAATGTGACAGGTATTGTTATGTATATTATGACAGGTAATAATATGACAGCTACTAATATGATATGTCATATAAGATGTATAATCCATGTCTGTATATACACTATATGCAGTACTATATAAACTCTATAATAACCTTATCCCTTTAATGACAAATCTCCCAATGATAATTCAACTTGATCTCTCAACTTATCAACCACATCCAAAATGGCTTCAGCAGCTGGAGAATCGCCATAATCATCAAAGAAACATTGGCCCGAATCACAGCATTTACCTATACGAGGATCTAAAGGTACCAGCCCCAAGAATTCAATACCCAATTCCGTACATAAACTTTCCCCCCCACCAGTTGTGGGCTTAAAGATTTGAGATTCTCCTTGACAATTCGGACATACAAATCCAGACATATTTTCCACCAATCCAAGGATTTTGATGCCTGCCTTCCGACAAAAGTCAATTTCCTTTCTAACATCTAATAGGGCCACTTCTTGAGGTGTTGTAACAATCAAGGCTCCATCAATACCTACTTCTTTCATATACGTGGTCACAGAAAGATGTTCATCCGAGGTACCTGGAGGTGTATCCACTACCAAATAGTCTAAGCGATCACCCCAATCAACATCCTTTAAAAACTGCTTAATGAGTCCATTCTTCTTACTCCCTCGCCATATAATAGCAGAGTCCGGATCAGGTAACATAAACAGAATGCTCATTAGTCCCAAGTTGTCAGCTACATAAACAGGGGTCCAACCAGAATTGGATTGATGGATAGATTCACCTTCTGCTCCCAACATTCGAGGTAATGACGGTCCACATATATCTAAATCCATAGCCCCAACTTCTAATTGATCATCTGCTGCAAGTGCCCATGAAAGCATAGATGTGAAAGTGGATTTTCCCACTCCTCCTTTGCCGCTGAGTACAAGGATTTTATGATCTATCATATTTAACCTCTTGTTGATTTCTGGTAGATCTGGATCTGGTCCTTTAGGCAATGATTCACATATCTCTTTGTTGGCACATCCAACACAGGCTTCATCTTGACCGGCTTTTTCTGACTCCGGTCCAGGACAGTGCTCCGGCTCAGGAGCTGGAAGCTCGCTCACTGTTGGCTCTTTAGAGGGTGACATATATTAAAGAAGTAAATAGTAAGAAGATGAAGCACCAGAAAATGATGTTTCTTTTTGATGTCATTAATAATCTCGCATCAAACTTCCTAAAACGGAGCACGGTAGCGCAGATCGAAATACCTAATATGCATGCAGAAGCTTATAACGTATTTTAAATTAGTAACTATAATTATTACTAAAATATGCACACTATACAGTTATTCTATGGTTAAAATATTGCTTCTCTGGCTCTCCAAGATACAATTTATTCAACAGATTTTTAAGTTGTTCAAGATCATTTGAATGAGCAATAGCAATGTCTCCCACAAATTTAGATACCAATTTAAGAGCAACCTTTTCATTAAATTCCTTTCCTTCTTCATCAGTTGCAACATATGGAATGTTCTTCAAAAGTGATGTTAGGGACTCCAGATCTTCATTATTGGCTATTAATTCACAATAGCTTTCATAAATTCCAGCACCAACATTCCAAGTAGGAATAATGGAACCATTAGAAGGGAATTTATTCATGAGATCAATTAAAGCTCTTCTGGAGGTTTCATTATTAGAAATAACAACTTCTGGTCCCAATTTTGAAGCTATGATTCTATGAGCTTCACTCCAAAGTTTAGCATTCATAAATGCTTCCGTTGATACCCAATAGTCACGTGACTTCTCATATTCAAGTGCTCTTGCTTCTGCTATTAATTCCTTTGGAATGTGCAACTTTTCAGTTAGTTCTATTTGAGTTTGCTCATCAATCCTTTGAATATTCAGTAGGACGACTTTTCTAACATTCTTGGTTGAGAGTTCACCATCATTCAGACAAAGAAATGCCACTAATGATTGGAACCATAACCCATGGTCCAATAAATAGTTTCCAAATTCAACACCAATGTCATCAGTTTTACCAGCCAATAACACCTCTTGAATGACCCATTTCAAACTTATGGAAAGTTGTGAACACTCTTTAACAAAGAGTAATGCTTCTTCCAGATTCTTGGAACACCATATATTGTATAACTGTAGCAATGCAATCACCGCAGAATCAAGATATGTTTGTTCTTTAAGAGTGACTTGGATAAGTTCATTGAGAGTTTTAGTAGGATCATCATACAAAAGCTTCAATGAAAAGACCATATTCCAGGGCAACTCCTTGGAGAGTAATTGGATCTCACGTGCTAAGATTTGATAAACTTTGACAACTGGTGCCGGTATATTCTCCAATTCATTATTATTCCTCCAGCTTTCAAGTTGGTTTTGAGCAATAGCTATAGCAGCTTGATCATTGGAGTCCAAAAGTACCAAAACAGGTGATAAATATGCATTGCTTGTCTCCCAAGCAGCCTCCACAGCCAGCTTAAGATCTCCATAATAAAGATAGTCAAGTACAATCTGTAATTTGTCCTTAGAATGGTCCTTTATAGCTTGAGCTAAAAGAGGCTTGTTGTACTCAGCCAACCACGATACAAATGCTTCTCTTTGATACTTAATGATTTCGAATTCAGACCCAATCTTAACATCAAATAACACAGAAGCCAACTTTAAAAGAAGAGCTGTTTCGTTCAGTTTACATTCAAGGCATTGTTGGAAATCAGCAAAATTTAGCTCTTTATAAGAAGCAATCTGAGGATACTTGTTGTCTTGAGCTTTAATAGTAATCTTGGATAAAAATACATCCACTAGTTTAGGTTCCATGGTTAGTTGAATTGGGGTCAGCTCAATAGCATCCATAACTTTCCCAGGTCCTCCTTCAGGTATTGGTGTGGAATACAGAACTGCAGCCTTATTAAAGTCCCCGAAAAGAATATCATCAACATTGGCTAAATTGAAAGCTTGAGAAGGTTTGGTTGCTAAAACATCTAATAATTGTGGATTCAAAGGAGAGTCGATATTATTGGTCAATTCAAGTTGTAGTAGCCAATCATCAGCAGTGGGGATATCAGGTTTGCGTTGAATGATATCAAAGGCTTCATCGTTAGTAATATCTGGTTCATAAACTCGCTCTTGAACAATTTCATTCAAATCTGTTCCCGGAGGTAGGTTGTTAAAGAAGTCTCGAAAATAAGCAACTTTCAAAGCAGGATCAGAAGAACTAAGCTCTTCTTCTTCTTCTTCAACTTCCGCTGTCGAGCTTGAAGACGAATATTCCGGTACCACTTTATCTTTATCTTTATCCTCAAAATCAACTTTTGAAAGGTCTTGGGTAACTTGGTTTTCCCTATAAGTTTCAATTTCATTCCTAATCTCTTCAAAAATTTCTTCATTTCTTTGTACATTCAAAGGAGTGTCTTGTGTTGCATTATAACCCCATGCACCTGGAAGGCCATGGGTATCACGATTCAACCGTTGCTTTTTCAATTCTTGCTCAATTATTTCAGCTTGGTATGCATTTTGGTATTGTATGAATGATTGATCTTCTGTATTATCCTGCTTTCTTTTTATGCTGATCAACTTTTCATACATTTGAGGATTCAACTCATCTTCGTCAATAAGACCCCATACACTAAAGTGTAAGACTTTAAATATCCATCTTTTAGCTAGAGGATCATAAGTAACAAATTCTGTTCCAACCATATTCTTTAACTTATCAACAAATTCAGATAACGGTTGGTGGTCTTTTGGAGTGACATTCTCAATAGTAATTGTGGCTGGAATATTGACACCATTGCCCACAGCTGGTTTATCATCATTATCTTCATCAGGATAGACAAGAACGACTTTCTTATCAAAAACAAAGATTCTTTCGAATAAAACCTTTTCTAATGGAATACCCTCTTCTCTGGCAATTTCCATAAACCCTGATAAGTCTACAGGATGATCATAGGCAACTTGACCAAAGCCTTTTCTTCCAATGATGAAATTCTTAATGTTCAGAAGCTCTTCTTCCGTTAATTCTATAAGCTGACTGATTGAAGGTAATGTCCAATATCCGTTGTTTAACTCCGGCTTGTCACTATTGGGTATCTGTTTCTGATCAGGTTGGGATTGTTTCAGAATGACTCTGATTTTGGATTCATCTTCAACACGGTCTTTGCTAACCGTATACAGAACCTTAGAACCACTAGGATATGCAGTATCAGCAGCCTCATCCAATTCATCATCATCATCTGTAGCATCGCCATTAGTAGTAACTGGCTTTATAGATATGTTAGCTCTTCTCTTTGAAAATACTTCATTGGCATCGATTTGATGATATTTCAAAGGCTCGGACTTTATTATAAGCCTTTTGATGTTACTTAAGTCCTTACCCTCAAGTGACGTCAACTTTGATTTAGTTTGTTGTTTAGTAACTTTGCTAGGAACAAATCTAGAAACACCACTACTGTTTGAAGGAAGTTCTTTCTTTTGCAATACCGAGATGTTATTTTGAGTGAATAAGCCTCTTATGGTAGTGGTTCCGGGGTTTCGAATGTGTTTGAAAGCTTGAGCCAATCTACTCAATAAACCTGATTTCTTGGATTCCTGTTGCTTGGAAACTTGCAAATATGAGTACCCTCTATTTTCATTTGGAGTCTCCTTATGGAACAATTGACCAGTAATAGAAGGAGGCATTGACGTCAAAGGTTGTTCATTCTGTACATTGACCAACGACTGCTGGTAAGGATTGGCATTTGTAGTGGATGTAAGGTTGGCATTTGTGTTATTGACACCACCACCAACATTTCCGCCACCTAGTCCCGTATTCGAAAACAATCCCGGTTTAGAGGTGTTGACTCCAAATGACCCCGAAGTTGCAGCCGCACTAGTGCCAGTGCCGGTACCAATACCACTAGTACCTGGTGTGTTAAATAATCCACCACCTCCACCAAACAACAGCAGTTGAGTAGTCTGTTTTGTACTGCTATTACCAAAGAGCCCAGTTGCTGGGTTCGCTGATGTTGCTCCTGTTGTAGCTGAGCCAAACAAGCCTCCTGGTTGGCCGGCATTCGATGTGGCAGAATTGCCAAAGAGGTTTGATCCTTGAGTGGCGCCAAACCCACCTGCAGCACCCCATGAACTCATATTGCAGGTAGCGTTGATGATAAAGGAGAATACTATGGTTTGTTTAGATCAGATGAATTAATTTTCAGTGAGAAAAGTAACCAGGGGGTTACCCGCACTTCAATTGGTCACTGCCATATAAGGACTATTATGTATTACCATAGACCACTATATATAGACTACAGTTGAATAATATGAATCGATATGATATAATATAATACAAAATGAGTTTAATTGATGGCAACGTCGAGCTTGACACAACCAGTGGCACTGTACCAACACTTATCGAACTTACGTAAGTTTGGCTTACTGGAATATACCTTATTGGGGACCCCAACATCCAACAAATAATGTGTCACTTCTCCCTTTTCTAGATGTCCATTCTTGTATGCATGTATCAATCCCGAAATGGGTATACCCATGGAAACACACCATTTACATTTGAGAGTTGTTAATGAAGGGTCAATGATTGTACCTGAGCCACCATCTAATCCAGAGGGAACATCAAGTGACATTATTTTAGCTGCTTGTTGCGGTTCATTACACCATTCAAATAACTTGGTTAAAGTAGCCATATCATCATCTTGATAAAATATATCATCCAAATGAGTATCATAACCTTGTAAGGCATCAAGAATTAATTCCACAGGTGACTCTAATTGTAAGTTAATGATATCAAGCATCTCCACCACTTTAGAAACAAGTAATTTCCCTCCAGCTTCCATAAATAAATGCTTTTGACGTGAAAATTCAACATCATCTTCATCATCTCTAATTGCAAACGCAAGAACTCTTATACCATGATTTGCTAAATGACGACCGGTAGCAAATGCTCTAATAGCACATCTACCGGACCCCACAAGTAATAAGACCAAGGGAGGTAGATTATGATTCTTTTTATTAGATAATCTTGTGGAACCTCCCAATATTCTGTTCAATATCAACTGAGATAAATTAACGGCACAGACTTCAGCCATAATTGTAGTATCAATCCCAAATGATTCAACCGAAAGTCTTTCCACTTCTAAAAGTTGGACCGGAGAAGCCAATTGCACGCTTTCTTTTGATTCATTTGATATAAAGGAAAATGATGCAGAAGAAAGAATCCCACTAGCACCAGAAACTGAGCTCTTATTGGCATTAGGACCAAATTGAGGTGAAAGAATGCCTCCTGGAGTACTGGGAGCATCTCTTCTAGGTACATAATTACCATTATTTGAACTGTTCAATGAGGCTTCACCGATTTTATCCCAATTATCTTCAACATTCTTTTCTAAAACCATCTCCTTATTGTCATAATTGATTTTTTTTACATTTTCAACTTTGTTGTGACCTACAAGACGATCATGAAGACTAACGTTATCTTTACGTTGGAAATCAGCAAACACCGTCTTCTTATCAAACATTGCCAAGTTAGCAGCAAAGTCAAACTCAGAGCCGGTTTTAATATCATTCACATCACTTTCACAATCCCAATCTGGATCATCTGCCTTGTGGTGGTGAGTAAGTTTTGCCAGTCGAAGTTTTGGAGTGCCTGCTCTACTTGTATTCCGAGAACGAGTGGATTGTGATTTAGACAACAGTTCAGACTCAGAGTATCTATTATTAGTGACAGGTTTACCGTTCTTCTTCTGTAAGTTAACTGGCAATTGAACAACTTTAACATCAGCTATCCTGGTACTGGGTACATTCATCGATGGTACACTAACATTAGGATTGATTGAATGATAGACGTTCAGTAGAGTCACATTGGTCTTATCAATGTAGCTGATGACTCCAGTAGACTTTGTGCCATCCTTGAGAAAGAGATCCACTTTATAGTTCAAAAACTCCGTCATGGTATACCTGCTAGTAGTAAAGTAAAGTGGTTGTATACTGTGTTGGTTCTTCATGAACAAACTAAATTTGAAGAGTTCAAGCAAGATATCGGTAGGGACACGTATGGCAAAGGAATATAGAGAACTCCTTTTGCAACCAGACAGTCAAGTTATGTTATATCCAAATGAAAGCAAAGGATTATATTGAAATGCCTTTGTATTCCGTTAATGCTCTAACGGTTGTTCCAACTAGACGAAGAAGACTGAATTCAAATGAGAGTGGGTCAGTTCGCACTGACCCTTTAGCTGAAAGTAAGACGAAATGAACCCAAAGAACGCCATCTCAAATAAGAGTTCCAGCAATACCTTATGTGCATGTTCATTTCACCTTTTACATGACAATAACTTAGTCACACGGTCCAAGACAACAATATTAATCACTGCATTATCCATTACTTCATTACTACACTACAAATGTTAGATTGACCTCTGTTAGTCTCTTCACTCAAATTACTTCGTACCAAGACATAATAAAGTGGTCACAACCGATCCTCAATCTTTCTCCGCTGTCCACACTCCATACCAATAGTGAAACTGGTAAGAAGCTCTATCTATTTTCGGAGAAACTATCTGAAGAGCAAAATTACTCTCTGCTGAAAACTTTGCGAAATGACCTGCCTTTTATATGTTTTTGAAAAATTCTCAGACTCATATTTACGCAGTGCAAGCGTATACATCAGTACACAATGGTGATTGTAATTTTATGCTTAGACAAAATCACTAGTAGCATACACTTATCAGATGTGGGAGTTCCGACATCTAACTACCTCCAACCCTTGATCATGTGCGGTCCCCCATAGCCCAGATTCGAAGACACTAGTGCAGGCTATGCTACACAAACGTATTATTATCTACCGAACTGACGGATATAACCAGGAACCTTTCCAAGATTATATTAACAATAGTATGATTTCTGTAGTGCCGTCCTGTATGTAGGGAAATCCGCGCTACCAGATGTATTGGAAGAAAACCGGTCGGTACGGTTCCAAAGCCGGAGATCCAACGTTGAACGGGGGAATAGATTAAACTGATCATTATTTATTTCCGACGGTTTGTAGTATTCTTATCAATTGTGGTCACCATCAAGAACACTGACAAACGTAGACCATCGAATTAATTCATTGATTCGTCCAGGCTTTTTTTCTGTTTGCAGTTCCAGCCCCGTCCCAGTTGTTCCGATAACTTTTGTTAACTATGGGTATCAATAATCCTATTCCGAGAAACTTGAATAGTGAATCAAGGTATGTATATATTGTGTTACAATGTGATTGAGTGATTAAGTAATGAAGTGATGAAGTGATAAACTAACTTTCCTGTTGTAGAAAGGCTGCTAAGATCCTTGCGTCGTTTATAAAGCCTAACCAAATTGCTGGGGCAGATAAGGTCATTCCTCCACATGTACTTAAGAAGGCAAAGGGTTTAGCCATCTTGACGGTTTTAAAAGCTGGTTTTCTTTTCTCCGGTAGAGCTGGGTCCGGTGTGATTGTTGCTCGTTTACCGGATGGTAGTTGGTCTGCTCCTTCAGCCATTGCTACTGCTGGAGCAGGTGTTGGTGGACAAATTGGTGCTGAGTTGACGGATTTTATCTTTATCTTGAATACGCAAGCAGCCGTTGATACTTTTGCTCAACTAGGTTCCGTCACCTTAGGTACAAATGTATCTATTGCTGCTGGACCGTTAGGTAGAAATGCTGAAGCAGCCGGTACAGCCTCATTTAAATCCGTTTCTGCTGTTTTCTCTTACTCCAAAACTAAAGGGTTATTTGCTGGGGTTTCTCTTGAAGGCTCAGCCATCGTGGAAAGAAGAGAGGCGAACCGCAAGTTTTATGGTAACAATTGTAAGGCCAGACAAGTTTTACTGGGACAAGTTGAAATCCCCCCAGGATGTGAGCCATTGATGAGAGTTTTAGAAAGCAAAGTGTTCAATAATTCTGTTCCTTACAATGAAGACTATGATGATGATGATTACTATGATGATATTCCGACGACATTTTCAGATGATACTAGTGCTGGTAGTCGCTCTTCAAGACGAGGTGGAAGAGGAAGAGACAGAAGAGGAAGTAATGCTAGATATGATACTTATGATGATTTTAGTGACGACGATGATGATGATGATTATGGTACTGGTGGACGTCGTCGTAGATCCAATAGTGGTCGCCAAAACAATAGTAATGCTCCACCTCGATATTCAAGTATAAATGGAGGAGGATCAAGACAATCCACATGGGAAGACGATATATATGACCGTTCCCCAAGACATGGAGGAGGTACTAATAGTTCACTGAATACTTCTGCTCCTCCATCCAGACCTCCAACGTCACTGAAACCCAATTTTGGTAATAGTATAAAGACCAATGCTAACCAGGCAATTGCATTGTATACATTCAAAGGTGAACGTGATGGAGATTTACCATTCAAGAAGGGAGACGTCATTGATATTATCCAAAAGACCGGAACAAGCGATGATTGGTGGGTTGGTCGTAACAACGGTGTACAAGGAATGTTCCCTGCCAACTATGTTGAATTAATTTAGCACCAGTATATATATTTTTAATAACGAAATGATTTGACAAAATGGTCCACCACCAATTTACCTTCTTCGAACAGAGGTTCTTCACTTCTAACTATGACGGCAGCATGGGTGGCTTTGGTTCGACGAATAAGCACTGGATATTTAGACCAATTAAGTGAGTTCAATTGCTCAATGATGTATTCTTGATGGCTAGTCAATTTCAACCGGAACTCATCATTGTCACCATGGTTTGAATCGTTTCTATATTTCGTCGACTTCAAGTCTTTTAAATGCAGAGTAGAAGGTAAGGGCAGTTGGCCCTTGGAAGATGAAGTGAATCCATATTGATAGGGATGGTATTTTCGTGTGTGCATAGCATCAAACACTGACTCCATAAACATATCTGTTTGAGTATTCAATTCATTGGAAATGTAGACGGTGTCTGCGTTCTCATCTTCAATAGTGGTGCTTCCTTTTATGGAAGGAATATCCACAGTTTCGTCCTCATCTTCGTCAGTATCTGTATCGTCAATGATATCGTATAGATGTAAGATGGAAGTCTCTTTAAAGAACTTGCGTACTCTGAGACTCAATCTAACTCTCTCCACCACGCTTCTACATATCAAACTGATGGCCCATAGTGGTGTGAGAAAGATGATGTTTGCTAACACTCTGAACCAGTTCAATTTCCTTGAAATGAAGTTAGACAAGCGTGGACCAGTAGCGCCAGTAGCAGCAGCCGCATCATCATCTACTAGCAAGATCTTGGAGTAATGGATCAGTTTGGAGTAGTCGATGATCACTGGTGCGTACTCCTTAATGTAAGCCAAATGGTACCCCAGAGCCAGCTGGTTGTGCATTGAGTCAAAGGGGTCCCTATTGGATATACCTGCTGTGAAGAAGCAGGTACGTTTATCATTGATGATGTTGGTGTATAGAGATCTATAGTGGAAGCTGGCTAACGCCTTAAAGAAACAGAACCGAGGGTCACACATCAACACCAATAAAGGTAGTTGTTGGTGAGAATGTTGATGATGGTTGATAGTGTCTTTGAGTACCAATTGATTCCCCGTATTGGCCAATAAATAAGGCACAATCTTATTAAATAGCTTAATGGATAAGTTGACTTCTGGCAACAACACTCCCACATGAGGAGAACAGAAGGTAACAAAGTTAACGGGTTCAATATTATAATGGTCAAAGTAATTACTATTAAACAACTCTCCAATGGCATATCTTATCATCAAACCTCCTAAGGAGTATCCAACACATGAAAACTTTGTTACTTTACCTCCTTGATTCATTAAGGAGTTGGTGATAGTTTTTATCTCATCACTTATTCTTTTGCCATTGATATCGATTCCATCATACGTAATATACCCTGGATGAGAGCCTGTAGTATATACAAACAATTTCTCGTTGTTAAAGGAATGCTTAGAGAATTGAGTTTCTAATTGGCTCTTAATATATGCCATATGACTAGGGTTACCCCATAGACTAAAGGGTTAGTGATAACTGTAGCGTATACACGTATACATAAATAAAATAGACATACCCGTGAACCAATACTACTAGGTGATATTGCTCCATGATACTACCGAGAGTAAAGAACGAGATTGAATTGTATTCCAATAATTTATCTCCTTATTACCCTGACACTTATCAGATAGACTTCCCAATCGGGAAGGTGATACAGGACACCCACTCGTGTGACAAAATAAACGTATACGTACATAATTCCGCATAGCCTGCTTGCTTCTTTGCATAACTGTTATTTCTACACATTCAAGGATTATGTACACGGATTATTTAATTATATACAAGTACGTCGTAATATATATACTTAATTGATTCTTGTAAATGAGACACACTTATCTAACACCAAAGCAGATGCGACACTAACATTCAAAGAATCAACTAGTCCATTATCCAAACTATCAACTCTCATTCTTGGTAACCCAACCAAATAATCCGATCTTAATTTGATATGCGTACGTACACCAGCTCCTTCACTTCCCATAACTAAAAGCATGGGACTCTTTAAAAGAAGTTCCGATAGATCTTCCGGTTCAATGAACCGTTTATCAAGAGTCTCAATGATCTTTGTATCTTTACCCTTTAAATCCATTTTTTGAAGGGAATTAGATCTTCCCGCCGTAGTAATAACATTCCAACCATTCTGTCTGATTCTATCGATGAATCTTAAAGGTTCATCGGTACTCATAGCTGTAATATATTCTAAGCTACCTGCACTTGCCTTATGAGCCACTCCACCCAATTTGGCAGTCTCACTAGAGGGCACGATAATAAAGTCCACTCCTAAATAATATGCTGATCTGAAAATGGCTCCAATGTTTTGAGGATCAGTTATGCCGTCTAAATAAACTCCAAGGGGGTACCTTTGACTATCATTAGGTGTTTCTCGAACCACTTGGTAGTCCTTCTCAATTTTTGTGCCATACAAATCATTATAAAGATACACTTTGTAATCTCCAGTATCACCATTTGGTACACCTAAATCTTGAACTGGCCAGATCTGTAACGGCTTGGTTTCAAGTACAACACCATTATGTACTGCTCCGTCAGATAATTGCTGCAACTCTTGTTTAGAAGACTCTATGATTCTAATGCCCAATTTTTTGGCCAACTTGAGTATCTCCTGATCTTTAATATTATGATGGTATAATGTAGAATACAGATCTCGCTTATTCACCCTGAGTGTGGCTAAAACAGAATGGGTACCAAATATATAATCATACAAGGGGTTTCTGATCCGTTTCATAGTTGGAGTACCATTCACAGGCCCACCAGTCTTCCTGTCTGGTAAACCCAATTTGGATCTTTCGTGAGCTCTTTTCATTTCTCTTAATCTTCTTTGACGGTCGACTTTTTCATCGAGTCGTTTTCTTTCTTCACGACTGATATTACCATATTTCCTTTGGAAGAACTCGTCTTTAGGTATCCCTTGAACGACCCAAGGTTTAGGAGGTTTCTTCTGGTCTGGAAGTGTCTGGGAAAGAGTGTTGATCTTAGATGATGATTTCTTATAGGTTGATGATTTTTTAAAAGTTGATGGCAGCTTCTTGGTGCCTGTTTCGGCCCGATGTAACGGCCTGATACTTTGAAACTGTCTAGCAACACGAGGGAATAGTCTAAACATTGGTTAAGGTCTGGTTGTAGCCATGAAGAAGTATGCGATGAGTTTATATTTTTCAATGCGAAAACACAGAGTCAAGACTCCGAGTCAACTACAATCATTCAACTGTCAGCTATTGCATAGTCACTACGTTCATTCAGTGTCAAGGTCTACCTTATATACTAGAATAATACACCTTTGGTGGAAGGAACATCGTTGGTTCCATTAGACAGAATAGCTTCCTTAATAGCCACAGCCATGGCCTTAAACGCAGACTCAGCCCTATGGTGATCGTTGAATCCTCTCAAACAATCAACATGTAGAGTTATATGAGCACCTTGAGCAAACGATTCAATTACATGGGGAATCATTTCACAGCTCAAATCACCAATCTTCTCTCTCTTTAATCCCAATTCAACCACCGCATATGGTCGATTGGACAAATCAACTACAGCTCTACTTAATGCTTCATCGAGCGGAGCAAATCCGGTTCCAAACCTCTTAACACCTCTAACTTGTCCAAGTGCCTTGTGGAATGCCATACCAAGTGCAATACCAACATCTTCAGCTGTATGATGATCATCAATATGTAAGTCACCTATGCACTCAATGATAAGAGACCAACCACTGTGTTTGGCCAATGCATGTAACATATGATCTAAGAAGCCAATCCCAGTTTGGACGTTTATAACTTGAGAAGAAGTAGCTTGAGTCGCATGAGCATCATCTTCGTCAGTAGTCTTTGATTTCTTAGTGAAGAGAGACTCGTCAAGAGCTACAACTCCTCCATCTAATGAGAGAGCAATCTGAATCTTTGTCTCATTAGTGATCCTTTTGATCTCTGAGGTTCTGGCCATGATGTTTGGTTAGTGGAAATGAGTCATTTGAATGATTGTAAGACAACATGAGTGGTTGATGAAATATCAAAAACCTGATTAGGTAATAACCAGACATACTCAATTGGGAAATACTTTGATACACAGTTATAAGCGTAATACTACATGTGCTTATGTATATTTATATGTATATGTATGTATATGTATGTATGTATGTATGTATTTATGTCTATCGTAAATATGTATATGTATCTCGTAAACATGTATATCGTAAGAACGTATATAAATTGTATAACATATAACTTGTCTCCTACTATCGCATAGGTTCTAGTTTGTAACCATATATGGTACTGTACATTTGTGATGGAACATCAAGCGAAATGTCCCTGTACATCTGGATCACCAAACACACAATTAAGATCACATCCTTAGTGATTACCAAAGACAAGATTCCATAGACTAGCCTCTATATACATTCATTAGTGTTACATCCACTCGTATAATATACGAAGCTAATTCCATATAGAGAAGACTCTTAGTGTTATAGTGTTGTGTCAGATCATACCATGCCGTCTGCTTCCAGCATATATAAGCGAACGGAGATTATTGGCCGGGGTAAGTTTGGAGTAGTCTATAAAGGGTATCATAAACAAAGCAAGAAGGTTGTTGCCATTAAGGTATTGAATCTAGATACTAAGGATGACGAAGTAGCCGAAGTTCAACTGGAGATCCAGTTTCTTACGGAACTTCGAAACGTTCCTAATGTCACCCATTATTATGGTTCCATTCTAAATGATACTAGACTATGGATCATTATGGATTATTGTGCTGGCGGGTCTGTTAGAACACTTCTTCGAGCTGGTGTATTTGAAGAACGGTATGTGGGGGTTATCTTCCGGGAAGTTCTTACTGGACTTCAAGCTGTTCATAAGTTAGGGGTTATTCACCGAGATATTAAAGCGGCCAATATTTTAATATCCAAGGAAGGTAACGTTCAATTATGTGATTTTGGCGTAGCAGCTAAAATCCTGGCCAATTCAATGAAAAGAACAACTATGGCAGGTACATTATTTTGGATGGCACCGGAAGTTATTAGAGAAGGTGATACATATAATTCCAAGGCAGACATATGGTCATTGGGTATCACCATGTACGAAATCGCCACTGGGAACCCACCATATTGTGATAAAGATGCTCAATGGGCCATTCAAATGATTTCCAAACTGACTCCACCAAGATTAGAAGGCAGAGAATATTCTCCTATATTGAAAGAATGTATAGCCCTCTGTCTTGATGAAAACCCAGAGGAAAGACCAAGTGCTGAAGATCTATTAAAGTGTAAGATTGTTAAATCCTACAAGAATTTACCATCTTCTATTCTAATGGAAGTTATACTGCGGTATCTTTTATGGAGAGATAAGCATTCATCTCGAGAATCTGTGTTTGTTAACATTGAGGACGAAGCTCATCAAGTGGATGAAACCAACAACAATAATCAACAACTTCAAGTGAAATGGGATTTTGATTCATTATCAAGCAGAGAATATATTGTGGAGAATGATATCGATTTGGTGGATGATCATGACCATAATAATGATAATTATAACACTCATCCCACTTTTGGGTTTGAGACCTCAAACTTCAGCAATATGAATACTTTAACGGGTACTGCCGCATTCAACAATAATGTTAACTACAATATTAATAGCAACACAATGACAGGAATAGGTGGTGGTAGTAACAACAGTCATAGTCATATCTCAAGATCAACTTCAACTGCTAATATTCCAAAATCACTTGCTCTGCTTTTTGAAGATGCAGAAGCAACCACTCCAACGGTCACAGAAGCTCCTGAATTACCTTCTCATATACGATTGGAATCTCCAACCATAGAAATCCCAGACATGGACAATATCTCATATTCAACATCTGCACTACCATCAACAACTACCACTAGTCAGCCACCGGTGAAACCAGCATTGGTATCAACAGTTTCTGCTCCACTGCATCCTGTGTTATACAAACCTCCACCATTATATCATTCACAATCATCGCTGGCATCACTTGAAGGCGGCTCTACACGAATTGGTAGGACAAGAAAGAAGACTATACTGAACACATATTCAGCAACATCAACTGCCACTGGTTCTACTTCTGTTGGACCTAGCTCCAGTATGAATCAACCACATACTCCTCCTTATACCATAGGCTCTAATGTTAGAACGCCATCGCCCAAACCTCCTTCAGTCTCCAATGTTTTAACCAGTTTGAATAGCACCACCTCTCCCTCCAAATCCATGAAGGTCTTACAAAACAATTCTAATCCTTTATTGCAGCCTATTAACTTGAAACCTTCAACCACAGCATCAATAGCTACCACCACTTCAGCCAGTACAGCTTCAACTGCTTCATTGGCTTCGAATGGACTGATCTCTACTGCTCAAACTACCACTACAGCAGCGACCTCCTCGGCTCCTTTATCTACTGGAAGCACACCCACTAATGTACCTGTCAAAGCAAAAAGAGTGAGACCAGGCTTACATATTCAAATGCCAGTACCCTCCAACTACTTTACAAATTTAACTGTTCTTAATAGCCAGGAATTTAATTCCAATACCATTACTACTCCTCATGGAACAGGACACCACGAAGATGTTAACCAGTTTGGAGTTAACATTGCGCTGGCTCAAGGTCTAAGTATGACACCATTAACAGAAAGAGAGATTGTATTGGGACCTACTGGACCTGGAACTGGACCTGGACTTGGACCTGGACTTGGACCTGGATCTGGACCTGGATCTGGCACTGGCACTGGCACTGGCACTGGCACTGGCACTGGCACTGGCACTGGACACTCAGATGAACGTAACGGTCCTCCTAATTTATTTGCATCAAACGAAGGCTCAGGCTCAGGTTCAAGAAGTCATCCAAGCTCTAAGAAGAACTCTCTTAGTCAAGGCTCAGGAGCCACCATGGCAGCTCCAGGATTAGCCACTGCTACCCCGACATCGGGACAGCTGTCGGTATTTCTTTCTAAAGCCTCCACCAGTGGCTCGTCTCCAACCCCGAACCTCAGTGGAACAAGAAGTGGCACGACTACAACCACCACTACGACTAAGTTCCCTCCCTTGCCAATTATTGATGCTGAAATCTTTTCTGATACTACGCCCAAGGTTAAGTTGGTCAACGAGTTGGAGACCATGGTCAAACTATTTAGACAAGGATTGGATGCATTAGAAGAAGCTCTTTAGAGGTTATAGCATTTACTTATATTTGGTATACATTTTTGTAGACCCGTGTCACGTGATGGGAAAGATCCTAACACCAAATATAAATATTAATCAAGAAGGTATGTTAACTTATTTCTTACTGCAGTAGTTGTTTCTTACTACAGTAATTGTCCCCCACTCAATGCCACCAAGAGTCAGACGTAGAATTACTCAGGCTAAGCTTGAGGAGATCGAGGAGCAACAACGTCTACTTTCACAGGAAATCGTTCGGCCGTTCGAGATCTTGGAAGACTTACCTATTTCATTCAATCCACCACCCAATGACGTATTCAAGACTCCACTCACTATCAAGGACACTGGGGTGCTTTATCGATCGCTTATGAAGCTGCGGTACTACTACGTTCATGTTTGTCCCATGTTTAAGTTGTACTGGGTGAAGCAGACGAGTTATGCTAAGAAGCTAGCAGAGATGGATAAACCTGTGCCCAAATCGAGCAAAGATGAAGCATTGGGTGATAAGAAAGCCATCCTTGGGAATGATATAAGTGCCAGAGATATCATGGTCAAGTTGTGTGAGGCTAACTTGACCTTGGGACCTCACGTGTTTGAGATCCGTCTCTTTATAGCCAAAGACGATCGTAGTGATAAGGACAAAATCAAACAGGAGAAGATGGATAAGAAGGAAAAGAAAAGAGAGGAGAAGGTGGCGGAACTTGAATCTAAAAAGGCCAAAATAGCTGCCAGAGAGAGGAAAGCCAGAGAATTGGAGGAAAGAGAAAGACAACGGGGTGCAAGTGCTATTCATTTACCGCATACTACTACTACTACTACTACTACTATTAATAATAATAATAATAATAATAATAATAATGTTGATCCCATGATAAGTAATAATGGGCATCCTCCGAGGCAATCAGATGCCAATACGTTTATTGCTGAGACGCCTACGAAACCAATAAGTAGTACTACGGCAAATGGTAGTGAATCTGAAGCTGGTACTAAAGAAGATGATACTGAAATTGGTACTGAAACTGATAATGGTAGCAGTTCTACTACGGATGAACCTAAAAAAGTCACTAGAAAGTATAATAAAACTGGGAAATATGAAAAGAAGAAGAAACTTTTTAACACCGTTCCTTCAGGTCCTCTCCCACCTTCATCTGATCCTAATAACATGCAGTCAATTGAAAACAAGATTATGATCTCTAATTTGAATGCAATTGCCCGACAAGATGCTTCTTTGAATTCATTGATGAAAGTGGTTGCACTGGGTGGAGCAACACCAGAACAAATACAAAAGTTTCAAGAGTATATAAAGAGGGCTAGAGAAATGGGACCACAACCATATCATGCATATTTATTTCAAAATCAGAATAGTGCTGCCACTACTACGGCTCCTTCTGGTTTGAGTAGTGAAAATGGAGGTATAACTCCTGCTACAGAAACTGCAAGAAAAGAAAAGCTTAAAGAGAAGAAGATTCCTAAATCGAAAATCCCCAAAGAACAAAAGCTAACAGCATTCCAAGAACGGTACTTAACTGATGCTACTATAGTGTTTGAATTTCTAGAGAATGCCAATATTCGTTTTCTTTTTCCTAAAATGGCTATCTGTGAAGCAATTGAAGCAGCTAATCCTCCTCCCGAGGATCCTGAAGATAAGACGGACTACAATGATATATTAGTGAGTCATCTCTGGGTCCATAACCAGTCAGAACTAGATGAATATGACGCTAAATTGGCAGACTATGAAAAGGAAGTCAAGCAACGAGAGGAAGCAGAACTCAAACAGAAGCAAGAGGAAGCAGAACTCAAACAGAAGCAAGAGGAAGCAGAACTCAAACAGAAGCAAGAGGAAGCAGAACTCAAACGGGAACAAGAGGAAGCTATACTCAAAGAAGGAAAACTGGAAGGTGAAGGAAAATATGAAGAAGACAATGAATCAGCTAAAGTCAAGATTGAAGCTGAAGGAGAAGGAGAAGGAGCTTCTGCAGCAACTGCAGCTACAATTTCTGAGACTGTTGAACTTGAGAAGGTGGAGTCAGAACCTCAAGAGGAAGAACCCGAAACGGAATCACCAGCACTGGCACCAGTACTGGCACCAGAAATAGTAGCTACACCCAGAAGAAGAGCACCAGTACGTCGTGCTGCTGGAGGAAGGAAGAACAAACCACAATCTCGTAAAGCTGTGGTAAAGAAATTAGTACCTCCTTCGAAGCCTGAAATAAGATTCACTTCCCTTACTTTTACTATTCACAATATCCCTGTCCGTTTTACTCCCATAATAGTCAACATGACCAAGCCTTTGGAGGAAGTTCAGCAGTATATGACCAGAGTTCTCAACATTGGACTGAGGTTACCCAGCTACTATCTTTGGTATCAGGTGGATGCTCGTCTTGATGAATCTTTGGCAGAGAATATTCGAGTGCAGTTAGTGCAAGAAGAAAAGAAAATGATTGGAGTTCCAACATCACAGCCTGAAGTTGTTGAACGACACTATAAAAAGAGAAAGCCAAAGGATGGAGCTGAGTCCAAACAAAAGAAAGTTAAAAAGGAAGAAATCAAACAGGAAAACCCAGAGACTACATTTGAAGGTGATATTAACTCGAAAATCTCGACTCCTATCACTGAGAGACCATTGGCAGTGGATACTGTTTGAAAGGTTTTTGTTTAAATCTATGAGAATCGTATCATTCTATTTACAGGAAAAGCACACTCACATCAAACTACTTGAGGTTGATTAAGTTCAACAAGTTTTGTAATTGAGCATTGTCTTCAGCATTTCTTTCATTTGCTCTAGCAAACTTGGGGTTTGAAGCCTCATATTGACGATCAAAATCACCATTCATAGCTTTATGCATCCATTTACCCGTGGCCACACCATCAGCAAACATCTTGACTCTACCATTTTCACCAATTTCCACATCAGTGATCTTGAAAGGACTGACAAATTGTCTTGAGTGGGCATTAGGAACATTCTTGGAGAAATTCAGTTGTAACATGATGGTTCGGTCATTAACACCCGCTACCAACCCACCAATAGCAGCTTCTCTTTCATGCACTATTCTACCAGGAGCAATGACTCCATGTTTAATACCATTAGGTGAGTTGGCTAATCTACCCTTTTGAGCGTAGGAAAATCCACCAGTGCCTTGGATTTTTATGTTGGAGTTATCGTTTCTAACCATATCTGTCATAGAGAACTCTTTGGGGTTGACTTCCGGGTGTGTCGAGACAAATTCAACTACCAATCCCTTCAATGTCTGGGATGATACTTGCAGAACCAATACCTGAGGATGGTTCCTCAAGATCCACGACTTAAACTTTGAATATAAGGCAGAGTTACTGGCAAGTACCTTCTTGACCTCAGCTAATCCTGATCTACCATTCAAATTAAGTCCACCCAAAATGGTGCCATCGGAACTCTTTGTCTTTGTCTTGGTGGTTTCAGATGGGAACAATGGATTTTGTTCAGAAAGATAGTTCTTAACAGCAATGCCTGTTTCCTGAAACTTCTTCCGAGTATACAAATGTCCGGAGTACTTCTCAACATCGGGCATATTCTTAGCATTGTCGATATCATTGAATACAATGTGGGATCTACCTATTTGGGAGGGTAATGTTGTTTTGATACCAAAGTTAGATCTGTGAGCACTGGCTTGGGGAGTGTAAATAATTTGATGCGTGGGAACGCTAGACTTTCCCCGTAAAGTCTTACTCAATGGCTTAGCCACCTGGGCGAACTTAGAGTTCTTGAATAAGCCGTAGAGCTCTCTATTGGTCATTGCGGTGGTGGTGGAGAAAGAGAAGAAGGTTTGTGGTGGGTACAAGTTAGTTTCAAATTTTTCACTGTTGATTTGTCGCGAGGGTGTTACCCGGCCATAATTTTTTCGGCAGTTAAGGACGAACAGCCAATGGAATTAAGAGATGAGCATGATTGATGTGATGGAGAGGCTATGGAAGGTTACAGTATGAACGATAAGCATTAGGTGTTGTTTTACTATGTATCATAATAAGATATTTTAGTGTTGAATGGAGTAACATGGCCTATGTTTAGCGCTACCAAAATCGTGTCTGAAGATTACAATTAATGTAATCTGCAAGGTCTATAAACTATTAACGCACAATTATTATTCTATGCATAAATTGTACATATTCTATCGTAAACTCTGCGCATACATATTAACACATTCTTGTAAAAAAAAAGAGACATCAAACCTTTTCACATTATCATCATTCATCAAGCAGCGTAAGAAAACGATATACCAAATTTGGCTACCTCCGGATTCAAGTCATTTGAATTGAGTCGAAATTTAACCCCTGTACTTACAAGAAAATCTTTGGCTCTTCCCTCCCAAAGAAGTTTCACTTGTTTGTCTTTGAAACTGGTAGAGCATTTAAATACCGAGCTAAAATCACTTTCGCTCACCAAATGCTGGAAAGCGTCCATCACCGTTTCGTTAACCACCGGAGATTCGGCTTCTAGAGTTTTTTGAGATCCATTTTGACTTGGAAACAACGTAGGACTGATATGGAAGTAATCATCCAGTTTCTCAATGGGGTTAATTATACTATGGTTGTGACTAAAAGAAGTTGGAGTTCTGATGGCTATGACACTTGGCACTGGATGTTGGCTACCCTTAGTATCTATTGGTGTAGCAGCCTTGAAGTCGTTATTGGCTTTCTGTCCCTGAGACCGAAGAGACTTGTTCTCCTTTGACGAAAGATTGACTGTGTGGTTTGTAAATGTGTTGGGAGAGTGTTTTTTGGAGTAGTTAAAAACTTCAAAGCCTACTTGCAAATTGGAAGCATATGAGTAGACATTGAAGTCATATCGAGAACAGAATGTGGAGGCCACTGACGTCTTAACGGAATACGTGGATGAAATGTGACCTAACATTGGGTTTACTGAAAGTGTCATGGCCAAAGGCTTCCCTGTAGACGTAGATCTCGTGGAATAACGCATAGAAGCCGATAACCCGGGGCTTAGACTACGTGCAGCATACCATATCTCTGTCCCAATGGAGAGCACCGAGTTATCAAACTTGGGTATTATGGCAATATCTTCATTGGTACCAGATTGTGGGTGATGGTGTGAAGTTTGTGGTGGATGATCCGGTTGTTGTTGTTGTTCTTGTGGATTATTCAAGTTGTACAAACATCGAAACCCCAACAACAGTTCATTGGTCGAAAAGATAAACTCTCTCAGATACCTTGGAGCATTCTTCTGGAGATATACTATCATCGTGCCATCATTCTGTACATGGGGATTGTTGATGCATTTGACAAGAAGTTGAGTTTGACTGGTAAGTTTCTTAATCATCATAGCTTCAAGGCAACTTCCCGGGAAGTACATGCGTCCATAGAGTAAAGTTGCACCATTGATATTGTTGTTATTGGTGTTGGATTTCTTATCTGGTTGAGGATCAATCACCTTAAATCCTGAGATGGCGTCTTGAAGTGAAATATCTCTGGTTCCCAACGTATTTTGCAATGGTATGGACGTGTATAAGTATGCCAAAGATCCATTTACTGTCAGATTGTTGGATAAAGTGAATGTCAGGGCCAGATATCCAGTGGCCATACTGGAAACATCTACTTTGCAACCTTGAGGTATAGGGAACTCAATGAGTGCCCGAGATGTGGCAGTAACATTAGAAAAGATATTATCTTCGTTCCAGTAGGTCGCCTTATAGAAGCATCGCTGTAGATATTCCATATAGGAATACATTTGGGTAGGAATAGAGAGTGATGTTATTATTTTTTACGTCGCGATTTGATAAGCATATTTTAGCATGCATCATTACCATGCATATAATCATATGCATGTGTATATGTATATCGTATATTTCGTTCCCCAGCGTATATACATATGTAAATGTTTACATTTTGCTTCCCTATTTCTACAAATCAATTAATCTGTATACCTGCCAATAAACATTCCTCTATGTACCTTTATCCCAATTTAATCATAATCCCATGTGCTCTATTTCATCAGACTTAAAAGTTGGGTTTCCTCATAACTGAGCGCTCTTCTGAACCTACGGTCAGTCAGACCATAGTTAATCTCACCCCGTTTAGCTAAGTTCATGGACTCCTCTCCTTCTTCCGGATGACATTGGCCACGCATATCATCCCAACTGATGACAACAACACCAATCAATACCAACAATAACCCAACAACAATCCAAAATAACAGTTTCAGAATTGGCAATTTATTGAACAAAACATCGTTGAGCAAATTTGCCAAATTATACACTAGGAAACAAAGTGGATATAAAACTGCGGTTGAGATCTCAGCCAAACCTAAATTGAAAGCTGTCAATTGAAATCCAATGATCACTCCCATCAGCAATAACATTATGTAAGCTGAAAGATCATTTAGTGAGAAGATATGTCTGAGAGATTTCTGATGTAAAATAATCTCAAACACAATGTCGATAATTGATTTAGCGAAAAGGAATGTATGTGCCGTTAAGGTTCCACTGACAACTCCAAATAGTGCACCTCTAACGGATGAATTCCTTCTGAAAACGGTGTAGTTTAAAAATAGGAGTGCAGCTATAAACACAAATGTAGCCACAAACCATGGGAAAAATGGAGATGCAAGAAACTTTTCCATTACCAATCTGAATTGAAGTTCTGGAGCCCGTGGAGTGTTTGGGGGAGGTTGTGAAGATGAAATTGATGAGCCATTATAGGCAATAATAATAGCACCCGTGGCAATGACACCCGTACCCCAGAATAAGTTCCGTGTAAACTCTTCACCAGGAAGCATGAGAACACTGAGAATACTATTAGATATGAGACCAATGCTTTGTAGCGGGGAAAGGATAATAAGAGGTAATGTAGTGATTTGAACAACTGAACCAAAGATATTAGCAATAATAAATAATAGAAACCCCGTATACCACATATTCCGTTTCCGTCGTATAACATATTCATTTACATGATATGAAGTTGGAATTCGTAGCAAATGTGATTTACGTTGTAATGTTATACCCAAACTTTGAATAACAGACGAAGCTACGGCTACCATGCACCCAACTGCAATAGCCGCAGTCATATTTGATCTGACAATATTATTACTAACAACGGAAACTTAATGATTCAGTCAGTTGCCTAAAGGAAGAACATAATGTTCAGTGATTCTGCTTTAGGGTGTTTCAGTATTTTTGTTGATGGGGAGGTGAGGCAGTTACACAAAAGCTGGAAGAAGGGGACATAAATTTCAAGCCGTGCACTGTTGACAGATATTTCCAGATTGAGTATATTTCAACTTACCCACTTAACTAGTGAGTCGACCGGAAGTGTTATGTTTGTTGGAGTTACGTTGGCTGCAAATTCAAGCTTATAACATCTTTGTTAATATTACTTAGTATCCCATTTCACTGAAGCGGGATCTGTTCTATTTATTTGCTCGACATTTTTGGTCATGTGATCAGATATTGATTATTCAACTGGGCTTTGATTTAACGAGACTTGCTTTCGTGAAGTACTGTGCTTTTCTAAGACAGCGGCCATAACAATGTCTGATACTTCAGAGACTCTCACCGATATTATTGAGCTACTTGAGAGTGATAAGCATGAGATAGTGGTGTCTGGTTTAGACAAGTTAGAATCTGTTTTGAGTGATTTGGTTCCTTTAATCCGAAATGGTTCAATTGAGAATAACCCATTTGTTACGTTGCAAGATACGTTTGATCACAATATAGCTTCACATTTGGTTAGTGTTTACGATTCACTTGCTAAAGAAGAAGACGAGGACCTCCTTATCCGGTTAATTCAATGTAATACTTTGCTACAGGGTTTATTATTAGTTCATCCTCGATCCAGAGTTATATTCCATCAAAACTCCAACATGAAGGCCATCTTAGAAGTTTTAGATCTCACCTCGGATATTGACGTACTCATTTCAATAGTTTCAACCATAGTCCATATTATCCTTAAAGATTTGGATAACTACCGATCTTTTGAACGATGTGGAGGATGCATCAAAGTCATGCGCAAGTTTGATTTGACTAACCAGGCCAAATCAGATTTAAACTATAAGATCATTGAATTCCTCATTGTCTATCTTATAGATGAAGAAGCTTTGAATCCCACAAAGACCCAGAAGAAATCCATTAGTGAGAAAGCCCAACTATTAGAGCCAGAATTTGCTGAAATTCATCATCTAATCGCCAATTTGAATGACTTGAAAACATGAGTCAAGTTTAAGTTGAGTATATTACAGATTAAACTTCATTTATAGACTACAACATCTCCTTTGTGTGAGGGGGAACTACTATGTTGATCCTCGGAAGTGTCCTCGGAATGTGTATTTTTGCGAATTCATAAGGCAATAACTTACGCAGAAAGAGGACTTAATTTCCTTTCTTTTATACTGAATTGTTTGCCGAATTCTATCGTAAGCTTTCCCTATTGGAATTCCTATAAATAACTTTGTTATTATTGGAATATGCTTACTGCTGGAAATATCTTGTCATTATTCTTGCGAGCCCGGAAGTCGTGCGGAGGATCTGGGGTAATTCCAATTGCAATTATTCCTCTTTAAGACCACAGTATAAAGATAGGCTTGAGATGGGTCTCATTCTGCAAGCACTCTTTAAAAGTATCATAGAGTCATATAAATGACGGAAGCTGGCTCCAACTCTCCATATAACGTTGAATATGAAGACGAGACTCTTTTTATAGATTCAAGTGATTGGCGGAGCAGTCGGTTGTTGAAGGGTCAAATCAGTTGCAGTTTCTTTCTCTTTACACTCTTTGGACTTGCCGAACAAACAGTTGGTGCTATAATCCCCAAGTTACAAGAGCAATACCATGTGAATGACATTTATATCAGTCTTATCTATTTCAGTGGGACCCTTGGATACTTCACTATGGCACTTTGCAACGGTTATCTCCATAAGAACTTTGGCATCAGAGGAGTCACGGCTCTTGGACTTTGTTGTATGACGATTTCATACTTCATTATATCCACCGTGCCACCGTTTGCCATCTTTGTATTCTGTTATTTCTTCAGTGGGTTGGGGTTTGGAGCAATGGATGCTGGATTAAATACTTGGATGGGGAATTTGGTAGATAGTAACCCATTGATGGGGATATTACATGGATGTTATGGGTTAGGGTCGATGATTCTGCCTTCTTTGATAACTCATTTGCTTGAACGGAAGATGAACCCCTGGCAGTGGTATGACTATTATGTTGCGTTGATGGCCTTGTCTGGTTTATGTTTAACAGCAGCACTCATGTTGTTCAGATATGAGACTCCGAAAAAGTATAAGTATATGGTGATAACCAAGTCAAAACTTGATGATAATGATATTGCCATGGATACAGCTAAGGATGACGATGTGACTATCGTTACAGACCTCACTAGTAATACTGCTGAACTTGATGTCGATGATTCTCGTGAAGTGTCGATAGCTCAAGTATTAGCTAAGCCAATGGTATGGATATTCGCTACAGTTCTTGCCATGTACGTGGGAGGAGAAGTGGCGTTTGGACAATGGCTTCTTACATATTTGATGAGAATTAAGCAGACTCCCTATAAAAAGTGTTCCCATATAGTGACCTCCTTCTGGAGTGGTCTTACTGTGGGTAGAGTAGTTCTAGGGTGGGTCACAGGCCATTACTTTACTACTGAATTAGTGGCCAACATGGTATATATCACATGCTCCTTTGGAGGATATATATTGATTTGGTGGATACTATTTGCCACTGACTATATCAATATCTTATTCCCCTTGGTGTTCATTACCGGAGTGGTGGTGGGACCTATTTTCCCCACCACGGTGATGACTGCTATTCGCTTGGTTCCTAAACGGGAAGAGGTGGCATCTATCGGGTTTATCACTGCTGCTGGAGGTTCAGGCGCTGCTATGTTTTGTAGTCTTATTGGTGCTGTTGCTGAAACCAGTAGTATCTCACTGTTCCCATTGATTATCATGGTGATTTTTGGTGTGATAACTGTCGCATGGTTCTTTATATATGAAAAGTATAAGAGTGTATTTGGAAAGACCAGATTATAGAGCATTAATATGTCATAATATATATACTAGTATACACTGTGTCTATACTCCCCCTTGACTGGTCCATTCCTCAGGAGTAAACTGTTTCTGTGTAAAGGCATGGATCCCAGCAATCTCTTCCTTCAATGCGTGATTCACTATACGGTGTCTCATCAACTTGTTCTTCCCTTGGAACTTAGATGACACGATCACCACCAGAAACGCCTGGCCACACCCTCCAGACATGTCTTCCACCTGGACAAGCTCTGCCTCCAATCTCTCTTGGATGATCTGCTTCAACAGATCTGCCGTCAAACTCATGGTCTTTACTATGGGAATTGATATGGTTCTGTCGATTATTAATAGTGGGCGTTGAAGAGTAGAGTTGGTAGTGCGGCTACCAATAAAGATATGTACTCTGAATTTACTACTATCTATTACTGACTGTAATAATACTATACCATCACTGACTGTACTCTCGTAAAGGACTATGAGCCTTTTTCAGACCTTCATCATTAGGTCGCAACCGTCCTCTGACACTACCACTATTAATTTGAATAGGTGACCTTCCTAAGTGATTGAAAGGTTCATTATAAATATACCGTTCAAAGTAATCAGGTTCTTCCTTAAGAGTCTTCTCAATTTTATTGATGATCTCCTTCGAACTCATACTGCCTGTTGAATTCCCAAACCCACACTTATCATAGAATGCTAAGAGATCACTGGGGATAATACAAAGTTCTTCATGAATCTCCAAGAGTTGATTGATGACTTCAATGGAAAGGAAATACTTATCTCCACTGGCGATATCAGGCACTGACCCATCATGACCAACGTCGATGGAGTTATTCTCTTTACTGTATAAGATATTAGGAGCAATAACGGTGGATATATTCAAGATATCCATTTTAGATCCTGTCTCCTTGTCTATCTCAGCAAATGATGCAACCCAGGTGAAGAAATAAAGTAATACTTCCAATAAGTTCCGGTTACTTCTAGGAAGTAAAGCGTATGCTAATTGAAGAATCCGTTTCCTCTTGATCAAATCAGGCTCCATTTGTGATCCAAGCCATAGCTCATAAAAGTTAAATGTCAATAATGGAGTAGGTAAATCACGTAACCATTTCTTTAAAAGTGCAGCCAATTGAATGGCTGTTTCGTTGGCAAAATTGGGTGATTTAGAAGGTGATTTGTTGACTTCTTCGGTTAATTGACGTAATTTTTTAATATTACCATTCAATCGGAAGATATACTGAACACTTACATCTTTCAGTCGAAGAGCAACGATAATATCATCAACAATTGCAGGAATTTTAAGTTTTGAGGGGCCAACTCCTAAATCGGATTCAGTACCATATTTCCGAGTTAAATCATGTAAATCAACTCCGAAAACTCCAGGAGCTTTTTCCTTGTTGCTTCCAAACTTAAACTTCTCCCAAAAATTTAGTTGCTTCTTCAATTGAATCATACCAAACATTTCTTCCTTGTTCAAATTAGAATAAACAGTAGATAATGCTTCGACAGCAATATATCTTAAAATATAATGCTCATGCTTGCTGAGTTCTGAAAAGTATTTGGATTGTGAAATGTCGTTGCTGCTCATCTTGCTCGAACCAGCTCTTGATGGCTGTAACAAATCATTCTTTGTAGCTACAAGTGGACCAGCTAATTGTTTGGTGACACTATCATTAGAAACCTCATTTATTGAAGGTTCCAATGCGCTTTGGGATGCAAGTGGGGGAGTTAAGCCATTAACTGAAAGTGAAGGTTTCTGTAGAAGGGAATTATTATGTTTGAATGCATTAGGTCTCTGTTCTCTTGCTTGTTCAGCTGCCACAATTCGAGGAATATCATCTAATGTCAATGACTTTTCATTGTGTAACAAATCAGATGTTCGGTCAAGATGACTGTTTGTAAGTTTACGTTGAGGTTCATCTCGTATAAGCAATGACTTGGGTTTAACTTGGAATTGTTCTGTTTCTTCTCTTGACTTATAAGAAAGTAATGAAGTCCCACTAACATTTCTGGACCTATGAGAGCTGGAATATGAATCCTCATTCTCAGAAGTATCAGCCTTATCCGCTTGTGGCATGTCCAATATAATAGATTTCCTGGCATTTTTCTCCATGGATGTCTGTAATTTTTGAGATTGACGTTTGGATCTTAAACTGGTTACATCTTTGATGGTCTTACGGTAATCAACATTGATCTGCTCTTCATCCACAGTATCCATTCCTCGCACGCTCTGTGATAGTACTTGGGTACCATCATTGGATATACACATTGTAGCACGAGATCTGGAAATGGCAATCTTCAATAAATAAGTCAACTGCTCAAGATCTGTGATATACTGGAACGACTTCTTTGGAATATCACATCCTAAATTGATTCCACAATTATCACAATACATTGACATCTCATTTTCATCATAATACACCTTAACATCTAGTGTTGATTGCTTATCGGTACTTTCAGTTGCATTCCTGATAGAATCAATGTGGTTTCCACATTTGGTACACTTGAAACACTTGACATGCCACCTCGAATAGTTATAATTGATGCATTGCTTTTCCACATACTTGGAACATCTCTTACAAATATCTGTTGCATTCATGGGTACTTCTAATGCCTTGTTCATAAGTGCAATCGTTGCTGGCAGAGGTTCAACATCATTGTTGAACGCTTCTCCAGTGCTAATTATGGAAAGGAAGCTCTTAGTGGCTTCATCCGTTCCGGTTAATTTGTTCACCTTGAGAGCATTTTGCAATCCCATGCGTATAAGTAGCTTCAAATAATGGGCCAAACTTGTGATAATCGAAAGTAATTCAGCAGATAAGCTTCCTGACAAAGGGATTTTGGCAGAGTTACGAAGTATAGCAAAGTAACCCATGAGTTTCCCTGAAAGATTTCTAGGTTCCTTCTTTAATGGTTGATAATAAGTCCAAATAGAATCAGAGGACAAAAGTTTCTCTTTATTATCCTTTTCAAGCTCAGAATCATCGAGATCCAACTCAACTTTTGGAACCAATCCATGAGACTTCATGCATAAAAGTGTCACAGCATCAATACCTTTGAATAAAATTTCTATACTCAAAATTAATTGTGAAGCAATTACCATCCCTTTTGCTTGATTGCAAGTACAAGCCAGTAGAAGCATACCTGAAATACAAGCAGCTGTTCTCTCCTCAAAGTTCAGTAAAGTACGCCAAATATCCAACACTGTAAAATCTATTTGATTTTGAATAGATATAAGAGTATCAGAAGATACTTCGTTTGATTTCAAGTTTTCCACATCAATGGCTCCAGCATGAGAAAGACCAACATATTCTGAGGTAATGGCAACATTCCAAAACTTATGAACCATATAACATTCCGGATGCCATTGCTGGTTTTTCCCACCTCTAAATAACTCAACAAACTGCTTTACAATCAGCATTCCACAACCTTGACAACTCAGAGCATAAAAAACTGAATAATGGAAATGACAATATATTTCATCATCATGTTCATAAAACGATTCTTCTGATTTGAATACTCGCTTGCACACTGCACATTTGAAATGATCCAAATGGTATTTACGTCCCAAGGCTGTGATATATGGCCCACGAAGCGCACTATCACAACTATAGCATATAAGATCCAATTGTTGGAAGTAATCGTATTCACAAAGTGGAACACGAGTCTTTGTTCCCTTCTCATTATCAACTTTATCAATGGTAAAGAACTTTGCAGAGCATTGTTTACCACAGGTGTTACACACAAAGCATTCAACATGATATGTTGAGTTTAGAGCTCGAACAAATTGGCTGACAATTGGCAAGTTACATTTTTTGCATATTTTTGGCAGTTTCTTGTCACCACTATTCTTCCTTACCGATTTAACACCATTCGATACGTTCTTCAGCTCGGCGGGGAGAGCTGCTGGGGGAGGAACCGTGGGAAGTTCGACTGGAGTTGCTGTTTGTTGTGCCTGTTGTAATCTTTGTAGCAACTGTGATTGCAGTTGTTGCAGGTGTTGTTGTGGTTGGAGTTGCAGCCGTGACTGCTGTTGTTGTTGTTGTTGTTGCTGCTGTTGCTGTTGCTGCTTTTGGTAATGATACTGTTGTTGTTGCTGTAAATGATTTTGATATTGAGCTCTTGTGTTAGTCAAATCCTTATTGAAAGGGTTCTGCAATGACGTCGAAACATTTGCAGAGTGATTGTTGCCAGTGAAATCAAACTCGTTAGCAGGATCAACAGCTTTTAATGCAGGCGTAGGATACAGCGGTTGTTGGATATGCACCTGTTGTTGTTGTTGTTGTTGTTGTCGAGGCCCAGGCAGCAGCCAATATTTCTGATTTGTTTGTTGAAGCTGCTTATGGGGTCTACTAGCAGGTATGTGTTCTAAACTCTGGTAGGGCGAACTACTTGGAGACGAGTGAGAAGGCATTGGAGGAATGAGATCTTTCCAAGAAGGGATTGATGATTGTGAGCCTGTAGAAAAGGAATGATTATGAGTTTTAGTAAGGATAGGACTTGTTGTTGTTGAGGTGTTTTGATATTGGTTTTGATTATGATGATTTAATCGAGATCCATGAGATATTTTGGATTGTTTCTGAGGAGAAAGGGAAGTCAAAAAGAGATCTGGTGTGGAGGAGCTGATCATACCTGAAATATTTGTTGAACTATTTCGAAGACTTTGAGGAGCCGAGGCTGCCATTGGACTTTCTGAAGATAGTTGGCGGGAATGGGAATAATCAGCCATATTGAATCACAGACAGACAAACAGAAGGAGTATTAAAGGAGCGACGGAAAAAGCGAAGTAGGTAAGCGAGTGGATAATATTAATCACAGTAAATATCGACCAAACTGTAACGATAGTGGATAGATAAATAAGTTGATTATATTCTTGATAGACTAACGGCTGTTTGGTTCGGTGCGAAAGATCAACGCTAGATTAGATTCTAGCACCTTTAACTTTCTGTAGTTGTAGCGGTAAGTCTAAGGAACTTGGTAGGGAATTTGGAAAAAAAAGCACTAATAATGATCACAACAATATTATTATGATGATTATTATTTGATCCAAGCAGAGTGGATGCCAATATCGTTGAGGATGTTGGAGCTGCTTGAGCCGACTGCTATTGGATCCAACAATAATACGCTAATAAGTGGTCACTTTTGGTCAGTGTAGAATAGACGTTGTAAGGGTATGATTTTTGTTGATATATTTGAGGGTGCGATGTAATGGGCACGAAAGTTGGGGCAGGGTGCGACTGACTGGAAAGGTATAGCTAAAGAGGAATATAATTAGGCAAGATTTTAGTGCTACGTACAGTATACTGGTGTAAAAAAGTGCTTATTATAGTCAGAGTATATTACGAGTACATTACAGTATGGTATGTGCTTACCACTATACGAGTATAGTACTGAGTGTTGGTAAGTATAATTGAACTAATGTATCATACTACATGATACATTGGCGACTTATATTCTCTGAATGAAGTGGAAGCACTTACATTCAGCTTGACCAGCTTGGCTTGACTTCAGTTAATCTTAACTTCAACTTGAATTATTGTACTACTGCGACTTTAGATTCGTGACGTTATTTCAATACCGTTTAGCATTATTTGTCGTTGTAAGGAGGAATCAGACATTTTGACCAGGGCGTAACATACTAACCAAATATTGAAACAAACAAAACAAGGCTCGACACTACCAGTAGCCTCTCTGTATAAACAATAGTTTGTGGTATTGTGCTCCAACAGGACACTTGAGACAATAGCCTAAAAAAGCTTATGGTTTAAAGTCTCTTGTACGATTTTTTCCTTACAACTTGCTAGTGCGATTAACTTATTTGGGCAAGAGGTACCACCTCATTCCACGCTGAAATGATATGCCAAAGTTTCAATGTCACGTCATCAAGCACCTGCTATCAGACCTTTCACAAATACCTTCCTAATTGGGTTTTACTCTTGTAACCCGTTTGACGTGTTGCACTTGTTTATAAATGTTATTGCTGTTATTGTTGTTATTGTTGGTGTAATAATAGTATAGGCTTGTGTCTATTATGGCTTACAACTTTCATATCGAAGTCGTGGTCCATAACATATAAATAAAACCTGACAGCCCTCTTTTTTTTTGTCTGCATACTCTCCCTTCGAAGATGCTGGACCCTGCCCTGTCATCGCCTCCTTAATTAAGAAATGCACTTCAAATAGAATCATCAACTAATTGGGACTGTGATATATTTTGGTGTTTTTTTATCACCTTTTACATATGCATCCTAATTTGGAACAAAAGACTGTCTACATGGTTTTGTGTCCCCACATATTTGCATATCGTTAATCCTGCGTACCAAATATTATGATATGTTTGTATGCAGTACCAGTGTATTTTAATAGTTCAGTGGTTAGGCCAAAGTATATTTAAACTATTTTGTTTTTCTATGTTCGAGTTTTAGTCTCGTTGCAATGTCTCACCAAAATTATTCTGTTCCGAAAATTTTTCACGACAATGTCGTGGAACATTCTGAATGTTGATGATGATCATTTTAATGTGTTCCGAAGTTGAACATTAATTAGTTCTTATTACATCTACATTAGTTTCAGTTAGTGATCCATATTTGCTCTAAAAATGTTGTCGAATATACTTAGAAGTTCTAGACCTGCTCTTGTGCATGGAAGAGTGATGTTTTCTGTTCCTTCAACCAGAAGTGCTGGTGCCACCATGATCCGTTTCAACTCTACTGGTGCTAAATCCAGTGAAAAGGTAACTGATGCAACTGCTGAAAATACTACTGCTGAACCTGAATCTGCTGCTGTCCCTGAAGTGGAATTGACTGCTGAACAACAAGAAATTGCCACCTTGAAGGAAAAGATTCAAAAGAAAGATAAAGATCTCGCTGATATGAAGAATCACTATGCTCGTGCAGTTGCTGATTTTAGAAACCTTCAAGAATCAACCAGAAAGGAAGTTCAAAAATCCAAGGATTTTGCTCTTCAAAAATTTGCAAAGGATTTGTTGGAATCTCTTGACAACTTTGCCTTGGCTTTACAATCTGTTAAGGAAGATACATTGAAGGCTAATGAAGAAGTGAAAAACTTATATGATGGTGTTAACATGACCAGAAATGTCTTTGAAAAGACCTTACATCGTCATGGTATTCAAAAGATTGACCCCATAGGAGAAGTTTTTGATCCCAACTTACACGAGGCTGCTTTTGAAATCCCCCACCCAGAACAGGCACCAGGTACTGTTATGCATGTTCAACAATTGGGCTACACTTTGAACAGCAGAGTCTTGAGACCTGCTAAGGTTGGTTTGGTCAAGGACAACAATTAAACTTGATACATTTTTCATGATCCCACGTACCCACGTTTATAGCTATTATGTCTTGATGAACTTGTATATAAACCTCACCGCTAAGCGGTCCACTATAATCGAATACGACTAAATTGTATCTATGAAATCATTTTCTTTGTCATAATTTTATTACGTTGAACAGTTCTATAAATGCATATTCCAAAAGGTTATCATATGTCATTTGAATTCAACCAAACAGGTTACTCAACCAGTCTTATCGGTAGCCGTAGATTTATGATTCATTCAGGTATACCGCCATCTCTTTTATAGTGTCGATGACTCACCATGACTCCAATCGCCTCGTGCACCAGGCCCGGCGCCGGTACAGGATCTGGTGATGGAAATTTTTCACTCTCCACATAAAAGTCAACTACTTTTCCTAAACAAATACTATCCATTCAGAACCCACTTCAATTCACCAATAGAACATTATGTTGTCTTCTAGATCATTGTTATTCCGTCGTACATTTGCTTCCACCGGAGCCAATCTCAAGAAATTGAAGATTGGTTTGATCCCCGGTGACGGGATTGGAAGAGAAGTGATTCCTGCCGGTCAGGCTGTACTTGAAGCTCTTCCAGCCAAACATGACTTACAATTTGAGTTCATGAACTTGGATGCTGGGTTTGAGTTGTTTCAAAAAACTGGCGTTGCTCTTCCAGATAAGACTGTTGAACTTTTGAAGACTGAATGTGACGGTGCTCTTTTCGGTGCTGTTTCATCCCCCACAGTAAAGGTTGAAGGTTACTCTTCCCCCATTGTTGCTTTGCGTAAGAAGATGGGATTGTACGCTAATGTTCGTCCTGTTAAGTCTGTTGCTGGAATTGGCCGTCCAGTAGATATGGTCATTGTCAGAGAAAACACTGAAGATTTATATATCAAGGAAGAGAAGACCTACGAAGCTGCTGATGGTTCCAAGGTTGCTGAAGCCATCAAGAGAATTACAGAAACAGCTTCTGCTCGTATTGCCAAGATGGCTTACGAAATCGCCTTGCTGAGACAAGCTATTAGAGAAGCTACTCCAAATGCTCAACAATTACACTCTACTCCTTCAGTCACTGTGACTCACAAGTCTAATGTGTTGTCACAATCTGATGGTTTATTTAGAGAAACTTGTCGTCGTGTTTACGATCTGAATCAACAGTACGCCAATGTTGAATACAAGGAACAAATTGTTGACTCTATGGTTTACAGAATGTTTAGAGAACCTGAAATCTTTGATGTTGTTGTTGCTCCCAACTTGTACGGTGATATTTTGTCTGATGGTGCTGCTGCTTTGGTAGGTTCTTTGGGTGTTGTACCATCTGCCAACGTTGGTGACAACTTTGCCATTGGTGAACCTTGTCATGGCTCCGCTCCTGATATTGAAGGTAGAGGCATTGCTAACCCTATTGCTACTATTAGATCCACTGCTTTGATGTTGGAATTCATGGGCTACCCTGAAGCTGCTGCCACTATCTACGAAGCTGTTGATGCCAACTTAAGTGAAGACTCCATCAAGACTCCTGACTTGGGTGGTAACTCTTCTACCCAAGAAGTTATTGATGATATCATCAACCGTTTCTAAACATGACTAATGCATATTTATTAAAATAGTTTATAAAATTCTAATAAGGCTTATACTTGACATCCTTCCTACTGCTCTTCTTCTTCTCCTTATGCTTATGTTTACTCTTATGTTTCCGTTTCTCCTTCTTGGTATCATTTGGTTCCTCCATATCTTTATCTTCAGAACCCGCCAATTCTAACTGTTTAACGTCATTTATGGCAATCTTACCCATTTGAGGAAGCTTATTCGGCATTTCCCAAAGATTTATAGATGCATCTTCTCCACACGACAATACTGTATTGGTCCCAGGTATAACCAATACATCCCGTACCACTTCTTCGTTGTGAGCGTTTGGGAAAACAACAGCTTGGTCCATTACTATAGTTTCAGATGTAGGATCAAATGGTACAACCGTAAGTGAGTGTACGGAGTTAGCTCCAAACGCTATGTATCCTGAGCCGGAACCGGTGCCTGTTCCGGGATATATATCAACAACATATTCACATCTGTTCCATAAATCTCTAACGTCTCCCAAATCCCTTGGCTCGGGCTTTTCTCCATCTTCGTAATTACTGGTGAATAAGTTATCGAATCTAAGTGATTCCACGTGAGAAAGAATGGAGATCTTATTTTCGGTGATGAACTTACACAGATGAACAGAAGCATAGTTTATAACCTGATGCAATGCCTCTTCCTCGTCTTCTTGTGTCAAATCATAGACATTGACATAACCATCGGTAGATCCAGACATTAAATACTGGGATTGTGTAGGGTGGTAGTTAAGGTATGTGACATCATCATTATGAGAATCAATAAATGATTTGAAAGTATCAGAACCTGGTTTTCTAATATCCCACAAATGAACCTCGGCATCAACACTCACCTTCTCAGTACCACCAGCAACTAAATGGCTATGGGGGTTATAGGCTACCAGAAGAAATGCTGACAGCTTACAATTTGTGAATGAAGCTGTTGGTTTGGCACCACTACGCAAATCCCATACCTTGACTCCATCCGTAGCACAAGATACCAACGTTGTAGAATCAACTCTCATCATGCCGTTAACACTTGACTCATGTTTAAGTTCATATAATGGCACCGTTGATAAATCATTGAGACTGTACCCATAGATGGAACCATTACTGTTAGATACTGCGAACGTATTGGATTCCGGAAAATGTTCAAACTTAAGTGTCCAATTGTCACCTTCCACAGGCTTCCAACCCTTTAGTAAGACTGCAGACATATTTAGTCAAAACTCTAATTATACTACTTGTAACTACTGCTATAATTATTACTTATAGATGGTCCATCATGATGGCCTCTACTCATCGCCCCGTTATATGCAGTCCCGTACAAAAGGAGACTAATAGATACTCCGCGAGAAATAAACATACCCCAATTGTAAGCAAGGTACTCCTTCCTTTTCCTGTTGTACAACATGAGTTTCCTTAAGAAGGGTGCCGGTAAGTTCAAGCCCAAGGTTCAACCAAGACCTCTTCGGAAGAAAGCAGCCGAAACGGCTGTAGCTGCAGTTACTCTGGCTCCTTCTCCTCCATCTACTCAAGTTGTTGATCCAATTGCTCAAGCTGATCATGAAGAGACGCAGAACCCAGAAACTCAAACAGATGATACACTAACAAAGGTATTTTCTGACAATGAAGGCGAAAGTGCTATTGTTGATGATATGGTGGACCCGAAAGATCCAGTGAATTGGTCCCCAACTATTCTTGAGAATGTTAATGAGGATCTAAATCAGCCCCCTACACCGGTTTCCTCTCAGCATACCAATAATAATAATAATAGTAATATTCCAAAGCGAAGAACATCTTCTAGTTCGGTACAACACCTTAGATTATCAGGTATAACGCCTCCTATTTTCCGTGCGCGGTCTTCATCCATTTCCCAGACAGTAGCCTTTTCTAGATCTACTGACTCCAATAAGAAGCCAGAGGAAAGAGAAGAAAGAACTCCCATGCCCATTGATATCCCAGTAAGTGGTAAAAGGCGGCGATCACTGGTCAAACACTCTTCCTATAAGCGACATTCAGTGGCTAGAAGAGGGTCTGTGGCCATTGCAGAGTCAGAACCTCAAACAGAGAAGTCAAGTGCTGATACTACAAGAAATAGTCTGAGACAAGCTACTCCTGTACCTATCCCCAAGCCTATAGAAGCATTGCCGGACTCTGTAGGTAAAGATTCAGAGATTGTGATTGAGAATACAAAGAGTATAAGTGAAAAGAGCAAAAAAACAGAAACATCTGATGATAAAGAATCGACCCCGGTCACTATACCAAAACCTACTTCTATACCTATATCGGTTCCAACACAAGTTTCTGCTCCCATATCAATACCAACACCCTCGTCAGTCCCCACGATTATTCCTGTGCCTACGGGAGAGTTACAAGATGAGCACGATCAAGTTTCGGAATCAGTAGTGGTACAAGGTTCTAATTCTGTAACAATCTCATCTGCACCATTGACTGCTTCAGGTAGTTATAAGGAAACATCACTCGAAATCCGTAGTCGATTCCCTCCAAATACAAAGTTCATTATGGCACTTAATGGAGAAAAGTTGCAAAAATACAGATTTTGCTTTGGTACGGAAGAAGACATCAAGAAGTATACAGCTGAAGAATTATTAATACCTGTGTGTCCAGAAACAGTTAAGACGGAAATAACCAAAGTTGATCAATTACCTCGTGGAGTTAAATTTGAAGACACTGATATCTATTCGCATGTGAGTATTGACATTTCTAACTTCAAAATGGCAGATTTATGTAAACCTTTGTTACCTATTGGAGAAGTTAGTGAGAACTTTGGCATGGCCCATATGGCTAAGCAAAAACAAAAGGAAGCTAGAGAGAAAAGAAGACAAGATCGAATACTTGCAAAGGCTAATATGATTTCATTAGAAGATACTTTTGATAGAGATTTGGATAATAAAAGAATTAAGAAAACCAAAGCTGAACTTGAAGAAGAAGAAGAGAGAGAGGAAGAATCAAATCATGGATCGACAGCAATTCAATTACAACTTACTAGTGATGGTAAATTGGATATTGATGAAGACTCAACAGTTGTCAATAGACATCAGATGACCAGTCTGAAGAATAAGACTAGGGAAGAAGCTAATCCATTTGAAAATCCAGTTATTTCACTGACATATTCCAAACGAAGTCATACCGATAAATGGACTTCTGAAGAAGAGAAACAATTTTATAAGGCAATTCTGACTTGGGGTACTGATTTTACATTTATAGCTCAACTATTTCCATATCGTACCAGGAAACAAATTAAGGCCAAGTTTAATTTAGAAGAGAGACACAATCCTGAAATAATTGAAATGGCTTTACGAAGACGATTACCAGCAAACTTTGATGAGTATAGCCGAGGTATCAAGGTGAGCTCAGATGTCCCTAAGAAGAAGGAAAGAACGAAGGAGGAAACCAGAGATGAGTTTATTGAAGAGAAGGAAAAAAATGATCATGATAATAATGAAAGTAAGCCATTAGGTGGTGATGAAGAGAAGCAGAATGGGGAAGAGATTATAAAAACCCCATTGGATATTTTCAACGAAGAAGTTCGTCGTTTGAGACAACAACACAAGGAGCACATGGCATTGATTGCTAAAGAGAGAGAAAAGGCTATGAAGGAAGATGCTGAAGCAAGTAGACTTCGGGAAATTGAATATAGAAGTGGTGGTACTAAGTTTATTACTCGGTTACGTGGTGCTGATGCTTTACGGAAAAATGAAGAGGTTATGGGGTCAATTGATGATGTCAAACTTCAACTCCGCCATAATATTAATGATGATGACGATGAAGACCGGGAATAGGCATGTATATTTATATCAAAACAAGTTATAAATAGTGTATACTATAAATATTGTACACAACTATTTCTTTATATCACGTGATCTGAAATAGTTTGACTCCGGTTCAAAGTGTTGAGTCATAAATACAAGGTCAAATCATCATCTATCAAAAAAGACAACTATCTATCTATCTATCTATCAATACCATACCATACCATACAGCCTTAGTGGGAAACCATGATTTACATGTAGGAGTACGAAAACAAAAATCGACGAATTATATTGGATGTCACTGAATAAAGCGTATGCATTAGAGATTGAGCCCAAGCTAGTGAGTGAAGACTCAGTAAAAGGGATCAATATTCTTAGGTTTAAAATCAAGCCCACAGAAGAAGGGGTATTTTCCAGATACAAGAATGGGGTTGTGATTGCGTTCTTATCTATGATTGGATACGTTTTACAACGGCCAAGCTTTACGTGGAATGGGTATGATGGAATCAGTGCCATGGTTATACTTTTGATGACAATTTTCCTTTACTTTAAACGGGATGGGTACGAAGAGATTATAATCTTGAAGGACATTGGCATTCAAACAGTTACCGTGGGGGGATGGATGTTTCAAACCCCTGAAAAGAAGTTTATCCCCTTAGGAGACATTATAGATTTGGTTATCCATGAAGGGTTCCATGGTTATGGGCAAGTGATCTTTTATTTATGTGTTTTGAAACGAGGAGGTGGTGAAATGATTCAGGTGTTAATGCCGTCGTTATTACCAAGAAAGGAGGTTCTAGTCCAGATATGGCAACTATCTCGTCAACTTTTATTTGGAAGTAATCGTAGGTTTTATCGCCGTGTTCCAGGACAAGGACTCCGGGAGATTGAATGAAAAGAAAAATAGCATATTTATTTATTAATCTATAGAACAAAACTTATAGCATTTTATAATTAAACCCAGAAAATATTAAACCCAAGACATCAAGTAATAAAAAAAAGTACTCTGGCCAGACCGACAAGTGGACCATTATTGGACCAGCCTAAAAATGACCCAATTGTTTGAAGAGATGGTTGTACCCCTTTCTATCGACTAAGGATGCAACTCCTAAAGTAGCAGTAGTGTAGCCAAACACAGCAAGAAGAAGCTTACTTGAAGCAGTACCAACAAATGGTAGTGGAGTAGTAGATAATTGACGAGCGCTACCTCTCAATAGGGTTTGAGAAGCAGAACGAATAGCAAAGGACAACATTTGATTTATGAAAGGTGGAGGCAGTAAAAGTAACACTAAATGATACTGATGATAAAGCAAAAAGAACTCACTCTTATAATCAACGGCTTAAGATGTCCTTATATACTTTTATCAGTGAATGTAAGCCTCATTGAATCATCCCATAGTAATTACATAGAGATTCTGGCATGTAGTGGTTTCGCAGCCAAGGAGTTTGAAGCCCGAAGTTGTCACCTGTAGTTATTTTCGGAGATAGCATGCACCTGGGAGATGAGGTTGAAAATGACTCCCTTTCCGATTATTTCCTCGGTTGAAGTCGGACGCGATAAGAGCGCCCTTGACAGTTTGTTGTGTTTTACGTGTGGGTTCTGAATACGGAAAGTCTTATAGTTTGACTCATGTGCTATCGAGTCACGATAGATATAACTATCATCATACCATATCAATGTCATAGCATACAACAAGTGATGATAGCATATGACACCAAATTTTGATGTACTTTATTTGATTACTATAATTCAATAACAATACACATGTTAGTTGCTACACGCTATTTTAGTAAATGTCTCCCGATTCTCATCTCAATCTCACCATTTGATGAATATTGTTCCGTGTTCCTGTATATAAAGCCGGTGGAATTTTAAGAATCAGGTGGTTCCATAATTGGAATGTTAGACCTGTTACAGGCAACACACAACTAGCTTAATATTGTGAGTGATATCCACTATCCATTCAAAGTAATGATAGCAGAGGGTTAATGACTAACTAGATCTGCAACTATCCCTGAAAAAGGGAAATTTTGAAGGTACCTATCATGGTTGACAAATTTCAACTAGTTTATCCGAATGTGGTTCCGATGCGATTACAACTCTCACTTGTTCGCTTGCAAAAATTAAATTTTATAGAAGGCATTTATCCGACATCGCCGTGTTTGCTACTATATCATCTCCGACAGCCGCAGGCATCCCTGTAAGACAGTATGATGATTCAGAGTCATTTAAGAGTAACCGTCGCCCTAACCGTTGTCCTCCTTGTGGGTCACGTGCATGGATGTAGTTTTCCGAACTTGCAAAGTTAGCTAACTTTGATGCATAGACGATAGTTATTATTAGACATTCTTGGTACATACGCTGTAAAATTATTCTAAAAGATACATTAATTACACAATAGTATATATGAGATAGTAAATACAGATTACTAACATAAATCTTATCGGTCTTCAAGTGGTTTAAAAGATTACCAAGATGAAGGACCGAAACTTCCACCTTCAGGAAGAACAACCTTGATGGCTTCATTATTGTAATCAAGAGTGTTGATAACATTGTTACCCCACCAGTTTGGTGCAGCAACATTAGGCAAACTGATGGCACAGAAAATAACCAATGAAGACCAAGCTAATCCAATATCCAAACCAGCAGATAAGGAATAGTTGTACTTAGTCCACCAGTGGAAGAACTTACGCTTGATAAAGTAACCAAAAGTAAGGCCAACTGCACAGTAGGAAGTATAGTTGTATGGGGTAGCTGGAGGAATGTAACCAGTACCGGAGAAGAAAACTGGCCAGTTCAACCATCTAATTGGAGAACCTGGCCATTTCTTCAAGATTAACCAGGAAATAACTGGTAAAATGGCTCCAATAATGAAAAAGAATAATAAACCATAGTAGATTTGACCACTAGAAAATTGTCTTTGAGGACCAATGACACCCCAAATGATAGAAGCATTGAAGAAGACTCTACCGTTAGGACAAGTGTAGTGGTTTGGTTGGTGTACCAGACACAAGTCATTGATGTTACCATAAGACCATCTCAAAACAGCAATTTGCACAATAGAAGTCCAAACAGTAGGAATCATTTGAACCCAGAACATTAAACGAGGTTGAAGCTTCATGTAATGTCCCAACTTCATGTCTTGAGCAAAAGTAACAGCTTGAGAGTTGGTGATATATGTGAAGGTCTTGAAGAACATCATACACAATGGCTTACCTGGGATCATGTAACCGATGATGAATTCAGAAACGACATTTAAACCAACAGCAATGTTTGTCAAGGCATAGATTACACCAACTGGAAGTAAAAAGATGAACCCAATGATCAAACCGACAACCAAAGCCCAAATAGGCATTTCTGTTGGCCAACCTCTGAGTGTACCAACGGCCATACCAAAGAAAATAACAAACACAACAGCAAACCACCAATCTGGGGTAGGCTTGTAGCTCTTCATTAATCTGTTGTGCACATCTGGAGTGTCTTGTCTTTTGAATTGCTTCACGATATCTCTACCATGGAACAACACGGTGTGGACAATGGTAGCAGTAATAGCGGCAAAGGATAAACCATAAGACAAGGCAAAGGTGGTTGATAAGAATAAAGGTGAGTAATTTGCGTATTCTTCCTTGTTGAAAGTCAAAGTTTTGGGGTCAACAATACGGGAAACGTTATAAGGTTGTTGGTATCTGTCATAAGAACCTGATGATGAAATAGGCAAGTATTGAGCAAACCAAGTGTTGGAGTAATGCAAAGCAGGGGTAACAACCCAGAACATAACAACCACAGAAAGGAAAATGGTCCAGATGGTACCCGCTGGAGGGATTAAAGGAGAGCCAATGTAACCGGCGATTTGATTCCAATCCAAGGCAATATTGTTAGGGAACATACCTAACCCGGTGGAAGAACCAAAGATTTGGTTAATGATAACATTGTTAGGTTTAATCCAGGTAATCCAAGAGAAGTAAGACAAGGCTTGGAAGATATAACCAGGGAACCAATAGTAAACAAAGGAGCAAATGAACATAACGGAAAAGAAGGCCAATCTGGAGATCTTCCAGCCGTTAGCAGGATGGTTCTCGTTAATGTGCAAGTTGGTTAAGAAGGTAGCAGTAACCAAGTTAGAAGGCCAAATCATTGATGGAGGATCAACCAAGATTCTTCTACATAACCCACCGAATGCAAAACCAATACATTGGGTTGACATGGTAGCAAGCAAATCGAACCCCCAGCCAAAGTCTGAACCATAGAAACGGTTTTGAGCAAGCAAAATATCAGTAGCATAAGCTGGAGACAACCCAACATTTGCACCAATACAAATCAAAGCATGTTCCTTAATGGTGAAAGGACCTGGGTTTAATTGAAGACCAAACAATTTCCAGTTAGGAAAATATTTACCCCAGTAGTTACCAAGGGGCCAAGCCAAAAGGGTAGTAACGAAGGAAGAAAGGGAAAATTGTGGGGAATGGAAGGAGAACAAAATGTTAACACCAGCACCAACAGTACCCAAGACCATGGTAAGGACCCACATTCTTACCGTATTTTGCAAGATGGATGGATCATCATCAGAGGGAATAGCAGCTCTAACTTCTGGGTATGGAGAATCATCTTCGATCTTGACTGCAGCATAGTCATCTTCAATGATATCTTTTGCCAAATTAGAGGTAACCGGATCAAATTCTTGAGATTTGGAAGTGATCAAACGTAAATTTGCTTCTGCGTGGGTCTTTTCCAAGTCATGGTTGCTCTTTTCAGAGGTGGACGTCACCTCCGTGACCTCTACGGTCTTAGAGCTTAATAAAGCTGAAATCTTGTTCATCCCGGGGTTTAAATTTTAATCATATATCTCTGAGTTAACTCAATGCTTCCTCACAAAAATTATTATAGGTATTCCTTACTTAAACTAAATATATGGGTAATGTATATTTAGGTATGGATAATTTATGAAGAGATGACGATTTAAAAAGAGTACTTAGAGTCTAGGATCTGAATGCTGACTTATCGATATTTATACTATCAGGTTTCTTTATCAACAGTATCTCCACAGCGGATACTGCTTTTCTCATGGCGTTATTTTACGGTTGAAGCCGTACGGCCCTGGTCAAAGTCTTATCGATAATAAAGCCATCTTTTCCAAACATTCACTCTGATTTACATATTGGGGAGTGTCCCTCCAAAGGGCCGCATACAGTGCGGCCACCCGTCATTATTACCCATAGGATTTTAAAGCCTGCCAGGAAGCGTCCGTCCTGGATACAATCCAGTCGATTTCAGGAATAAAGTTGGTGTTCATGAGCAACGAATAAGAGCAACACAACTAGAAAGAGCCCCGGGTTTGTATACCTGCACTGGATAGAGAGTGAACTGCGGTTTGTCTCGTACGTAGATCTACTGTGCTTAGCGGCCGGCTTACAGGCTTGGTTACTACTACGACAAAAGGAAATTTTTCATGCGGCTTAAGTCAAATCGCATAATATATCGGTTGCAAAATCGGGTACACCTTGTCACTCCACAGGAAAGATGTCGCGCGCTCATTTAGCGACTTTTATTTGTATGGGCGATATCCAAAAATCTAGTCCATTTCGGCGTACGGCCCTATTTTATTGCTGGTAGCGCGGGCGTGTTTTTCCTTCCTTCCCTACCGAAAGAAAAAAGAGTGCCTCAGAAGACATAGGTCACGATAAGACTTGCCTTTTGACACAACAAACTTAACAAAATGGTACTTACTGAAATGATATCATCCGACATATCTTATCAAATCTCGCTTATAACTTTTCACTTCTTATCTATTATTATCACCTGTTGGTCTACGAATTAACTTCAAGGATTTGATATGTGTTCCGTCACTTTGTGCAGGTGCGATGATGGCATCTTTCCACCACCTAACTTCCGAGCCCCCATAAGTGAAACGGTTGCTACAGAATAGATCCTTTACAACATTGCAGGAGCCGGTTCGGTATCATTTCCGGTAATATAAGCTAACAAACTGTGGACTATTCGAGGAGGTGGAGAAAACGTCAAAACACGGCGGCTTATCATCATGTGAGTCACACAATAAGAGAATTTACAGGAATGCCATGCAGTGCATTGTTCCTTCAATCAAACTAACCTAATAGGGTTATAAATTGAGCACAAGATTATTATCCCTCTTTGTTGTCTTTGTTTTAGCCATACAGTAGGTTACCTTTGTATACACGAAACATTGATGAGCTATTTGGGCTTTCTGTATGTAATTGATTAATGTTAAGTTATCGGGTTTAATAGCCGTGGTGGTACTCGTAATTACCACAGGAATATCCTAATGACGTAGTTATAATTTTGTCACATTTTGCGTAGAATCTTGCAAAATCTACCGTTGATCTGTGATAAAGTGAATTAGTAGTGGGTTTTTGCAGCGTTGCAGGCTGTAGTGGAGATTATAGTTTCGTAGGGAATATGTTAATCCTCCAAAAAAATGATTTCAGTTAGATATAGAATTTAATCCTTAAGCTGCAGTTATATCTAAGACTCTAGCTAAATTAGCTTGCAAGATAAGAGTAAGTAACTTGTACTTTTGTTTTTTCATTTGATAATATATACTATTATACTGGCAACAACAATTACTAATGTATTACCTTCCTCTAGTCTATAATATACAGTTATAGTCTCTGCTCTATATAGTTCTGTTCTCTACTCTAGCATATACATTTAGCCTTCAAACCCTGTCCACTCTTCTGGTACTTCTTCTTCTTCTGGTTCTTCTTCCTTACTACCATCATCTTTTTTAATAAAACATGCAGCAAAGAACCCAATACCTCCATCTTCTCCAGGGTTACTTCTAACACATCCTGCAGCAAGCCGTTCACAAGCTGCTTCAGTAGATGCAATGGCTCTAAATTCTTCTGGCCAGCCTCTCCGTTCCCATCGTGGTATGACGTCTTCTCTTGAAGCCAAAGTCCATCCCAACTGCGAGATTGCTGGATCACGCAATAAATCCACAGTAACTCTTTCATTTTCCTCAGCATGAATAGAACATGTTGAATACACAACTTTGGTTGCCAGGGGGAACTGTAAAGCATGTTTCATGATAGCAAATTGGAAATTGGCCAATTTTTGCAATCTTGTATGGTCAACGGCATCTGCAGCTCTACCTCTAATCCCACTACCACTACAACTTGGATCCACCACAAGACCGGTGACTTGAGGAAACTCTTCTGGCTTCGTGGAAGTGAAGTCAGCATGAGTCACTTGAATCAACAGGTGTGTTTTCTTATTAAGTGCTTTATTGCACATGGTTCTCAAGGTACCTACTCTTTCCTTATCTCTTTCAAAGGCATACACGCAACTTTCTGGGTCTTTAGAAAGATCCATATAAGATGCTGAATGAGTAGTCTTGTTCCCTGGAGCAGCACAGGCATCTATGACTTGAGTATGTACATGGTTATAGTTAAGAATATGACTGGGGAAACATGATGCTCTATCTTGGATAATAACACTACCTTCCAAATATGCTTTGGTAGATGTGAGTTTATCTCTTTTATGTAACCCAAACAAATATGGAATATAAGGATCAATATAACATTTCCCAGGACCCGTGACATCCGAAAGGTCATCCACCATTTGCAATTTTAATTCTGGAATCACTTTGGTGATGTCGTCCCGAGTACATTTGACTTTATTAATACGCACCCATCGGATATCACTTACAAACTCCGATTCGTCATCATCTTGAGCCACTTCGAAATCTTCAACCAATTTCACACCATGCTTGACCTTCAATCTAGTCATTTCTGCCTGTAATCTGGCCTTATTCAGAAGAAACCATTCTTTAACTGGATGTTTCCCACTTTGGATTCGTCCTCTACTGGAGAAGAGAAAATCATGAACCAATAACCGAATCACTTCATTTGTAGCACCTTTAGGTCTTTTCCCCACGTCCAAACAAGCTCTCTTGATGATATATGCTATATACGATTCATACCTTCGAGTCAGACTCACTAAGGCATAGATATGTTTTGGAGAGTTGGTCAATTTAGAATCATTAAACACATTGCTTAATGACAGTGGGTCCTTCAAATACTTTTCAGCTTCAAAATAAAGCTTCATTATCACAAACGTCTAGTCCCAATACCGAGAACAATATGTAAGTATTCTAATGGCCCTTATACTATGGTGTATTCTGTACCAGTATACCTTCTGTTACCCCAGGCGATGAGTTGTCCACACACGACTCTCCGCACTCAATGACACAAAAGTGGTGGCCAATTCGGCCATTTGTTCAGATCAATAATACCCACCAACTGGTATCAGCTTTGGGGCTAAGTCACTTCAAAGTACAACAGACATCGCCTTCTTCGGACCGCGGAGTTGAACCGGGGACACACATTTGAAGACCGTTGTCAAAGTGGGTTAGTGTATGACTTAAGAGTCGCTATCGTTATTGCATCACGTTACAGCATCACAATAAAGCATTACTGCCATTGTAGCATTATTGTCGTCATGAAGTACTCTCCAGGAACAAAGCTTACTGTTGGTCATCATCAAGTCTCAATTATCAAATACATTTCGGAAGGAGGGTTTGCCCATGTATACACGTGTACTACGGAACCAGCATTCAATGGATGCTCTGTGGCATGCTTAAAGAGGGTTGTTGTCCCCAATAAACTCCAATTGACATTACTTAGACAAGAAGTTGATGCTATGAGAAGGCTAAGAGGGAACCCAAACATTGTCAGCTACATTGATCTGCATGCGGCAAGATATAAACCTCATCCACTGGAGAACAGTCTTAAGGGGGAACAACAATATGAAGTGTTTTTATTGATGGAGTATTGTTCCAATAATGGGTTAATTGATTTTATGAACCAAAGATTGGTACACAAGTTAACAGAACCGGAAATTCTTCAAATAATGTATGATGTCACTTCTGGAGTTGCTATGTGCCATCACTTAAGACCCCCTTTGATCCATAGAGACATTAAGATTGAAAATGTATTGATAGATGTTAATCATAAATATAAATTGGCTGATTTCGGTTCAGCAGTTGCATATTCTAATCCCCCGACTACAAAGCAAGAGTTTGATACTTTAAAGGAAGATATAATGTATCATACTACTCCTCAATATAGAGCTCCGGAAATGATTGATCTTTCAAGAGGGTTCCCCATTGATGATAAGCTGGATATATGGGCACTAGGATGTTTCTTGTATAAGCTTTGCTATTATACCACCCCTTTTGAAAGACCCAATCAAAAATCCCTTCATGAATTAGATCAATTGATCTTATCCGCTGATACTTCTCTTCGGTTCAATGATCAACCAGGGTCAATATTCTCCCCAAGATTGAAGAATATCATCAAAGTGTGTCTTAGAGAGGACCCTAGAAGACGTCCAAATGCAGTTCAAGTGCTTTCAGAAGTTTGTAGCATGATGAACGTTTCTGTTCCTAACGTTATTCCATCAAGTGTAACCATGGCTCAACAGCATCAACAGCAACAACAATTACAACCATTATTACAACCGGCTCGTTCGGTTTCTCCAAGGAAAAAGTCTTCAGAAGATCTCTTATCACGTCCTTCCAAGTCACATTCGTCTACCTCTTTAACTAAAGAGTCAACTCCTAAAATTATACATGATTTAGTCAAGTCACCAGCTCCAACCAATAAGAACACTTCCTCATCATCGTCATCATCAAATTCATCATTGAATGCTCCTACATCGAATGTACCGGTATCATCACCAGCCAATCCGAAGTTTAGAGAAATGTTAAAATCTGCTACTTCCAATAGACCTTTGAGCTATATCGGTCCATCTGTCAGTGACGATCGTTCTAAGTCTTCTACCTCCCTTCAATCATTTGTTCATTCACAGCTCGAAAGTGAACAGGTGTATACCTTTGAGAATAACGTTAATGATTTGGACTTTCTCAGATCAAAAGAACTTGAACTGCAACAGCGAAACCACACTGGAGGGTCAATTAAATCAGCTTTTTATAGTGGCTTGAAACGGATTGGTACTGGAAATAGTAATGTCAGTTTGAATAGTCTTAACAATCAAGACACTGGACCAAAGAATAGAAGAACATCAATGAATTCAATCAAACAATTACTCACAGGTGGAGGTTCATCCAGAAAGTCTTCTAACAACAACAATAATAATAATAATAATAATAATGGGTTTAGAGCTACTGAAGATAATACTATTAAACAAGAACAAGAACCAGAAACTATTGGTAGAAAGTCTTCCATCCAGAGTCGAATGAAAATGCTTATGAAATCAAAGGACACACCAATACAAAGAACAGCCATAGGTTATGGTAAATTCACTGCTGGAATAAGTCCTGAACCCACAACTGCGGCCCAATCTCAATCATTGCATGTGGAAAAAGCAAGAGGAAGAACTATTAAAAAGGAATTGCATCCTCCTCAAATACCTTCTAGCTTAAGTTCAACGAGGCTGAATGAAGACGACAAGACTACCAACACAAAGGGGAAGCTACCACCTTCTAAACCTTCTAAGAAACCACCACCAAAACCAAAGAAACCAAAGCAATTGAATGGTATTCCGAGGAGACTCAGTAATTCAAGTGTTGAATCATTACCTGATGTTGATGATCTAGAAAGACAATTTTCTAAACGGTTTCCAACTTTAAAATTGGCATAAATATCAATAATTATGCGTGACTTTTAGCTTGTGCTTTCACTACTGGAAAAGTCTTCAACGGAATCTAAAATGAAGTCAATCCCTTCATTAAACCGTTCGGTGATAACGTCCCATAAACCATCTGACAGAGCTCTCAAGACTCTACCGAATTTCCGTCTTGGTTTCTTTCCTTCTTCAGTTCCATTTGAATCAATAGTACCATTTCTAGAACCTATGGGTCCACCAGTACTGGTAACCCAACAAGGATTATAATGACCCGTGAATACTACGGAACTTTGATAAAACCAATCAACCATGCTTTCATCCATGACAGGCACCAAAGGTTTCAATTGAGTCCGATTTAAGAACACAACCGTTCCCTTGACCAATCCCTTTAAATCTTGTGAAGGACGTTTACCATATAAGTGAACAATGGCTTGATATGCTTCACCAAACCCAACAAACACCACTTTCTTTAAATTGGAGAAATATTGAATATAGTTATCCCAAATATAAAGAAGCAATTCTTGTGCAAAGATAGTTGAATTGTAGTCCATTGGTTGTTTGGAACTGGAATCATTCTTTGGTTCAGATAACGTTGTGAATAATCCACTCAGAGGAATATTAATATCAATATAACCAAATATTTCATTCCCCAAGTCTTCACTTTTGGAGGCTTCGGATTTAAGATCCTCCATTAATTGTATTAAAGGATGTTCCAATACAACCGAGGTATTGCTTTCAATGTTCCCATTTATGGGGTTAACATTGGCCCAAACCTCTGCTGGATCATGTATGGTAACCACAAGTATAGTACAATCGTGTACGTTCTCTGTAGCAAGCACAAGGTCTTCCAAATGACCAGCTGTTCCTGTAGTGAAGGTTGACTTTTTACTATTCAGAGCAGAAGCAGCAGCAGCAGCAGCAGTGGCTGCTCTGCTTGATGTAGTAGTAGTTAATGATGAAGTAGACTCTGACTCTGAAGGGTTAGACACTTCGGGAACAATAGGTAAGCTGGTAAAGGAATGTTTGTTGCATAATTCTGCTGCTTGATAAGCTCTGATAGGATCAGCTATGTTTATTAATTTTTGGTTTGATAAATCAAAGACATCTTCAAACAGTTTTGAAGGTACACCTATTCTCAAGCAACTCCAATATTTCAGTTGGATCTTTATAACTTCATCAATGACTTCGATTGTTTCTAAATGGGGTTGCATTGAAATGGTTGATTCTGGAGGTTCACCCACAAGTACTTTAGCCACACCCAAGGCACTTTTACTAATTGAATCTAAATTATAACCACCTTCTAAAATCACTGCTAGTTTCCCCTTACCTATAGCTTTAAGTAAATGGGTCATATAACCATAACCAGCCGGAGTCACATGACACCCACCAATGATATCACCATCAGCAGCATCAAACCCTGAGGAGATGATACAAAGGTCTGGATCAAACTGTTCAATAATGGGCATAATCACTCGGTTAAAGGCATAAACATAATCACCGTCATGCATTCCTGGAGATCTCCAAGGAATATTCACGTTAAACCCTTCACCTTCATCTTCACCCACCATATTAGCACCACCAAACTTGGTACCGGGGTAGAAACGACCATTTTCATATCTATGAAGAGAGATATAAAGGACTCGAGGATCATTATAGAATGCCTTTTGAGTGCCATTACCATGATGTATATCCCAATCCAAAACCACAATTCTTCTAACAGAATCCGGGAATGAATTCAAGATGTTTTTAGCAGCAACTGCAACATTACTAAACAAACAGAATCCCCCAGGTGTATTGGGTTCAGCATGATGACCTGGAGGTCTAACGATAGCCAAACTGTTTTTAACTTTACCCTGTACCACAGCCTTACAAGCTTCAATGGATCCTCCACAACTTAACTTAGCCAGTAAATACAGATCATTGTTAACATAGATGGAATCTCCCTTTTCGGTTTCTTCAAGTAATTGGTCTCTTGACATTGTTTCTGTCAGTTGGATGAAGGCCAAATGCTCTGGCAGATGTACTTGAAGGATCTCTTCTGAAGATGCTTCCCTAATGGGGATTTTCACCATTAATGGACCCAAATCATTGGTTCCACTCAATGAACTATCATGTATAAGACCTGCTTCAGCCAAGATCTTGTATATCCTATAGATTCTTCTTGGGTCTTCCGGATGGGGATCAATGTATTCAAAATATGAAGTGAAGATTTTAGCATGGTATCTCATTCTAACATCATACACTATACCTGTTTTCAATGGAGTATAAAAGAGTTGAGGTTTTACAGGTGGAACAACCACAAGTTGTTGCTGTTCTTCTTTAAGTCTCTTGCCGCCGCCATTGACTTGCTCTTCTTCTACTTCGTCTTCCGGACTTCTTTTCATGGTTAGAGACAGTATTTCCAAGGTACCTACCTTGAAAATATTGAAATCTTCATTTTGTCTTAGACTTTTGTTGTTGGTTGACTTTGTGTCACAGACAACTATATGCGTTACTGTCATAGTAGAAGCGAAGGTTGGTGTAATAGTAAGGGAACACAGCAGAACAGCAGTAGCAGTATATATGGGATACTACACGCAGCAGAGCAGAAGTATATACAAGGTATGTACATAGACGTATATACATAGACGTATATACAAAGTATATACATAGACATATATACATAGACGTATATATAGTATGTATAGCAGTATCCTTTGCAGTATATGTAGCGGGCCACTGTAGTATACATAGTGGTATACATTGTAGTATACATAGTGGTGTACATAATGGTATATACATGGAAGTGTATATAGTAGACATAGCAGTTTACATAGCAGTACACTGCAGTATACTGTAGTATGTCATACAGTTCATTCACTACTATTTCTATTGTATATAGTGGACTACCATAGAACCTGCGATACCGTACTACAGTTCAAATTAGGGTACAGTAGTTCTATACGACACTGCTATACGACACTACTATTGTCATACCGGACCACTACTTGCTACTGCTCCACATGTGATACTGTACCTTTGACTGTTGATCAAAATGGGCCCTCTTATTCTGATCCACGCCCCTATGGAAAAAGTCGCAAAGTCGTTTGACCCATAAAAAATTGACAACAACGACCATCATCACAACAGCCACTTGATAACAAACATAATACATTTAGAGGCCGTATATATAACTAGTATTACTACTACTGCTGCTATTATTACTGCTAATACTATTACTATTACTGATATCACTACAACCCAATAACATGTCTGGGAACGACGACTTTGCTTACGATTATGATCATTTATATAAGATTGTATTGATTGGTGACTCAGGAGTTGGGAAATCTAATTTGTTATCACGTTTCACAAGAGATGAATTTAATTTGGAATCAAGATCAACCATTGGAGTTGAATTTGCTACAAGAACTTTAGAAGTTGATGGGAAACGAGTCAAAGCTCAAATTTGGGATACTGCTGGTCAAGAAAGATACAGAGCAATCACTAGTGCTTATTATAGAGGAGCTGTTGGTGCTTTAGTGGTTTATGATATTTCTAAAACTGAGTCATATGAAAGCGTATCAAAATGGTTAAAAGAATTGAGAGAACACGCAGACGCTAATATTGTAATTGAATTGGTTGGTAATAAACTGGATTTAGATCATTTAAGAGCAGTTCCAACAGACGAAGCCAAAAATTTCGCTAATGAAAATAATCTATTATTCACTGAAGCGTCCGCTTTGTCTGCTGATAATGTTGAACTATCATTCCATCAATTAGTTAAAAACATCTATGAAATGGTTAGTAAGCATCAACTTGATACAAAGGAAAATGGGGGCTCATCGTCAAAACCTTCTGGTCCTACAATCTCTTTGACTCCGGCTCCGGAGCAAAGAAAGAATTCTTCAAATTCAAATTGTTGTTAGACGTAATTATATGCTTTATTTTAGTTGAATAAGGGTTGATAATATAAAATATAACTTTAGTTGATTCTTTTGGTTCTGGGGATCTTGATGGGTCTACTAACACCTTTACCCTTTTCTAAACTTGAAACCAATCTAGTTCTAGCATCTTTGGTTGGACCACATTCAATAGCCATACTAACTATTTGTTCTCCTCTTAGTATAATCAACCCTAGAGATCTTCTCTCCTCTTTCTTCACAGTGGTTGCGGTGCTATTGATATTATTATTACTGTTATTATTATTATTATTGCGACGTAATTCATTCATGACTTTCTTGGGAATTCGGACGTCTTCAGCGTCGCTAAGAACAACATTTAAGTACTGGTCAAACGCTAAGAGTGTCCCAACATATGTGCGACCATCTATCAGTAGAATTCGGAGTCTATAGTTGATCAAATCTGAAAGCTTTGTTTTCTTTCCTATCGCATTCATCGAGACGGAGCAGCGGGAAGAGCAGTAGGAGCGCAATAAAATCAGCACTAATAACAATACCATCAACAGTAAACAGGTGATGGTCTTCTACTAATATCATCACTTCAAAAATCTCCTCGCGCTACCAGTTCGCGCAGCCAGTGCGGTGTGTTTCCCTTGACAAGAACTCGTTGATGCTAACTATAATGCACGCCTACAAGACACTGCTACATTATACAAGCAAGAATGACTAAAGAAGAATTGAAGACTGAAGCTGAGTCTAACACCGAGACCAGCACCGAGACCAGCACCGAGACCAAAGCTGTGGAGGAGAAGACCAAAACCGAGACTAAGAGTGAGGACACCACTGAGGCTGAACCCAAGAAGGAAGAAGGTGAACCCAAGGAACAAGGCGAAACTTCAACCACCACCACCACCAAGAGAAACATAGACTCCGAAACCTCTTCCAAAAAGAAACATAAGAAGAGAAGAAGAAACTACGAAGACGATTTGCCCAAGGAATCCGAAGAGAAAACCGTAGCCAAAGACTCGGAAGACAGTGACGAAGGGAATGATGAAGAATTGGTTGAAGAAGATGAAGATGAAGACTTGAATGAAATTGATGTTTCCAATATCATCACTACTGGCCGGAGAACAAGAGGCAAGGTGATTGATTTTGTAGCTGCCAACAAGGCAATTGAAAAGGAAGGTCTGGTTCGTGAAGAAGATGATGACGGAGATTTCGATGAAAAAGTTTAATTAGCTTATTATTATATATAAAGTCTATATAATAGTAATAAAATCAAAAGTACTATAAAAAAATTAAAACCAACCCAAAGTAAAGAAATAAAACAGACGGCTCTAGAATGAGCTTTATATATGTGTATATGTTTTTTTTTTGAAGCTTTTATAGTTTTCTTGTTTTTTTATAGGGTTTTAGTAGCCACAGTATAGTATAGTATAGTAGCAGCATTGTATAATGTGTATAGTTGGTAATAGGACCATTAAAATTTTATTGTTGATCAACATGTAGATGCAACATTGTAGTAGAAGGGATTTGTGTAGCCAACAAAATTGTGTGGATAACCATTGACGGTGGCAGGTAGAGGAGCCATGACATATGTACCTTGAGATTCCAAGTGGTGTTGGAAATGACTAGGTTGTTGTTGTGGTAGTGGTTGTGGTTGTTGGCCTGCCATCATGGTAAACATGGCTCCGGCATTACCCATGATGGCACTACTACCGTAGGGAAGTACAGGAGGAACGGGTACACCAGTGGTACTAGCCCAAATACTCTTGGAAAATTGAGTGGATGAAGCTGACCAAGTGGGTGCATTGTCGTACATGGACACGGGGGATGACATGAGGAAAGGTGATGAAGCAGAATGATAATGTTTCCCACCATCGGAATCACATATTGGCGATGATTGCACAGATGGTAAGTACGACTGCGATAATCTCAGCTTTGTCCAAGTCTTAGTATGCTGTGGGGGTTGATATTGATCTTGAAGCACGTTTTGCATGGGCGGTGGTACTTGTGGTACAGCCACTCCATTATAAAATAGTGGCGGAATATAAGCTTGTTGTGGTTGCTGATACATTGGATGTTGTGACTGCTGTTGATAATTAGGTACCACAAAGTTCTGGTTATGGTAAGTCAAATCAACTGAAGGACTGTATAACGGAGATGAAACAGGAGAATGAGAATAGCTTGGGATTTTGGGTGATAATGAATTGGCTGAGACTGGAGATGAAGATGTCAACCTTGATGATTGTTGTTGAGTCACCTTAGACAACCACGTAGCCCAGCATTCTTCCAAAGTCATTATATTGGATTCAAAGTTGACCACATTCAATTGCCATTCAACTTCTTCAAGCCATAAACGTTCTTCTAAATTCAAAATCTCAACAGCTAAACCAGTGGCACCATACCATGATTTATTTGTAAAAGTATTATCATCATTGAACTTATTGGCTAATATCAAGGCAATAACCAACTTCAAAAAGATTTCCAGTTCATTTAGCAAGTCGAGATGTTTAGGACAATATCTTTGGTTTAAATACTCTAAAGCAATAATGATTGTAGATTTTGGTAACCTAGTAGCAAATAAAACTGACACAAGTAAACTTTCAAACTCTTTAGTTGGGTTTCTTGTTTGTTTCAACATACCAAAAGAACACCATGATAAAAACGCTGACATTGTTGGCAACTCGTAGTCCAAGACAGAACTGATCCCACCATTAACAGCGGGAGCTTCTTCTTTAACAGGTAGTACAGCAATAGGCTGTTGTTGTTGTCTTTGAGCTTCATGAGGATAAAACTGGGAAGCTTGATAATTAGATGAAGGGAAATATGGTGGATGAACAGCTGAGTTTGCAGGGATTCCTGAAGGAGCTGCTCTGGAAGCAGCAGTAGCTGACGAAGCCATAGAAGGGATTCGATGACCTGCTGTTCCCAAGTTGGAATTATAATGAGACGTTTGAAACAACATATGAATAATGGATAGCAGTAGTAGTAAAGTTCTGGTTTGACAAATAATAAGAAAAAAGGAAGCTTAGGACTGAAGTCAGAACTGGCACAGCTTTCTTTCTATGAAAAAATTAATTAATTAATTAATGAATAACGAATACTTAATGAAAAGTTCGTTTTCCAATAAAATTCTTTTGAGGCACCACTCTGGACAGTTGAATGATAAATTAATATCTCAACTAAAAGTATAGGCTTCAGTTTTAGTAATAAAGAAAAGCTTGAAAGCACTGGAAAATATAGCTGAAAAGTAATATTTCCTTTGCAAAAAGCCAAAACTCAAGGTTTCCTCTTTATTCCCACAATATAGGTATTTAATGTTGATATTAAGATCAACACTATCCACAAAGTATTAAAAACACTTGAATTTGTATCAATACACAATCCAAGACTTAATCCAAAGTGACCGCAAATGTAAGGAGATAATTTGGATGGGAGGGAGATGAGTCAAGTATGGGGGTGCTTCAACAGGGAGAAGAGCCTTGAAGTAAGCTTCTTAATCAACACACTTGTGGAACTCGTGTAGCAAATTTTAATTGAAAAAAAGAATCTAACATCAGAAAATTCATCCGTGACACAAAACCACACATTGCCCTGCTCGCTCTCTTTCTGTGCCTGTCTACTATAGTCCCATCCCTTCCAGTTACACAAAAGAGTACACAGGGTTAGCATTTTTTTGTTATTCACCATGTAGGAATAAGGCGGTACCCTTGACCTGACCTGAACTGGCGCTTACATAGTCAGTTGTTTCTGTACATAACATAAAACTTATTATGGGTGTAAAACCAGTGGCAATGGTAATTGGGATTGGGATGCAATGTCAACAAACAATACAAAACCACCAATTGAAACAACAAGTGGTCTCTCTTGAAATCGCTTAATACCAATTAGAGTCAACAAATACCATTAATGTTGTCACAGTTGATAATACTGTTAGTACTGATATTGATATTGCGCAATTGAGGTGTATGTTTACTTATTTGGTAGTAGACTTGACCATACGGAATTTAACATTCCCTAATCATCATCTATCTCAATAGTTGCCACGGATCTTATAGGGTGTGGCGTGGCGTGTGTCATTTGAAGGCATTGGCAAGGGGGGATGAGTGCTTTTAGGAAGAATCGGTGTAGGGACGACGTACTTACACAAGCAAGGAGAGTATTATTATTGTATGTGATAGAGCTCAGCGTAATATTATGATTTTGTGTGTGTGTGTGTTTGGTAGCGCGGTCTTACTTAGTGAATGATGTTAGTAAAAAATGGGTGATGTAAATAAAAACCATTAGGGGTAAATATGGTAGGGAACGACAATGTGAAAGGGACGCTTCATTAGAAGTCAGTCATATTATTTTGAGTTTATGGTGGTAATGTATTTAAACTGTATTGTCATGGGATTGTAACTATTTCATGTATGCGACATAATCATTTGCGACAACGACTTTTTTTAGTTTCACGTGACGGTTAGGGCATACCCCTTGAAGGATGTGGTTTACATGAATATAGCTGTAGAATACGATATTATTCATTGACAGGTATGTATGTCTACAAGGTTAAGGCAGTAGCTTTTGAATGGAATTCTAAATGGTAGTCTGTAGTGTTCTAAAATAAATCTGTGTCGTGTTGAAACTCATAACTCCTATTATAAGCTGGAGTTCAGTTTCAAAACTGGTAAGCATTATTTTTGTCTTCATTACTACTATTAATGCCAAAACTATATTGCCAGGACACACATATACTGCTCTATTTGGAAAAGTTAATTGATACTTTAATTGTTCCCAAAATCAAGCCATGCTTCTGTTAGTCCTTGCACAGCTCATTTTCTTGATGGTTTGCACCCATTTTATTTGGATACCCAATAGTGAGACAAAAGATCTGATAAGCGTCACATACAATCCTAGGTCTACAAATGTTAATTCATGTGTAATTCCAATTGAACAACTCTACAACGAACAACTTCTACAAACGTCCCATTAGATAAACTTGATTGAACCGTACTAGGAGAACGTATCTACTGGTTGATAAGGTCGGGAGTTATCGGAAATCACCCTCGGAAACGTGACAGAGTAGAAAAAACCCGTATCTAATCGAGGGCAGTTACCCATTTCCGAGGCATACACAAATGCCAAACAAAGATACGATACTCAAAAGCTCAACCATACATAGTGCATTCCTAATAACTTACCCACCAATAAGTGGTATGAATCAGCTTAATCACGACAATGGAAACAGGAAAAATCGATGCCAGTCATGCGGCGGCGTTGGCTGCTTTTAAAAGGCCGGGTAAGCCGTCTAATACAAAGAACCCCTCTAACAATAACCTACTTAGAGGTAACAGTGTAGGCCAAACAATATCAACTCCAACTCATCCTAATGCGGCCTCCACCACTAGCTTAACGTCCAGTAGTCTGGCAGTAGCTCATCATGGGAAAATCGGAGCAAAATATCCAGCTACCTCAGCTAAACAACAAGTACGAAATATATATCTGACACTACTTAATACCCCCAAGTCCTCCACGACAGATTTGAGTAACAAGAGAGCCCCTTCTAAGATGGCAACTAGCGCTGGAATCGCTGCTGCAAACGCAAGAAGTGAACAACAACTGAGAGTTAATAATAATATAGATACTCAGGATCTGACACTAGCTTCAACTTCATCCAGCTCAGTGTTATCAAGCACAAGTGCTGCCATCACTGCGGCACGAACTCTGCATAGTCATCATCAAACACCCTCTTCTAGCGATAATGAGAATGGAGAAAGTCATCATCATTTATCTGATAAGGTACATTCATCGTCATCATCATCCTTTTCACTGAGAATTGCCAACAGACAATCAACAGCCGGTCCCAGTGGTAAACGGACTGTTATTACCGCACCAAAACATACTACAACTAATAAATCCCAAATTCAAGTTACAGATAGTGGAACTAATGAAGTACTAGCCCAAGGGAAGATGGCATCATCATCTATGAGTCACAGTCCAATGGCATCATCTTCCGAAGTATACTCTATTTCTCTGAGTAACCCATCGCTGGCGGTGGTTGGAAGACTTGACTTGGTCAAATCCCAAGCTAAAGCAAAGGAAAATATCAAACAGCTCAAAATATCAATAGATTCAAAGATAACTTCTCGAGATCATGAACATAGTCGTATTCCAGGTGGTTATGCTCCTCTGGAAATGATAAAAAATGTTAGAGATGCCATTTCTTCTCGTATGGTGTCAAACCCAACTGCTGTTCAACCCTCTGAAGAGAATAACGCCATGATCCAAAGTATTCGCGATTCAATCAACCTGAGACGCTTAAGTCACATGTCTCAAAGTGATCCCCATCTTCCTTACCGTCTTTATGAAAGAATAAGTCCGTTATGTTCCCCAGATTCGGCGAAGTTGACGACAGAGGGTCATGATTATTTTAGTATTTTAAAGACAACTTCCAACCTGGCACCTGAATTTGCTAATTTTGACCTGAGTAATGGAGGTCGGACTTCCATTGATAATATTAAAGACTTGAAGGCTACAACACACTCTCCACTACTTGAAGAGAAGGAAGAATCAAACCTTCTGAACTACGGGCATGATTATTTCACTTCAAATAGAAGTATAGCCGAGAGTCTCAGTGGGAGTGGGGGGATGCAATCTCCTATTAGTGTTAGTGAGAATCAATCTGTTTGTGAATCAGCATTTGAAGAAGTAAATGAAGAACTCTTAAGTGTTCCAGCGTCCCATTTTACTTGTTCCGATTCAGGACTGGAATCGAGATCATTTGGTGGTAGTGGTGGTAATAATAGCAATGCTATATTTCAACATGGAAATGGGTCAAGACTGGTGAGTAGTGATTTCCTTCAATCACCTTGTTTGGGAGTGGGAGGGAAGGCTATTAGAGCACCCTCCTTTGCTAGTTCTCTGTCACTTTCAAGTTCCTTTAAAAACTTGGACTTTGATGAACCTGGAACTCTCATCGCTCCCAACATCAAGTCCCCATTAAGTACATTAGCCAATCAAGAAATAAAGGGAAATGGTGAAGGAAGTAGTAGTGGGAAATCTAGACCAAAAAGGAAAGCTCCACCTCAATTACTGTCACCTGAATTACCGCCTACAACTATTTCACCCAAGTTGAGCAATAAATCTAATTCTTCATTAGGCAATACATCTGGCTTAGAAGATCAAACTGCATTCCCCAGGTTCCCAGAAATATTCAAGCGTGGAAAAACAGACCCTCAGACACTGTTATTTGGAAAGAAGAAAACATCGAAGCAACAAAAGGGAGTTTATTATGATGTTAATTTATTGGATGATGACCATGAAAGTTTGAGTTCTGAAATTCTCCCAACTTCAACGACGACGGGAACAACAGGAACAACAGGAACAACAGGACCAACTACCGCAACAGTAACACCAACAACACCAAGAGGTGTTTCTAATCCAATACGTTTAAAGACAACCATGAGGGATCAAAAGAAGAATAGAAGGGATACATTTAATGAAAATAAACCATGGAAACACCATAGTGATTTGAATTTTCTTTCTGAGAGTGAAAGGAAGAGATATGAAGGTGTTTGGATGAGCAACAAAGGGTTGTATATAAAGTCCGTTGCTACGAAGCTTGTGGGAGTAGATTATGAAGATAATAATGAGGATGATAACAAGAAGTCAACCATAGAGTGCACAACTTCAGATCAATCGTTAGTTGCTGCTCGATTGTCTGCAAATCATAAAACGGCAGATTTAAAAGCCAGTGATGCACAATTTCATAATTTGGAGTCTGTACAACCCAATGAATTGATCCATGGGATTGTTATAAAGCGGATCTGGAAACGATGTAGACTTCCTGATTCTACGTTGGAAACCATATGGAATTTGGTTGATTTCCGAAAAGATGGCACACTAAATAAACCGGAGTTTTTAGTGGGTATGTGGCTAATTGACCAATGCCTTTATGGGAGGAAGCTTCCTAAGAAAGTGGACAACAAAGTATGGGAAAGTTTAGGCAGCATTGGAGTTACATTAAGGAAAAGGAAGAGATAAATGAAGATAGATTATGTTACTTTATATACGAATAAAACAACCTGGGGAAGACTCGAACAGGAGCCCGGCGCTCCCATATCACTATTGGCAATAGAATCGTTAAAATATAACAGTAGAGAAATCAAAATAGGTAACTACAAACTTTAGACGAAGTCTTCCTCCTCCTCTTCTTCTTCTTCTTCTTCTTCTTACTTCCTCAGGAGACCAACAGTTCCCACAGCTCCATCTAAGTATTAGCCAGCCAGCCAATCAACATGGATCTTATAGATATCCTTTCCAATGATGAACCTTATTCAGGGTTGCAAGTCTCACCACTATCCGAAGAACAAGACTCTGATATGGTGTTCCATCTCCCCACACCCATGACTCAGTTTCAAATGGATTTGAATGAAGTTATGGTTCAGCTTTTCTATGGAGAACTTACCCAAGCCGTATTTGAAAGTAGTCCTCACAAGCGAACAAGCATTGATAGCATATTGGATTCGCACCCTGGTGCCCACAATACCAATAGTGGTGACATTTCAGGTAGACATTATGAAAAGATGAATATTTTATTCAACCAATTAAGGATCGTATCAAAGCACCCATCGCTATTAGTTGATCATTTTATACCCAAGAAGTTGCTATTATTAGAGGTTGTAGATAGGTTGATTAATATGAGTGGGAAGTTTCAAATCTTCAATAGACTCATAGATAATTTGATTGATAGGAATGAAAAGTATCATCTTATGGTGGTAGCTGAAAGTGTTAAAGAATTGGAACTCATAGAGGGTTTAATAATTGGTAAGACCTTACTATATCAGAACTTGAGCAGGTCTAAGTTATACGAAGAAGATGAACCCACAGATGAAGATAGAGTCAACTTTAAATTAACAGTCTATTTGATCACTACTCAGGTATTATACAATAAATATACCTCTACTACTGAAAGTGATGTTAAACCAAATGCGATCTTCACATTTGATAATTCATTGAATATCAAAAGTCCAAGCATTGAACTCTTACGTATAGGTTCTAAAGTTCCCATACTTATCCCTACTCCCTTGTTTTCCATAGACCATATTATTGTTGATCATCCAGAACCAGAATTGAGTTTGAATAGTCATGACATTTCTTCCCAAATTTTCAAATGGCAATTCAATGTATTGAAGATCTTCATTATGAAACGATCCTATTATTTTGAAACAAATTTAGACGACTTCTTTGTTGAATATTATGAACCAAAAATGGATTCTTTAATCAGTTGGCTTTATAATTATGAAACAACATTATTTCCCTTACGTCATGTTCAAAGGAAATTCGATGAATTGATGAATAGATCTTTTAGTGATGAAGAATTCAGCAATGCACTTGAAAGGAACTTCATTCCAGATTCAGTTACCCAGTTCAACACTTCAATGGATTATAAGTTATTCAGATCGCAGTTTGCCGAAATCCTCCATGATAGAGTGAACATAATTTATCGAGAATTGGATGGTAATCTCACACACACTTTAGCAAACTACAGAGAACAAGAGACCAAGAGACAGTTGGAATACGATGCTGATGAAGAAAGAATAGCTGAAGCCTATCGGAAACTAAGGAAATCAAACGATGAATTGGTTCTTGTTGAAAGAAAGCTTGTCAGAGTCGAGACCGATGCTACCAAGTATTCTTGCAAGAGACACGAGTTAGAGGCCAAGTTGAAGTTGTTGAATGAGATTAAAGATCGTCTAAAGGTACAACCTGAAGTAAAGAAACAAGCAAGTGCTGAACCACTGAAGGAAGAAGAATCAAATGATATAAAACCAAATGGCGACTTGCTTGAAGCAAAGGAGTATAATGGCGTGGTTTCTGACCCAATAAAAGAAAACGAACTTCCAGTTAAGGTGGAAGAGCAACATATTGATGTAGAAATGGAAGATGCAAGTAAGATTGATACTACTGGTAGTGATAACTTAGTATCGAGCAATCCGGAATCAGAAACACAAATAGTTTCAAATGGATCTATGGGCTCAAAAGGAGTGAATGGAGAAAATACTGATAAAGAAACCATGAAACAACCTGAACAACCTTCTATTGAAGAAACTGAATCCAAAAATGTGCCTGAAGATCAGGTTTTAGAAGAATCTACAAATAGACAAGATTCTCGTAATGAAGTTGAGAATAATACAGACAAGATAGTGTCACAACCAGAGAAGGAGATTTCAATAACAGAGTCTAAACAGAACCAAGAAGAAACGACTGCCTCAATTGAAAAGGATATACTGAAAGAAACTGAAGCTGACGTTACCGACACGGTTATGATTGATGTTTCAGCAATGGCCGAGGTCTCAGCTAGAGATACAGAAATGGAACAAGTTTCTGATAATGGTGAAAAGAAGAGTTCTGTTTCACAGTTGGATGACTATGAGGGAACAAAGGAGTCAAAGCTTGTTGATGAGAACAATATCGATAACAGAACTAGTTTTGTTACAGAAACCAATACTGGAGTAGATAACAAAGAGCTCTTGACACAATCTGAGGGAATGAGTGAGCCTGAAATAGAAAACAGTGGAATAAAATCAAGCTGTGATGGTGTTGGTAGCTTACCAGAAAACACAAAGGAAGAAACGATGGCAGAAGGAACCAAGACAGATTTACTGGGGGAATCTATTTTGGAAGGAACCAATGAAAAGTCCACAGTGGAGGGTAGTAGGACGGATTTAGTACAAGAAGTATCAACAGATGACCCCAAGATTGATGCAGAACAAGACTTGACAACAGAAGCCGTTAAGTCAGAATTTTCAGAGACAGAGTTTTCGGAAGACTTTAAGGCAGAATCGATGAAGGCAGAAATAAAAGAAGCACTAAACTCCCAATGTGACGACGCTTTAAGCGATGGGGAACTTGAAAAACAGGAGAAACTAATTGCTGAGCTCACTAGGAAATGTGAAGAAGCAAATGAGCAGTTTAATTCCTTTGAAGAAGAAACAGAAAGTCTCAGAGCCAAATATCAAATCCAATCTTCAGAAGCTGTTCAACTATCAAGACAATTGGAATCATTGACTCACAAATACCAAAGTATCCAAAAGAGTATTGCTCGTCCAGGACTCAAGATCTTGCCTACCCTACGTGGAAGAGAATCAATTATGACTACTGAAGCTCTATTGGATAAGCTACAACGGGAGAACCGGTTCATGAAGCTGTTCATCGATAGTAAACTTGATTCACTCGTTAAACAAAGAGGAGCCATTGTTGATTCCACATCCCCCGGTAGTAATTCCCGACTTGGACGCGGAGCTAGTCGGTCATCAACCCCGTTCTAATCAAGCTGGGGTTAGTATCATAGTTGATTTTATACACAGCTTTGTATGATATAAAGAGGGCTTCTGTATTAGGACTACGAATTGGTAGCGCGCGCATATTCCCAGCTACCCCAGCCAAACGTAGTGCATATAACAGTACTCATTATTAACGTTCCGAATTACCCCTCGGGTGTTAATCATCACTAAATTGAATTGGTGGACTTCTTCTTCTTCTTCTTCTACTTCTTAAGACTCAATTGATTACAGTTATAACATGAAGACCCCAATGGTCATGGCCACGGCGTTAAGCGGCTTGACTATGCCTTCCACCTTAGAAGAAGCCGTAGCAATGGGTGGTGCATTAGAACATAACGTGAGAGTAACAGTGTGCAACTACTATAACGGGTTCGAGTCCTGGACAGACCAATTGTCGTTAATTAAAGATTTAACTTTTGTTTATTCAGTATGGAATTTGATATGGCCTATTTGTCAAACGGTAAGGGGTTATGGCGTTATTGGCAGTATTAAGAAGTTGGTTACCAGTGTTTCCAAAGTGGTAGCTAAAGCTGTGCTACAGTTGCCAATCATAAAGCCAAAAGTAGAGGCAGAATTAGAATCAACCAAAGCAATGATGTATGACATGATCATCAAGAATGATCTGAGTTTATTACAGTTCCCGGTTCTTCCGCAAGAGGGTCTTGAAGATAGAACCGTGTTGGAGGAATTGGATAAACTCCAGCTATTGGAGCACTCTGATTGGTCAAAGGGTAGGGTTAGTGGTGGAGTTTATCATGGAGGAAATGATCTTTTACAGTTGCAAGCTGACGCTTATGCTAAGTATTCCATTGCTAATCAATTACATCCTGATGTATTTCCTGGAGTACGTAAGATGGAGTCTGAAATCGTTTCTATGGTGTTAGATATCTTTAATGCCCCTAAGGAAACCGGCTGTGGATGCACTTCTTCCGGTGGTACTGAATCGTTATTACTTGCTGGACTTGCAGCTCGTGAATACGGTAAACGGAAGAAGGGCATCGCCAAACCCGAAGTCATTGCTCCAATTACTATCCATGCGGGTATAGAAAAGGCATGCTACTATTTTGGAATGAAGTTACATAAAGTTGAATTGGATCCTGACACTTATAAGGTTGATCTTGGCCGAGTGAAGAAGTTAATAAATAGTAATACGGTATTACTTGTTGGCTCTGCACCTAATTATCCTCATGGAATCATAGATGATATTGAAGGGTTATCTAAATTGGCAGTGAAATACAATATCCCCTTACATGTTGATGCTTGTTTGGGGTCGTTTGTGGTATCATTTTTAGAACCTTCTAAAGTTCATGGTGAAGATGTAAAATTGCCTTTATTTGATTATCGTCTTCCTGGGGTCACTTCAATTAGTTGTGATACCCATAAATATGGCTTTGCTCCCAAAGGGTCCTCTGTGATCACTTATCGATCAAAAGAATTAAGAGAATGCCAATACTATATACTGGTGGATTGGACAGGTGGGATGTATGGCTCTCCTACACTTGCAGGGTCTCGACCTGGAGCATTATCGGTTGGATGTTGGGCTACTATGGTCCATTTTGGTAAGGAGGGGTATAAGAAATCGTGTACGGAGATAGTGAAGGCCACTATGAAATTGAAGAAGGCCATTAAAACTCACAAAATTCTACTGGAAAACTTGGAGATTATAGGTGATCCCATTGTTTCTGTATTAGCCTTTAAAGTGAAGAATGAAGCTTTCAATGCCTGGCAATTGGCAGATATTCTTAGTGCAAAAGGTTGGCATTTTGCTACGTTACAGAATCCGGCTGCTTTACATTTTGCGTTAACAAGATTAACCGTACCAGTTGTTGATGAACTTATTGAGGACGTTGTAGCCGCAGTTAAGGAAGCGATTGCCATGGCTGAATCCAATCCTAAGAAACTTAGTGGTGATACTGCAGCCATTTATGGGGTTGCAGGAAGTGTTCACACCGGTTCGATTGCCGGTCGGATCATTTCTGTATTTTTGGATGGACTTTATGAAACCAAGCCGTAGATTAACACAGATTTAGGAGCGTATTATAGTAGTATATGATAGTATACTATAGTGTGTTATAGTACATTTCAATTGCACATAGTATGTTATAATATCGGTTCATGCACGACGTGCTTATCAGTGACGTCTTCCAAAAACGGACATGGGATCCGAGTGACTATTGTTTCAACTTATCATCATGAAGAATGATACAATCTTAATGCTGATGTTACTAGAATAACCTCTTCCTTAGACCCGATGCTAAGTTGTTCTGCCTTTGAGGGAATCTCTCGGGTTTTCAGTACGGCGTCGTTATGCTGCTGGATATGTGCCCAGCTACCGCAGATCATTACCAACTACCATTCCAAGTCAGCTGAAGGGATTAGTCCTTTCTTCTTGGGACTTTGGCTCATGGGAGACTTTTTGGCATTCACTAGTGGTCTTATGAATGACGCCGTATTGGGGTTTCAGATCCTATTAAGCGTATTCTTTCTTGCTAATGATTTGACCTTATGTTATCAGTACTATTACTATAACAGTGTGTATCCCCACACATATACACCCGTTCATATTAGTAATAATGATGATAATGATGATGATAATACTAAACAGATAGACGCAATGATAGGCACACAGAGTAATGCCGAGGTTCATGACCCTTCTAGTGTTGCAATTCAAATCAAGAGACCACTGGGGGATGAGACAGGTTCGTTGTCTTCAACCTCAGGACCGAGCTATGATTCTGTTGATGATGCAAGACAGCCAGGACTAATGAAAACTGTATTAGCCGGTGCTGCAATCATTGGCAATGTCAACGGTATGATGAATAATAACGTTAACGCAGTTACTGCAAGTTCTAATAAACTTTTAGGACTAGTGCTAGCTTGGGGGTGCACCTGCTTTTATGTTGCATCTAGATGTCCTCAACTATTGAAGAATTATCAACGGAAATCTGTGGATGGCATATCTCCATTACTCTTTGGGGCAGCACTAGGAGGTAACTTAACTTATACTCTATGCATTGTTACTAGCTGTAACTTTGTCTATGCAAATAATAGACACCAGTTTTTTATGAGCCAGCTTCCTTATATATTGGGATCGTCGGGGACCATAGTTTTTGACATTGGATACTTCTATCAGCGGTACATTTATCGAGATAGTGGTAGGAATACCTCTAATATGCCCTTAGAGGATTGGGATGATATAGTTGTTAGAGTAGAGCCATGATATATATTGATGTAAATGTTAAATCCCTTATATCCGCCATAAATCCGGAGACGGAAGTGCGACTACCAAAAAAGATTAAATGCAAAAAAAAAAAGCTATACCCATTCAAATAGTATATGCTAGATCATAGTCTTCATTAACTGTTACGTCCGTCCCTCCATCCCTCACTCCTTCCTTGCATCATGTACTCTGTTACCCGAACCCTTCGACGAGATCTTCAACTATATAAATATAGACTCTTGTCTCCCATACTACCGCATCCACATCGCACAGTGCCATACCCCAGACTCATTGCAACTAGTCACAGTACTAGTAGTCACAGTGCTAGTTCTTCCGGTTACCAACCTCCCGCTATACCATCCAAAATCTTCACCCAACGCTCCAATGATGATATCTTTTCCATACCCTTAGACACGTTCCCGAATCCTCTCTTTGCCATGAACAAAACAGAGTTGCAGTCTCTACGATTGAAAGAAGTACGCCACCTACTCCAGATCCCCTGTAAGAATCTCATGGAAACAGACCTTTTCTGTCTAAATATTATCACCATAGTTAATGAGCTATTATGGTGCAATACAAAGTACTGTGCTTTGTTGATAGCTGCCGTTAGAGATGCCAATAAAGACTTATACCTGTTGTTAATACAAGCATTAGTGGAGTACTTTGAACGAACTCCCCAGAGATTGAAGGAATTGATTCTAATCCATTATATAGACTCTCCTGGTGGCTCCAAATGTCAACAAGTGTTCTTCAAGTACTTAAGTGGTGTCATGTCCGCCAACGATAAGCTATCTGTCACTGAGAAGAGTAATTCTATTCTCCAAATGGTGGAGAAGTTAGCAGCCACAGATCTTGTGAACGAGACCCCATTCTTGATCACCAGTTCCCTCTATGAAAGTTTGATCAATGGCATTCATAGAAACGATTATGGCCGTCTTTTCCTGGCATTTGTCACTGCTAATGTGCTGACTAAGTATCCATTTGCAATGAGACATTTGAAGAAGTCGTTAATGTCAGGCTCTAATATGGAGAAATTCATAGCTAGAACAGGTTGGTTCGAGCCCAAATGGCATGATACAATTTCGGTGATTAAAGATCCCAAGAAAGAACGTCGTATTATGCTTTATTTTACCTTGACAGAAATAAGATACTTCACCAATTATGCCATTGATAACAATGATCTTATTAACGCCAACTTTTATTTGAATATACTCATACAAAAGTTTGAACAACTATGCCAAAATATGAACACTGAAAAGGACGTTTCAAAGTTTCAAAATACTCTTATGTATGAGGTGAAGTCAACATTGAATGTGATCCTTAATCATGTCATGACATTCAGAGGATCCCAAGAATCAGTCAAAGTACTCAATTATATTGTGAAAAGTGGACTACCATTAGAAATACCTACTATATTAATCTTACTTCAAAGCTTAAGAACCCAAGGGTATGTCCAGCAAGCTTTAACAGTGGTTAACTCACTTAATTGGGAAACCTTAAAGGGCCAAGATGCTCTGACCATTGTTGAAGAGATAATATCTTTAATTCAAACCCGATATCCAAGATCTCCAAAGATTTTAATTGGTTATATTGCAAGCATTTATACCGCGGCGAATGGTTTGAATGCTCTTTCCCTATTGGATGACCTTGGATTATTATGTTCTGTTGAAGAACGGGCTTATACTCCTCGGAGAATTAGTTCCATGGACATTATCCAAAAAGCTAATGTTGAACCTCATTTATGTGGGTTCCAATTCACTTCCAAGAGCCTTGTGGCAGTGTATGAGACTGTACTCAAGCTGATTCCCGTGGCACTTATTACAGAGGAAACAATTCATCTGTTATTCGAGAAATATCTTGCATTATACTTGAATGGAAAAGATACTTTAGATATCTTCAATGATAAGCAACATACGGATTCTGTCATTGTAATATTAATGAAGTATCTTCTTCTTGCTGACGGAGAAAACACCAAAATGAAGTTTGTGCTGACGACATCTCGCTATAATGCTGCCAAGAGTATTACTATGCAATATCTAGAACAAGTTGAAGTACCCGATAACGGTAGATCAGGTTATTTGTTTGATATGTTGATTTCCGTGGCCCTTTTGAAACATCAAGATTATGAATTTGCTTCCAAAGTTATCCGATTCTCCAGATCCCATAATATCCCATTTAGTTTCAACCAGATTTATCCGTTCATTATGTACCATTATGGTCGGAATGAGTTCGGTATGGCTGAACAATGGTATAATGTTCTTATAAAACACGGCATTAGTGCAGCAGTCGGCCCTGCGAAAGATCTTTATCGTATAGCCCGTGAACTTCAATGGAGTGTCAATGGGTTTGTGTATCGGAAGATGCGTATTCGTAGGAACTATGCAAAGAAGGAAGAGATGAATAGACTTCAACAAGAACCCATCGTGCTTATTGAAACCGATGATACACAAACTGTGGAAGATGAAGTCACCGATGAGTTAATTTCCGGAGAACATAGTTTGAATGACTTTGGAGATGAACTTAGTTCACTTTTACAAGAAGCTTCTTATAATTAATGTCTTTATGATAGAAACGGTATACCCGAGGTCACTTCCGAGGGTAAAACTAGCCTCGGAGTTGCAACATATATAGACACATACTGATGTTAATGCTATAGACTAATGATACATCACGTCAACATTGTCAATATACGCTAGTTACTCCGGTTATACTGTTGGTAACGCCAATTATGCAATTATACCCCCAAAGCTTATCCCCATATCCCCCGGTTTAACACCCGTTTACCCCCGTATACCCTCGTATCTGTAACCTTTATTCGCAGCTGCAAATGTTTTGGAACCTTCCGTTTTGGGAAACACATCTACAAACAAACATGAGCGTTAATACCTTATGATGATCCTCTTCTCTCCTTCTTCTTCTCAGCAATATCAACGATATCACCGCAATGGCAAGTGAACCCGAACTCACTCCTGACTCGGGAAGAGGAAGGCGTTATCGGAGTCACGAGCAACATCAACAACATCAGCAAAGCAGATCGTATGGGCACCACCAAACACCCAGCAAAAGTACCAACGTCACCCTTCTACAAGACGACGCAGAGGAAGAACCAGACATCACCATAACGGAGACAGGTTCCAGTGCCAGGGAAAGGTTCATGGACATAGAGAACAACGTCAACCAAGCCCTTAGGGAGCTTGACTCCATCTACTCGCAGATCGGATACCTGGCTCCGGAGATAGCGATGAAGAAGACAGAGATCTTCACTGTGGTCAACGAGACAGTGTTGAACTACGTGGGCACTCTACAGCGAGAGAAGAACAACATAGAAAATGAATGTGAGAGGCTCAGACAACAGATCCGCATCATATTGGCCATAGTCAACGATAGAAACGGGACCGAGTCATTGGACATCATGAGCCGAGGTATAGTGTTTAATGATACAGAACTATATGAAGAGGGATATAGGACCCTAGTCATGAACAAGATGAACTCTGGAACCATATCTTGCACATCTACTGGCCCGTTTCTAGAAAGTTCTCCATTCAATCTTGACTCACTGTCTCAACTAGACATTGTACCTAACGGGAGTCTGGCTCTGGCTCTGGCTCTGGCTCAAACAGATTACCTCCTTCGGAACATACCACAACTTTCGATGCTTCAATTGAAGGCTCGGCTCAACGGAATCTTCCTTGAGTGTCTCAAGATCTTTGTGGTCAAGTTCAAACAGTTCACCGACTTGAACTTGACCTATGCGGAGTACGCGGAGCTTATCGGAGAAGACATTATCAACGACAAGATGTCCAAGGTGCTTCCCACCAGAACGGAATCAGAAGAACACAGACAATTGATCCGACAGTTCGAGTCGATGTTGTGTCTGCTTCATATGAATCTGTCTAAGCAACATCCCCAGTCGATCATCCTGTTGAGCGGGAAGAACGACGACAGCCAGGCATTTATTATATCCAGTCCTCGGAAGAACTTGAGGCTGCGAGAGCGAGAAGAAACTCTGACTGATAATAATAGCAATGGGTTATCTCAATTGAGAGATTTGAATTATCAATTGGTTACGGTAATAAGGAACTTGAAGATCACCAAGCTTTCTCCCGAGTTTATGCAACGAATGAATGACGATATCAGCCAATACGAGGCTCTTGTTGCAGAGCGTGAAGCGAAACTCCAGGATACCATCAACCGATGCATTGAGTGCATTGAAATGCTTCAATTGACAGACGACAAGTTGATAGAGCTCCAAAAGAGAAATGAAGCTAACAGTACCAGTAATGTGTCTTCTACCACCGAATATTTTGATCTTGATACCTTGAGGTTTATCAGCACCAATCCCCGACAATTTGGACTTAGTAATGCTTATTTCACGTATATTGAAGCATTTCTTAAACTCTTGGAACACAAGCGGGCCCATAAGCAACAGAAGTTTGACCATTACTTTGATAAGTGTAAGGACTTATGGGAGAAGCTAACCGAAAGTCCGGAGTACGTCAAGGCGTTCACAGCATCAAACAACTCGTTGAACGATACTTGTTTGATGAACTTGAAGATGGAGTTGAATCGGTTGCATCTACGTCGAGCGGAGTTTGTGGACTCGTTTATCATGGAAAGCAGAGAGCAAATTTCGGAGTTGTGGGACAAGTTGTTCTATGGAGAAGAGCAAAGATCCGAGTTCCGATATTACCACTTAAACATACGAGGAGATGACGATTTGGATAAGGAGAAGGTTCTCAAGGTGCATGAGCAAGAGTGTGAGAAGTTAAAGCAAGAGTATAAAGATAAGGGCAAGATCTTACAACTATATGGAGAATTAGAGAGGTTAGTTGAAGACCGGAAGTTTCTTGATGAATCTTCCAAAGACCCTTCAAGATTACTTAGTAAGAATAAGAATTCGTGTCGGAATCTTCTTATTGAAGAGAAGAAACGGAAGCATTTGAGCAGACGAATGCCCATAGTGTTGGCTACATTAAAGAGTGAAATCAGCAGCTATAACAAGCTGAAATTACAAGCAGGTGGGAAGTATATTACTTTTGGAGGAGTTGATTTATTTGAAAAGGTTTTGGTAATTGAATCGGAGTACAATATGAAGACTTGTAGGTCCTCCAAGATAAGAAGTCCAGTCAAAACAAAAGCAACAGCATCAACTTCATCTTCATCATCATCATCATCATCATTTTCATCTATCAGAAAACCTCCTATACCTTCACGGTCGACTTCCAGAATACTTTCTAGTAGAACACCCTCAAGTACCAGATCGAATAGCAGCATGACCCTGAGTAAAGATCCTTCACCCATGAAACGAGGAATGTCAAGAGGTGGAATTGCACCTTCTCATCTTCAACCGTTGAACTCACCATTGAAAACATTGCACCAAAACCACCATAAACCGTCCATTCATGAAGATATAAATGCCGATAGCACTCACTGTTCGACTCTATATGGTGCATCATCACCATTGAAGTTGTCTATGAACCATCATTGTCATTTCAATTCTTTCACTAATTCTGTCCAAGGGTCCCCCCTTAGGAACGGATCTCAAATGTTCAATGAAGGTGAAAAGGAAAACTACGAACTATCTCCGGTCAAAGTGCCAACTACATTCACACCAATGGAATTCCAGACGACGGCGCATGACGTTGAACTACAAAGTGACAGTTCGACTTTGGTTGGGGGAGATGAGTATTTGATGTGGAAAGATAAACGGATGCGTGATCTCAACGCCGACCACTGTACCATTAAGGATGATTATTAACATTTAAGGAAGTTATTGTACCAATATGTAAAAGTAATAAATCACACTTTGTAAACCTTCTCGGTAATGCTGTTGATAAAGGAATGGGATAAATGCAGAATAAATTGTGAATTATACCTTCAATCCAGGTGGTTATGATGAAGATATTTCGTTTGAAGATTGAGCTTGTGTATTTTCATGCTTTTTCTCGTCATCGTCATCGTCATCATCATCATCGTCATCATCGTCTTCGTCTTCGTCATCGTCATCGCCATCTTCATCGTCATCGTCATCGTCATCGTCATCGCCATCTTCATCATCTTGTTCTTGCTTCTTCTTCTCCTCATCCTCCTCTTCTTCTTCGTCTTCATTTTCATCAGGGTACCCGCCCAACTTGATGACTATCTTATTCACAATCTCATTCCAATCCATCATTCCTCCAAGTCCTATATCACCATAACTTCCAATAACCTTCTCACTAGGTTTCAAAACCTCAATCCATGGCATCTCCTCACAGATCAACCGCAATTGTCTCCGAGTAGTCACAGCATTATAACTATAAGAGATCATTGCTGGTGCCAAAAGAATGGGCTTTGAGGTGTTCCAAGCTCTCACAACATTGGTTAATAAATTATCACATAACCCAAGTGAGATTTTGGAAAGTGTGTTGGCTGTCATTGGGCATACAACTAAAATATCTGCCCAACGACGAAGTTCAATATGTAAAACAGGATCCAGTCGTTGTTTCCAAGTACTCCATTCATCTTCATCTCGCCATATCCGAACCTTCTTTTCAAGCTGATGGAAAGCTTCAGGTCCAATAAAAGTTTGACTTGCCTGAGTAAGAATAACTTGAACTGAAAGTCTATCTGGTCCATAAATCTCTAAAAGCTTATGAATAGCCATTTTAGCCTTTACTATGGAAAGTGCTCCGCACATACCAACCAAAACATGAATTTTCCCATCATCTGTTGGTAACCGTGGATCAGTGTTAGCATTCTGCTCCAACGCTCCAGGGTTAGGACTACCCATATTTCCCGAAGGCGAAGCTGCATGTAGTGGTGAAGCCAAATTGCTACTACTATTTCCAGTACCATTTCCAGGTCCACCAGTAGCAGGAGAAGGTGTCAGGCCTGCAACATTACCAAGACCCAGTCTTCGAGAAATTATGTCTTCAGACGCAATCAGAGTGGAACCCGAATTAGACCGAGATCTATTGTTAAACTTACCCAGCTTCAAGATATCCTCCATAAAGAAATGTGCATGAACAGAAGTTGATAATGGTGAGTTTGTATTGGCATTTGCACCAGGATTTGGAGTTGTACTTGTAAGGCCTTCTCCATCAATAGAATTCTGTGGGTCTTTCTGAGATATGATTGGTGAGACAATGATTTCATCAATCTTACTGGTTGGCTGGGGCAAGGGGTGTAACTTAATTCCCGTAGGGTCAGCTGTGGCCGCTGGAGAATCCGTTGCTGAAGGAGCAGTTGAGGAAGAGTTAGAAACGGCCCCATTAGTACCACTACTACTAGCAGATTTATTAGCGTTAAGAATAGCACCTCCAGCGACTATGGTTTCTTTACCGCCATTACTAACCAAGGACCCGTCAGCTTTGAATCGCAGATTCAGCAACAGTGTCTTTTGCAGCAAAGCTGTTGTGTGGGATTGTAGATGTGTAGTGGGGGTATGAACTGTGGGGGAGGATCGTCTTTCGGAATCTACAGGTTCTGATTTCGTTGATGATGTTGATGAAGGATCAACTGATGGAGCAGCTGAACATGAACCTGAACCTGGAGCGCTCCCTGAGCCTGAAACGGTTCCTAAACCTGTTGCTGGCAGTTGGTGCTTCTGTTGCTGCTGTTCAAGCTTTGCTTTGGAAAGGGCTCCTGCTAATTGGGATACAGTGGGATATTTAGGTTTACTTGAATTGGCTAAGATTGGTGGAGGGGAAGGACACCGTAAATTTGAGATGGCCATGGTATAAGAATCCGGACCTTCTTGCAGCTCTGATTCTGATTCCAACTCAAATACAGGCTCAGAGGTAGTTTGCTCTTGTAGTGGTTGCTCATCTACTTCATTTTGTTGTTGTTGATCGTGGGTGTTGCCATTGGCAAGAACCCCCGACGAGACCGGTTCTGCGACCCCGTCTTGCGCTTGAGACAACATCAATGTCTTGGACGCTATCGTTTTCTTCTGCTTACGACTCAGGTTTGTTTAGGTGATGAAGCCTTAAGAAAGGATACTAGCGTTAAGTAGGAGCTGACATATTAACTTAGTAATTGTGTGTCGTCCCTTGGGATTATTTTCCTTTCGGTGCACGCACTACTTCTGGCGACATTTTTTAATATTCCGTGATTCCAGAAAGTAAGATTCCGCCTTTTCTGCCATAGCTTTAGGGTAATCCCCTATAAGGTAATGAAAAATAAATCAAGTAAAGTTACTTTATCGCGTAGTGTGTGTGTATAGTAAAGTAGCAGTCCATGCGGTCTTTTGTGTACGTAAGTGTCAAAAGTAATGGCATCAGCATCCGTAACCTCCGTATAAGGATCCGTGGAAACTCTAGAAAGACGACATTAGCGACATTATTCTTTGTAATTGAAAATTTTCCACAAGTGCGACATTAAAATTGATGAGCCTGCTTCTTACACTTTGTGGAGCCGTCACATGAGCCGTCACATGCCTGTATACAGCACCCAAACTAGAAGTTTCATACAGCACAAAAAAAGGAAGCATCAATTCGATTCTCTTGACGTCTTGCTCTTGGTTACGAGCGTTGCAGTCAAGCTAATCGTCCTAATGGATCATATACTGCTCATATACACTGGTTATATATGACCAGACGTCGTGTTAGAAAATAGCTAAAAAGTTAACCTGGATTTCACAACTGTTCGCCATGTGCAGTCTTATCGGAAGCTTTGTGTCAGAAAAAGGCAATCGCTAGCGATAAGCAAAGGTGCCATTTTTCGCAACCAAGCTACCCAGTTGCTACGTTGAATATTTACAAAGAAAAACCAATGGTTAGTCACCAAAGGTGCATTGTAGCATATGTAACATAGCACCATGCTTACTATGACTCTTCTGTGCCCTTGTTAATTTTCACCACACTACCTTGGTGTCTTTTCCTCCGCTCAAGATACTTCGAGTTAGCTCTATGCACGATTTCACTAGTGTGGACATTCAGATACCCTCTGCTGCCTCCTGGGTCAACGATTTCTCCAGTGGACTTCTTGCTCCCACCTCTTGAGTTAGCCCCTGATCTCATGGCCAAGATATTGTTGTCTGCACTGGAGGACTCTTGTGCCTGGTTTTGATTACTATGTACTTGTTGAGCTGCTATGGCTGCTGCTGCCACTAAAGGATGAGGTTGTCCACTATTGCGACGTCCAGACATACCATTTCCTTGGTGTCCCAAATAACTGTAATATTGATGGGGTTTGGATTGCATAGGAGAGATTTCTTCTGTTGGAGCAGCGGGCTGGGGTATTCCACCGTAATAGAAGGCATAAGGCTGGTTTACAAACATTGGGGGTCCCCCATGATGATGAGGATGATTTTGTTGGGGTATATAAGGGAAGCAATTGGTTCCATATAATTCTGGCTCGGAGGGGTTGTTGCTTATGATTTCTGGTCTAGATATCAGTGTATACGATGAAGACTCGGATGGAGTTAATGTTAGTGAGGATATGCTGGCATGAAGCTCGTTAGTGGGCGATGGAGATGAAGAAGATCCGGAGGGAATCTCGTCCAGAATTGGTGGAAGATGAGGCGGAGGTGGTGGCGGTGGAGGAGGAGGAGCTGTGGCTGGTCCCATAATAGGATAGTACATGTACGACATGTAACTGGAAGGAGAATAGAACTTGAATTGGAGGTACTTATTACGTTCATATCCCAAGTTGAAATAATCTGCCGTGTTTGGGGAATATACTCTCTTATTATTAGAACCAATAGAATTTCTATGTCCTCCTCCAGACAGTTGTTGATGATGGTAGTGATGATCAGAGTGAGGTTGATTCTGTTGGTAAATATGATGGTGTTGTTTATAGTTGGTTGAATTATGATGGTTACTAAACTCAGGGAATTTGTCAAAACGGACTGTTAGTACCCTTTTTTCAAATTCCATATTGTTGAATATATCTACCAATTTTTTGGACGTTTTTTGTGATGTAGTTGTAACGATTCCAAACCCACGGGACTTCACGTGTTCACCATGAGGAGTTTGTTGAGACTGACCATAGGGATGAAATAAATGTGAGGTGTCATTCGGAGATAAAGTTGGTGATATTGTAGTTGCTGATGACGAAGACGATGATGAAGGTGTATTGATGGCATTAAACTGTCCCATAAAATTGTTTTTGGATATGGAAAAAGAGGAAGTATTGGCATCTATCAAAGGAATCTCCACCTTGACAATATTCAATTGGAAATCTGGATCGATTACCTTCACCGTACTGGTTATAAACTTTTTCAACTTTTTCCACGTAGTTGAATAAGGAATATTACCAAAGAAGACCCTTAAGGGATCAACCAACATGTATCTTTGATCCTCTTCACTGAAAACGTAAACTTTACCTCCTTCTATTGAATTGGTCATTTCTGTGGTATATAATTCGTCTAGAAGGGTTAAAAGCCGTTCGATATTAATATTATTATTAAGAATGTTCAATTTTGCATCTACAAGGTTTGTATGGGACCCTTTTTCAGCCTTTCCAGGAATAAACTCGTAATACAACGACGGGATAAACGCTTGATTAGGGTCAACAAGAGACTGTCCAACTTTTTCTCTAATTATGGCCTCCTGGATATCTGTAACACACGGCGACATGTCTTCAGACTCTTTTAACAAACCTTCTTTCAGTCCAGTTGGACTAGAACCAATCAGTGATGATAATGTCGTAGCCATTTTAGTTTCTGTTGTCGTTTCTGTGCTCTTATCAGCATCTTGCGAACGGTATATGTAGATGGTACAAATGTGGGGGATAAATGGGTGAGCATTCTTATCGAAAGCATGATGATGTGATTTGCTAAGGTTATCCGTGACACCAGCTTCAAAACCCTCCATGATAGAATTCAGTAGGGAACTCATATAAGCAATTGGATATTGGTATTCTATAATGGAGATGCGAATTTTTAAGGGTTACAACCAAAAGCAAACCTAGAATATTTTCACCATGAATCAATACTACCCGATCAAGTCAAATACAGAAGGCAATAAACTCCCAAAGGGCCAAGGTTGAGGTTGGTAGAAAGAACAAACAAGAAAAATATACCCGGTTAAAATCGAAGCGATTGTTGGAATAACCGCAAAGATTTCACCTTTAACTATGAGAAAAACGATATCCCCATTCAATTCATACTTCTCGCCAGTTAGAGCCTCTGGCGTGCATAACATCAATTAGATGTAGGAGAAGAATAAGTTTATAGGAAAAAGAAACTGGAGCAGAACACAGGAAACCAGATGGACGTTGTGTGACTACTTAACAGATAGTGAATTGCTACATAAATTAAGGTTCATTGTTTGTAGCTTTGTGAGATGATATCGGCGATAAGTAGGTCTTGTAAGTTTTTTATTTATGTATCAGTGATGGCTAACTCGTCAAATTGTGTCACGATAAACTTTATCTTTAGCTTTTTATTCTTCTACTGTTTCCGTTGTGTTTCTGTTTCTTCCTGTTCACTTTGTACGGGTATCCTCAGAAATTGCAATGAGCCCCAACAGCTCGAGCCCCCTTTTGCTTTCACCTATGAATGAGCTTGTTTTAAGGAGGTAGTAGCATTAGCCATTACTAATGAGCCATTGAATTAAGCTTGTCAGCAATAAGCCTCGCCCCTAGTCAGATAACAGGAGAACACACAAACCCAACCACAGGGGACCTAATCCAAATCAACCACCTTCAAAGTGGGGCTCAGTGAGGGACACATTTGAGTTACACACAGCCGTCAAAAGACCGAGTTATTTTCAGCACAAGTCAAACTCAAAAATCAAGCTAATACTATTGTTGCTTCCTTCTAATTTCTCTCACGTCTAGCGCCAATTTCGGGCACCATGTCAATTGCATCATGTTCATTGCACCAGTGTTCGTGAACTCTCACTGTCTTCGTTACCTTCCCTCTTGTGGTTCGGTTCGTGCAAAGAACATATCTCAACCTTTTTTATTACCGAATCTAACCGCCCCTCCCACTGTGCATGTGCATTTGACAAAATCAGCACACGCAAGGTATCTTGTGAGCAATCAAATGGGTGCAAAATAACTGTTTGGGAAGGAAAGTTCCCATGTGCAAATGAACTGCCAATATTGAGGTAAAGCCTTGGTGACTGGGTGTGGTTGATGTCCAACTTTCGATAGCGCATTGTAGCTACGATTCAAGGTCAACTACTAAAGGCTTTCTTTGTACACCTGGTATGTTGTCTCTTGGACTTGACTCTGTCTAATCAGTGATTGTACGTTCTGTCTGTAACCCAATACGTAAAACAGCCATCAGAACCGGGTCTTGTGTTTTGTGTCGGAGTGTACCAAACCTGGTGGAATCTCGTCTATATGTCACGTTGGTGATCATTTGGTGCGTTCTTGCGAAGGTCTTTATATGTCAGAAATAAACGGCCTTTAATCATGAGATGAAATTACAAGTTTCAGGGCTGTAATTTTTGTCCTTTTTACTTGCTGAATGGTTGGCTTCTTTTGGAAACGGTTGCAAAATTGGGTTTTAGGAATGCTGGCTTAAAGGTAGTAAGGAGGTGATTTAAGCGTTGCTCGATGTTGAGAATTACTTAAGTCACCATACAATACTTTGCGTTCATATCTTCAGTTTTTATTGGTTGTACATAATACACAATAATATTGGTCTTATAATGGTGGGCCATTATAGTTTATACTAGCTAACTCTTTGTATGGGTATTTTCAGAAGGGTCGACATTTGTAACATAATTTGGATTCACCATTATCTGTAGTGACTAACTCGAGGCAATTTGAGAAGTGATAAAAATACTTTTCAATTATAAGAGCCATGAATAATATTACTTAAGATACATGTATGTTGTCTAGTAGTGGCTGTTAATGATCTCAACATGTATCTTATATCGCCATGAGCGATAAACTGGAAAACGTTACCACTTAAAGTACAGTTGGCACGTAAGTTGCTTGACCTAGAGAAGTCGCTTAACATTTCAAATACTTTAGCTGAAGAATACTATATGCTTAGATTCTATTCATGGCTCAGTGGACTTCTAGCTAATCTTAGGAAACTATTCTTGAATAATGTAAGCAGGGTACTTTATTCGTCATTTTAACTGCACTTCAAGAGTCCAGATGTTTTGCCAGAACATGGCCATTCTTAAAATTGCTAGAATATTCTTCTTCTTCTGAAATGATGCTTCCAAATAGATTGCAATTCAATTAGAGGGTTCAAATTACGAAGTGTTACATATTGAGCCTAATAATGAGGAAATGTGCCATACATGCATCAAGCGAATGCGCCTAGCAGGGGAACATCGTCATTTAATTGTAACTCTTCTAGAAACCGGTTAGTCTTGTAGCATTTTTTTTGCCTTTCACTGAAGGAGTATCGGCAAAACTGGGTGCTCTTACGTAACCATAGGCACGTTGATTCTTTTTTGTCGCCTACTCTACTGGCGCTTAGATTGTCTTGTGTGCCTACTGGTTAAAGTTGCTGGGTAAATTCTTTCCCAGCTCCAAGTTCATTTGCTGTAACTTCACAAAATGAGACTTTTCAACACGTCATTGAACACAACTCTTCAACATTTATATAACATGTTATTTACATAGAAGCACGGACTTAATAGTTTAAGGCAGAGATTAGAAGTTGAAAACATCCTAAGTTGAAGTAAGAGATTTCTTGACCCTAAGAATAGTCTAATGTTGGTAGATAATCAAATGATTGAAGCTGGCTATCAATAGCACTCAATAGCTATATCTTATGAACCAAAAGGCTAAGCATATACTTCAGAAAGATTGTCAGGAATTTTTGTGTCTAAGAGTAGTCTTAATTTTATTGGCCAATATTGATAAGATAAAAACTACTTTTCAGCTTTAAAATACACCTAACAGATACATGATATGACCAAGAGGCTATTAATACTTCAGATAGAACATATGAATTGAATCAAGTAGGTGCATGTGCTGCAAATGTAGCTTCAGAAGGGTATCTGCTTTTATCTTTCACCAATTACCTTTTTCATCCTTTGAACACAACTAATTACAATAGTTCATGGTTAAGGAGCTTTTCATATTTTTCTGGAATTCGATATGAAACTTAGAGTAAGCTAGCCAACCTGTTTTCCTTTTCAAGCATTAATGTTCAATCAATTGTATAGTGAGCTAAGAATTCTAATTACACGAATTAGAAGCTGTCCGAAACAAAAGCCTTCCAAATTTTTTATTAGCTGACACTTCAAAACTTGGGAAAAGGCTTGTTCCTATGCATATTGAAGTGGTTGTTAATTTTATTACCTTTTGAATACTTTCAATCATCTCTCCTCAAAGTTTAGCCCTAAAGAAATAATATACTGGCCGTCGTATCAGAAATGTCCAAATGGAATCGTTCAATTTGGCACCAAGTCAAGCAGAATAGAAATGCTGAGCATTCTTTCAAACGTATGCGCTAGCACTGGACAAATCTTGTTGCAATTGGTTATTCCATATTTATTAATGTCTCGAATATCCAGAATTATGGAACTGAAAGATCTGGAGTCAACTTTATAATTGTACAACACTTCACAACCATTTAGCACAATTACCATTTTAAAACAACTTTATTGACTTCATATTTGTTTTGAAGTGATAACTTAGAACGCTAATACTACATCACCACCAAATTGGATATGAAAAGTGCCAATATATGTTAGGCTTAATGGTGTTTGCTAGATCATCATTAATGGACGTAGTTCAAGTTCCATTTGGAACTCAGCAAATAAAGCGTGATACCATAATAGGAAGTGAGATATACCATTTGTTAAAGGTCCTACTTTCATTGGTAACAAATACTTTTGGTTTGAAATCTGTTTACTTATTAAAAGATTTAATGTGAACATCGTCAATCACATACTAATAGCTAAAAGGCTGGAAATCATTATGTTGATTTCAATCTCCAAACACAGAGACTAAATCAACAACCATGCATTGCGCTTTTCCAATTGAAAATAATAATGCTTGAAGTCGACTCAAATTGTGACCGTTGAAATCTAGATTTCCTTTTCCACATCTTCATTGCTCCAATGACATATTATCTGGTAAATGTGAAACAAACAATATGCAAACCATAATCGCTGCGTTGAGCTGCAGCATTATGCCTTTAGGTCCAGCCGTTCTGGTTAATTACTGGCCCAAAGAGGTACTTGCCTAGAGTAAACCGCTAACATATATCTTTATTGCAAGTATTTATAAATTCTTGATAAAATCTCAAATTACAAAGCACATATTCTATTCCAAAGACCGCAATCCACAATTTAATATGCAAAAATTGATTCTTTGAAGAGATTCAGATAACTATTGAAATATTAACTTGATTAATTGATAACTTTAACCCTAAAATAGTGAAGTACTCATTTTAAACAAGGTTCTTGTGATTAGAACTTACATATTAGTAAAGTCTCCGCAGTTTTTGTCAACAGCTACTAATCTTTTTTGAATCTATAATCCTCAATACATTATCACATTTGGAGCGCTTGGTGATATCAAAGTAATATGTGGTAAAAAGGTTATAAGTATAACGATGATTTCTCTATTTTTCTATACATTTGAAAGATATACCGTCGAATTAGGTTTGTTGGTGGAAGTCGGCCTACATGACAGAGACACATCATCATTCCAGTTACTTAGGTAAAAGGAGCCACGTTAAGATCTCAAATTGGAAATAGTGCACCTCAATTCTGCGTTTGCAATGATGTGGTAACTCAAGTTTAATATTTCACTAAGGAATGGTCTTGCGGGCGGACCTACAGCCTTTCTCTAATTTTAACAATTATAAGCGATCAGATTGACATACGCGAAACAAAGATTTGCAGTATACCAACCTGTGGTATAATTGTTATGACAATAAACTATATATGGGGCTTTTCATATATGCTTTCGAAGATGCTGATTATTTATTTTCGAGAGCCACCGCACAAAGCTTATGCGTAAAGAAGTCCAAACCCCGATCGGCTTTTACACTGACTTTATCATTGCAGTACTAAAACGATCGAATTCAAAACTTCGGTATCAAACAAGAATACGGCCAAGGATTAAAGCATCACGTTCATCAAAAAAAATTTCAAGAATTTTCAATTTGCAAATGGAAGTTCTGGTGTTTGGTGACGGCTTAATTGAAACATAGGATTAACTTTGGTGAAATGTCTACCAGGGCGGCGCGACAAGCTCATTCATATATCAGTTTCTACTAACCACAACGCTAGTATACTCACAGCTGCTTTTCTTATGGTCCTAAGATCGATTATAAACTTAACATTACGTTTGAGTATTTAGCAATCTCTGCGCGTGAATCAGATCATTCGAGTGCGAGACAATCGATATAATGAAGCGATGATTGAACAAACTTAACACATTGGAAAAACAATCAAAACACAAAATACTTCACCGAATTAGGAAGCCTAACGGCTATCTGAATACCACTATTACGGCCGGTAGGATAAGACCCTTCAATTTGGATATACGTACAATAAACACCATATGCTATACACTTGAATAATTAAGTTCAAAGATAGATAGATATATATATATATAGATAGGTAGGTTGATCGATAGATACGTACATACACACACTCTCCTAAGTAGCCGACCGGAGTTTAATACACTCATTGCGAGATAGAGATAGAAAAACCTTCAATCATGTAGTACTTACATGAACTAAAAATGCTAGATGAAAGTTGTTTCAAAGTTGATCTACCTTTCCACTTTTCCAACTACGTTTACGATCTTCGACGCAAAGGTTTTACTATCCATGTGTTTCCAGCCTGACCATTTTCCCTGTTGTGAAAGAAGGCGCCTTACTATACAATTTATGGAATACCCTTTAAACAATAAAACATGGTGTGCATTTCGGAATATAATCGTTAAAAATAGTCTTTTCCCAATCTATAGTGTCTAAAAGAAGTCATTATGCACATGTGACAGGTTAAGCTTGCCGAGACATTAATGCTTACCTTAGTGATAATATCAAAAAGGCTGATAATTTGGAAGCAAAATAACCAAATAACCGTACAGACTATTTTAAGCCTTTCTAGGGAACATAAGCCAAAAAATTATAGAAACGTTGATTGCACACTAAATATTGCTACCACGTAAATTATGGCTTAACGAGGTAAAACAATGTCACTCTGCAGTTACGAAGTATTAGACTTCCTAAATCACTCGTTAATCAAAACATTAAAGTGTTGGCGCTATTGTATGGCTTTTCCTTCAAGTTATCTGGTACAGAAAACGCTCGTTTTTATTGTCTTCGGTTTGAATTATTAACAAAGTTGCAGCGAGACAATGTAGTGGCCAAGTATGGGGAATCTTGTGCAGCCTTCAGATCACTATTAGCGGGCATTTGGGGTGTAATTTTTTAGTTTCATGAGAGCCAATTAGCCATTCTTAAGTTTAAATCAAGGTGCTCGGAGATAAAGTGTTCTATCCCCGTACCATAACCATATGTTGATAATTCACATACTCCGCTAGAAAAACTTTGTAGAATCTCCTATTTCCGTAATGGTGTTATGACCAAATAAACTCAAGATTACTCGCAATTTAAACCTAGATGGCAATACTCACTTCGGTTTAGGGGTTTAACTACTAGAGTGCATCGATTTTGGCCGACCCCAAATATCGAAATTTATTACTCCCAAAAAATAAAAAAAAGCATGCTTTTTTTATAGACCCTATAGCTGTGTATTATACCTCAATGTGCATTTCAACAGATGTTAATGTCAGCAAAAAATAGACAAAAAAAAGTTATACCACACCTTCCGGTAGTTTAGACCATTGAAAGATAAAAAAACACCTCCTTGTTGTAATTCCGGCATACTTTGCTAATCTACGTGAGGTCGCACACGTGAGGAACAGTCAGGTCATTTGAGCGGGTATTCTTGTTTTTGATTCATAACAATTGATCTTAGCAGATGTGGTATGCCAAACCAAATGTGTAATCGTAAAGGCCTCCGGGACGCATCATATACGTTTAAGCAAACGAGAAAAGCCTCCACATAAACGTGCCACAAAATCAACTTTTTCCATGCCTATTGATTCAATATATAAAGCAAGAAGTGTATAATATATGCAGTACCACATGTTGCGTCAAAAGCATAGGAAGCCTTCCTGACATTTGTTATGAACAATCCCTATACACTCGTATACATACAAGTAAACCTTTCAATATACCGTCCCACTGTAGCTTCTCTTTCAATGCCTAATAAAGCTCGTTCAATGTGTAGGAGGACGGAATATTTCTCTACATCGTAAAGACTTGCCAACACTCAAAACAAAATACCTTTGTGCTGGTTTTACCTTTTATTAAAGATAGGATTACGAATAATTAGTTAAACCCATAGTACACGAAATACAGATTATATTGGTTTTTATCAATATAACAAAATAAAAACACAGGTTTACCCGTACCTTGAATGCATTTTTGCTTAGACTAATGCGCATAAAAAATATTTCCAACTGGACGAGACAGTACGGTCGCATTGCATAGTAGAGGAAGATGTATAATTTTCTTCTTCTTTTTGATGCAAATTGTTTTCGAGATTGACAGGAAAGGTTATATCGAGTAATAGTTTTTGTTGTAAAGGTAATTGAGATAACGCTGTGTTCTACTTCAGTACCAGAGACGGAAATAACGGTGATGCAGTGAACCCGCATGAACCAACTTTGCGTCTTAAAGTTATCGCCAATATATACAACATGCAGAAGAGTCGACATATCGAAAACTCGGTGTTGTCATGTAACACAAGAAAACAAAAGCACTACAACCCTATTTCGAACGTACATCATGTTTTAATGCAGTTTGTGTAAGATGGGCATACCAGACCACCAAAACCTGATTTCCTTACTTCATATCGTATTGGTCGATTCGGGTGAAAACCATCCATGAGTTAAAAGCTATTGACTTAAGAAATATGGATGTTTCATGTAGGCCCGGTTGCCATTTAGTTTGTGGAATATCCTTTGTTGGCGTGAGGTCAATTGGTTGCTTGTAGTGTGTGGAGGTTCCCTATTATCTTTTGGTTGAGGGCTTGTCTGTCTGCGTTATTTGATACCAATTGTTGCAGCCGTTAGGGGTAAATAAAGAAACACTAGATGAAGGATGTTTGATAACGATAATACTACTCCTGAACATACGAAAGTGAAAAAATACTGAAATAATGTAAGCTAAGGAAAAGCAGGAACAAGCGACAAAATAAAAATTAGGCCAAACCATTAATCATAGACAAAAAGAAAAAGGAATTTATTATCATACCAAAACCGAGTGTTCTTTAAATCTTCATCTCTAAAAGAGGGGCTGCATAAAAAAAAATAACAACTCCTGACAGTTTCGTGTGTAAGAAATTTTGTGGAGGTGCGCCAAAATAAAATAAACTAAACTAAAAAAAAAAAAATAAAAAAAAAAACGAAACTGAATATATAGAGGAATCTAGGATACCTTTTTTCCACTTGAACTCCAATCCTGGCATTCATGAAAACATCTCCGCCACGGGTACGAATAGACCTAGAAGAACCGTTGTACTTTTAATCAGCGTGATTTGCTTTAACATAACATTGATTTTGAGTTTTTCAAAGCTTTACATAAATCATTTATTACCACTTCCAAAAGGAACTTCATTCAGAAGGGGTAAAAAATATTATATTGTGTTCTAAACATTATATTTCATTCATTTCTCTCCTAATCTATTTAACTTTTCAATTACTGTGTTGAAAGTTTGTCTTGCTGATATTATTTATACAATTCATCCAAGAATTGCACCCATCCTCACTCGATATTTTTCTTTACCTAGATCATTCATCTGATCTTGAATTTTATTCTAGAACATAGTATCGGATAAGACCGTTCTACGTCGCTTGATCCGCATTGTGGGTGCTACCATCATAGTTACATCTTTGAGGTTGGTGATTTACATTGTTAGTTACTTTGTTTGTTAGTCCCTTCCGCCTGTCAGTGTCTGTACCACCACCAGAAAACCCGCCGCACGCATTCATTGACTTCTTATATTACACCATTAGTGGTAGTCATCAAATAGCAGTTGTTTCATAACTTTGATCCAGTTTTTTCCTTGTGAACTGATCTAAACAGATCTACAAGCAATCAAAGTTTTCATTTTTTAAAAATTGATTTCATATACAATACTATTTTGATTCCTCCATCATCTCGAATCATCTTTATCATTGCTATATTGTGTCTTAGCATTCCTTCTTTCCTTTCCTACAATCTCCCTTCCTTCCCCCCCCCCCCCACACACACACCTCCAGCTTGTTTCATTCACCTTATCCTCGCACCATTATACAAAAAGATTGTACTTTTTGATCTCATAACCACCATAACCAAAAGTTTCATTAACTCAATTGACTTTCAATTAACCGTCCTTTTCGTTTCTTTAACCATTTCGTGCGATTGCATGACACTACTAGAGGTGTACCCCCATTCAGCGCCTTTGTTCACCAGTTAATGTTTCACAGGTACCAGCCATTGTTATAATAACATTAATAATAAAAAATTATAATAATAATTTCCTTCCATTGATCTAGTCGCTGGCGTGCGTCTCGCTTTGTATTGTAATTGAATTAGATGAAATGGCAAAGAGAAAGCTTAACCCCCTAATAAAAAGAACAAGAACCCGATCAGGATGTTTGACGTGTCGAGATCGTCACATGAAATGTGATGAACAGCAACCGGTTTGCGCCAATTGTTTACGTTCAAAAAGAAAGTGCTACAGAGGAATCAGACTTAACTTCACTCAATACACCATTTATAACCCAAAGAAGTCCCTATCCTCATCATCATCTGGACCCAATGAGTTCGGTGCTTATGTTTCAGAATATCATCATCGTCAATTTTATGACAGAGAGTTACTCTCTCGATCCCATAAAATATTGGACCAATCCATAACTATTGCTTCACTTTATAAAGATGGGTATAAGAAATATGAACCATATGTTCGACTCCATTCAAAGAAAGATTTAGAACTAAGTAAACTCCATTTCCAACGGGACATGAATGCCTACAATGCAAAACTACCGCCTCTGACAGGATCATCATCCTCCACCAGTTCCACCACCAATTCCTCCTATCCAAATACAACCTTGTCCAGATCACTATCCTATCTGCCTACAACTCGTCACCGATCTCAAGGTTATATCAATGCCTCCTTCCATCCTGTTTCTGAATACGAGTTGATGCCTCCACCACAAACCATTCCAACTCATATAGATTCCACAAGAAACGAGTATCATTCGTACCAACTTACATCACAAGATACCCATGGTCAAAATTATGGCTTGATGCAAACCTACATTGCTCCCATGAGACATCCAGCTCCACAACAAGATCAATCTACTTTTCCTTACAGAAATTCAGATGCAACACAGTATCTTCAACAACTGCATTCATATCGTGATCCCCAACACCAACAGCCGTATTACAAGCACATGGAATATCGTGAAGGGTGCCCCCCTTCTCAAAGACCCCAACAGGGGCCCGTTCCTCAACCTTCGAATATTCCATATCAAATCTCACGGGCTTCCCTTGGAGCTACACCGGCGCCAGCACCGCCTCCACCACCTCCACCACCCTCTGGTCCCGGTCCTGGCCCCTCTCAACACATTCCTTATTACCAGCCAGCATTGGATGGACACCATTCAAATTATGATAACTACTTTTCTTCCAATGCCCAGGTTTCAAACACCCCCAGTCATTCGAACACTATTGGATTACGGCCAATATCCATCCGCCACAACACTAATAGCAATAACCAACTTATGCATACTGCAATCCCACCGCAACAGCACTATTATAGTTCAGACAGAATCGCGAGAATGGCTCCTCAGTATTCACCACTGGGATATCATAATCCTGAAGATATACCGCAAGGCCCTTCAGAAACTCCTCAAGTTCAACAATTCCCAGCATCATTCCATCCACAATCGCTCACACCACCCCAACATCTTTCGCTAATAACAAACTCTGGTAATGCTGATATCAGGACTTCACTACAAGCTCCAGGTAGTAGTAGTTTTATGCCACCAACATCCACTATGCCCCCAGACTTATTGGCGCAGAATCCACTGAATGTTGATACTATGACTATCCCCCAACCCAACTTTGGAGGGGATGTTACGAACAGACAGTCGTATCAACAAGCACCGGATTTTAGTTTCTCCTCCGGGTTGGTGGGCACTTCTTCCGGAGGAGAAACTAGCACCCGATCAGGTGCTCCTGGGTCTTGGATCAAGCCTGATCCAACATATCCTGGATGGCAAGAAGATTTCGAAAAGTATTTACAAGTTTTGGAGGATGAGAAATACTATTGGTTGTTAGACATGTTTAACGAAAAAGGAGTATGGAAGTCAATTATACCCCCATATTGCCTTCAAGAGCGTGCTGAAAATAATAACGGATTCTTACTTGAATGTCTTCTTAATTGCTCTCGTAGTAGTGGGAATCCTCGACTAGAATCAATTATAGAAGTCCAATTGAGTATATTTGATAAGATATTTGATAGTGTTGATCCCAATACAAAGCAGCCCATCCTCAATAAGAATTTGAAGGGTAAATCATTGGATATACTTGTTCTTCAACTTTTGATAAGCATTTCTTTGATTCTATTGATGTTTCAGATCAAATTAACCAATTATCTGATGCAAATTGGAACTTATTCAGTTACAGTTATTAACAATCAATTGAAGTTGTTTGCTATTTTATGTGAGTTGATCTTTTTGAACAATAAGTTCTCTTTTACAACTACTACTGCTAATACTACTATTGATGATACCAAAAAAACTACGGAAATCGGTGTTATGAAGGTTTGTGCCATGTATTCTGTAACTATTTTGAAGTTCTTTCTTCTAAAATACTTGCAGGCGAATCGGAAACTAATGGACTTTAATAATATAGACGATAAGGGTCCTTCCAAATGGAAGATTGTCTACGATTATGCTAGTAACAATCTATATTACCTTTTCAATTTGAATCTGTTTGAAATAGAAAACCTCAAGACGTTTTATCATGGGTTTTCACATTGTCAAACATTCATAAACCAAAAGGAAGGGAATAATTCAGATGCCTCCAATCTAAGAGAAATTATCTGGAAAGTCATACGGTATCATTATGAAGTTCTAAATCCAGAGAAATTCATTGATAAGACTACTAGTTCCAATATTAAGGTTGAGATGCACAATAAAAGTGATACTAATAATGCTCTATTGGCTGAAACAGAAAAGATTTACTCCACCAAAAACCATGATGCAGCACCAGTGTTGCCATTGCTAAACGAGAAGCTCGGAATTAAGTCCGGTTCAGTTAATGATTTGTTCAATCCCCATAGACTCAATAGATACGACTATACAGGGAAAGATGGTACGGCACTTCTCCCCAATGATCGCATATTGAGTATGGGACTACTTACAAATTACATGAACAGCATAGTTGCTAATCAGGTGGATGAGCCAACATCGTCTACTTTTTACAAAAAGAAGATTGTGGGTGTGTTTCAAGCCCTTAGCGATTCCTTCTTAGAATCAGATTTGGCACTACGTTGGGAAAGAAACTATAGCTGGCTTCTTCAGACATAAGTATTCATTATAGTAATATATTCATTATTCTTATTGATTGTGTAAGAGATACATAGAAGTATTTCTTCAAGTACAAGAGTACTGCACCATATAGAAGCACTCTTGTACTGTATCTGTAGTTGTTAGGGAGGTTGTTGTGGAGGTTGTTATAGTGATGTAAATCATAGTTGTTGTTATAGAAAAGAACACTTGTTGGGGTTACCCGCACTTGCTGAAAAATTTTCCATTTGAATAACCAGGTACCTACTATAAATTAACAGACCCCTTCTTCTTCCTTAACGTATACAATAATGTCTCTTGGTACTTTATTCGCCACTCAACAAATCAGATCTGTCCCCCCTAAGGCTATCATTAAGCATTATGGTTTGGACGTGAAGATCTCCGATAAGGAAGATCCCTTGTACACCAAGAACTTCCCTATTGCTAAGATCCCTGCCTTCATTGGTCCTAAGGGTCTTAAATTACATGAAGTGATTCCCATCACCATCAACTGTATGTATTATCGAAAGTGATCAATGAAAATGGCAATTGAGTCTATATGATGAGAGATCTTTTCAATTATTATACAGTTATCCCTGTCTTAATAAACTATGTCGAGAATTTTAATCTGAAAACCAACACAATTAACCAAACATTGTCAATATTTCAAAACATGTTCAATTTTACTAACAGGTAAATTCTTTAGTGGTTCAACAAGCTGAAGAAAACTCTCCTTTGTTGGGTAAGACCCAAAGAGATTTCATTGAAATCTTGAAATGGTTGTCTTTCACCAACTCTGAGGTTCTTGTGGCGTTTGCTAATGCTATCAAGCCTATTAGAGGAGACGTTCCTTTCAACAAGAAGGTAGTTGAAGACAACTATAATCAACTTGTTAAACTCTCGCAAATTTATGAGAACAGATTGGTGAACTACACCTTCTTGGTTGGGGAACGTCTTACCTTGGCTGATGTGTTTTCTGCTGCTTTACTTGTGAGACCTTTTGAAAACTTTTTTGATGCTGAATGGAGAAAGCAATACCCTAACACTGCTAGATGGTTTAGAACTATTGTTTCCTTGCCAATCTTGAAGGACATTGTTGGTGATGTTCCGTTCATTGCCAAGAAGATAGCCTTAGTTCCTGCTAACAAGGAAAAGAAGGAACAAAAGTCAAAGGAAGCTGCTGCTCCAAAGAAGAAGCAAGCCGCTGCTCCCAAGGCTGCTGCCGAAGTTGACGATGCTCCAGTTGAAGAAAAGAAGCCAAAACACCCATTGGAATTGTTGGGTAAGGCTGCCAATCCTTTGGATAACTGGAAGAGAGTTTACTCTAACGAAGACACGAGACCCAAGGCCATTCCATGGTTTTGGGAAAACCAATGGAACCCCGAGGAATGGTCCATGTGGAAGCTTGACTACAAGTACAACGAGGAATTGGAAAAGACCTTTATGACCAACAACCAAATTGGTGGTTTCTTTGCCAGATTATCTGCTTCCACCAAGTACTTGTTTGGTTGTTTAGTTGTGTACGGTGTTGACAATGACAACGGTATCACTGGTGCTTTCTTGGTCAGGGGTCAAGAATACGCTCCAGCCTTTGATGTTGCTCCTGATTGGGATACTTATAACTACACCAAGTTGAATCCCGAAAACCCAGACGACAAGAAGTTTATTGAAAACATGTTTGCTTGGGATGAGCCAGTCATTGTTAACGGTGAGAAGAAGGAGATTGCTGATGGTAAGGTATTCAAATAGATTTTGTGTAGTAACTTGAAAGCAATTTATTACATCACATGTATTGGTGATAATTACCCCTATTGGAATATCGACCAACATTTTTAAAGGGCACTACAAATTTTTCAGTGCTTCTGTTTGACGGTTCATTTCTTTTACCTTTCGTTGTTGTAGAAATGTCGTTGGGAACTATTTTCGTGAGCGACAGAATTAGGTCGTTCCCTCCGCTAGTCGTCATAAACAAGTTCAAGTTGGATGTTGAGTCGAGCACACAACAGGATCCACGTTACGCAGAGCACTTCCCCTTGGGTAAGATCCCTTGTTTTATCGGGCCCAATGGTGATCTTGTCCTTCATGAAGTGATTGCTATTACCATCTACTTGGTGCAAGCAGGCGATGGAGAACGTAGTGCGTTACTAGGACGTCTGAAGGAAGAGCATGCGGAGATCTTGAAGTGGATGAGCTTTACGAATCTGGATGTCTTGACAGCCATTGATGCGTTCAAACCACTCGTTGGGATGCTTCCCTATGATAAGAAGAAGGTGGACGATGATTTGCAGTGGTTGGGCCGATATGCTCAAGTCTATGAAGCCCAATTGAGTAAGTCGTTGTACTTGGTCGGGGACACATTTACAATTGCTGATCTCTTTTGCGCGGTGATCTTGTCGAAGGCTTTTGAGTACTTCTTCGATAGCAGTTGGAGACTGGACCACCCTTTTGTCAGTCGTTGGTTCACTAAAGTTATGGAAGATCCAGACGTGGTTAAGGTAATGGGGAAATTCAAATGGGTCGACAAGAAGTATGAGAATGTACCACCAAAGATCTGATTAAAAGTGTATGATCGAGTTTATTCAATAAAATCCGTAGGAATATTTTGTATGTTAATGATATTGAGATAATGCTATGCAACCGTAGTATTGACGTCTGGTAGAATATATCGGAAGTAGTACCACTGAGAGGGTACAAGAGTAAAGTATTAAGTTCCGTTGGTTACTTCCGGTTCAATATTTCTCCAATGGATTGCACATGAATACAGCTCAAATGATAGACGAATCACTTGATGCTGGCCCCACTACTGTCTATTGCGATATCCGCGTGGAAATCAGTGGTCGGACGTCGGTAACCATTATCAAAAGAAATTATAAGCACATGAATAATATGAACGAGATCTTTGTTAATCAGTTCCACTTTTCTGTCTTGTAGGACTGCATGATTACCCAACGAGTTGTTCAGCACTGGCTGGACACCAGTGTATGCTATGCTCGCTCTTGGGCAGCCACAATTACAATTGATGTTGCAATAATAAACACCTTTCGCAGCCGAATGCACACGGCTCAATGTCCATTATGCGGCATATGAAACCCATGTAGATGTTTCGTTGGGTTTTGATAGCTATGAAATTTCAATTAAACTGTGGCTCGTCGTCTTGTATAATGGTGATGTGATTTGGCTGCGAAATTAATTCTCTCCACATTAAGTACACGGGCCACTGACTAGAATACAAAGAAAGCATGAAGAAGATTGTTATTTCAATTCTTTATCATCTCTTACAACCCCCACGACATTCGTTTTTTAATTCTTTGGGAACTTTATTCGTTAATCCAAAGTTAAGATCTTTGGCTCCACTTGCAATAGGCAAACTCTAGAACGTTGATGTCAAGAACCAGTACCCTGCTTTCACCAAATGGTATGTTAGAATTCACGAGGCTGAGGTAAACAGGCAGGTTTTCCTACCGGTTTCGTTAGCTGAGACTCAAGTTCCAAACATTGATCCTTTAACTAAATAATTATTACGTAGAATGCGTTCAATAGGTCTCTATAAGTGCAGTTTGACTAAGTAGATAATCATTAGTAGAATGTTATAATTCAACGATCTATAGACTACAACCAGCAAGTATCGAGTGTTTTGCCATTTAATATAAACTATGACCATCAATCTAATGACCATGCCACTACAAATCTAGCATTGAAGTGTAATTTTGTTCCGCTATTGCTTCAATTTCAAGACATCGATAACGACATAAGTGCTTAAGACGACAATTAAACGTTGTCTCCAACGAATTCAGTACTGTTCGCACCAACCTGTCTTTATTGTGAGAAGTGGACACTTTCTCGCAATAAATTACTACGGACTCCTACTCACCAAGTATTATATACCTTCAAGCACAATAAATGAATCTGACAATTTAAACGACATGGAAGAGATGGTTCACCTTACTTTACTTTACTCTACTGTACTTCTCTCTACGTTACCTTGCTTTACTACGTCATACCCTATAGGCTGGTCTAAAAGTCGTGGCCAAATAAACCCAGCCAGCACACGACTTTTAAAAACGTATACAAAAAATTCAGTCGATGAAATCCTTTGAAACTCACTGAGCCCAAACTGTCCAGACGTGTCACTACAGTAAATCAGACCCTAACATCATGGCAATGACCAAAAGTAGTATCGTGAGAACCATACGAAGAAAGCCATTAGTGGTATTGGCTCCTCTTACTCTTTTAGTGGTGCTATACTTGTTTCTTTCAAATGGTAGAACTCAACCAAAGAATGGCCAATACAGTTACACTAAGAAGAACAGCATATTTGATCACAAGAAGAAGGATTCTTTGATCCTTAGAAACTTACCAAAGGACCATATCAGTCATTACGACTTGAATAAGTTGACTGCTACAAAAGATGGGTTGAATAAGAAGGAAGAGGTTCTTATTTTAACTCCCATGTCCAAGTTTGTACCAGAATACTGGGAGAATATCAACAAGTTACTGTACGATCATGCATTATTGAGCTTGGGTTTCATCTTCCCCAGAACTTCTGAAGGGGATAAGGCCATGAAGGATTTGGAAAATGCCATCAAGACTACTCCGGGAGCTGCCAAGTATAAAAAAATAACCTTATTGAGACAAGACACTGAATCTTTGGAAGATCAAAGCGAAAAGGAAAGACATGCTTTGAAGGTTCAAAAGCAAAGAAGATCAATGATGGCTTTAGCTAGAAACTCCTTGGTTTTCTCTACAATTTCACCCTCTACTTCATGGGTATTATGGATGGATGCTGATATTGTTGAATCACCCACTACTTTGATTCAAGATATGATGAAACATGATAAACCCATTGTATCGGCCAATGTCTATCAACGGTTTATTAATGCTGAAACTAAGAAACCTGACATTAGACCCTATGATTTCAACAACTGGGTTGAATCAGAAGAAGGCTTGAAGTTGGCAGAAACTTTGAAAGATGATGAAATCATCGTTGAAGGATATAGTGAATTGGCCACTTATAGACCATTAATGGCCCATTTCTACGATCCAAAGGGTGATCTTCATACGGAAATGCCTTTAGATGGTGTTGGAGGTGGTGCATTGTTGGTTAAGGCCGATGTTCATAGAGATGGTGCTATGTTCCCTTCATTCCCCTTTTATCATTTAATTGAAACTGAAGGGTTTGCTAAAATGGCCAAGAGATTAGGCTATTCCATTGTGGGGTTGCCTAATTACTTGGTATACCATTATAATGAGTAATGCTTATAGTAAGACCTCATTTATATGTTCTAATTAAACATACCATGTGTGACAACATAGTATACTGTCTAGTACAGTACAATATCGTAGAGACTCAGTAAAGACATGGTAGTAGACCTTCATGAGTTCTTTTACCAAAATACAGACGTGCATTTACCAACAAATAATTACACAAAAGATGCGATGAGATGCCCTCTAAAAAAAATTCCTATGAATTAATTAATATATTATCGTCAGCTTCTTTAGGTTTATTATCGTTACTTCTTTCAATTAGTAAACGTTCTGACTCTCTGCTGTGTGTTGTTCAAGCCAGCTTATCGTTTGAGTCCGTTTTTTTCGCTTGAAAACCGCTAACTAAGTCACATAATAAGATGCAACTCACTTGGAAGGATATCCCTACTGTGCCAAATGGCAATGATTTATTGGATATAGTACTTAACCGTACTCAAAGAAAGACACCTACCGTGATTAGACCTGGTTTCAAGATCACCCGTATACGTTCGTTTTACATGAGAAAGGTTAAGTTTACTGCTGATGGATTTAATGAAAAGTTTACTGATATTTTAGGAGGATTCCCTAATATTAATGATGTTCATCCATTCCATAGAGATTTGATGGATACTTTGTATGAAAAGAACCATTATAAGATTTCTTTAGCTGCTGTGAGTAGAGCTAAGACTTTGATTGAACAAGTTAGTAGAGATTATGTGAGATTATTGAAGTTTGGTCAAAGTTTATATCAATGTAAGCAATTGAAAAGAGCTGCTTTAGGTAGAATGGCCACTATCACCAAGAAGTTGAAGGATCCTTTGGTTTATTTGGAACAAGTTAGACAACATTTGGGTCGTTTGCCAAGTATTGATCCAAACACAAGAACTTTAGTTATTTGTGGATACCCCAATGTTGGTAAATCTTCATTCCTTAGATGCATTACTAAGGCTGATGTTGAAGTTCAACCATATGCTTTCACCACTAAATCCTTATATGTTGGTCACTTTGATTATAAATATTTGAGATTCCAAGCCATTGATACTCCTGGTATTTTAGATAGACCAACAGAAGATATGAATAACATTGAAATGCAATCCATTTATGCCATTGCTCATTTAAGATCATGTGTTTTATATTTCATGGATTTATCCGAACAGTGTGGGTTCTCTATTGAAGCCCAAGTTAAATTGTTCAACTCTATCAAACCTTTGTTTGCCAACAAGTCTGTTATGGTTGTCATGAACAAGGCTGATATCATTAAAGCTGAAGATTTGGCTCAAGAGAAACAAGATTTGTTGAAAACCTTGTACGATTTACCCGGTGTAGAAATCATGCACACTTCATGTCAAGACGAAGACAATGTGATGGCTGTTAGAAACCAAGCATGCGAAAAGTTATTAACTGCTCGTGTTGAGCAGAAGTTGAAGGGTTCTGCTAGAGTTAACAATGTGTTGAACAAGATTCATGTTGCCAGACCTCAAGCCAGAGATGATGCTGAAAGACCAGCTTTTACACCTGAAGGGTTTGATGATAAAACCAAATATGATGTTTCTGACCCCAACAGAAGGTTATTGGCCAGAGACATTGAGGCTGAAAATGGTGGTGCTGGTGTGTTTAATGTCAATTTGAAGGACAACTATTTGTTGGAAGATGATGAATGGAAGAATGATGTTATGCCTGAACTTTTGGATGGTAAGAATGTTTATGACTTTTTGGATGCTGATATTGCTGCCAAGTTGCAAGCATTAGAAGACGAAGAAGAAAGATTAGAAGCTGAAGGGTTTTATGATTCTGATTCTGAGCTTGAAGATGAAGAGACTGAAGACATTAGAGAAAAGGCCCAATGGATCAGAAACAAACAAAAGATGATGATTAACGATGCAAGAAACAGAAAGGCATTGAAGAATAAGGCCATTATGCCCAGAGATCAACAAAAGAAGACTTTTGAAGAAATGGAACAACATATGTACAACTTGGGTCATGATACCACCACATTGAAGGAGAGAACAGGAAAATCAGGTAAGCATAATGATAAGAAGGAATTATCCGGTGTTGATATTTTGAAGAAACAACAAACAGAACGTAAGGAAAGAGTTGGTAAGAGAAGAACTCCTGTTAACCAACCTGATCGTCGTGCTGGTGGTGTTGCTGATGGTTCATTGAGAAGCCACACTGATAAGATGGCCAAGATGGAAAGAAGAGAAAGAAACAGACAAGCCAGACAAGGTGAATCTGATCGTCATATTGGTACATCGATGCCTAAGCATTTGTTCAGTGGGAAGAGAGGCATTGGTGAGACTCAAAGACGTTGAAGTAATTTGTTTGTATATGCATTTAATAATTGAAAATTTTAAGGTGATAGTGGAGGACTCATATGTACGTCGACGTGATGACAAATACGTCGAAAAGTGCAGACAAGACGCAACTGTAGTATGCCAAATTCATGCTCATATTCTATCCTGTATGTACTGCCACAGTTTGCAGATCCTTACGTTATTTGTGTCACCATTTCCGATAAGGATTGGGGGTTCTCAACGCTCAACGATAAGAACCACTGCTCCCAAAGATAACATTAAGAGGCTTTGATTGACTATACAAGCTACTACTACTACTACTACTACTACTACTACTACTACTACTACTACTACTACTACACTAAGACGCTACTACTCCTGATATACGTGTTGATAAATACGATAGTGAAGACCTAGGAATAACTGCACAGGATTCATCGGCACTCATCATGAATGTGCTACAACACCCTTATCCCAAAGGGAACTCTCCTAAGAGAAACTCCTCGGCCACCAACCCCATGTCGTTTGATTTGACGGCGCTCGAGTCGCTGTTGCCTGCTGGTAATGGTACCCCCACGAGGCATAGCAAACGGAATAACCACAGCCATAACCACAATGGGTCTGCCGGTAATGGGTCTAATTCCAATAAGAACTTGAGTCATGTTCCCTGCAAGTTCTACAAACAAGGGATTTGCCAAGCGGGTAATTCGTGTCCCTTCTCCCACAATCTTGATGGGACCTTGGCAGCTGATAAGTTACCGTGCAAGTACTTTCAGAAGGGTAATTGTAAGTTTGGTTTGAAGTGTGCGTTGGCCCATTTTCTACCTGATGGAACAAAGGTTAACTCTCGGAACTTGATTTCACTTTCTCCTCCAAAGAGTGAACTGAACCACAGTACTACGACTGCTGCTAATAACAATAACAATAATAACAATATTAATAATAGTATTAGCAATAATAATTCATTGGGTCCAAGTCCTGGGCCTGTTGCTGGCGGTGCCACTATAGTTTTCGATGGAAGCAGTAGCCATATTTCCAATGGGGTTGAGTCTGTTGTTGGTGCCGGTGCTTCTGCTGCTCTAAGTTCGTCAACTCCAACTCCATCTTCTACTCCAAACTCAGCTTCAGCGGTCGCCAAACATTCGTGCGTTGCGTCGTATGTTTCTCCATTCACACGTCGTTCTTCTTCGAACCTTAATGCTTATGATGCAGACTATTATTTTAAGGAAAGAGACTACACTTTCCAGTCTAATAATAATGTACTTAGCAAAGGTAACTTCCATGACTCAAATCAACATCCCATCAACACCAACGCTCAATATACCCAGAACTCGGTCTTTAGCCACCTGACATCCATAGGAGTCCAACTGACGGGGTTCCAACTGTCTTCTACACAATTACCAAGTCCAACGCTTATAAGGTCTTATTCCACCAGCAATGCTACACCACCTACCAATTATTCCAGTTCATCGATTAATAATATGTCGTCTTTCCCCATGGCTACATCCACCTCGTCACAATCGTCATTCCATTCTCCAAATTATATCAATAATACCTCCTACAAGTCTTTTAACAACGTATTTGAACAAAGACTTGGGCTTACTTCTTATGGAGGAGGCTCCTCATCTCAACCTTCTTCCTTCCAAGAAACATCACCGACGTACGGTTCGTATTCTTTGTACCTCCCACAAATTAATGGGGGTATCTGTGACTCACCAGTGGACGGGGAATCGGAGTCTGCCATCTACGAAGAAGATATGCTTCCCAGTTCGCTTGGGAACTTGATCTTAAGTCCGAAGGAACAACAACGAAGAGATTCAAGAAGCCAAAGTGGCACACTTTTCTCCAGACCCAATCTTGAATCGTTAAAGGAAGAATATGAAAAGACTGGGCACCCTGATAACGATGTGTTTCACATGGACTGAAACAAGAGGACCCGAAAGAGGCTGGACCTAAGCAGGCTGGACCTAAAAGACTGACTTTAGACATTAAATGGATTATATGATTATATACAAATTGTTTTCTTTATATTTACAAATGACTCTACTTCTTACTCTGACCGGAAGATATCCGCAGCCTTCTTACTGAAAGCTAATTGGTCAGCTACTGATCCATCAGGATCAGGATGGACACCTTCATCCAACCCACTGGGGAAGAGCTTACCAATGAAGTACATTTCTTTGCTGAAGGGGTCAATTCCATAGACCAAATGATCATTGGAAATGGTTTCCTTCTCTTCCAATTGGTTACCAGGCTTTTGAACGGTCACCTTCTGTTTGGTAGTGACATTGACCACAAGTTGAATCAAAGCAGACGCATCGTTTGTGTCTGGAATCACATAGAACCCTTCAACCTTGGGGTTGGTCATCACATCAACTAATTCCCATTTAAGCTTGTAGTTAACTGGGAACCGGGCAACTCTGGACTTTAAGATTCCTTCCATGAATTGACCACAGGTGAACCTTAACCCATCTTCTATAATACCGGCCCGCTTCTCTAAGGGAGCGTTACAGGCATTGGCAAACACCTTGTTGGTCTTGACAAACTTTTCAATGGCTTCTTCCTTCCAATCATTGAAGGTGACCTTTAACTTGGTCTCACTCTTGAACCGTCTGACTTGCATGGTGTTAACCAAAAAGAGAAACATTCTACGGCGTATAAGACCAAACCATTTCAGTATGGGGGCCTTCAGAAGCTCGGGGGGGACGTAGAATTTGGCTAAAACTGGTACGGTCTTTAAAGGCATCTTGGAGACATCTGCAACTTGTTCATTTTGGTTGGAGGCCTTTGAACTGGCCAATCTGATTGCTGAAAGTCTTGGACGGGTCTGCGCAAGACGCATGCCCACCGGCTTCAATCCTATTTTCAACATGGCTCAGAGTTGATCTTGTACAGGGTAACTAATCTGGATCTAATAAGGTTGTTAAAGTGAAAAATTTAGTAGTCGGTGAAAGAACCTCGATTACGTAAGAAAAAGACATACATCCACAAGAGGCAATAGAAGAAGTTTTATTAGCTAATACAACGACATATGGTTGACTAAACACGACTATTTGAGATGACCCTCCTGTCGTGAAAAGATACTACGGATAATCATCATCATCATACTAATAGGAGCCACAGTAACACGATGCCATCAGCAGAACCTGTTGGAAGGAAACAGAAGCCGGGGAAACAGAAGCTTGCTCCCGAGAAGGAGCGGTTTCTCCAATGTTGTGGGGATATTTCTCTTGAACTTGTGTCGTCCTTAAAGAGTAGTAAAGATATCAACTTGAATGGATTAATTATACGTTATGCCAAAAAGTATAAGCTTAAACAACAGCCTCGGTTAACGGATATCATTCTGTCTATTCCGGACCAGTATAAAAAGTATTTGATTCCGAAATTAAAGGCCAAACCCGTAAGAACAGCATCGGGGATAGCAGTGGTTGCTGTTATGTGTAAGCCTCATAGATGTCCTCATATTGCCTATACGGGGAACATTTGTGTGTACTGTCCTGGTGGACCAGACTCTGATTTTGAGTATTCTACCCAATCATACACAGGCTACGAGCCTACGTCCATGAGAGCCATCAGAGCCAGGTACGACCCTTATGAACAAGCCAGAGGGAGAGTCGAACAGTTGAGACAATTGGGCCACTCTATTGATAAGGTGGAATATATTGTTATGGGAGGGACATTCATGTCATTACCCGTCGACTATAGAGAGCGGTTTATTGGCCAATTACATAATGCGTTGTCTGGATACACGGGGACGTCATTAGATGATTGTATCAAGTTCTCTCAACAATCATTGACTAAATGTGTGGGGATAACCATTGAAACAAGACCTGATTATTGTACCAGCACTCATCTTAGTGATATGTTGAAGTATGGATGTACCAGATTGGAGATTGGGGTTCAATCTGTTTATGAAGATGTTGCTAGAGATACCAACAGAGGACACACTGTTAAGGCAGTGTGTGAATCCTTTGCAGTTGCCAAAGATGCTGGGTATAAGGTTGTGAGTCACATGATGCCTGATTTGCCCAATGTTGGTATGGAAAGAGATTTGGAACAATTCAAAGAATATTTTGATAATCCGGCGTTCAGAACAGACGGGTTGAAGATTTATCCGACATTGGTTATAAGAGGAACAGGATTATATGAATTATGGAAGAAAGGGCTATACAAATCTTATAATGCTAATGATTTAATTGATTTGGTGGCTCGGATTTTAGCATTAGTTCCACCTTGGACTCGGATATATCGTGTTCAAAGAGATATCCCCATGCCATTGGTCACCTCGGGGGTGGAGAATGGGAATTTAAGAGAATTGGCTTTAGGTAGAATGAAAGATTTTGGTACCACATGTCGTGATGTTAGAACCAGAGAAGTGGGGATTCAAGAGGTTCATCATAAAGTTATACCTGATCAAGTTGAGTTAATCAGAAGAGATTATTATGCTAATGGAGGCTGGGAAACGTTTCTTTCATATGAAGATCCAAAGAAAGACATTTTGATTGGACTTTTAAGATTAAGAAAGGCTTCTAAAAAGTATACCTTCAGAAAGGAATTCACACAACAACCCACCTCAATTGTACGGGAATTGCATGTATACGGATCGGTGGTGCCATTGCATTCCAGAGACCCTAGAAAGTTTCAACATCAAGGGTTTGGAACGTTGTTGATGGAAGAAGCTGCTAGAATTGCAAGGGAAGAACATGGTTCTGAAAAGATTAGTGTTATCTCTGGAGTTGGTGTTCGGAACTATTATGCTAAATTGGGGTATCATTTAGATGGGCCATTTATGTCAAAGTGGTTGAATGAGCATCAAGAAGAGCACTGAGAAGACGTTAGTCGTTCTTATGTCCATATATTCTTATGTCCGTATACTCTCAAGTCCGTATACATACAAAAGACTACGTCTTCTTAACGCTTACTGTCTTTTCGGCAACCCACCTCTATGTAAAGCTGGTGCTTTAACCACTTTATTATTCAACAACGCACTAACACTTTGAATTTGAGCTTGAGTTGTAGACGGTATCAGACTACCATTCATACTATTGGATCTACTCAATTCACCCTTTTGCTTCTTATCTAATTGTTCCTTCAAACTGCTCTGAACATAAGTAGCCATTGGAGGTTGGTTCCCACGATATTTCAATAACCAAGGATGATTTAATAATGAACCATATGAAGGTCTCATGCTTGGTTTCTTATTTAAACATGATTTAACAAACATCCGGGCCTCATTAGAAAACATTTTGGAATCTAAACTTGGAGGTTCTCCGTCAACTATAGCACTTAATTGGGAAAAGATATTATTATAAGTTTCTGGAGGATAAGGATAATGACCACAAGCCACTTCCAAGATAGTTAGCCCCAAGGACCAAACATCCGATTGGACTGAATAAGAAGAAGCATCCGGATTTAAAGATTTGATTCTCTCTGGAGCCATATATGATTGACAACCAATATTTGTTTTAGCTAATGAAGCCACTAAATTCCCACTAACTCCAAAATCACATAGTTTCACTTTCCCATTTGAATTCACCAAAATATTGGTGGGTTTAACATCTCTATGAATAATATTATGTTCATCTTTCAACTCTTTCAATCCTCGTATAATACACTCGGTAATATAAGCAAGACATGCTTCGTCTTTTATGCCATGCTTCCCATAGATTTTGTCCAATGAGGATCCGTCCATGTATTCCATGCACATGTAGACAGCACCTTCAATGAAGAAGGCACCGTAGAAGTCCACAATGAAGGGAGAATCACATTTATGTAAAATCTCCAATTCCATCAAGATCTGGGTGAATTTGGTCTCATCTAATTCTAATCGAACCTCCTTCATGGCCATAAGAACCCCAGTAGGTTTATGTAAGACTTTGGTGACTGTTCCATAGTTCCCATGGCCAATCTCTTCCACAAACTCCAATTGGTCCAGAGAGATCCTGAACGATGACCCAGACAGGAAGTCCACCCCTTCGGAATGCAAGGACGCCTTACCGGCAAAGTTAAGGGACCCACTTTTGATATCAACGTATTTGGAATAGTTGGCGAAAAGCCCATGGAGTTGCGGCTTATTGGTGGACGTAGCCGATCCGTTTCTCGAGGACGAAGATGAAGCTGCCTGTGATGCCAGTAGTTGCTGGTCGTCTCCACCAAACTGTGCACCCAATTCATGCTGATCACCGATTGAAGACCCTCCTGAAGTGGAGGTTGTTGTGGCAGTGGATGATTGTGAAGTGATAATGGGACCCCCCAGTAACTCATCGAGATTGAGCTTTAAATTGGGTTTTGCTTTTCTTAACGATATCTTTCGAATTAACTCTTCGGAAGACTTGATATTGTTAGGCAACCCTTTGTTACCCCCTACTGTTCCTGTTCCAGAAGTATCCGGTGTGACCTGAGTTATTGATGATGACGATAATAATAAAGTATCCAGGGAAGGCTCATGGGATGAAAGAGTGAGAGACGACTCAGAAGAATCATTGGAGGGGCTAGCAAGATCAAAGGCTGCCTTGAGATCTTTATCTTTACCTCTTCTTCGGGCAATAGACCCCTTGGGATTCAACTCAAACGGCTTGGGCGATGTGGTGGTAGAATTGTTGGGGAGTCTAGCAAATATATGAGGAGATACAGCGGACGTAGGAAGCACGGGAGGGATCCCATTGGTTGGTGTACCAAGTTGAAATGGTGAAGAAGTAGTTGACGGTGAATTGGAGGTGGTGGATGTAGTTGATGTGGATGATGTAGCTTGCTTCAGCGTTGTTAGATCGTCTTCTTCCTGGAGTTGATGTTGAACTTGTTGAGCCTGTTGATGCTGCAACTGACGGATTTGTTGCTTTTGGAACCGAATCTGATTCATTAGTCCGGGTTGTTGTTCGTCAGGACTTCTAGTGCCATCAGCGGGGGGGAGGGAAGGCAAAGGCTTTCCTCTATTAAGGTGTTCGTCTAATTCCTGTGGAGGAGTCGACTCGTTAGGACTTTGCTTAGTTCGATTCTGGTGGAAGGCCCGGAGTCGAGCATGTAGCATTGGATTCAACGGAGTCAGGACTGAGGCCGTGGAGGATTGGTTGGGCGATCGGGCTTCATTTTGTTTGTCAAGCGACATCTTGTCGAATCTTGCAGATATGTTTTCGGACATAATGGAGGCAGTAACTTTAGCTTGTTCAGTGGCTTGTCTTGTCTTAGCAATAGTGTGGACTTACGGATACAAACTTAACTTAATGCAATCGAATTATTTGCATGCACACCTTATGCATAGATTGTGAATGTATGTGTATGTGTGAGCTTACGTATACATGTATGTATGAATGTATGTAAAATTTCTTCCACTGTAGTCAATAGTAATAGTATGGTTAAATCTTTTGATTCTCGTCCACTAATTATATTCTTATGCATTCACACGGACATGGTAGCGCCGGGTACGCCCTGGACTGCATGTGGCCTCGAGGTACAAGGTAAAATACAAGGACTTGACAGTCAGATATTCCTCCGATAGTTGAATTCCTTTGTATATACAGGCGGACGAGGCTTAACAGCAGAAGACTTTGGTGGTTGTACTTGTTTAACAATTGGGTTATGGTAGTATGAGCCATGTAGGGAATTATGTATATCCCCCGTTTACGAAGTGGAATGTGTTAAGAATAATTTTACATTGCAGTACTTACTCGTCGTAAATATACGCGATACATAACGCATACGATTGCAGTTGTAGAATCTATGTTACTATTAACCACTACTACTATGTAGTTTAACGTAAACAAATTATTTATAGCACACAATATTGTTATACACAATATATAACACACGACCCAATTCATGATGAATCTGATGAAAGTTTTTTTGCAAGTAATCAATGGAACTCAGGTACGGACCCATGTTAGCCTTAACACCACGATTACTATTTGCAGTACTTCTCTTGCTTTGCTTCTAAATTTACTTGAGCACTTCTGAATTCCAGCACTCAGGAATAATAATACAATATAATTCTCCGGTTTAGACAGTCAAGCTTGTGCTCTATGACGTGCAACCGCTTTCCATCAAGGGTCTATACACAGGCGTGGCTCAATTTAACGGGATTGAATTCCTATAGATTGAAATGACCTCTACCCTATTTTCATGTTATTTGTATTACCTATCGCGATACCTTTGGCATATACAGTCAAAGTCAATATCAGTCTATTATTAGAAGGAAGTGCTGCCTTGCGCTTTGTCTTTGTCTTTGTCTTTTTCAAGAGGCACTAATGGCTGGTCTTCAATGAGTTGAAGCCGTTTCTCGTCTACGCAATGAACATTTTGTGAAGGGGAAGCCATGTCGGCCTTCCCCATTTGTTATCTATTTTTATCTTGACTTAGATAATCGACAATAGATTCAGTTCTCCACATATGCAAGGCCATTCCAGGAAAGGGAAGCGGCCTTCTGAAGAATACCTTGTGTAACGTCTTTGAGTTCTTCATTCATTATTGCTATTATAGCGACGTGGTTAGTAGAAGGATCTAACCAAGAAGTTGTATAGACACACGGATTAGCTAATAGCATAAATTGTTCCATGTTGCAGTCGAAGACCATTATAAACTATCACGTTGATAAGAGGTCTTATCACGTGATGTTTATCACGTGATGTATCTTAATTATAACCATCATCTGTAATGAATGCTAAACACTTCTTTACTCCTGTAATCCCATCTGTAATGAAATGGATTTATTGTTCCTATGGGTGCCAATGACTGCATACGAGTTCAAATAAACGACTATGATGCGTACCAGACTACACCTCTGCGATTGGACTGTCTTCACGGAGTTTCACGGCAAGTTCCCGTGATCCGGTTGTATGGCTATATGGCGACGACCCTGGATTTAACTATACCAACACTCATACATGTTCACAATGTGTTTCCATACATGTTCATTGACCATGTGGATATGTCTGTTTCGGAGCTAACATCCAAGTTGGAATCGGAGCTAGCCACCTCGTTCAAGAGACGCAGGGCCAATGCACAAGATGAAGAAGAAGAAGAAGAAGAAGAGTACTATAACAATGATAACAAAGATAGTGATAACCGTAAAGACTCATCTAGAAAGTACATTGCATCGGTGGCCCTTTGTCGAGCTGCTCTGATCTACGGGTTTAGTGTGGGGTATAAGAAGGTGTGGAAGGTTTCATTTTTATCACCGACTTATAAGGCCAGACTAACAAATATGCTCAATACGAACACCCAGTTCTTTGGTAAGAAGGTTAATTTATATGAGACTCATATCCCGTCTCTCTTACAGTTCATGGCTGATTACAATTTGTATGGTTGTGGCTACATCAACATCCAGAAATGCTACTTCCGTTCTCCCGTGGCTGTTAAAGGAGTTCTCTCTGGTTCACAGTTCCAGCAGCTACAGCAGGATCTTAAACTGTATATCAATTCCCATAATGTCTTAAGAAGCGATTCGTATCCTCGAATGGGCCGTTCCGTGGTAGAAATTGATATAACTGCTGCAGACATCCTCAATAGAACACTACTTAAAGAGAGAAACTCCCATGAATCACTTGAGTCCGAGACGCAGCTGGATAAACCCCTAGCGTATTTGTCGTCTTTGAGTCAGCTCCAGAACGAGATTCTATTCCAGAAGCAAGCCCGAGGGTTGACTGAATCTTCTCAAAGCATCAATACTGGCTATTACGGTGATGTCAGTCAGACGTATTGGTCCAACCAGACGGAGCTCGATGAATTATTACAGTATGCAATTAGATTGAATGGTACTGAGGATGGTTTTATTCTGCTGGAGATCAAGAAGAACGAAGAGGCACTTCCTACTCTATTCCAGCTTACAAGCATTCAAAGCCAAGAGGGAGCGACCGTGGAATTGTCGTTCTTTAGTGATTTGGTAATGTGGCTGGACTATAGTCAATTATTTATTGACATCAACACGGTGACTGTAGAAGTAAGTTCTTCTTTTGGTGATGCGTTGGTGAACGAATTGGTAGAGGAACAGGTGCAGAACGAAGAGGAAGTGCAAGAGGAACAGGAAGTGCAAGAGGAAGAGGAAGTGCAAGAGGAAGAGGAAGTGCAAGAGGAAGAGGAAGTGCAAGAGGAAGAGGAAGTGCAAGAGGAAGAGGAACACGACGAGGGAGCTTCAGTTGGAGTGATTGAAAGTGATTACAATGAAGAAGATGATAACACTAAATTACTACCACGTTTAGACAGCAATGACTCAAATAAGCTTAGTGAAGCTGATGATGTGTCCAGCAGTCCAATGAAGAGACATGATAGTTTCAGCAGTCCGATAAAAAGACGTGACAATTTCAGCAGTCCCTTCAGCAGTCCTATTAAAATGAATGACGTCTCCAGCAGTCCTATTAAAATGCTTGGTGATTCCCAATTACGGCACATTCTAGATGACCTCGCTGAATCATCAACCCAAGAACACGAGGTCGAAGACATCAATATCGATGATAGCATCCTCCGACAATTATCCCAGAAATTATCCCAGTCTCAAGTATCCCAGTCTGTAGGGACATCAAAAGGAGTATTAGATTTTGGCAGGGTAACTGTTCAGAGAGACAGCTCCACTGCCTTAGCATCAGCCAGTGAACCAGAACCACTTTTTGATGTTGATCTCAAGGGCTCATTCTGGCTGTATCCCGTTCCAATAGATTTACGAAAGGATCATGAACAATTTGATATCACTATGGATGAAATGGGGGTCCCCCGAGTGGATTATGTCGATCCTTTCTATGATTGTGCTGAAGATCAACCAAAGAAGCCATTTATTCTAGCCTCAAAGAGGGTCAATGTACCTTTACGGACCCCTGAAAGCATCCCTCGGATGCCATTTTCAAAGGAGATAAGCAAGCAATTGAAGGGAAAGAACCGGGTTAGAACCAGTAATCATAACCGCTTTAACCAATGGCAATACCTTCCCTTACCACCGTCTCCACAAGAAGTTTCCCATTGGTTTGAAGTGGAAGAAAAGAAGCAATTGGAAGAGTTGACTAAATGGAAGAGTCAGATCAAACAAAGAGCAAGCAGGAGCTCCAAATTCAAATACTCTTATCATCCAGATCGACTGAAATCAACGACCCATGACGATGGGTTTAAGGAACTAACCAATATGATCTTGGAGATTCATGTGAACACTCATAATGATTATTTACCCAAGTTCAAGACCAACTCCATTGCCTTTATGTTTTACAATTTCGATGATGCTAACAGCATGTTCCCCACACTGAAGATGAAACGGGGAGTATTGGTGTATCACAATGAAAGCACCATTACCAGTTATTTGATGACCAAGATCTTTAAGACCATAAAACATTTGTCCTTTTCGGATAATATTTATATTGATGTGTTCCAGTCTGAACCCAAAATGGTGGAGAGATTCTGTCAATTGGTGGACGACTTTGATCCGGACATTCTTTCTGGATACGAAATCAATGGTAACTCCTGGGGCTATGTGATTGAGAGATTTAGAGAAGTTTATGACGTGAATTTACTACCGAGGTTAAGTCGGTCCAAGTCTAAAGCCAATGGGAAGTTTGGTGATAAATGGGGGTATACTCATACGTCTGTTATTGACATTAATGGACGTCATACATTGAATATATGGAGAGTTCTTAGGAAGGAAGCCAGTTTATCCGATTATTCCCTTGAAAATGCAACTTACCACTTATTAAACCATACGGTTCCACGACTACTGAATAAGACCCTTACCGAACTACTTGAAAGCTCCAGTTTGTCCCAAATCTCCTTTGGACTAGAATACTATTTCAATAGGATCCTGTTGTCTTTGGAACTCTTGAGCAACCAGGAATTGATTACCAGGAACGTGGAACAGTCACGGTTGATTGGAATTGACTTTAATTCCAATTTCTATAGAGGATCACAGTACAAAATCGAGTCTATTCTCTGTCGATTGACCAAACTGGAGAATTACCTATTAAATTCTCCGTCAAAGAATCAAGTTCATCACATGAGAGCTTTGGAATGCATCCCTCTTATCTTGGAGCCCATGTCTGATTTCTACAAGTCTCCATTACTTGTTCTAGACTTTCAATCATTGTATCCCTCCATCATGATTGCCTATAACTACTGCTTTTCCACTTTGATAGGCAAATTGTATGGGTTTGATGTCAATAAAAATGGTGTTGGGTATTTGAAGCACAATCCCATTGAACCTGGGTTGCTAAAGAAACTACATGATGAAAATGGCATTGTCATATCTCCAAATGGATATGCTTGGGTTAATAGTACAGTTCGGAAGTCTGTACTTGCTAAAATGCTTGAAGAGATTCTTGATGCCCGAATACGGTTGAAAAATGTCATGAAGCAAATTGGCAAAGATGACGATGACGATAAGCTACTAAAACTTTTCAACGCTAAACAGTTGGCTTTGAAATTAACTGCTAATGTCACTTATGGGTATACCTCTGCTACTTTCAGTGGGAGAATGCCCAACTCAGATGTGGCAGATGCCATAGTCTCAACAGGAAGAGAAATACTAACGAAATCCATTAACATGATCGAAGATGGTAATTTTGGGGCTAAAGTGGTCTACGGAGATACAGACTCACTATTTGTGTATTTACCTGGGAAATCCATAGACGATGCCTTTAAAATAGGTGAACATATTGCTTCCTACATCACCAATGAGTTCCCAGACCCCATTAAATTGAAGTTTGAGAAAGTGTACCATCCATGTGTGCTTCTAAGTAAGAAAAGATACGTTGGATACAGTTATGAACTGGCATCGCAGAAATTGGCCAAATTTGATGCTAAAGGTATTGAAACCATTAGACGAGATGGGATTCCGGCTCAGCAGAAACTTGTGGAGAGAGCCCTTCGAATCCTATTTGAAACCAAAAACCTTTCACAAGTGAAACAGTTTGTTAAGCTTCAGTTCTCCAAAATTAGCGATAATAAGATCAACATCTCTGATTTCTCCTTTGCTAAAGAAGTAAGGTATGGGACTTACAAAAATCGGAAATACCTCCCTCCTGGGGCAATAGTTGCCGAAAGAAAGGTAGCCAACGATCCACAATCCAAGCCACAGTATAAAGAGAGAATACCTTACGTTGTGATTAAGGATTCTTCCAAACCAAGAGTCAAAGACAGATCCATATCTCCAGAAGAGTTCTTAAACTCTTACACTACCAAGACACCATTCATGCTTGATTATGACTACTATATCACCAGAGTACTTATACCACCATTAGAGAGAATATTCAACCTCATAGGAGCGGATATAAAGAGTTGGTATAATGAACTTCCAAAGCTCACTAGAGGAAATCCATTTGCTACCAATGAATTAGGCAAATTGTCTGGTAATATCACCATTAATAATTGTTTGTTCTGTGGGAACCAACTAAGACAACTCGAACAAGAAACAGTCCTCTGTAACAAATGCCTTTCAAAGGGCAACCTTATCAGTGGAGAACTTGGATGGAGATCAAGAGAATTGAGTGTGAAATTGAGAACAAGCTATTTGACTTGCAAATCTTGTGTTCAATTCCACTGCAACCATAATAACTATATTGGAAGCCAACAAGGTGAATTACATAATGAATGTGTGAACATTGGCTGTAACCAATACTATAGTCGGTTCAAACTATCCAATCAATATCAACTTCATTTAAAGAACCAGGAAGCAATATTGAAAGCTATAAATGAACATTGAGGCGAATTGCCGATTTGTATGTCCACCTTATATCCGCCTCATCTTTCCAGTTCAGGTTTCCAACTACCCAGGAACATATGCTGTGAATAAGCCATAGGATGAGATATGTGCCCTGCTCCCATTTGACCAACCCCAGGACTGAATGACGTAATAGGAAGAACTAAAACGTCACTAACAACTATTGCCTTGGAAGTTCCTGTAAATATTTTCCACGTGATGATATCGTCGTATTTCCTGGTCTTAAAGTTGTCTGGTTGTTGCATGACGTTATTCATATATTCAAACACTTTGTCTGTCCAAATCCCTGGTCCTGTCCAGTTCATAATGTCTCCTCCTTCATCTTTACCCAACACTTTTTTTAGTTGATGATTCTTCTCTCTTAAAAGAGTCTGGTCTGTGATGTTAGCAATCAATTCTCGAAGCATGGGGTGACCGACTTTCGATTGCATGGTCCATTGACAGAATTGGATTCTCCGGGCATACCATTCGGCCCAATCAGGTCTATCAGGATCGGCTTCGATGCCTACCACTAAGCCTACTTTATTGACATCACCGTAAATGGTTTTGTTCATGGATAGCCAGTCGTTGACAGGCTTTAAGCCTTGAGTGTCGATGTCTGAATAAACTCCGCCTCGAGCAAATAAGATCAAGTATCTAAAGAAATCGGCCTTAAGAATCGATTTGGGCATTATGTTATATGCCCGAGCGACATCAGGGACACCTCGATATAAAGTCTTGACCAACTCAGAGCATTCATCGTCCGACACGACATTCACATAATAGTCCGGGTTCAAATTGACCCATTGCTGATGGAATCTCTTATAGTTCGCTGGGAAGTGTTCGTCTTCAAGCTTAACCTTCCACGTCTGCCATACTCTTTTGGGGAATGGCTTCTTGGAGTCATAAGGATATTGGAAGGAGAGTTGTTGTCTCACTGTGGCCTCATCTTCAAGCTTCAGCTTCAAAGTGGGGTGGAGTCCAGAGCCCTGCTTAAGAAAATTGGTATTCTTCTCCGTGTCAACTGCTGTTTTTAGCTTGGAGCTTTGGTGTTCGGTGGCCGTTTGATGCTGTGGATATCTGATGGTACTCACAAACAAATACACTAAGTATATCACCACTATCACTATGACGAGACTATACGGCTTTCTTTTATACATCATGACTATTGTGTGGATCAACGGGAATCACTGGCAGTCTGTTTGGGTATACGTTTTTCATTTTGAAGATTACGACATTAAAAGTCTTGCTCAAGGTAGTGTTCAAACCATTAATGTTGACGATACAGTGGGACGATTTGAGCTTATCGAAAGCACCCATTAACATGGCTTTTACGACATAAAGTATCTTCATATGGCGTGCTCCGTTAAAGCGGTATACGCTCCAGAGTGAAAGGTATGAGCGTTTGCTCCCGACAATTCCATTCGGGTGACAGTTGGCGTACTTGGACTTGCTATGCTGGACCTAACGCTCCCCTCCTAGCTTCGACCGAGAAACGAGTGTTGGGACGAGTGGGAAGTGTAGCATATACAGCAGCCAAGGCAGATACTGTTTGAGCAACGTTGGACGCGCCTAATTGGTTGACTTTCACGGATTGCGAGTCCTTGAGTATAGAAATGCAGTGCTTACTTCAGTTGAAGAGGAACTGGACCCTAATAGTTGGTTGGATAGCCAGATACAGATATTCATGGACGCTTGTGAAGGTATGAAGGAATCTATTAACTACCTTGTGGGTAATAATAGTAGTCGTTGCCGTAACAGATGGTTGGGTAGACACGGTATGCATGGATTGGACCTAACTCTTCCTTTTTGGAATGATGGGATAGGGCATGAAGTGGGCACCGTTGCTTTCTGTAAGCACTTGCATGGAATGACATGAATCGTATATCAATTTTGACGTGGCCTCTGGCCCGAATCCCCAGCCGCATTATAATATGGGATATGTGTCAATGCAGTGAAAGCCACTTTCTATTGTTGATACGTACGTCAAATTTTCATATACATTTGACTGCGTTTCAGTTCACACGAGAAGATCTAGTAACAATGAGTGACAATAATTTATTAAATCAAATTCATTATTTTGTGGATGATATTGTCTACGTCAGTCTCGGCAGCAGATAATGACAATATTCCATTAATGGATGCTGCAACAAACTCTACCCTGTTGAGTACGTGGGCTGATACATGCTCGTGTGAGAAGTGATACAGTGGTATGCTCATACGAATGAACGATAGCCAACTTACCTATTACGAGGTTGTTTTAGACGTTAAGAATAAGGTGTCGGATACTTCTGAAGGCAATACCATCACCATAAGTGAGGCCAGTGGAGCTGATCAAGCTATTGCAAGTGACACTATTGATGAAGCACGCGAGTACACAATGAGGAATCTTGCATTAACCAACTGTGCAATCCATAACCACCACCTCATTCTGGCATTATGCGGCCAGATCCTAATTACTTCAGGCTGTACTATCTCGCATAAATACAGAATGAAATTAACCGGATCTGGAGTCAATGTTATTTCCTTCATTGTAAGCAGCAGCGCAATTAGAAATAACATACTAACAAGTCGGCCGTTCAACATGAAAAAGGACATCCACTGTGAGGCTTGTTGTAGCATTGGAAGTGTTTCCAACCTGACAACAATGTTTCTTTGATATCTTCATTCAAGGCTTGGTTTCTTATTTGTTTCTCATGTGGTCGTTATTTTTTGGTGCCAATGTGGTGTCTGCGAAATGTATCTTCAATGTTTGTGAAGTCAATGTAAGTTGGCTATTTGTTGTCTGCTTGTTGTCTGTTCAGTGTGTGTTCAGTGTCTGCCAGCTGTCTGTTTAATGTCTGTTCAGTGTCTGCCAGCTGTCTGCCAGCTGTCTGTTTAATGTCTGATTGTTTGAATCTTTATCAAGTGTTTATTAATGTATGGGTATATTTTATACTGTGTGTCACGTGAAGTTAGACTTACGATTAAATTATCACAACTAGTTGTATGCGACATTATAATGTAGGTCATACAAGACAGTGGACAAGGTAGAGTGATGTTTGACTGGCATTACAAACGATAATATGTGCTTCGTATGAACCGCACCACCAAAAGACCCAAGCCAGGGGCAAATCCGAGGGTAAACAGTACGTGAGTGCATAAACTAGCCAGATTTAGATCATTGACATAAATTTGACTGCTGATAACTCCAAGTAATAGGCCCGTACTAAGCCTACTCAAGTATATAATAATAATTTGTTATACTAAAAAGTACGTGGAATATATATTGCATAATGAAAGAGGCAATCGACACCGAGCAAATACCGAGCAAATACCGAGCAGATACCGAGCAAAAACCGAAAAATGTAAGTCACACCGTGAAATAAATAAGTATAATCGGCCTATATACCAGCTATGTCGAGGTACAATACTCAAAATAAAACACACAACGCATAGAGCCCATTCGTATGCAATCAGAATCACTGAAGATTCACTTATTTCAAACGATCCGTATTGACCATCTGAACTTTATTCGAGCGTATTATTATAATTCCGGAATAGATATCGGTATAAACACGACCCCATGTTAAATGTAGTACTATAGATTGATAAGTATACGATGGCCCATAATAACTTTGATTTAGTTCTATTACTATATGTACAACCGATAATAAATAATTATATAATCATTCATTACTCAATGAATAACCAAAAAAACTTTAATAATCTTCGACCCAATGTCTAAATATTCCCTGTAATTATCACAAAATAAATAAAACCCAAAGAAAGTATAACAAAAATTAATTGACAACATTTTTTCTTTTAATTAACCTTCATTTTCCCAATGTGAGGACACATAACAATTGTATGTCCTTTCTTTCTATAATAAGGTTGAACCTCTCTTTTATCTTTGTATCAAGCCTTTCGTGGGATCTTCTTCTATCAAAAAACACAAGCTTAAAACAACAATAAAAATAATAATGTTAAAATATTAAAATATTAGGGACAACTTCCTCCTAATAAATCCAAAAAAATATGAATGGGAAATGAAAATGCAAAGCAAGCCTATTCTTGCTTGCAAAACCTTATACTCTCTTTGAAAACCAGAATAGTTAGACATTGAAAAAAAACAACAAAACCGATAATAATTAAATGCTTTCTTTAATTTCCGGTACAACACTCAAGTGACCAGAAAGGAAGCAACAACGACAACAACAACGACAACTTCAACTCACCCACACGTGGATAAAATCAACTAAAAACATATAGTAGCAGAAGAATCAAAATGAAACAACACCAAATTCGGCAAACAAATAAAAATATTAATAAAAAAATAATTAGTAGCAACAACAGTAGCAGCAGCAGCTGGTGTATCAGCAACAAGATACGGTAATAAGTTTATCATAATGTTACTGGTTCCTGGTGGTCAGTTTACCACCAAGAGTTGTTATTGGTTTGGTTACCATAACTGGAACGAGAACCACCATAAGAGGAGGTATTACCACCATAAGAACTGTTTCCACCATTGTAGGAGGAATACGATGGGTTGGCGTTGGAACTACCCCAGTTATCACCACCGGAGCTACCCCAGCCACCAGAGCTACCACCTCTTCTAAAGTCTCTGTTACCGAAACCTCTGGAACTACCACCACGGCCACCTCTCATGCCACCTCTTGAACCACCGGCTTCTCTACTAATTTTAGACAAAAAGTCTGGAACTTCTTGGTTGGCTTCTCCCAATAAGTCAATCAAACCCTTAACAATATTTTTGTTGTTTCTGTTGAAGAAGGCAGTAGCAATACCAGTATTACCAGCTCTACCGGTACGACCGATTCTGTGGACATAATCATCAATATCACTGGGTAAATCATAGTTGATGACATGAGAAACATTAGGAATATCTAATCCTCTGGCTGCAACAGCAGTAGCAACCAAAATTGGAGCAGAACCATTCTTGAAAGCTGCCAAAGCCTTTTCTCTTTCGTATTGAGATCTGTCACCGTGAATAGCAGTGGCTGGGAACCCTTGATCATACAAATAATCAGCCAATTCATCAGCTCTTCTCTTGGTTTCAGTGAAAACAATGGTCAAGCCCATCTCATTAGCAGATAATAAATCCAAGATAACAGACTTCTTTTCATCTTCTTCAACATACAAAATCTTTTGAGTAATGTTTTCAGAGGTAGAACCAACCCTACCCACAGATAAAAAGACGTAATCCTTCAAGAAATCACGTGCCAACATTTGAATATCTTTAGGGAAAGTAGCTGAAAACATTAAAGTTTGTCTGTCTTCAACACCGGGCATATCACAACCTTCAACAATTTGTCTTATTTGAGGTTCAAAACCCATATCCAACATTCTATCAGCTTCATCTAAAACCAAGTATTTGATATTGGCCAAAGAGACTTTACCTCTTTCCAATAAATCCTTCAATCTACCGGGAGCAGCGACTAATAAGTCACAACCTCTTTCCAAATTTCTCATTTGGACACCGATATCGGCACCACCATAGACAGCCACTGGTTTGACCCAAGATCTGTAGGAAAACTTTCTGGCTTCATCAAAAATTTGAGAAACCAATTCTCTTGTTGGAGCCATAACCAAAGCAGTTGGGTAAACCTTGTTCGAGGAGAAAGATCCATGGGATTCTGGAATTGGAGCTGGACCACTCAAGAATGATTCAGATAAAATTGGGAATAAAAACCCACCAGTCTTACCTGAACCAGTTTGAGCACAAGCCATCAAATCTCTACCATTGGCAACAATTGGAACAGAATACTTCTGGACTGGAGTTGGCTTGGTGAATCTTGATAAACCAATGTTTTCAACCAATAATTCATCTAATGGAGGAGCAGTAAATGAAGAAATTGGTTCAGGAACATCTTTACCACTGGCTTCAACTGGAATTTCATCATAGTTGTCAAAGTTGATACCAGATGATTGGAATTGAGGGTCTTCGGCAACTCCAAACAATTCAACTTCCAATGCTTCACTACGAGAAGATGGAATATGTTTACCATCAACCCATCTACCAACACCGGGTTTTTGGTAGCTGCTTCTGCCTCCAAAAGAGCGGCCACCCCCGTTACGTGGGGGGCGAACTCCATTATTGTACAGATTGGACATGTAACCACCACGACGGTTACCACCGCCGAAGCCACTACCACCACCATAACGGTTATCATTATTATTATTGTAGCCGCCACTGGAGCTGCCACTACCATGGCCATCATTAAAACCCCTTTGAGGGCGATTTCTCAAATGAGGAGGAACATATTGGGACGCACCTGATTGGTTGCCGCCGTTGTCGCCGCCAACAGATAAGTTGCTCATGTTTTCAGTAATACTATCAGCCATAATGAAAGCTAACGATAAGGAGTATCTATGTAGAGAAGAAGAAGAAGAGTATGTGAAAAAATTGCTGTGTCTTTTTTTTTTTAAAGTGATGGGCTTGCGAGGTATTTCTTGGTATACGCACGAATAAGGGCAAAAAAAGGAATGCGAATTACGTAATAAAGTGACATAAGGGAACAGTGGACTATTACCGTGTATAACCGTAGTATAACAAATAACATACTATAACTAGTATAACTAAAACAGCCGTATATCTCTAGTCATCCCTTTTATAAAGAATCTTATTCAACTTGGTAGGCAATCGTGACAATCCTCCAGGTCCTTTGGCCTCAATAGTTAAAAGATCCGAAGACAGACTTCGGGACGATGAATCTTCACTGTACGATTCAGATAATTCTGTATCTTCTTCACTGTAGTCAATATCAAACTTATCAAGAGCTTGCTCATCGTGCAGGGTGTAGTCAGATTTACATTTACCCGTCAATAAGTCACCCAAAGGTTTCTGAGATTCTCTTACGTTCCAATGCAAGTTTCTGGAAACACTTTCAATGTATTCATTTTCTCCCAGGACTATGGATGGGAATGGGAATGGACTGGCTTGAATTGTTACGTAATCTCCTTTAAAGATCTCGGTACGCACTTTACCATCGAACGAACACCAAGCAGTGGCACGGGATGTTTCGGGGACTTTGACCTTTAAAAGCATCGTATCTGGTAACAAAATGGGTCTGAATGATAACGTATGAGGACATATAGGAGTGATGGAAATAGCACTAACTCCAGGATGTACCAACGACCCACCTGCTGAAAGTGAATATGCTGTAGAACCTGTTGGTGTTGCCACAATCAAACCATCTGCTTGACAAACGGTTAAAAGAGCATCGTCACCATACAATTCCAAGTTAGTAACATATGGAGAAGGTCCTCTATCAATAACCAATTCATTAAGCACTTGTCGTTCACTAACAAGGGTTCCATCTGCCCTATGAACTCTACAAGAGAATCTCATTCTTAAGTTTGCCTTGACTCCTTCATCCCATACTCTTGTCATTACTTTCTTAAAGTCTTCAAAGTTGAAGTTGGTTAAGAATCCCAAACTTCCCAAGGCAAACGAAACGACTGGAGGCACTACTCTTTGGAATAACGTTGATGCTAGCAACACAGTCCCATCACCACCTAAAGTCACCACCAAATCAAACAATTCCGGATTGTGTTTGGCGAAACGAGTATCCCAATATTTCAACCGACTAGCAGCTTCAGGGAAGGATGCCATTATAGCCTCAGCATTGAACCGGGCAGAGTTTTGTAATTTACAATCAACATATACTGTGATGTCATCTCTTTTGGAGAAAAGCCATTCCACCATTTCTCTAGTCAAATAGATTAACGAGTTATCCCTTGCCTTGGTGATAATAAGGATTCTTTTCACATCAAGTTTGATTTGAGCTTTACTCAAGTTTTTGGCCAATTCTCGTACGCTATTGGCTGTCTCAGCCAATTCAGTGTGTGATCGAACAGATTTGAGTTTCAGATCCAGATTCTTGAGTTTCAGAAGAACATCAGCTGAAACAATTTTCGCCACTTGCTCACAGAATAGTTTATTATGTATCATAGGCTTATCAATTAGTTTCATAGTGGAGATGGCAATAGGAGGACTCATCAATGGGGTACACGGCAACTGACGGCAATAAGCGGGAACTGACGGTAATAAACTGGTATTTATAGGACTTAACAATTTAGTATAGCCACGGAGTGAATCTCACTCTCAATGTGGTGATTATATTTATATGATAAGGAGAGACGTCTATTTATACGTTAGTATATAAAGCTGTACGAAACTTTTTGCATAGAACCTTTTTGGGTTGCGCACTACTCGGAGTGGCTGCGGAGTTACAACTATGAGTCAGGGGGCGTGAACACGGAGATGGGGTAGATCGGGTATGATAATCAAAATAATAATAATAATAATAATAGTGATGTCGCATGTTAATAATATGTTTACTATTCTATATTGCATATGAAATGTCGCTATTTTGTATTAAATTATTGTATACAAGTTCTTTATTCAACCTTCTTGACACGACATTTCCAAGTCTTTTTGTCCAACAAAGGCAAGGAAGCACCCAAACACCAACCCAATTCATTGTTATCAATGGTCTTTGCCGTCCTCAACTCTCTACCTAAAGGAATATCGTATCCGACATGTAACATGGCGCTAATGAAACTCAAATCTGTACACCATTGAGGCTCTTCCACCAACTCTTTAATGTGATCATCCAATAACACATCCTTCCATAATTTTTCACCTCTACAAACCAACCTGGACAATTCAAGCAATTCTTCCATGGTGAAGGAGGAGGGGAACCCCAAAGGATTCGTTCTATCGTAGAAATATGAAAACACATACATGTCGCTGGTCTTGTGGAAGGTTCTAGTTAAAGATGGTTGATGAACACCGTTGAAAGAACATGGTTTGGTTTCACAAGTAGCATCTTTGTTCAAGATCCCTTCAGCAAGTCTACGACAAGCAGAACCGGAACTTCCAGATTCGTCAAGGGAGGGACCCTGGAATGTAACCACATACATCTCATCTTTACCAAGTTCAACAAGAACGTTCTCAGCCTTGGAACCTGGTGGGATGCATGGGTTCTTGATGGTAATAGAAGACTTGGCATCCTTAGCTTCCTTCTTGGACGTCAACTTAACAAGACTGGATCCTTCACTGTTCTTAATATGAGACTTGATGATTTCACTGTTGATCTTATTTCTACCTTGCATCAACCCGTAACCCAAGTGAGAATACTGGTACAAGGTAAAATCACGGTTCCCAAAGGAAAACTTGTATTTGAATTCGCCATCCACCATTTCAGCATCGTTAGGGAAATCGGGTTCAAACACAATTTGGGTGGAACCTCCACCCAAATCAAAAACGGCGGCAGTAGGAAGCTTATCGTTGCCTCCAATGTTCCCCAATAAGTAGTTAGTAGTGATCCAGGCGTAGACACCTTCATCCGCACCATCCATGATGGAAATACCATTACCTTCCACCACAGCAAATGGATAGTCAACTTCCAAGTGATGTCTGACTTCCTTCAAAATAGCATCAGATTTCTCTTGACCCAACAAACGAAGACCAGCAGTGGCCTTAACTGCCACGGGGGTGCATCCTTGTTTATCCTTGGGGACAGTGTCCAAAGCAACTTGCAAAAGTGGGTCGAGCGACTTGGCGGCTCCAACGGTGTCGGTATCAAAAGAAGACAAGCCGGGCTTCAACATCTTGAACTCTTCATGCAACAATTGTGGTGGCGACATACAAGTATTGAACGTGTACACATGGACTCTTGAGCCAGTGGAACCAGCATCAATCATAACCACGTATTCCTTCTTGTCACACTTACCAGATGAGGCTGCTGCTGAACCCTTACCTCCGCCTTGAATCTTTTCAATACTGGAACTGTCTGATATCTTTTCCGCTTGAGGTTTCTTTTCGACCTCAGGTTTCTTTTCGGACTGGAGCTTGGTATCAGCTTGAGGCTGCTTTCCAGCTTCTACCGGAGGCTTCTTTTCGCCGGCATCCGCAGCAGGAGCGGATTCGCCAACACCAGAGTCGAAGGTTGGGGGTTTGTTGGTAGCAGGGATCACAGGAGCATTAATACCACTGTCAGTTGGAACCTTCAATCGATTCAGTAATCCTTCGCCGACCGAGTTCTTAGATGAGAATAAAAAGACAACAAGTACAAATAAAATAATGGCCGAAACAACCACCCGGATGTTACGCGTGTTCAATATGACCATGGTTGACACTATTGAAGAATAGAATCAAAACTTGAAGAAGTCTAAGTCGAGCCTTCAAAAGGAATACAACAGCGAATCCTCTCCCTCGTCCACGTCGTCGCGCGAGCGAAAAGGACCCGGCTGAAATTTAAATTTAACGCGAACTTTGTTTGTTCTGCGATGCGTTTCGCATCACGATGCCACGATGCCAAGGGTTACATCATTTTACCGTCGTACGACTACTGTAGGGCTTTGGGGATACTCTTACGTTTGTAATGGATACTGCTACTATAGCGACTTAATCTGAGACAAGGTCTTCTTTGTAGAGCCTTTTGAGTACTAGAATTGTTGAGTCTGTGTAAGTCCTTCAGTGCGTGTGTGTGGTTAAAGTTTCCTACTTCGGCTGAATAGATATAAATTCCTTTTTCTTCAAGTGACACAATTGTTTTGGGCTTTTTCGTAGTGTCCCCCACATTCAGTGTCGCACGTTGCAAACTGAATTGCTGCTAAAAAAATGGTTGCACGTGTGTAAATCTCTCCCTCCCCACATGTTAGTAGAACATACTGTCTGTACATACGAGCCGCTTCAGACACTTTAGCATTTTATCCGAACAATCCAGTTAGTTACCCCAACTTCTGACACAATTACGGAAGGAACGTGTGTCAGATTATAACTTAATATTTTGGAGATCATCTCATGACTATAACTTAGTGTAGATTTATAATAATAAGTTCTTGTAGTAGTTCTTTTCAGACTTCAGTACTTTGATTTGTACGAATCTTAGGATATAAAGCGCTTGAAGCAAGTAACAGTCTGAATTGTTTTGGTTGTGTCTGATTACTGTTGCGAGTTGCATTCATACTGGAACATCAAGGTTGCAGTCAAAAATGACAATAATTCAGCTAATTCCGACCAAACAACGTTTGGAACAATTGCATCATGAACAGAAACATCATCTTTACATTAACACTTTGGGACCCAAAGATTCAAATATTCCGAGAACATTTGAAACAGAAAGTATACGCGCGACCTCTACAGAAACCTCTAGAGGTAGAAGTAGAGCACGTAGGTGCAAAAGAGTAACGATTTCAAAGACATTCCCATTTAATAGTTGCAATTTGGTTCTGCTTAAAGATACAACTCACTCATTGAACGTCGCATTAAAGCATTCTATGTCACGATATGGAGACCTCGAAGTAGCCTTCAAGGTGGATCTAGTTTCTGCATATCAGGCAATGGATATACCTGATAAAAGCTACCATCAACAAGTGTTAAACTACTATAACGACTTTAAAAATCAAGAATCAACTCCACTATCAACTATTTCTTTATCATCACTGGCCCTCTTTGCAGACAATTTGAATCTCTCTAAGGCTACAAATTCCAATATTCTCAGACATAGAGAGAGAAGGAGGTCACTGCTTAAGTCCGTGTCGCTGATTTCATCGTCTGGTTCGGAATGTACGTCGTCCTCAACGTCAACGTCAGCATCATCAGTCATCTGTGGTGGGCTATTTTCCTTGCTGCCTATAGAATTGATAAGACGCAAATTGGAAGACATGATAAGGGAATGTTTCAATCATATCTCCTTTAATGACCCCCTCATTCAGAATGTCACGAACTTGACCATTAATTGTCTTCTCCAAGAATATTCCATTGCCGATGAAGACGAATTGTTCATGAACATAATCAATAAAAAAAACAGACAGTCAATTATGGAGACTTTGGAAGAAACATTCCTGTACTCATACGTCAATCTTATGCTCTTCTCCCTTTATGACAACTTCATATTCCAATTGACCAATTCTCCGACGTTAAAGAATATTCTATCACCGGATAAACCTCAATTGTTGTACCAATTTTACCGTTCCCTCTGGAAGCTCGACCCGGATTATTATTGTTCCTTTCCTCCAGACGATATCAGACACGATTATTTACGACAACATCAATTCAGACCTAGAGATAGTCAGGGTGTTCACGAAGATTTGGTTGACAATTTCCACGACGAGGCCTTCATCATGAACATTACAAAATACTACTACACATACGGGAAAGAGTTGAAGCATGCGAATAAAAGCTTACCATTTATCCGGGGCGTCCATCCGATGAATTTAGACGATGAAGACGACATAAGCCAAAGATGGTTTGAGAGTTTGGTAACGTCTGAGAATGATGAATCCGACAACGATAATGCCACTAATAAACTTACAAATGCAGTTGTATACACAGAAGATAACAGAGGACGACAACTTTTCACATCGGATCAAAATCACGACACGAACACCAGTAGTGATAGTAGCTGCAGCTTAGATTATCCGATCGCCGATTTGGATTCAGAAACAGAATCAAACAATTTTGAAGTTGATGCAAAATTAAGCCATGATGGTCTATTTGCAACCACTCAAAAGAGAATCCTGTTCCTGGAGGATGATGATGTCTTGCTGTTTGACAAGCTCGACCCTCCTTTATATGCGTTTTGTGATGTGCGTGGTATTTCCGTTGATGTACTTACACGGAACATTACGTCATCATCGAAGATGTAAGGTCTGATGTACTGAATTTATTACTACATTAATTAATGCAATGGTATTATTAAAGTGGCTGTTGTTGTGAATCTGGCTGCATCCACTAAGATTATTTCTCCGATAAATGATATTCGGATTATACTACTAGGCATCAAGAAGAACTTGCTTCTATTCGCGTCGGACAATCTTTCAACGGATCATTTGAGTTCGGATAATACCTGGAACAACTTAACATCATGAAGAAGTTGCATATTTTCGCATTACTATCTTAAGAAAAGCCATCTTTCAATGGATTAATTAAGTAGAATTTTTCCGAATTAAATACGAACTTGCCATCAGTAGTAGTAAGTCAAAGAAATATAGCAAATACAAAGGTTGCAAATGTAAGGTGGCTGGTTTCAAGATGCAGTAGCGACCTATCGATATGTCTAGATTTGGTCTGAGTCAGATTGTAAACCTATTGTCTCAAACAATTTTCTACACCATAGTTTCTCTGATGCTTGCCCTTTACCTAATAGAAGCAATTAAGACCAGTAGCCAATCACGTACAAAAGTATGCTGCCCATGTTACGACATCAGGATGGAAATTTTCATTTGCCGTGCCAAATACCGGGCAATCGAGTATACAGCTTCTTATTATTACTTCAGAGCAGTGGTGCCTTATCCCGTGACTCTTTGTTTGGAACGGCATTCAAAAGAGGAAATAGGTGTCGAAAAAGCCTCGGGGTATATGCAGAAATCGGGGTTCTGGATTACCGTTTTAAAGTGGTCTTCAAAATATGTCTTAAGTGATCAAACGGCTGCTTCTTAGTTGGAAAGTAATTACAAAGTCTGTTGGCTTGTCAGACAAAAAGAAGTAAAAGTCTGTTGACGAGGCAGATACAATCCTTTTGGATAAAAGTTTATAGGGAGGTTTTGACTTCCCAATCCGAGCGCTCGTCTTTTATCACCTAAATCAATCGCGTACACAAGTCACACCCCAATAGAAAAATATGACAGGTCTAACTATGCCGTCGAGTCCGATGTCGACTCGAGATGATAGCCAGTCGGGACCCAAGAGAAAGAAACGTACGAAAGGAACATTTCCATGTGAGCATTGTGACAAGGTGTATCTGAGGTCAGATCACCTTGCCAGACACCAGTTGAACCATGAGCCCAAGGTGGTATACCAATGTGATTTTATGGTAGAAGAATACGGAGGTGTTATGCGTAAATGTGGCAAGACATTCGTTCGACGTGATCTTAAAGAACGACATATCAAGCGTCACTTGGAGATCCGAGAACAGGAGCTTATGCTGGGCAAGACTCCCAACGAAACAGAATCAATCCAATCCAAAGAATCTGAAGACGAAGAAGTCAAGAAGAAGAGGAGGAGGAAGCTGAGTGTACCACAACCGCCCTCTGGTGTGGTAACTGGTGGTTCTTATGGTGTATTAAGTGGAGGACCAACTGGGGGACCAACTGGGGGACCAACTGGGGTACCAAGTGGAGGACCAGGTCCAGGAATCATAGGTGCTAATTCTCCATTACAAATCTCTAAATTAATTCATGGTACTACCAGCGGTATTCCTGAACACCCAAGCCTTCAACAACAACAACAACAACAACATACATGGATGATGAACCTCCAATCTCAATCTCAATCGCCACCTCAATATCCTCCAACAAAAGTTCCTCCATCACCTCTTCCCCCACCTCCCCCACAAATGCATTTCTCTCATACAACTTCCCCCCACATTAAGCCAAATCCGTCTTATAATTTATCACCAGTTGCTCAGACAACCTATAGTCTGCTGCCATATAATCAACCATTCCCTATGGCTCCCCCAAACAATACAGCCTCGCACTCTCTGATAATGTCTAAGAATAATAACTTAGTGGACAGTAAGCAAAGGCCTATACCCGGCCCAGATTACTTTGATCCACTGAGTCTAGAAGACCCTACAGACTATAAACTTAATGTCGGAATGCCATCTTCTCAGAACGACATTTTATCGTGGTTATTTATGGATTCTTCCACCAATAATCTTGCTGTGCAGGCACAAATAGGAAACCTCCAAGCTATTCCCGAAGTTAATAGCCTCCCAGGACCTGCTAATATTCCAAGCATTCAAGGAGAAATACAGGGCAGTACCCAGGCTCAGCCAATGCAGAATAATAATGATAATAATACTAATAACAATATTAATAATGTCACCATTCCAACAAACATGGAGCAACAGTCCATCAAGATTGGAGGACCGAATGGACCGAATGTCTCATATACTCTGAATGGAGGTTTGGTTGGTCCGCCTGATGATCTTAGCTCCTTTTATAATATTCTGACATCCTTCAATAATTACGGTTTACTGGATGTGAATATTTTTCAAAGTGATGGGAACCCATTAGATGATATATTCATCAAGTACAATTCCCAAAGATTAAATAACGGCAGTGATACCAACAACACGCCATTATCGAGTTCGACGTTGAATCATTCAACTAACAGCACCTCCACATCTCCATCGAATTCAGTGGATTCTAATAATGTTTCACCAATGAATAACTCTTTGGAAGGTGGTGGAGTGGATGGGTTCACGAATAACAATGAGTATTTGGCAATACAAAATACGAAGCAGCAACAACAGCCTTCTATAGGAGGGGATCTGAGTAGCTTGGAGTATCAACTTATAAACCATGCTAAATATAAGAATGTCAAGATCAATAAGCATTTGTTTGTTGATTCTTTGTTGGTCGATTCCTTTACCAAGTTAATGCCATTGTTTAATCGTGATGCAATGGAAGAACTTATGCCTAGTTCCTTTGACGTTACCATAGAGGATAGACTCTCGTTTTATTTGTACTATTATTGGTCCGTTTTCCATCCCCAATTTTCAATCTTACACAAGCCATCGTTTGACACCAAGTTGGCTCAACCTCATCTTGTGCTTGCGATGATCGTTGTAGGATGTCAATATGCTCCACATAATGACAATTTCCAGGAAAATATTCCTTATGAACAAAGAAAGAAACTGGCATTATTTAAGTTAAGTGAATTGATTCTTGTCCCACTCAGGTTTCTAATATTCCAGCATGAAGAGTTCAAATCTCCAGTTAAACTTTGGATCTTACAGAGTTTAAATATGATTGAATGGTGTGAAAAGAACTTTTTATCACGACATTTACATGAACGGGCCCATCTTCACCATGGGACCACCGTTCAATTGTTGCGTCGTTCTCCATTATTGGGTGGGAACCCTTCCAAGAAATCCAAGAGAACATCATCGAGAAGTTTAAATAGTTCAGCTGAAGAAGAGTCAGATCTGGTAGCCACTGACTCCAATGAAACCGCTGCTGCTGCTTTAAGTGGTGGTAAAGTTGTTGATGAAGCTGAAGACTACGAAATGTTTGTTAAATGGGTTGAACTGGAACTGATGAAAAGAGTGACATTCATGACTTTCTATATGGATATCATGGATTATATTAAATACCGTCATAATCCTCAGATATTTTTTTATCAGTTACAATTGTTGAATCTTCCTTGTGATGATGAGTTCCTATGGGAATCCAATGAAGCCAATGGCTCATTTAAAAAGATTGTTAAGCAACAACGGAAATTACTTCATAAGAAACAACAAAGGTATAAGGTCCCAGATACGGTTACAGCTTCCGCTTCAACTACAACTGCAAGTTCTGCCACAGCTGGTACCAGTGCCACTGCTTCTACTGCTACTGCTTCTAAACCCGATTCAATGGGTACAGTAGCAGCTCGAGCCATGGCTAATAGCAACTCCAACCATTCGAAACCAGCACTGAGAAAAGACGAAAGGTTCATATTCAGTGATAGTTTCCTCAATGCTTTAAAGGCACTCTTGAAACTGCATGGAGATAATCATAATGAATTACCTTCGAGCTCCTTATTCCGAAAGAAGATCCTCTTTGCTGGCTTGACCTCCATCATGTACCAAATGCAGCAGACCGAGATCCAAAAGAACACTTTCCCTGGAGGATTGGGTGTTCAAGGATACAACAAAGATTATATTTGGAAGGAGATCATAACCAAAGTCTTGGATAATTGGAACGTTGATGTTAATGGAGATTGCACGCATGTGAAGATCCCCAAGAAGTCCATTTTGGAACAAACTAATAAGCTAAGTCAATGCAAGTTTCCCATGTACCATTTGGTACAGATTATTGGTATATCGGATATTAACCAATACGATATTGCAATCTATGGAGGGTCCTCGGGTAACATGAGTGTGGGGGCCACCAGTAGAGACTATTATATTGTGGAGAGGAAATTGAAGATGATCTGGTCCAAACATGATACTCGAAGCATTAACAATATCATTAACCTCAAGTGTATTATTCATTGCTATTTGTTCCTTTGGGAATTGATGTTGCAACCTTTATCCATTGATACCATTGAAGTGTCCAAGCCACAAGTGAGTCAGAACCCCTTCTTAGATTGGAATATCAACCACAATTACTTTGATAGAATGTACACCATCAGTACTATCATGTTAGTGCTTTGGAGTTATTGTTATTCTACCAGTGGACCAGAAAGTAATCGCTTCAATGAAGAATTTGACTTAAATACTCCCTACGATAAGTTGATTGAATGTTCTACCGAAAATGGATACGAATACTTACTAAGAATAAGACTGGAGTTCTCCATTCACTTGAGAAGAAACAATTTACATCACGATTACAATATTCATCCGTTTAAATTGAATAACAAAAATAAAAACCATACCATGAACGAAGTGATGATCCAATATTGCAATATTTTACCTCAAATCACCAATAAGCAAAATATCCTGGGACTTTGCTTCTTAATCGGGAAGAAACTCTTGAACAGTCAATGTGAAATTCTTCGAGAGAATGCTAAATTAATCTTGAACTGTGGCTTTAGATCCATTGGAAAGAAGTCCATCTATTGTATGGATTTATTTGATAATAACGAGTTTTCAAATTGAACTAAACTAATAAAACAGCATTAACACATCCATCTCTATCAGGTTCATTTGTAATTTGAGCATATTTACCCCAAACGACCTTACCACCAGCAGTGACCAACCCTAATTCGGAAACATTGACTTCAATAATAGTTCCCTTTGTTAAAACTCCCAATTGGGTATACATAGGCGACTGAGGATTCTTTTTAACTCCTAGAATAGGTAAGAAAACAGTGACTCCCAACTCAGGATGAGTCACATTGGCCTTCTTCTGTCTTAAAGCTGCTGGACGAATAATTCGTTCCATCTTCACTGGTCTACGGGTGAAACCTTCTCCAACAAACGTATGTTTGGTGATCATCCGTTTCCAACTCTTGGATTTGGATTTCCCGGTCTTGATAACCTTGAACATCTCTTCTTCAGAAATACCTCTGACCTTGGGCAAGGGAACAGAGAACTTATCGGCCTTTTCTAATCGTTTCTGCTTAATAGACAGTGATATAGCTTTAGCAGTATTGTTGTTTTGACGATCCAATAAATATGTTGGTAACGCTTCTCCATCATCTTCTTTAGGGGTAGCAGGTCCGTTGACCTTCGACTCTTGATGTGCTTTGATCTTCTTCTTCATGGCAACCTTTTCACTGTACCGTTTCTTTGCAAATTGCTTACCCTTCCATCCCTTTAAGGTTTGAGCATCCTTGGCGATCTTGTGGCTCTCTCTGGCCTCTCTCTTTCTCTTTCTTTCTTCATGATCCAACCGTCTTCCGTGTTGCTTGATATGCTGTTCGATATACTCGTTTTGAGGCATTGTTATGGCGTTATAAAATCAAATTGTTAAAGAAGAAGTGTGATGCAAGCTATAATTTAAGAGATGAGCATCAGAAATTTTATAATAATAATCGCACGTGAGATAGCACGTGACCAAAGCTAAGGTATTTTTACTATTTATCAGTACTATTAATTTGCAGTGTTACCTCTCTAATAAACCATATATATCTATATATTTATGTATTGAAATGTACTCATTGATTGAAGTTGATCAATCGTGTGTGTATTGCATCAGTTTATGTGTGAATGACAGTTAATTCACCACGTGATACAAGAATATTTTCCCTATATCTACTAATCTAGTACAATATTATGTAGGTAGATATCTTCAAATGTATTTAAACTAGTTTTAATCTAGACTAATTGTCCCCGAATGTCTTTACTATGTATTTCGATCCATCTTTCAGCAAATATTACATACCGAGGGTAATACTGAGGGTAGTTTCATACTATGACACAATAATAATCATCGAAGTCAATGCAGCCGTCAGACAACACACGACTAGACTTGATTCTAATGACAGATTGATTCTGAAGGTGTCAGAATGTGATGACGAGTCTGAGTCTTATAACGTGTCTGAGTTTCGATGACCGTTGGGTCTTCTTATCAACAGTACGCTGTCTTGTATATGGTGGTGGGTCAGGCTGTTCATGCTCAAAGTGTTTCTCAAAAGCCGGACCATTAACTTTATTCCACCTGCTTACGGCTTCATCTACTTTCTTAGCCATAGTCACTCTATTCATATCTGATTTGATTAGCTTAAACTCTTTAGCAAGCATGGAATCCAATTTACCCTTTTTAAACCCTTTGTAGTCGTTGGCTATAAACTTTAAGCATTCAGTACCCAATCTGTTTTCATAAGGCTGTGGAAGCAATTCGTATGAAGGTAAAAGCTCTTTGGCATGAATAGCATCCTTTGGAAAATCCATACAAACTTTTATGCTCCTTCTCCTGCAAAATTTTGTAATGAAAACCTCTTTCAATTCTCTGCAAAAAATATCAAGTGTCTTAATAATAAAGTGTTGCTTAAGAAACTCAAACGATGTTCTGGTTAACCAATACGGAGTGTGTGTGAAATCATAGGTTAGACCACGCCAAACCCAGCATTCATAAAGATATGCTGCATCTTCACTACACTCCATACTCGACAAAGCCGTCAGCATACCACAAGGCAAGGGAACAGAAACAGAGGCTACATTTTGCAACTTCCCCAACTCCTTTTTCTCTCTGTCACTAAGAGTCAAATACTGTTGCTTACATGCTGCAAAATGAGCCAAAGATAAAAATCCAGGCCTCTCAATTTTATAGCAGTTTTTAGGAAATGAAGTTTCTAAAGTTTCAAAAACAATTTTTTGGGTGTAGCATTTCTTTGAACGGAGAAGGCTGCAAATTGGAATTATTGTTTTCCATATTATTTTCCACACTTGATTTAATGTCGTTCGTGTTCGGGTTTGATATATTATTCTTGATAGTGGTAAGCTGTGTTTCCTCCGGTGTTCCAAAGTAAAATGCTTCTTGACCAGATTTAACTGAGCTACCTACTTGGTCCTTGACGGAAGATAGAAGATGTAATTTTACGATATCTTTTGCAAAAACCGCAACAAAACAGATTATTTATTATTAGTACTGTGTTGAATATTCTCTACTTATATTCCGTTATGTTCACCAATGTGGTTTCCCGTAGCAAAAATATTTGATCATGGTAGAACAAAGTGCTATACTTTCTCATTCAATGGCAGCTGTAGCATATAACGGAATTACATGTTATGCTATAACGGAATTATATTTTACTGCTTATCACTCAGTAATATAGTTGATACTTACAAGTTCGTTTGCTCGATAAGCAACTCCAACCCTAGTGCACTCTGGTAGAAAAAGAACACAGTTACAGGTAACAACCAAACACCGAATTAAATGCCGAACAAATGCCGAATCCCGCAGACTGAGTTTAGAACCAAACGACTCACATCAAATTCATAAACAATATATATATACTTCCTTATATACTCAGGATAAAAGATTATTCCTTATTCCAATTGAATAATTCGCTATGGGAAACGATGACTCTACAAGATGAGATACTTTTTAGGGTGTAACAAATACTCCAATGTAGTGTAAACAGTTGGATTGCTGCAATCCGGACTTAAGATGGCTGTTTACATTCAGCCTAATGTTAATTTCGGGCCCTTTTCTGATTTCATTCGCTCCAAACTACTTAGTTATCCCTTACACGTTGGGCGTTTTAGTGTGGTTTGGTGCTGAGTCATCACTACTATTGTGGTTTTCCCGTACCATAAAAATTTCCGCAGAATTTGAGTGCAACTCGATGGTGATCTGGTGTGACTAATATATAAGAAAGCTCTTTATCACTAGATGGTATAAACGACTCAAAGACATCATACTTGAAACTTTATACACCATAAAGAGAATAGTTATAGGTGATCTTGTGAGAGAGGAATTGCAATAGCGAAATATATATCTTACTAGGAATTAAAATAATCAGTTTATTCTATTTATTTTATTTTATAATTACAGCAACAGAAGAATCATTAATTATTGGATGCTAGGTTCTTGGTGCTACTTGTGTTACTTAATCTAGTAATCTTTGGCTGCGAATTTTCGGAGGAACCATTTCCTAATATGGATTCTTTGTGTACAGAAAAGTATACGGAACTTCACCTCATGGCTGCGAAAAGTCGGCCTTGAAAACGAAGTTTACTCGCTGAGAATCTTTTTTCTTCTCCTTCGTCTCTTTAACCAAACACCTCACTAGTTTACCGAATCATGAAATTCTCCAGAACTAGTACCGGATCATTCAGATCCAAACTCTACAGCTTCCGCAAGAAGTTCCACAACCTCTTCCACCATCACCAAGTTACTAACAAGGTTAGCAATCAACCTCAAGAAATGATTGAACTGGCGCTCACCATTGATGCATTTCCTCTGCCAATGTGCAGCGACAAGCAAGCTGGAAAAGCATTGAGTACTTCAAGTAGCCTGCAAGCTACTATTGGCACAGCTGCAAGCGCTCTTCCAACTCTCCTTTCCCAATGTGCAACTTTTGAGACTCCAGCTACCACCATTGCTGTCGAGACCAATGACAAGGAGAACACCAATGTTACTCCATTACTCCATGATTCCTTATTTGAAAAGGCTCTCCTCGTGATCTTTGAATACACTGACTACCAAACTGAGTCCAAAAAAGCCAAGTCTATGGCTACTGAGACAAAAGACGAAAAGAACGTCTGTTCATTAGAAGCGATCAAATTGAAAGCTCCTCTTGAACATTGCCAAGATGCATTCAATGTGTCTTGTCCTTTAATTGAACCCCCAGCTGCTTTTTTGATTGTTGAACCCAAGGAAATGGTTGCTGATCAGGTTATCGAAGAGGTCCCTCTTTGGCCTACTACTCCTCCTCTTCTGTTCCCTGAGTATCTTCTCAATTCTAGACTGAACAGTGCTGGTCTGGAGCGGATCATTAGTGGTGATCTGTACCAATCGGCTTCTTGTATTAGTCCAGGATTGAGCGAGTACTCCAGTGGCAGTGAGGCTTACTATCTGGGCAAGATTACAAGGCAATTTCTTCGATCCTATCAACATCCTAAACAGGTACGGAAACGTACTCAAACAGTTGTTAAAACAAATACTAACTTTGAAGAGGACTTTCAAGTCCTCTACTAAGCCTTCAGTGGCTTGGAAGCCTTCATTAGCGGGGCTTACAGTATATAGATAACAAAAAAACCATAAAAAGCCAAAAAAAAAAAAACCTACATATCTATTTAATACAAGTTGCTCTTATCTTAGCTTAGCTTAGCTTACATTATTCTAAAGATATTCTAGCTTATCATTTGAATCAAGAGCGGGCGTCATGATAGTTCCTATAAAGCGGAAATACACAAGCTTTTGCCAATTAATAATTAATATAAACCATGTTCATCGCTGGCATGTTTCGTGGGTATTTAACTGTGGATATGTGTTATATTAGTGTAAAGTTACCTCTTAATATGTCACTATTAGTGGTCTTGTCAACAAGGTGAAGTTGTCATCAATGGAGTAATTCAATTCTGTTGTAATATTGACGGGATAGAAATGACAGCAACACGACACATGCCCAATGGGTATGGTGTATAAGGGGAGACAATTGAAACTTTATGGTAAGTGTTACCCGCAACTGCAGAAGCTGCGTAGCTATCAAAAATGTAATTCAATATATTAAGAGAATTAACACCAACAAATCAAAAAGATTTTACTTGTATAAGCACCGAACTACTAATAAAAACACACCAATTGCCTCGGCTACTGTTCCAATAGTAAGCAGGATTAGTTTACAATTTTCAGGACAAAACAACATACAAATATGGCAATTCATTTCTATTAATTACGTAAGTATTCGCATTAACCCACTACCTACATACAGAGACGATGACCTTCTGAAAAATGGTCAAGTGCTTAGCACCTGATCAACTTATATTCCTCTCTTGTATCATTCACAGTTTAAACCATAGTCTCAATGAGTAGTGTTGATGAACTCTTGAAGTCGATAATAACGGCTGTCGAAAGTTCGAGTCAGTCTGTTGACTCCATCGTTGAGAAAGTTCGCGATGAGGTAACCCCAGAGATAGTCAATGCATTGATGCAAACATCATCAGTTAAGAAACCCGAGGGAATGTCTCTTCTTTCCCTTAAAAACGGTTCGTTATTAGCATATTTGAATTCCATAGTATTGATTTTGTTAACTCGGTTGGAGCTGTTAGATGGAGACGATGATGAAGAAGGTGTTAGAAGCAAAGCTATAAAGAGTTCGATCGTTCAAAGGGTTACTTTAGAGAAGGGAGTCAAGCCACTTGAGAAGAAGCTTAGTTATCAAGTGGACAAAATGGTTAGAGCATTTACACGTATGGAAAATGAAGAACAAGAAATCAAGCAAAAGAAGAATGGTTCAGGTTCAGACTCAGACTCAGGTTCAGGTTCGCTGAGTGATGATGATAATGATGATGATGATGACGAAGATGATGATGCATTGGCTTATAGGCCTGATGCTAGTGCACTTAGTAAGCTTATACCTACTTCTAAGGATAGAAGAAGTGTCAAATCAAAGAATGGAGAGAGCCAGGACTCAGCAGAGAAATATAAACCTCCAAAGATTAGTGCTATGGCACCTCCAACTCAAAAGGTTTATGATGAAGATTCAGGTCCTAAGGCCAGGAGTGGTAAGAAGCTTCAAAGTATGGAAGAATATTTAAGAGAAAGCTCCGACTTACCTCAAGTAGAACATTCTGTTGGGTCTCAAATTGTTGATCATGGAAGAGGTGGAGTTAAGACCCAACATGAAAGACAAAAGGAGAAGGAGATTCAAGAATATGAAGAAGCCAACTTCACCAGATTACCTCAATCTAAGACAAAGAAGAATTACAAGCAAAAGAGAGCAGATATGATGAACAATTTTGCTGGAGAAAATTGGTCTATGTTTAATAATTCAAGAGATCTTTCAGAAGGCACTTCTAGAAAGAGAAAGGCAGGTTCTGCTTGGGATAGAGCTAAGAAAAGACGTTAAGTATATATATATATATTAATCCACAGTTAAATTGACATCTTCAATAGTTTTTTCATTAAGTTTCCTGGTGATTATTTGACCATAAGTTGATAATTTAGAACCTTGATAATCAATATCAAATAACGAAGCCACCAGTGTACTCCTATTCCCATTATATTGTGGAGGTAACTTCTCTGGACGGAAATAGGAGCCAATATCTGAGTTATGACTCACTTGAAACTTGCTAAGGGTCTCTGCACTGATTATACCCAAGTTCTTGAAGAAGGAGAAGATCCAACTCATTAATATATTGACATTAAGAAAGAACTTAATCGATAACAATTCGGGATAATTATCGCCAAATATCAGAATGATCTCCTTGGTAGCTATCTTCATTCCCTTATCGATTTTAAACATTGAAACATTATTATAATCATGTACTTGGGCTCCTTTATTATTTGAAGCATCAGTAAAGTCCAATAGACAAGTAGCTCTTTCCATTAACCCGACTCTCCATCTTAGGAATTGAGATCCGGGTCTGGTGGCAGTCCCCAAGTTTTCCTCTCCTCCAAACTTCTCAAATAACTTCTTGGGGTTCTTCACATTCCCGTACAAGTTCCATGTAGTCACCTTCAAGTTGTCCTTCTGGTCGGAGTCTGTGAAATAAGTTAGCACTCCCAACTCGTTCAACTCATCGTCATAAGTCTCCTCAAAGGCAGCCAGCAATGGTCTGAACTCGTTTCTCCAATTCAAACTTTTGATTAGCATTTTCTGAGCTTTGTCTACGTCAAACTCTCGGGCAATTAAAAACTTGAGTAAAATCTCGTTTCGGACTTCAATGTCCACATGTTCTAATCCAGCAACATTGACTCTATGGCCGTATATCTCATCGTACTCAGGGTTATCGACTTTCGTATAGATTTGGGGTAAGGCTTCTGTGAGCTGATGAAGTTTGAGTGCCTCTTCCTTTTTGAGTTCCCGAGTCGAAATGGTTTTCTTGACTTCTTCCCAAGGCTCTGCTGACTCGGAGACCTTCTTCTCTACGTCTGACATGATCTGTGCCTCCTCTTGTGGTAAAGTGGTAAGGTCGTTCTTTGGTTCTGGTGATCTTTTCACTCTTGTTTCAAATATTGATGATTCTGACTCCGAACTCGGACTGGGGCTTAAGGGGCTGCCAGACGGATTCAACTCGGAAGCGGACCCTGATCCATCACTCTTCTCTCTGACCACTAAAGTTTCGTTTACACGTGTCAGCATGGCGCTTGAAGGACATGCGATGCAAGCGAGACACTCTAGGCTCTGCTCCTCTGGCCAAGTGGCTAGATGTACGGGTGATACAACCAGCATTCCTCTTGTCACGTCCATTGCCTAATACGGAAAGAAAGTTCTCTATGAGATTGTTTCTTTGTATGGCATAGATTAATGTGCAGTCGGGCTATTAACTTCCTTGCACCTATTCTATGTTATGGGTAAACGTACTGGCATTGACGTCGTCTTCTGCTCATCACAGCTAATCTCACCTCACCTCATCTCATCTCATTTCACTGCAATGTATCTAATCTGGTTTCACCGCAATGTAGCTCAGCCAGTCACCAGATTTACACCATAACACCTAATTCACAGCAACTAAAACTGTGGTCACAGTAGTCCTTACTGTAATTACAAATTTCATATGCTGTTGTTGCTTAGCTCTATAAATTGCTAACTCAGAATACTATATCTAATGTCACCTTCCTCCGGGAACTAACTTGAAGGACAATATATCATTCTTCCCCTTATCTACAACGTCATCTTCTGCCACTTTAATCCCTCCCACGGTTTCAATATGAGCAATAGTAACGTCCCCCATAATCTTACGAGCAACACTTATCACCGGTGTACCCTTCTTGATAAGCATACAGTCTCTGAAAACTTCATCGCCTGACCCACCAGCAAAGGAATTGATATTCCGAACAGGGTACACAGGTACTAATTCTAATAGGTCTGCAGCTGCTTGAAGAAGTTGAACCACACCAGTAGATCCAAATCTATATAAAACCAAGTCTCGAATATTTTCTATTCTGTTTCTTAACTTATCATCTAGAGGTTTCAATCCTGATTCAGGACCTAAATCATCTATAGTATCCACGAATTCGGTACCCAGATCATATTTGATATATTTTTGAGCAGCTAATTTCCGTAAGAATACTTCAGTGATTGAACTGGTTAGTACACATTTCAGTGTAGGATGTTTCAATATGATTTTCAGAACATTCTTATCAGCATCTGGATGATCCATTTTATTTAAAGATAGCACTGTGGGGAACTTGACATTCATAAACGATCTCACAACCTTTTCAATCCATTCATTATCCCATTCATTTAATGGAGGTAAGTTTGGTACCAAATCCAAAGCTCTGGCAATTAATTGTTTATTAGCAGAATAACCTCCCAATTGAGCTCTTAATGTTTCTAAAGTAGTGGATTTGGTAGCTATATGTCTTTTAACCACCAGAGGCCATTTATCCATTAAATTTCCTAAGATCCAACAGAAAATCTCTTCTTGAAGCCATTCAATATCATTTATAGGATCATAACCTCTGGTAGCCTTACCTTCAGCATCGGTAGTCCCACTGGCATCAACAATATGAATCAAGCAATCAGCTTCGGTTAAATCTCCAAGGAACTTATTCCCCAAACCTCGACCCAAATGAGCATTGGGTACAAGTCCTGCCACATCTAATAACATAATGGGTACACCACGTTTACCATCTCGACAGTATCCATAGTTAGGCTTACAAAGGTTCTGCTTCCCAAACCGGGCACATGCACAATCTATTTCTAAATATCCAGTGGCTTTATTTGGATCAATAGTTGTAAATGGGAAAGCTCCAACTTTAGCATTGGCATCTGTTAGGGAGTTTAATGTCGTGGACTTTCCACTCGAAGGTTTCCCCACTAATCCAATGACTGTGTCTCTTCCCATTAGTAGAACGATTATTAAGATAGTTCGGGAGAAAGGAAGCGTCTAGGTGGGGGGATGGTAGACTGTGTAACGTAAAGATGGCAACTTGATATGAAGAGGTCCAAACTAAAAGACTACGAATAAATTTTCAGCGCGCTACCATAAGGTTATACTGTGCTACCAAAAAATAATAACGGAGGAAATTGTTGGTAGCGCTGAAAGTTAGTAAGGATGTGGATAAAATGACACACAGACTAAAATGAACATCCAACTCTTTAACAAACAACTATTACTAAGACCAATTAATCCATAAAGAAATCACAATGGCTTTGGCTCAAGATATTGGTTCCAATGTTGGGAGCCTGATATTCAGTACATTTTCAAGCGACTTTAAAAAGAAGAACTTTTCATTATACGGTCAATGGATTGCACTTTTTACTGTTTTCCTTTGTCTTGCCCTAGGAATTGCCAATATATTTCATTTTAATTTGGTGATTATTTTTTCTATTATTTGTCTTATTCAAGGTTTAGTTGTTATTGTCGTTGAGATTCCCTTCTTGTTACGTATTTGTCCATTTACTGATAAATTCACCAACTTTATTCGTGCTTTTGATAACAATTTACCTCGTTGTGGGTTTTATCTTTTGTTGGGAGTCATTCAATGGTTGTCGTTGACTCTTCAGGCCACTTCATTAATAGTGGTTGCTGTATTCTTTACCCTTGCTTCTGCTTGTTATGGATTGGCTGCTTTGAAGCATCAAGATTTTATTAAGTCTTCGTTCCAAAGCACCCAAGCAGCTAACGATCTTGAAACTCAAATCGGTAACTCCGTTACTAGAAATGTGTTATAGGTTATTATTATTAAAAGTGATTAACTATATAGTTTAAAGAGTACAACCTCTGTCATGTAATTTTAAATATTACGTAATCAATTGCAGGTTATTACATAAGCACATACAACATTAGCCATCGGAAAAAAAACTACCGTACAACAGAAGGATTCTATCTTCACAGAATATAGGCAGACAAAACTACAATAATATGGTGGACGTATTGCCGTTTGTGGAAGATACAACTCCGTCGGCAGATGTTGTTGTTAAAGGGAAAGCCCCTAAGTTGTCGCCCTCCGTTGAGCCTCAGCCTCAACCTCAAGACAATGAGGACCAAGCAAAGCCCAAAGAAGAACCTACAAATAATAATAAAAGAGAACTCCATACCATAGATACGCTTTCGTTTGATCAGATCAATGATGATGCCGATGAGTTGATTGAACTTAGAGGAGAAGGTCGTTATTTTGGTGTGACTGACCCAACTCTGGGTAGAACGGTCAATACCCTTCAGAGTCTTGGGCCATTATGTGCCAACTGTCATAAAAGAGGCCACATTCGAGCTAAATGTAAGACAGTTGTTTGTCATAAATGTGGAGTAGTTGGTGATCATTATGAGACTCAATGTCCTACTACTATGATTTGTTCTCGATGTGGACAAAAGGGTCATGGGTTTAGTTCATGTACCAATAAGATGAAAAAGAGACAATATTGTCGTACCTGTGATACTTTTAACCATGGAGAAGATCATTGTCCTACTATATGGAGATCATATGTGACTAATCCAGCCAATCAAACCTCCGTTAAGCTTCCAAACATTTATTGTTACAATTGTGGAGCAAGTAATCATTATGGTGATGATTGTAGAGAGTTCCGAACATCTCGAGTACCAAATAGTAATGGGAGTGCATTTGGAGGCGATAATTTACCTCGAACATTACGTCAATACTATTATGATCTTCTTCGAGGGAAAAGTTCCAATAAAAGTAAGAGACAACAACAGAGTATACCCCCAAAAAGATCAGGTATCTTACCTCGGAATAATGAATCTAAAAGGGGAACCGGAGCCGGAGCCGGAACAGGAGCAGGAGCTTCGTTGGCTAGTAGAATCCAAGCATTACCTGTGAGATCAGGATATATACCCAAAAGACCTGAGAGCAAGCAGCTGAAGAAATATGCTAATAATAACAATAATAATAAAGGTAACTATAATTATAATGGGGGTGCTATACCTACTCGATCGGGGTTCATTGATAACAGAAGGAGCATTCAAGGAAAAGACAAAAGGAATTATGTCCAAGATAAACGAATGCAATATTGAGAACACAAAGATCTCGTCATACATTTTACTTCAGGCAGCATCAATTATTACTAGCAGCATAAAAGACAACATAGTACTGTACTTGCATCGCACTAGGGGATCGAAAGTCCGTTATAAACCCACACGAAATCCACGTATAGAATGTAATATCATATTTAAATCATCATTATGACTTATCTTATGTCATATATCTACTTATGTATGTAGTGTAATTTATTTTATGTCATATCCCAACATCCACTGATCAAATAGATAATTTGTCACCGAGACCGGCGTCACACAAAACGGCCGTCTCTTGCCCTTCGCGACATATGCAGAACAATAAGTGTGTGCGACACTCCATTGATCATGGGGTTCATCATAACCAATATGAAAACCTTAAGACTACTAAAAGTCCTTAACATGAGCTTAAACGTGTGTCCTCGTACACTAACAGTCTAATGAATCAACATTCATCCATTTATCCGAACATCTAAATAACCGAAAAAATAGCAAAATCCATAACTCCATCCACAACCTGGTGATGCTTACATCATCTTTGACATCCACTATGATGGAATCAACACCCACTCCTACAATGGTCAACAGATATAAACGAGATCGTCAAGAAGTCACAAATCGTTATTCTACGTACACCACAGTGTTTCTACTCGTATACATAGCGAAAATATGCATCGTCAACATCTACACGGCTCACAGAGGTCGTCGTAGAGTCTTGGGGAAGGTCCCCGTGTTTCTGAAGATTGATCTCTATTTGAAACGCAAGATCCATGCTGCCAAATATCATCTGGGAGCGACAGCGACTGCTTTCGATCCCGCTACCGGAGAAAGAGGTACGCGACACTGGATGCTGTTTGTAAATGTGATACGTTCATCCATGTTGAACTTCTACTTTAACCTAAACACCATCGCCGGTCTTGTGTTTTGGACATTTGTGTTTTGTCTCTTGTCGCTAACTAATCTTCATAATGATTGGGGCTACTTGGCTACCCGATTAGGCAAAGTGGCCACGGCGTGTTTGCCTACTATTTTGTTCTTGAGCCTAAAACCTTCACCACTTCCTCGTACGCTCTATTTGAACTTACTTCCTCTTCACAAATGGTTGTCCCGAATAGTCATGTTGCAAAGCGTGGTCCATGCCATACTTTATATGTGGTACTTCTATGTTTCCGGAACGATGTTTAAGGCCTATCGAATCAGAAACTTGTGTGGTTGGTTACCTCTTTTGGGGTTCATGGTTATATTAGTCACCAGTTTAGTGAGACAGAACCATTATCGGTGCTTTTACTATAACCATTATGTCTGGTCTTGGATCATTGTTATTGCACTACAATTCCATGCCCGTCCTGTGAAAATCACGGGCTATACCATCACTAATGTGTGCATACTTTTATTTCAAATTGGTTACAGGGTTCAATTATCCATTAAATCCCAATACCCGTCACAAGTTAAAGTAGTGGAAGTATCACCGCACTTGGCATTAGTGGAGTTTCCCAATTCCCTTTTGTCTGAAGTTCCTAAAGTCCCTGGTGCTCATGTTAGAGTCACCAAATACCATCGGAATCCAATAAGACGGTATTTGAAGGCACTATTACCTTATTATCACCCGTATACGTTGGCATCACTTCCACTGGACCGATATCAAAGAATGATCATCAGAAAAAGTACGTTTAAATTCACAAATAACACTCAATATATTATCTGTGGGTCTTATGATCCTCATTTATCGTTTATTCAACAACAAGAGTCAGTCCAACTGCCTTCAGCTGCTACTGATTTTACTATTTCTAAATTGCATGTTACTGCCAAAAGAATCTTGGTGGTTATTGGAGGTTCGGCTATTCTGTTTACTCTTCCATTGGTCCGAGTCATGAATTATCATGGAATTCCAGTTAAAGTCGTTTGGGTCATCAAAGACTTTCGAGACATTATTATACTCAAATATTTCGATGGTTATATCCATGGGGATGATTTTGAGATCTTTGTCACTGGAGACTCATACATTAGAGAACCACTATCTCCACTGCCATACGGTGAAAGCTCAAGCACAGTTCCTCATAGCTATGGTGCAATTGGTGATAATGATGACAACGATTTCGAAGGCAAATTGTTGGAATCGGACGATTTAAACCATGAAAATCAGCAAGAAACAGTTGAAATAGATTTGAATAATGATGGTGATTCTACAGAAGATGAAGACAATGGAGAATGCTTAAGACATGACTCGTTTGTATCGGGAATTCATCCAATTGGTGATGATATTGACGATGAATATGATGATAATCCAAGTACTACTGAAGAAGATGAAATTGATTTCAATGAAATTGACTTCTCCGACACATTAACACCAATATCTAAAGTACCAGATACCTCATTACTGAGGCAAGTGTCACGAAAATCCAGCATGAGTGAACCTTTCACTCCCCAAATCTTTCCTTATTCATCTGAAACTACTAGGAAAGAAATTAAAGATTTCCAAAGAACGATCAAGAAGTTGAAACTACTAAATAAGATCTACAAAGGACGGCCCATCCTTAATTATAAGTATTTTAACTGGTGTGTTAACCAAGGGTTCACTCAGTGTACCGGTCCCGTTCTGGATGATCACAATAACTTGGTATGCTGCAAGTTAGTTGCCAAACAAGCTGGTATAGATAATGAAATTGCAGACCTAGATAAGGTTTGGGTCATCTCAGCAGGACCAGAGGGCTTGGTATCCAATGTTAGAGTATGGGCAAGAGAAAATGGGTTCAATTTCCATGAAGAGTCTTTCTCCATGTGATGATGATAATGTGTGATAATGACGTTTATTGTGCTATTGTTACTTGGGGAGATCTATGTCTATACCACCTATTTCTTGGCTTAGATTAACGGTTCTTCTTATTTCTCTCTCAAGTGCCATTTGCTTACTAATCTTATGCTTAGCGATATCGGTATCAAAGGCTAATCCTGCTATAGTCCAACTCATAAGATACCAGAACCTATATGGAGTTCTAAAGAACTTTGTGTTGACCCCCCAGTTGAACTTATAGTTGATATAAAAGCCTGTAACCAACCCCACCAATAATCCTTTAGCCAGCCCGGTGACAGCAGCTTTCCATAGTTGGTCTTGATATTCTGCCTTCTTCTCTTTGGTGAGAGTAGACATAGTAAAGGATATAGAATGGTATTAAAAGGAATAGGAAGGAGATTTTTCAAGGTTAGATAACTGTGGATGTTACGGGGGTTTTCTAAATCGGGAAAGTCAATGACCGCTAACTGATTGGCCGACTTGGTTTTGACCGATATCCGACGCGGCTTTCCTTTTTGGGACGAGCCACAAAATTACTTCTTATAAAACCCTACCATAATTATAATTATACTATCTACTTGTTGAATACTTGTATCGGTAATTACCACTATCTACGTTTAAATTTGATCCAGAATGACGCTCCTAGTATACCTATTACGGTATAAAATCCGATACCCATAAACTGTCCCGATTGAGCATAACCTCCATCATAGAATGCAGAGAACAAGTCCCTCTTGTTATTGGGAGTCGTGGTTGTGGTAACAGAGATTTGACCTTGATCACACCATCCGTTAACAGGCAAACAGTTTATATATTTACACCAGCCACAACCATTATTAGTATAATTATGATTCAACCCAAAAAAGTTATGAATAAGCATAACCATGAAAACGATTCCAAGAGTTAAGAAAATAACTCTTATAATGCACCAGGTATAGAATCTCCATTTAATTTTTGAGCTCAAATCTTTATACCAACGACTTGTGGATCTTTTAGGTATTTTCCCATCGATAAATACAAAGAATGGATCATCAAGTAAAGCAATTGAAAGTGCAAAACCTTGAGCAAACCCTCCGATATGTGAAAAATTATCTAACCCTGGGAGTAAGCCTAGAACAAAAGAAACAACTATCTCCACTACCATCATCAATATAAAAGTTGTATAATGGTTTGTGTTGTAGATATTATTATTTCTTTTCCCTGCCCATATGAATAAAATCATATTTATAGCCAAGATACCAAATAAAGCACCCAGAGCACCGGTTGAAGCAATGCCATCAGGAGCAAAATTAGCACCTAAAAGAAACCCCAGGATCCCACTCATGAAATATATGATAAAATATCGCAAGCTTCCGATATTCAGTTCAATTATTGACCCCATAAGAATTTGAAGTAATAAATTAAACAAGATATGAATGATCCCAGCATGCATGAAAATGGGTATAATGACACGATACCATTGGTTCGGTTTATATTCATTATTGACGATTGGAATGCCGTTTAATCCACAGAACTGAGATAAGGAGCACGTGAAGCTATCTATATTGGTGGAATTGGCACATGGATACAAGATGGTGGTATCATTGGATATTCCTGGTAATGCTTGCATACATGGAACGTATCTTGCACCCATATTGACTAGTAAATAAGTTGAAGGGCCTATCATTGGATTGAAATAAGGTTGTGTTTGGAATGGAGACCCAGTATAGATACCCATTTTGGCCAACTCAACAATCAACACTATGATTTGTATAGCAGAGAATAAGTAAGTCAAATAGGGGAAATTGGCCCATGTATATTGGGCGAAGAACCGTCGGGTCGGACGTTTACGATGTCGACCGCTACCTAAACTGTGGCTTTTTTTCTCTTGTTGCGTAATGGGTTGAATTTCATCTGTACCATAAGGCGCTTGGTTCAGTTCTGGGGATGAAGACGAGTTTAACGTCTGAGGCTCTTGATGGCTATTCGTATTGATATTGTAATAATGATCATATACTGCTGTCTTTTGTGTAGTGTCGTTGATGTTATGTCCATCATCATGGCCATCATTAATATTGTATGGTTGATAGTACTGTTCGTCATTAATGACCGAATAAGGTTTGTGACTAAAGTTGAAGTCGTCTGTGTCGTTGACTTCTTGTCGTTCTGTATTGGCTAAGAATTGACTCCGCCATGGAGACTTCGGAGGAGGGGTTGGTGGTATGGTCGACTTAAAATTTGGCTTCGTCGAATCGGGAGGAACTGGCGGTCCTTCAAACGACGGGAACGCACCAGAACGAACAGGATACGATCGCATCTCTGAGTTGTTATGTGTTTCAGCGAAAGGATTACTCATGTCGGACTTACAGTATAGCTGTTACTGACGTTGGCAGACTGTAGCTGACGGGCAGTTCTGGCTGGTTGTATATAGTTATATATATGACGTAAATCTTCACGTCTCTTATATGATTTACTCGAGTCTGATTCACAAATCGTTTCAGGAGGCATATAACAAAAGAAGGGTGTTGTTGGTAGGGACACGACTCGGGCTAAGTCAGTAGAGCTGTATACACCACGTCATAGGCTATATTTATAGTACGGCAATATTCTTATTATTATGATTATTATTATTATGATTATTATTATTATGATTATTATTATTATTATTATTATTTATGGTGGCAGTAACGGTGACGGTTGTGATAGCAGTATACTAGACGTATATTAATAGTACTAGGTTAGTACCGTGCCTTTGGCCTGTATCCCATAATTGATCCTTACACGACTAAATAATATCTAGCTCTTAAATATACTTTCATTGGACAAGGGGTCGGCTTTCAATACCTTGGATCTCATTCTGAGTTTCCGGTCACTGGCCTGTTGTGCTCTCTTCTTGGCCTGTTCCGCTTGCAGTTGTTTCAATTGTGCTCTAACAACGTTAGGTGAAACATATTGCTTATTCTCATAAATCTTTGGTCCCCCAAATGAACCTTCTAATATAGTAATAGGAGTCATGACGAACCGAGGTCCGATTTCAATTAAACTTAAATCCTGCTCATTTTGTTCACCTTCTTTATCCTTTTCTGTTTCGTTGATTTGATAGTTTCTAACCCAAATCTTACCGTCAACTATAGAAAACGTCATCACGTGATCTATAAATGGCTTAGACTTTCTGGCGTTCGGTGGTACTCCAAATGTATGTGTGAACAATTCCTTCATCAATCTGTAATGATCTTCCAGTTCAAACAGCTTATCAAACGATAAAATAGGACGAGATCCTTTCAAACAATTACCAGTGAAATTCAATTCATCTAAAGTATGCATGTTTTGAACATGAAACTTAATAGTAGGTCCATTGGGTGGTTTGCTTAACCATAAATACAAATCTTGATGTTTCCGACTTTCAAAAAAGAAAATATTATTGCAGTTGTAGAGCTCAGCAACTTCATTCAACTGGTAAAGCTGCTTCTTACTGTCAAACTTGGGTTCCTTTCTGGAATGAGGTAATAAGCCGGTCAAATCTTGAATCAAATGACGTTGTCTGTAAGTGACCCCACGAGAAGATATCACAAGTAATCTTTGTCTGTTGATGTGCTTGGTCTTCTCGGACGTCTCTTTGGACGACTTGGACTGTAATGCTTTGTATATGGCTGACATTCTTGCTTGGGTTTAGTAGTAGTAGTAGTTAATCTTAGGTTTTGGTTAATCAGTAGGTGGTTTTAATTTTTCAATATGGCGATGCTCATCTCAAAAATACGACATTTGCGACATTTATCATCTAAGAGTCTAGGTATACTACATAATAATGGATTAAATAACCCTAGCAGAGAGTATAAGCAGATAAGAAAAGTAATTAGGCGTAGTTCATTGAATTTTGTATTCAATAAGTAAATTTAAATGTATGTACTGCTACTACTTGATATTCATTAGTATATCGAAATGTCGCACATTAAATTTGCAGCAATTTTTACCACTACATAACGTGAAACTGAAAGGAAGTCGGGAAAACTACGCATAAGACAACTATATTCCCTAGTGTCCTTAAATGTGTTGTATCATGTAATATGTGTACGTTTGTGTGAAAAAGTGGTAGAAAACCATTAAAATGTGCCAAATATAATAGAACTTTGACCCCAAGTTCTACAATGTAACAATTGTTCTTAATTCATACATTCTGCTAAAAAAGAATAACAACAGCACTCCCTTACCAATACCACTACCATTAATTATAATCTTTATTAAATACTATATTAATCACTTCATCAGTGTGTGTACCCACGCCTAGTCAACCTCCATCACACGATTTTAATCACGTGCAATGAATTAGGGCTTAAATATTACCCGGACAACTTTATATGCACTCCCACAATGGAAAATTTTTCAGTAAGTCTTCCAACTTAAGAAAATTGACTACCCGATATTTGACTTTGACTGTTCTCCTTCTTTCCTTCACCAATTATCAGAAGTATAAAAAAATGGCTCCAATCGTATGTATCCACATCAGAAGCATAGTTGCTCCCACTTGAACGGGTTTTTTTGTTGACTCACAGTCGTCTTGTTTTATATCGTTGAAAATTAATTGTAGATCAGGAAACAAACAAACACAATCCGTCCCTGGGGCTATGCTGTCTTTAACAATATTACACTGTTGTTATAAAAGAGTGCAGTAGGCTAACCAGAAATTTATCTAGACCTCTAAGAAATCTAAGGTTGCTAAGAAGTTCGTCGTTGACGCTTCTGCTCCAGTTGAAAACGATGTTTTTGACCAAGAAGCTTACGTTAAGTACTTGGTTGAACACATCAAGATTGAAGGTATTGTTGGTAACTTGGGTGACGACATCACCGTTACTTCTGAAGGTACCAAGGTCATTGTTACCTCCACCGGTAAGTTCTCTGGTAAGTACTTGAAGTACTTGACCAAGAGATACTTGAAGAAGAACCAAATCAGAGACTGGATCAGATTCGTCTCTGTCAAGCAAAACCAATACCAATTGCAATTCTACTCCGTTGCTGACAACGAAGAAGAAGAAGACGAAGAATAAATTAACTCCCTGCGTCCACAAGCTGAGTTATCATTAAGTGTATATTAGGATGTTTTAATTTACGTGTACCTGGTTTGGTCCAAATGTTTGTTTCCGTTGTAGACCATAATTAAGTTAAACATTGAAATTGAAGTTGTCGATAGCTTGTTGCATCTGGGATACGTTTTCTTACGTAAGCAATAGACGTGACCTGCATAACACGTAAATGTTGTAAACATTGAACAATTATGAAATCAATTTGCAACAGACTGTTTACTCTTCTACACTATATACAAAAAATATGGAGTATTATATAACGTCACCCAGTAAGCGTCGTAAAAGATCTTCTAGAAGGTTCTCTGTCGTGATGGCAGAGCAGCCAGTCAATAACATCTATGACTCGATAAGGACAGAGATGGAAGAACAGAACCGGAAACTATATCAGCAGCAACAAGAAGAACGAGAGCTCCAAACTCAGATCAACAAGCTTGAGTTCCGTAACAGACTTCGACACGATGAGTTAGACAAGTTGCAAGGAGAAATACGGCATTGGGAAGGTCAAATCAAAGTGCTTGAGGACAAGAAAAGCGCAAGTATCGATGAGGTGAAGGGGTACCATCAGAAGGAACTTGAACAACTTCGGTCAACTTATGATCAAGAGAATGAACAGTTGATGATTGAAACAGCACAGAAGATTGAAACCACACTTGATGCCATCCAAAAGAAGGAGGAGGAAGAAAAAGAGAATCTTTTGGTGGAATGCAATAATTTAATGGATCAACTTGATAAATTTGATAAGGAAACCAACCAAAAGATGATCAAATATAAAGAATCCACACATAAAAAGATCATTGGTTTTAAAGGAGAAATTGACAGACGAATCAACGATATGCAAGTGCAATTGGACCAATTAGATCAATTGTTTAATGACAAGCAAAGGGAAAAGAATCAATGGGTTGAACAAGAGTCCAAAGTTGAAACTGAATCCAAGATTTTAAAGCTGAAATTAACCACTTTAACCAATAAGTTACATGCTAAAACAACCTATTGTTCGCAATTAGAACACAGAGTGACTTTGGCCTCGGAAAGAAACAATGAATTCCGAACCACCATTCCTAACATTTCAATGGTTGATGATTTAAAAGCCAAAACCAATCAATTATACCATAGAGATATAGAAATGGCCGATAACATTAGAAAACAAAAGCACAATCAACTTCAAGACTTAAAGGGAACAATTCGAGTATACTGTCGGATCAAACCCTCGTCAATGTCACTGCAAAAACAGACTCAATTCGAGCAAAAATTGATGGAAAATGGGAAACAACAGCTTTCAATTTTAAAGAAAGATAATGATGATTCCTATACTCATCAAAGAAACAATACCAATAAGCATAATTTCAGTTTTGATAAAATCTTTCAACCCACAGAATCTAATGATACTATTTTTGAAGAGATATCTCAATTAATTCAAACTGCAATGGATGGTTATAATGTTTGTATCTTTGCCTATGGTCAAACTGGTTCAGGAAAGACTTATACCATGTCACTGAAGAATAATGGGATGATTCCATTGTCAATTCTGAAGATATTTGATGATGTGAACCAAGCAAAACTTGGTGGATGGGAGTATGAAATCACGGGAGAATTTGTTCAAATCTATAATGAGACAATTCATGATTTAATTGGACCAAGTAATACAAATGTCAATGTAAAATGTGAAATCAAACATGACGAAATAAACGGAACAACGATGATAACCAATATCAATAAGGTGAAATTAACTTCAAAGAATGAAGCTTTAAAATATCTTGCTGAAGCAGATAAAAGAAGAGCGACAGCGTCTACCAAACTGAATGAAAATTCAAGTAGATCCCATTCGATATATATATTCCGAATCACAGGGAAAAGGAATGATACCAATCAAACAATCCTGGGGACCTTAAACCTCATTGATTTAGCAGGTTCTGAAAGATTAGCCAGTTCTCAAGCAACAGGCTCAAGATTAAGAGAAACTCAAGCAATCAATAAATCCCTTTCAAGTCTTGGTGATGTTATTTATAATCTCTCGTTACAGCAAAAGGGTAATAGTATGGTTCATTCACAGCATATTCCTTATCGAAATTCCAAGTTAACGTACCTCTTAAAGAATAGTCTTGGGGGCACCTCAAAAACGTTGATGTTTGCCAATGTTTCGTCTGAATTGAAAGACTATAACGAAACCCTAAATTCATTAAGATTTGCTTCCAAAGTGAATGCCACTAAGCTTGCACAATGACCAGAATGATTACTGCAAAAGTTGTCTATCAGGAACATAATTATCAGCTGTTCGCAATAATCCAGAATCTACTGCTTGGATCCAAAGTTGTTTATGATACTTCTCTGCCCATTTGATCACTTGCTTTTGATGATAATCTTCCAAGCAATAATTGTGAAGAGCCAATAAAGTATCACTACTCAACTCCAATCCATAATCATCCATTTCCTTCACCAATTTACAAGCTTCTTCAACATGTCCATTATAGACATGAGCAATTAGATATTGTCTGAAGATTGAATAATCCGGAGTCACTCCATACAGTGATAAATTGTTCCAAAACTTCTTCACATATACCAAATCACTATAGGTGAACGTTTTAATCATGATAGTTGCAGTTTCAAGACTAATTTTACCATTCGTGGAGCCTGAAACAATTGTTAAAAATAAGTCTCTTGCCTTAGCCACTTCTTGTAAATTGGAATAAGCATTGAGGATGCAATTTTGTAATTCGATATCCAGTTTTGGTAATGAGACATCCATTTTCATGTATGAATGTAATTCATCCACACCTTCTTCGTATAATTTATCACCGAACACTTGGAAAAGATACATGTACATTTCTCTCAGTGGTGGAGGGAATGAATGATCTCCATGCAATTCATTTAGTCGTTTAATCTGACGGAAGATAATTAAAGCTGCATTTAATCGATCCTTTTCACAAAAGAACTTCATGGTGGGTAAATATGATTCAAATGGAGCATTGAAATATTTATGCAATTCCCCATAAAGTACCCAATTGGTTTCAAAAGTGGATTCATTTGTATAAGTGATAACATAACTTTGGAGTTTATCAAAGAATTGTCGATATTTAATACCCCATGGTTTATCTAATGGGAGTCTTTGTAATGCATTCTTGTCTATCTTGGGGAACTCCCGTTTCATCATTTCAATTAAATCTCCAACGCACTCAGATTCCAACATTCTATCGGCCATAGCACACATTGCATTGATATTGACAGGAGTAGTTGACATTTGCTGTTTAACTTTAAGGAAAATACGAAACGATTCCTCAACATTAGACGACCCACTCTCCACTTCTGTTGCTCCAATTATAATATTGTTCAATGTTTTAAGCACAGAAGGCAGTAAATCTTCTGTCCAATTAACGGAATCTTCTAATGAATCTTCAAATACATGAATAGCTGTTTCGACATCACCATCTTTTAATGCTCTATCGATTAAGTTCTTGTAAGTCTTTAACGAAATATGAGCGCCTCTAGACCTCATATAATCAGATATAGTATTCACAAACGTACCAGTTGACGATATATCCAGACGAACCAAGACAATTTGAATCAACTTTTCATAGAGTTTTGTTTCGTCAATGGGCAAATATGTTGCTGTTTCTTCTATAATGTTCTTTGTATAACCAACCAACTCCGCTTCATTAAACAAAGATGCAGATAGGATCTTTGATTGAATTAATGTTTCCGGTGAATATTTACTGGAGTTTGATTCAATTTGATTCACAAGCAAGTTGAATAGTCTAGGATGATTAACATAACTTGAAAGTAAAAGATTACAGATCAATGGTTCGTCTGGAACTGAAAAAATTATATCCTTCAATTCACTGGAGTCTAGGCTGGCTTTTGACTCCAAATGTGTCATAATTAGCTCTGATAGTGATGGCTGCTTCCCATCTAGTGCCTCCTCCATATCCTTTGCCAAAGTGAATAGTCTAACCACGCAACCAAAAGACATTGATTCAATGTGCTGAGGAGTAATGCGACCCAAGATCATCATGACTCGATCAAGACTCCTCTCTTGATCCAAGTACTCGTGAATCAACGGCACAGTGGTAGAGTAAAGAGACTCAACATGGTTAATCAACTGGTCAAAAAAGTAGTCACCCAAATCGACCTCGTTTAAACTTGTTAAGACACTTTCATAGAACCCCAAATTGAGTCTGTCCAAACCGTCGTATAAGATCACGAGATCGTCCACTACTGCAGTAGTAATGCTAACACGTTTAGACAATGTTGAAAGAGCAATCTCTAGCGATCCATTGTGTGCCATCGATCCCAACACTGCCATGTAGGAGATTACTCTTGGTGAAGAAGTAGTACCATCAACAAATGACTTCATCATCAAAGACATATAATTGGGGATCCATAATCTCTTTAGACAAACGATATAAGCAGCTGATTTGTTAAAGATCTGTACAAGCTGTTTCTCACTAATAGTCCCTTTAATAGACCCACCATTTTGTCTATAAAGATACGTAACAGCCTGATCAATGGCTTGAACCGCATCTCGGGTCAAGGCGGTCTCAGAATAGGCCAACTTCTCCAATATTGATGTGATCATCTTTTGCTTCATTCGATCTGACATGTCAGATGTTCTTGAGTAATGTTTCAAATCCTTGATTATTGTGGAATCTTCAGGGTTCATATCGTTATCATTCTCAGATTCTATCATCACCACCTTATCTTTGCCGCCGTTAACCGCTTTTACGCCCTTGGGAGCTTTACTAAATCGGCTAATGGTGCTTACCCAGCTTGAACGATGTCGTATTGCAACCATTGAGACGGAGACCGGCTTCTGTGGGCTCCCGACACGCTGGAAGGTCCGGGGGAAAACCATTGACACTGTCAGCCATCGTAGAACAGGTCCGACCTTATAAAGCGGTCTATGAAGTCCTATTGAGTGCATGGCATGAGTAAAGAAGAGCATCATTAGGTATGTATTGATGGTGCGCACTGAAAATTTTGGTGATATTAACTTTAATAATTCCAAGGTAGGTACCTTGAAAATCATACTTGTATCTATTGTCTAACTATTTACAATCGTCCTCATCGTCTTCTCTATATTCGGGTAAATGTTTCTGTAACCTCTTGATGGCCCAATTCTTTCCAATAAACTTGATATCTGGATCACTTAACCCTTCTGTACTGGTGTACTCCTTCCAGAACTTATGATCTCTAAACCTGGGGTCTTCAGGTTCAAAGTAACCCAAATGGGATCTGATGGCAAGAACATTGTTTCTGAGCTCGGCCGCAAGATCAGACCGTAATTGCTGAGCTTCCTTGCCGTTCTTGAGTATTTCAGGCATATCACTGGGATTACCAGGGTCAATGTGTTTGTTAACCAATTGTCTCCATTGACTTCTGTAAAGCTCGAGGGTTTCATCCGACACGGGTTCACCAAAGGCCATGTGGACTTCGGCGCCGAAATTGTTGGGTAACCAACGTTTAATCCCTTCATCAGCTGTGTGTTCTGGAGAAATCTTCTCAAACCCAAAGCTGAAAATAGGCAATACAACTGGAGTAGTTGTGGCTTCTAAAATCAATCTAGAGACCCCCCATTTGAAGTATCTCATGGAGTTCAGATGAGGTTCCTCCAATTGTAATACAAACCCCTCGGGGAATACATGAAACCATGAAGTTTGGGATCGGATAAATGGAGATTTGGACATCAAGCAATTGGTGGTTTCTGGCAGTGGTTTAACGTATTTAACTAGTTGTTTGGAGTTATTGGGTTCAGGTAAGTTTAATTCTTGTAATAATGATGGTTTCTCCACTTCAGTAACGCCTGGAGTATATTCTAAATCTAAAGTATCATCCGGACTCAAGATCCTAATGGCTGCATCCACGCTACCTTGGAAGGGACCTTCTCCAAATCTCTTGGTACCTAAAATCTTACCCAAATTAAAAAAATAAGAGCTTAGGGGGGTCAGGAAACACACATTATCAGCACCAAAGCCCCATCTAATAGTATCAATGTCAAAATGAAATCTCCAAGGCAAGGCAGCATAGAATGTCGGGTCATCAACCACTGACATGTGATTCATGACCGTTAATAACAGTCTGTTTTCAGCTCTAGCTTTGGCCAAAGCGGCATCCAATCGTTCCACGTTATGAAGCTGTGGCTTGTACATCAAGTTAAGAAGTATTTTGGCATTAAGAATCACTCCAAAACATGCAGCATGAGATGCATAGTTCCACCACCACGAGTCCCGAGGATATTCTCGTAGAAACGAGTCTCCACGCTTAAGAACATCTGGAAACGACATGCTTTACGGACGACTTTTATGTTAAGCTGTGTATGATAATCGTAGGTGATTCTACTCCAGGTTTTAATTATCACCTTGCCATCTTATAGTATGGTTGATGACTTGGTCCGTGCACGATTTTTGGCCCGTGGGAACCCACGCTTCTATACGTAACTGCTTTATACCATTATACCCTATACAGATCAACTAAATTCTATAACTCGCCCCTCTCTATGCTCTATAGCTCCATTCCTGCTATCAGTTCCAACTGTGCTGCCAAGTCTTCGTTTGTTTGTTTCCGTTGTTCGTTGTTCTGTTTGTCTTCATGTAAGTCTTTGATAAGTGTTTGAGTATCTAGAGCAGAAACGGTCTTCTTCGATGCATCGGTGCTGCTTGCTGCTGAATTCACAAGCTGTGTAACTTCTGTAACGTTCGATATATCAGCATTTAGTCTTGCTATTTGCTCCTTTACAGCCTTGGCATTGATTCCTCTAGACTTTTTCTGTTTGGATGTGCTTGTTGCAGATTTCTTGACCCCTCTAGTCTTCTTCTTAGTGATGCCTTGTGTCTTGTTCATGGTTGTAATGGAAGAAGACTCAGGGGTATGGCTTCTATTTCTGCCTTTGTTCATGGTTGTAGAAGGAACTAGTTAGGTAAACTTATTTCCAATGGGTTACCCGCATTCCAGATTTTTTCAAGTGATGCGATGCGATGAGCAAACGGTAGCAGCAGTCCTACCAATAAGTGCAACTAGTACACCATATCATAGCAGTCAAATACAGCCGCCACCTTCAGGATATAGCTATAAACTATTTATAATGGTTTCCACTCACAACAGAGATAAGCCTTGGGATACTCCAGACATAGATAAATGGAGCATTGAAGAATTTAAACCCGAAGACAATGCCAGTGGGATGTCATTCACTGAGGAATCATCTTTCATGACCTTATTCCCCAAATATAGAGAACAATATTTGAGGTCGATATGGGCAGATGTCACTCGAGCATTAGACAAACATCATATTGGATGTCAATTAGATTTGGTGGAAGGGTCGATGACTGTGAAGACTACGCTTAAGACATATGATCCTGCAATTATCTTAAAGGCCAGAGATTTGATCAAATTGCTTGCACGTTCTGTTCCCTTCCCTCAAGCCGTGAAGATTCTTCAAGACGATGTGGCCTGTGAAGTGATTAAGATTGGGAACACTGTTGCCAACAAGGAAAGGTTTGTTAAGCGTAGACAACGGTTGGTTGGGCCTAATGGGAACACATTAAAGGCCTTAGAATTGTTGACCAAGTGTTATATATTAGTTCAAGGTAACACTGTTAGTGCTATGGGACCATGGAAGGGATTAAAGGAAGTTAGAAGAGTTGTTGAAGATTGTATGAAGAATGTGCATCCTATTTATTACATCAAAGAGTTGATGATTAAACAAGAGTTGGCCAAAAAACCCGAATTGGCTAATGAAGATTGGTCTAGATTCCTTCCAATGTTCAAAAAGAGAAACGTTGCCAGAAAGAAGGTTGACCCTACCAAGATCCAAAAGAAGGTATACACACCTTTCCCACCAGCACAACAACCCAGAAAGATTGATTTACAGATTGAAAGTGGTGAATACTTTTTGGGAAAGAGAGATAAGGAGAAGAAGCAGCTTCAAGAGAAGAGAGAGAAACAAGAACAAGTTAGTGAAGAACGCAAGAGAGAACGTGAAAAGGATTTCGAGGCTCCTGAGGAAGAAGTGTATGAGAATAAGTTGCTCAAGAAGGAAAAGAAGCATAAGAAGCATAAGAAGGAGTAAATATACGGAGTATAAATAGTAAAGCATACAAACTGAAGTATACATACAATATATAGTAAAGTAAATGGGTACATCTGCAAGAGATTTGCGCTACCGTATTTTACTGCTTTGTACCACTGCCCCGTCCTTTTGTGTGCTCTTCGCTTGATGGTTCTCACGAGTCACGTTACCGCATCGGGATGACTGTTGATGTTTTACTCTTTCCGTAAAGCCGTATCTGCAGTAACAGTCAAAGAGTACTGTACTTACTCCGAGGGCTTACCTGACTCTACATGTGCTGCCAGGACACCAGAGGCTGATAAAGTGTGCATTGTGGCGATGAGTACATAAGACCAACAAGATCAAGCAAACACTAATACTTTCAGACGCTCCACTGTTACTGCTACTGCAACGCTGTACACTTTACACTGTTGAACTGTACACTGTACACTGTTAGCGTCACTCTGTTATGACTACATTGGACAACCTAATCAGGTTTGTTGATGAATTAGACTCACGTTCTCTGACTCTTGTTGATGCGGTTGAAGAGTCGAGTCGACTCATTTCCAAGATGATGAGTTTGACTGCTGTGGCCAACGAAAAGGATAGAGCCATAGAACAGATGGAGGCTCGTGTTGATGATAATGCCATGTTTCTTGATCTGATAGAAAGTTTAATGGAGAAGACGTATCTTCTTGAATCAACAACCGATAACAGCATTACTACCACCACATCTCTTATCAACCTACAAACAGAATACACCTATTTGAAGACAAAATTTACCATGGACAATGCCAGACAAGATATCAATATTGACAGACAGTCTATGTCGTCGTCTATGTCGTCTGTACCTCGATACTCAGATAGCAAACGACTCAGCTCTTTGTATGGGGCTACAGACACTCTCAATCGCATGTTAGACTACCAGTTCCATTCAGAAGAGCAGACATTGTCACCACTGGCACCACCACAGCCTCGTCCTACGCTCTCCCATCAAATCTCGGTATCTAATCTTTCCTTAAAGCCGTTAAGGTGTTCCAACTCCTCCAAAATAGACAAGAAGAAGTCCAAGTACCGAGTTTCCAAAGTGTACAACATCAATCCTGTGGCATACGACAGTGTGTCGTCGGTGTTTGATGATGATACAAGCTCTTCTATTCACTTGACTCCGCATAAGCCTATCTACAACTTGCCTCCAGCCCGAAGACTCTTCTCCAATGCCACAGACACAACTCTAACCACCACAAGTCATAATGTTATGCTGCAACACAACGATGATTACAACGACAACGACGGTGGCATGAGCGAGGCCACCACCACAGAAGACATTTCATTCACATACTTTGATAACCATTTGAACCAGCTCAAACGTAAGTCAAATTCGCTCCCAGATATTGGGACAACATCCGACCCCCAGTTTGGCTTGTACATCGATCTACAACGGGGTCCAGACACAAGGAACATGCGTAACTCTCGACTTAAGCATTTCATGAGCTACAACCAATTTACAGTGCCGGAAGACCCCGAAACTGTGACAGACTTAAACATAGAGAGCAGTGATCACTTGGATGCCATCTCCATGGTTTCCGACTTTTCATACTATTCTCCTGATAAACAGCATGACGATGTTAACGATGCTATGATCTTTGAAGACGACGATAACTTTAATAGGTTCTTGAGGAAATCAAGAGTTGATTTGAATAAGGTATTGCCCCGACCTAGAACCCAAAGCCACGATAGCATATTCCAGGAACCAGTCGGTATCACTACTGCAGTGGCAGTGCCAGCTGTTGCTGCTACAGTTGGTGCAACTACTGCCGAAGCTGCTACGGCTGTTACTTCAAAGTTCCATAATCCTATTGACACTATGGCCATGACAAGTAAAGCCAAACGACTTTCACCCACCATAGAACCGGTTTATTCGTTGGTTAATGGCGTACCGGAAAGCACCACTACCACCACCACCACCAAATCTTTGCTAGAGAAGTATAAGAGCAGTGACGATGATGATATTAATACTTCACCTTTGAAACATAAGACATCATCAGGCTCTTCATTCCAATTCTTCAACCTTGTTTCTCCCAGCAAGCCACAGCCAATCAGAGCACCAGCACCAGCATCAGCATATTCGTCTTCCAAAGGACAACTTTCACTTAAAGAAACCATTTCATTGTTAGTGAGTTCTTCTCCTGTTGCTTCAAGTTCATTGAATTCTACTCCTACCAAAATCAAGCATTTAAAGGAACAATATCGATCCAAAACTAACCCCATTCAAATCAGATCAGGAAGCTCTGTGAAGCGACAACCTGTTCGTAATCCCAGAACAGATGGAGCTCATTCACTGCTTTCCATTGGTCCAAACCGTACTACGTTATTTACCCATGGTGATGCTTCGTTCTTCAAGAGACCAGTGGTTACAAGGTTTAATCCGGAAGCCCTTCAAGATGCATTATCACGAAGCATAGACTAACGCATTATATTACACTACATCGCATCGCATCGCATCGTATCGCATTACATTATATTGCATTAAAAATATCATCTGCATACTTTAGTCAAACCCTGAATCGGTAAAGATTCTGGAACCGGGAGTTCTATTCAAACGAATAGACTTCTTGATATGCTCTTCCTTATTGGACACCTGCTTCTTGTTGTTGGAAATATAAGTAATAGAGGCCTTGGATCCAGTTGCAACCTTGTAATGCTTGTTGACTGTGACTCCAGAGAACGACTGTTTCCCATCTTTAATTTGAACTCCTTGCATCTGTTGGAATGACTTGAAAGATTTGATGATACTTGGTTTCTTGAATGACGTAATCACATCATTGAAATCGTCATCTGCATCATCATCAGCATCTGTTTCTACTTCTTCAAAAGATCTTTTGCTGGAAGTCTCAGACGTTGTTCTGGTAGAAAGACGAGCTAGACATTTGGACTTCAAGGTTTGTATATCTTCGACTTCGTCTTCTGAAGAATCAAATCCGTGTTGAAGTCGTGATAACCGTTGCATTCGTTCGTATTCGTCTTCTCTGGAAGCGGAAAGGAATGATAACTGTTTAACCACAAACGACTCTTCAATCTTTAAAAGTTTCTTGGGTGGTTGTTTATCTAGAGAAGTTTCAAGGTCTTCATCAACCTCATTATCACCACCTTCACCGCCTACATCATCACCACCTTCGCCACCTTCATTACCGTCCTCCTCGTCCTCCTCGTCCTCCTCTATTCGAACAGACGATGTGCCTTCTTGCATCGACATGAAAAAGGCCTTTGACTTCTCCTGTTGGGCCAATTGTCTGATCTTCTTATTGGCCATTAATTTTTCATTCTGCTGCTTCATCTTCTGCTGTCTGTACTTCATCAACAACTCGTCCTCTTCGTCACTCAATTCAATATCAAAGCCGTTGCCAACTCCACGTTTGGACAAACGATGGTTCTTAATATCGTCCAATAACTTTTCCAATTCCTTGGTGTCGCTGATCTGATACTGTTGCATGAACTTCTTCTTGACGGCCTCGTCATTCAAATCAACCAGCAAGCTGTTGTCGATCATCTTTTCATCTTCACTGTTGCCTTGGTCATCACTAAAGTCTCCTTCAGCTCCTCCTAACCCTTGCCATTCATCTTCTGACTCCAAGGCTTCACCATCAACCAACTTCCTCAAACCTCGCCTTTCTAGGTCTTTCCGTTTCTTTCTAGACTTTAATTCCTGGCGTCTAAGACGGTCTTCATATTGTTTCTGGAGTTGAGCTGCAGCCTCATGATCAACTTCTTCAGCTGCTTCAACCTCGGCTTCTCCTTCCGCTTCCGCTTCGTCTTCGTCTTCGTCTTCCTCAACAACTGCCATCCTCCTCCGTACATGTCTCCGTCCAGCTGCAACTTTGCTTGGACTTATGTCATCATCATCATCATCACCATCGTCGGCCATAGACCCAATGACTTGAGTCATCTTGGTATCAACCTGCGTGGCAACTTGAGTGCCGTCTACTTGAGTAGTGTCGTCCGCACCAGGCTGGGGTCGAACCACTTGCAGTAGATTAAGATCGTGATGATCATCGTCTGGACGGGTGAATGATACATCAGCATCTTGTACTGTTCCGGTTAAGTTCTTAAATAGGTCTCCTTCAGATACAATAGAGAAATTGACCAATGAAGGATCTTCACCGTTGTCGTCATCGTCGTAGTCCTCCGTAACAAGTGGAGTGTTATTTGAAGTCACCAACATTTCATCTTGATTGATGCGAGCGTCGGTCTTCTTGACTCCAAACATGTAGCTGTCGTCGTCCCGAGGTCCATCAGCATCGGCTTCCACTTCAACTTTGGCATCTGACTCCGAGTCACCTTCATCACCATCATTTTCATCGGATTCTCCTTCCTCACTAAAGTCACTATCTGGAACTTCACTATCTGGAACATCACCAACTTCACCTTCACCTTCACCTTCATCTTCACCTTCGCCAACTTCCTTCTTCAATAGAGCTTGGGCTGCCTTCGCTTTCAACTTCTCCTTTAGTCTAATTCGGTTCACCCGTTCGATCTCCCGCTCCAACAACGAGTCCATGATCTCATCGTCCTTCTGCATCTCCTGCAAGATCTGCTGGTCCGGGTTCTGGTTCTTGACGGACACCAACTGTTGAATGTTCTCTTTGGTCAACGAGTGGAGCAACTCCGAATGGCCCTTGTGGTTGTTCTTGCCTGTAGAAGCCATCATCATCATGTTGGACCTCATTTGCTTGGGCAAGTTGACCATAGTGTTGGACTTTTGCTTCCTTCTGATGAACCTCTGCTTGATGCTAAGCTGCTGCTCTTTAGACAACTCGGGTATGGCACCCTCTTCTTGGTCGTCGTCCTCTTCACCATCGAGTTCAATCATTCCATTGTCCCTTAGACCCATGGCATACGACTCTATAGGCTTGTTGAGGTGCATTGATTGGCTGGTGTGAGTCTTTATCGGTGATGTCAACGGACTCTTCTGTTGGGTGCTCGTTGAAAGTCCTAGTGGTGAAGACAACGGATCAACTTCATGCTGTTCATCTTCCGACTCAAAGGCCCTGATAAGATCCTTCTTGGAGAATTCCTTCCGCCTAACAAACTGTGGAACAATCACTTGATCTCTTTTGGCAATGTTGATCAACTCCTGGACCCTCTTAACATCTCTGCCGTATTTCCCTCTTTGGGAATCTTCAAGTCGATCAGAACTAAGTCGATCAGAACTACGCAAATCTTCTAGGAGATCGTTCTCTTCATCAGTTAATGATGTTTTGGTGATATCTGCTTCCAATTGTTTGGCTTCGGCTTCTCTTTCCTTTTGGAGTCTCACCTGCCGTTTCTCATTGGCCAATTGGGTGATTCTCGCAAGTCTTTCACTAGCAGTTAACTTGTGTTCGGGAGTCTGGAAAGGAGCGTTCTCGTCTGGCTCTATCTGTGTATGAACATTCTCCTTATCACTGTCATTTAACACCTGTGTCTGGATGTCTGACTCTATCTGTGTCTGAGTATTCTCCCTGTCTAGCACTATCTGTGTCTGAGTATTCTCCCTGTCTAGCTCTATGTGTGTCTGAGTACTCTCGTTGCCCGACTCTATCTGTGTCTTATCATCGAATGATGGCACCTTCTGGGCTTGACTAATGATGTTGCTAAAGAGTGACGATGCATTAAAATCAAACTCAAGCCCCAAACCATCGTTGCTTGACTCGGGTTCTCCAATCCTTTGGGTAGCTTTCATCAATTGATCTTCTTCTTGTTGGTGAAGGTCCGGTACAACTGTTGCTTGTGTTACTAAATTATTGAAGAGCATTGATTGGCCAAAATCAATTTGACTCGGTTGAATATCTTCCTCTTCTACTTCTGCATCTTGAGTTCGTGAATCAACGGGTATGGGTTGTGTTTTACCATACAATACGCCTACTTGTGTTTGGGTGTGGGAGTCATCGTCGGACCCTGAATCGTTATCGTAAGTTCTTGGAGTTGAAGGGTTGGATTGATTGGCGAGACGCTGACGAACTCTATCCAAAATCGATAGGTCCAATCCTACGTTCGACATTAATATTCTTAGGGTTATATGGAAAAGAAGATGATGGTGAATTGATTGATACGCGTTAGGTAATTGAAATACGCGTTCGATGATCCTAATCTGAGATCCGACCTAATGACATTAATTTCCGGGGGTCTATCGGTAAAATCACGATTTTGTGTAATTGTGTGTCTTTGATCAAAATGTTGCAGTGGCTCACGAGTCAAAACAAAATAAAAAGATAAAGCATGGTAATAAGTTAAAACCCATGTGGTTACAGCCTTATAAGCAAACTTGAGATCCCGACAAAAAACCACGTTGTACTTAATCTAATCTAATCACTTGTCTTTTAAACCTCACTGCAGTGGAGTTAAATGTCTGATTTTATTACTTATTATAATATTAATGTCGTTGTAATTGTAGTAATTAATAGTGCTGTCATTTGAATCTCTGACTCGTTTTCTTCAATTAATGTCTGACATTTTTGTCGTATAAAATATGTCTGTATCTGGGTGTTCTCGTATAGTGAAAAAGAAACTGATAGCATGTGACTTTGGGCTCAATGTTGTCACGTGAATTGACTTCATCTCTTTTGAGTGAAAAAAGTCTGAAGAAAATAATCCCGACATTTTAAAAACTGTGGCGGGCAGGCCCAAGTTTAGTGTTTGACCACGATGTTGATGGCTAGCATGACAACCTATTGAATTCACTTTTGATGAACTGTTGGACATACAGACATACCTAAACAGAGTTTCATCTATTGAACAACCAACAGCTCCATGTCTAATAACCCGACTCCACTTTATTCAGTGTCTGGAAGAACCCAACAATATTAATTAAACAATAAAACACCCATACCCGCAGACACAGACATTTCTGCGATGCGACACAGAATTTTTTCTTTCACATATAAATAGGTTTAAATCCTCCCAATTAATTTCCCATTCGACCTTTTCTTCACGTCTGCTTTCCAGTCTATTCCAGCATATAAATAGCCCGCCATGTCCCAACCAGAACACTTTTTCTTTACCTCTGAATCCGTTGGTGAAGGTCACCCAGACAAGATCTGTGATCAAGTTTCCGATGCCATTTTGGATGCTTGTTTGGCCGTTGACCCATTGTCAAAGGTTGCTTGTGAAACCGCTGCTAAAACCGGTATGATTATGGTTTTCGGTGAAATCACTACCAAGGCCCAATTGGACTTCCAAAAGATTGTCAGAGACACCATCAAACACATTGGTTACGACCACTCTGAAAAGGGTTTTGACTATAAGACCTGTAACGTTTTGGTTGCCATCGAACAACAATCTCCTGATATCGCTCAAGGTTTGCACTACGAGAAGGCCTTGGAAGACTTGGGTGCTGGTGATCAAGGTATTATGTTTGGTTATGCTACTGATGAAACCGATGAAAAGTTACCCTTGACTTTGCTTTTGGCCCACAAGTTGAATGCGGAAATGGCTTCTGCTAGAAGATCTGGTGCTTTGCCATGGTTAAGACCTGATACTAAGACTCAAGTTACCATTGAATACAAAAAGGAAGGTGGTGCTGTTGTTCCTCTTAGAGTTGATACCGTTGTCGTTTCTGCTCAACACGCTGATGAAATCTCCACTGAAGATTTGAGAACCGAAATCACCAACCATATCATTAAGAAGGTTGTTCCTGAACACTTGTTGGATGCTAAGACTGTTTACCACATTCAACCATCTGGTAGATTCGTTATTGGTGGTCCTCAAGGTGATGCTGGTTTAACCGGTAGAAAGATCATTGTTGACACTTATGGTGGTTGGGGTGCTCACGGTGGTGGTGCTTTCTCAGGTAAGGACTTCTCCAAGGTTGATAGATCTGCTGCTTACGCTGCCAGATGGGTTGCCAAGTCTTTGGTTAATGCTGGTTTGGCCAGAAGAGCTTTGGTTCAATTTTCTTATGCCATTGGGGTTGCTGAACCATTGAGTATCTACGTTGATACTTATGGTACTTCCAAGTACTCTTCTGATGAATTGGTTGCCATTATCCAAAAGAACTTTGACTTGAGACCTGGTGTCATTGTCAAGGAATTGGACTTGGCCAGACCAATCTATTTCAAGACTGCTTCTTACGGTCACTTCACCAACCAAGAAAACCCTTGGGAACAACCAAAGAAGTTGAAGTTCTAATTGACTGCTGCTGCTGCTGCTAATTTTTTTGTTGCTTTTATGCTTAATGATTAATGTAATGACTCCTTTGTTGCTGTTCCAAAAAGAAAATATTATTATTATTGTTGTACCATAATTTGGAAAACGCTCAACTCGTTTTTTGCAACTGTTGAATTTATTACACTTCGAAGATAATAATCTTGATTATTATCATTCACTCTTTTTTTTATTACTATAACTGGCGATGGGATACTAAATTATTTATACACGGATAGAGTTTTTGCATTAATGGGTGTCCTCAACGGACAATTAAGTATGTATATTTACAAAAATTGAATATATATATATAATTATAATCTTGTAGCTATTGCCTATTTAGGTAAACTAGATTCTATATGTTCATCTACTACTAAATGTGTTGGTGATGATGACCATGGTGCATGATAATAATGCAAGTAGCCAATTAATCCGTTCATTCCTCCGATAATTCCTCCGAGCATAATGTCAAAATTATGATGACGATAATCTTGAACTCTACTAAGACCAACATATAATGCTAACATCATTGGCCCCAAGGCAAATGCATATTTCATGTAAGCTGGTTTGCCAGTGGTTAACGCCGAATAGTGACCCCAAAGAAATAATACCAACCAACCTAAACCACAAAACAGTAATGATGAATGGCCAGACGGAGTTGATTTCATCCCATCGTAAAGATATAACTCTCCTAATTTGGCAGTACAATCTTCCATAGTATACAATTTCCTCTTTGACATTTTAGAACTGCCTCCACATCTACTAAGGAAATCTGGTCTGGGGTTGGCTATCCAACATTTAAGTATATCAGTTATCACTCCAGTAGTGGCTGCACTAAGTAATAATGAAACTAAGGCCACTTGAGTTCTATGAAGTTTGGTATATTTATCCCATGTCTTAGTCAGCCAACACACAATAATGGTCACCACCATTGGCAAATAAACTGCCAATACATAAAGCCATTGATCCGTAACTCGTTCTTGTTCAGCAAATGGATGTGAAATCCGACTGTCACCGGCCACAAACTCTCTACTGAAAGGTTTGGCCTTTTCTGCTACCGCAAAGAAGTACGTTAGAAGTATAATGACAAGCACCCAGTCTTTGGCATAGGGTTGACGGAACTTAGTCGAGGTGAAGTATTGACGAATCATAGCGTTGTCAACAAGAGGTAGAGGTAAGAATAAGGTTCTGGTGGGTACTACTTTTGCGATATGGGTGGGAAACTACATTGTGCAGGATCATGTTGAAAATTACTTTAGTAGTACACAGGAGTAATTAGGAAGAAATTGTGAGTGAATAAATCAATTCAACCAATACTTAGTAAGAACTTGTTGGTTAGATTAGTATTCTCAAGATCACTTAGTATATCTTATATCATCCGACACCTTTCTTTTAAACACCTGATTCCGTTGTCCATCTCTTTATTGGTTGGTACACTGCTTTTGTTCTATCTCTTGTAAAAAGATTTACTAATAATGTACAGGAACCGTATAACTGTATAGCTCTGGATCACTGTTACGTTGACAGCAATAACTGACGGCCATATTGGATCTGAACAATGACCTACAATTTTACTCCAGGTATTTTTATAAGGACATTTTTCTTGTTGCAGCATTGTTCATACATGGTCTCATCATATTTACAAATGTCTACATAAAAGCTATTACATGTTATTAAGCAATGACCGGTAATTATTATTAAATTTCTAACTGTACAAATATTAAGGTAAATAAAAATGAAACGAAATGAAACTACTTGTGAATGCAAGAGCACATCAATAGACAATTAAATCTATTGCTTGAGTTCATTGGAATCTTGTTCGTAAGATTCTTCTTGAACATATCTTTCCTTAGATAACTTGGTAGAGTCAATTTCATCGTGGTACTTTTCACAAATTTCTTCTAAAGTCATTCTCTTGGTTTCAGGAATCAACAAGGTGGTGAAACAGCCCAACAACATGAACAAGGCAAAGATTTCCATAACATGAGGCAAGAAACAGTTCTTGTTAGTAGCAGAACAACCGTGGTTAATCAAAGTACCAATACAAGTTTGAGCAATGATAGCACCAACCTTACCACAAGCTGCAGAAATACCGTGAGCAGAAGATCTGTATCTGGTTGGGAAAACTTCACCTGGAACAATAAAAGTAGTGGTGTTAGGACCAAAGTTTTGGAAGAATTGAGCCAAGACGTACAATGCCAATAAAGCATGAGATGACAACTTGTGGTAAGCAAAACCAATGATACAGAATAAAATAGTCAAGATCATAAAAGAACCCAATTGAATAGTCTTACGACCGAGTACATCAACAGTAGCAGCAGTGAACCAGTAACCTGGCAAGGAACCAGCACAAATCAAAATCAAGTTACCAGCAGAAGTGTTGTACAAGTTGTGGTAGACATTCTTAGACTTGGCGTAACCAATAGTTTGCAAGATAATGGCAGAGTTCAAACCTAAACCGTAGTAAGCAACATCTAAGTTGAACCAAGAACCAGCAGTACCAATTAAGATCTTACCATATTTCCATTGACCAAAGTGTCTAACAAACTCCTTGAAAGATGCCTTTGGTGGGGTGATATCAGCAGCTTGAGCGTCAATGATGGCTTCAGCGTCAGCAACCTTTTGGAGATCATCATGTTGAGTAACATCAAGAGAGTAACGAGGAGATTCAGCAATGGTCAAACGGTAGTACAAAGCAATACAACCAGGAACACAACCGAAACCAATTAAGACTCTCCACATTTGGTCACAAGCCTTGATACATTTACCAGTACATTCAGCACCAGAGTTGGCAATAATTAAATCATCCTTGTAGCCAGCAACCAAAATCATGGCAACGATACCAGCCAACAATTGACCCAAACCTTGGTTAGAGAAAACAGCAGACATGATGGCACCTCTCCATTTGGTGGTTGAGAATTCAGAAGAGATAATTGAGGAAAGTGGATAATCACCACCAATACCAATACCCATAAGAATTCTAAAAGTGGCAAGAATGGCAACAAAGTTAATAGCTGGTGATTGACCTAAAGTACATTGGAAAACACAAGCAAAGATCATAATGATCAATTCAGTACCGTAAATCTTCTTTCTACCAATTTTATCGGCCATGATACCGAAGGAGACTTGACCAATAACGGTACCAACAGATGTGGAAACCTTTAAAAGAGTAGAGGTAGAAGAAGGCATAGAACCCTTCCACCAGACATATGACATAATAGTGATACCCAAGTTAATGGCAAAGATATCATAAGAATCCGTCATGAAACCGACACCAGCAATCATAATCATTTTGATTTGAGTCCAGCCAAAACCGGCGTTATCGATTTCTTCTAAAGCCAATCTTCTTCTTTCTAATGGATCTTCAATATGAGCAAACTTTCCAACATAATCCTTAAAGGCGGTTTTACCACCAACGATGTGATGGCCGTGACTTGTTTCAGCGATCTCTTGGGTCATTTTATTGAACAAGGGTCTTCTTGTTTGGATGAAGTTGATGAAGATAAATATTCAAGACAAGACATGATATATTTCAGGGAATTGAAGGTCTTATATAGTGGTAATTGAAACATACATTAGTATTAATTAAGAGAAGACCCATTCTGAAAATTACCCGCACAAAATGTCATGCATAAGGGCTTAAAAAATAATACACGCAACAATAAACTAGATGCATGAATTGGGTACACAAAACAAGATTCCCTACCTTAAATACCATCGGTTTATTAGCAGTAAACGGTATCTTGTTCTGTTAAAACATGCTACAACGTTTGACCCGAGGCTAATTAAATAATGCAATAAGTGTATACAAATTCTCACTCATAAAGTCTACTTATCGTATTGCATAATACCACCACAAATGCTTCCAGTAATGGTGGATGGCTCTCCCTCTCATCGCACCAAAATAAAAAAAAGAACTAACATGGATCCACGTTGTCACAAACGTTTAAAAAAAAAAAACATATTGTATAAATGAACGCAAGTCAAACTTCCCGATCGAGATACCACGTTTATTAATTTGGCACATCCCCTTAACCACATGGTTCCCTTTCCCTTCCTCGCCTTGCCTCGTATTCACGTGCTGTCAAGGCATTGCATATCATCATTATATAGCATGAAATTGACCAGTTGCAACGTTTAATGTCAAAGAAGCTGTCAACTGTCACTTGGAACCGCCAAGGCTTCTCTAACAATTTGAAAGGACTTGTTCATCAGCTTGGCACCGATTAACGATGAACAGATCACCTTGGCGATGTGGGTTAGATCGAATAGTTCAAGCTTGGCAATTGCACATTATTAAGGGTTAAAAGTCTTGTGATAAGTAACCTCTTCGGTAGTGGACAACCCCAAAGTCAGAGTTAAATCCAGGTGGAGATGACGGCACTTTTAATAAGAGAGATGCTCATAATGCTCAGTAAGAAGGAGTTCATCAACATGTGGGATGACGATTGAAGGCTGTTTAAAAGATTACAAGTTTTTTCAGCTAGTAGGTTACCACTCGTAACTTCTAATTAACTTTTGTCAATGCTTACACTTATTATTACTAGTCGTAAATCATTCATCATCAATGGTAACATGGCATGGCATTAAGCCCTTGGCATCTGAAGGTATCATCTCATTTATTTAATATCTTCAAACGCACACTACGGGTTTTGAATGTTTGCTTCAAAAGTTTTGCTCTTTGTTTACTTTTTGTTTTGATAAATGAACCTTAGAAGCGCAGCAACTGTTGCTACTTACAAGTAAACGGCGATCACATTCGTTTAAAGCTATAGATTTCTCTTAGTAGGTGGTAGCAGTAGATTGGAATAAATAGCTGCGAAACAATAGTATGTAGCACAAAACCCCACCTAACATCCTTTAATACACGCCTCATTCACTCAGAAGGCCCTCGCCAAGAGGCACTGCATGATAACCATATAGTACAATAGAGTGGTTGGCCAGCTCCTAAATTATGCATGAACTGTCGATTGTTCTCTTGCATTATTAATTTTGGGCCTAATTAAATATGGCACCCACGTGGTGGAAATTTTCTCTAAAGGGATCATAGTACGGAGAGCCCACGTTGAAAGTCTGAGAAAGTACTTAAATTGATAAGGATAAGGTAGCGCGCGTCCACCACGTGGGAAATTACATTAGATTACTTTACTGTACCTGGATGAGCTCACTTCCTAATCTGGTGAATAACCTTTCAACCACAATGAATCACCGGTTACGGGCCATGTTCCCGTTTCATTATGCCTCTTTGATATCCATAATATTTGTGACTTACTTCCACTCAGCCGTAATCTCAGAAACACTTCTATCAATCGAGTATTACATCATAACATGATATGATATCTCAAGGACAAACCTCACTATGCCTGGTTTTTGCACGTCCTTTTATGAACATTCGTCTGATTGATTACCGTATTGGGTTAAGCATACTAGTGCTCGTACGACATGAATACCAATCTGGATCAATGCATAACTAACTTCTAATAGATGAGGTTCACTTGCATCTCAAATCCATGTTTTTGAAAAAGGTACTTTTAATGAAGTTTTGCTGTATTTACAATAAAATGACAGAAAAATGTACAGGTACGATAAAAGAGAGCAAGGTAGAGTTGCAGATTAAATTACTTAGGACGGTGTCTTGTGCACCAAATAGTTTAATCAGTTGATATCAATGATAATGAGTGTAATAATTTTCAGCGATTCGTACTTACTAGATAGGAGTATGGGTGGTCTTTCCTAAGTACTGTCGATATTGATTTGAATAACTCTACTGCTAGAGTTCGAATACTGGTTAAAACACACTACTATTGGTGATGCGCACGACAATCGTAAGGTATTGGTGGTTCCAGTAATACTACTATAAGAAAGACAAGCATACTGGAACTGGTACTAGTGCTACCAATACTGCACTACTAATACTGTTGATACTACTAATATCACCACCACTACTACTATTACCATTACTATTTCTATTCTGCTACCACTACTACACAGCCAGTGCGTCGGGATTACCACCACCCATGTTGTTTTGCGGCAGTCGCGAAGAAAACAGAAAAATAATAAGCAAGGAGAACCAACAACAAATTATTGATCTCGAATGCATTAATCTGACAGGTCACTTTTGGTTGGTGACTGTGGATATTTATATTGTTTTGAGTTATTCAGAAATATGCTTAACGTAAGGAAGTTACGGTTTGTGGTAATCGCCATAGCATTGGTGGCAATCATAGCGTTGTTTCTGCTGATGTCAAGTAGTTCATTATCCTTTTTGAATGGAGACGGTAAATCTGTTTCATCCGGGGCGCATTTTTCTAATCTGTTGATCGAAAGTAAGAACAACCCCAAGGAAGATGCTAGAATCAATAATGATATTGGTAAATCTAAAGGATCCGAAGAAGATATGAAATTAAAAGATGATAGTGATAAACCTGCTAAAGGAAGTGGTGATTCAGGTTCCGGCTCAAATAATAATGGTCAAAGGGTTTTTGATGCTAAAGCTGCTTTATTGGAGATTAGAGCTTTAAAACCTATGGTTATATTTTCCAAATCTTATTGTCCATATTCCATGAAGTTGAAGAAGTTAATTGCCGAAAACTATCAAATAACTCCAGAACCGATGATTGTTGAATTAGATAAACACCAATTTGGTGCTGAATTACAAGAGTATTTGGGAGAAATAAGTGGTAGAAAAACAGTACCAAACGTGGTTATTGGGAAGTCAGTGGAATCTAAAGGTGGATGTGACGATTTCCTTGAATTACATAACAAGGGGAAATTACTAGATAAGTTAAAGATTTGGGGTGATAACAATCTTGATGTTAAAAAGATCGGTCCACCATCAAATGCTTAGCATATACGCTAAATAATAATAATAATAATAATAATAATATTAATAATAATAATGATTTGTATTTATTAGATATATATTTTACAATACATTTTAAATCTCAACAATATCCGAGAGGTTCTTAGAACTTGCTGAATTGCTTAGACTTGGAGCCGGAGTTAGCAATTCTCAAAACGTTGAATCTAACGGTCTTGGACAAAGGTCTACATTGACCGGCAGTAACGTTGTCACCTTCTTGGACTCTGAAGGCTGGGGAGACGTGAGCAGCAAAGTTCTTATGTCTCTTTTCGTATCTGTTATATTTAGGAACATAGTGCAAGTAGTCTCTTCTGACAATGACGGTTCTGTGCATCTTGGTGGAGACAACAGTACCAGACAAGATCTTACCACGGATAGAGACAGTACCAACGAATGGACATTTCTTGTCAATGTAGGTACCTTCAATGGCGTTCTTTGGGGTCTTGAATCCCAAACCAACATCCTTAAACCATCTCTTGGTCTTTCTGTTGGCCTTGGCCTTAGGGTTGGTGAAAATGTGAGGTTGCTATATTATTGTTAGTAAGGGATCTATAACGGAGAATATCCAGGTTGTGACAAATTAGGAGATGATTCAATACAATAGTTCAGTATAACCATAGTCATTGGATGGACTCGGTTTACATATTAACGGAATCTTTAGTCAAACGCAACATAATATTATCAACTCTTTCAATCTCATCTCATAGTGACTCTTCATCGCTAACTTTTCACAACCACAGGGATATCAACAAACTGTTAGGTACAAACCTTTTGGAAAGCTCTTTCGGATTGAACAGTCAATTCAGTAGCCATCTTTGCTGTGTCTTTACTCTTCACTAATGCCTAGTATTCAACAAGAGGGTATATATGAAAAGGGACGTTTGAAATTTTTTCCTTCCTCTGTTTGTCCCAAACCCCAACTGACTTCGAAAAATTTTCCACTTGGGTTGTAACACCCGAACACCGCGCGCGATTACACAAAAGACATGGTAATGATTTTGTATGAGGACAAGTTAAGTAAACTTTCGGGAGAGCACGACCTTCTGTTTGAAAGAACTTTATTATGTATCGGAATTTGTATGAATCAAACAGCTATAGGTCTACAGCCCTAAAATAATGGTCACAGGCACGTGAGCGACATAGAATATGTTATTCTAATTATTTACAATAATCTCAACTTCTCTCACGGTTAACTATAAGACTACTTTTACAATTAATTATAGTTTTGCGACCGCCTACAGTTATTGAAAGTAGTGATTTGGGTTTCATTTACATTTTTCCACTTTAAGAGTTATAACCATAGTAACACCTGCTTCGAAAGCAGCTGTCACATTTAAGTACTGTGAATTAGTATGCGTACCAAGAACATTACGTTTATCTTAAACTTAAACTTAGGTACAGTTCTATGCCGATTTAGTACCTCCAGTTTATTGGCATGCAAAAGTAGAAATAGTTTCCGTTCTTTGATGATATAAACTCACTCAAGTAAGAACACGCGCTACCATACCCCGCATATTGGTAGCGCTATAAAGTTTACAAAATCATTAAACACAATCCTTAAACGGTTCACTGTAGTAATCAATACAATCAACTTACGTATATAGCCCGGACTCATGGATGAACATCCGAATCCCCGATCCCAGGGATACAACTGTCATAATAGTAGTCGGATCCCTCTGATAGAATTTTCCATTGGAAACATAAGCGCCAGCAGTAGTGTGGCGGGCTACTATCAACAAGATGGTAATAGAACAGTTAGTTCAGCGTCAACTATGAGTACTCCAAGTAACACCAAGCATTATTCGCGACCTAAGAAGAATACGAAATATGGTGAAAGTTCTTCCCAAGCAAAAGTTAGCAAGGAGCCAGTGACTTCTAAGCTCCTTGATTTGGGCAGGTCCCTGAAGAAGTACTTTTTTAAGTCTCGAGCCAATAATAGTAATAATAATGTTAATAACAATAATAACAATAATAACAATAATAAAAACAGTAACTCTGGTTCTAAGAAGCCTTGGAATCGAGACAAAGGATATGCTCAAGGAGAGGACCAGGCTCAGGATCAAGATCAAGATGATTTGATGGACGGGAACAACGGAACTAGCCATGCGCTTCCCAAATATGATTATTCTGTTTATGTTCCTACTGGTGATACATCTGGTGACAGGGGATTAAGACTGGTACGGTTTTCGAAGGTGAGGGCCTGGGAGACTGCGGAGATCTTAAGTGATACGTTAATATTCGAAAGAGGTGCTGATGAAGAGGAAGAAAATGATACTGAAGCAGCAGCTTTTGAATTTGATCCGTATCAGCCAACAATTAATAATGATGACATAAATATGAATCAAATCAATGAAGTAGATGAAAATGCACATGATGATACTCAAAACTCAGCTAGTTTTGATTCTGCAGCAGATGATGCCATTATTGTTGACGAGAATGAAGAAAACCAATCAGATCATCAATATGAATGTGATGATTTTCGATTTAGTAATGAGCAGAAACCATCCATGAGTGGCCATCGAGTAAATGTTTATTCTGAAGATACTCCAACCCAGTCTCAAAGCTACACCCCAACACCATTATATCAGTCTCGACAGCATGATAATAAGAGCCAAGAAACGTCTTCAAGATCTGAAAACAATATTCTAAAGACTATACCCAGTTATACCAGCGAAGAAACGAATTTAGTTGTTGAAGTGTTCCATAACTTCCAGGGCAAAATGGGTGGACCTTTAAGTAAGGCAGCCATTGAACAAGAGAAACGTGCCATAGATGAATGCCGAACCACTAAATATACAGAGCTTGAAAAGATGTATCTTGCTACACGTTCAGTTGTGGCCAAACGTCGGATTCAGGTACTACAGAAGAAAGACATTTTTCTGAAGTTATTTGGAAACAGTAACAGACTAAACAAAGAGTATATTACCAACAACACACTTTATTCATCATTTGATAGCCATTCCAGTGCTCAGAAGGCGTATCTAGAGGACAAACAAGAGGTTAATTATTTGTTGGATGAGGATAAAGCCAACGCCCAAGCTATGGATGAACTTCGAAAGAAACGCCTGTTACATATGATTGAACATCCAGTAAGACTGATACGGATGTGTGAAGAGCTTGACGAGATTACTGTAGAGGAGTTGAATAAGATTGTTAGTCAAGATCTTAGTGATATTTATCAGCGGACTTTGACAGAGTACGATAAGGCTAGTGGAAGCCAATCATTGCCCACCAGCTCTTCTGCAGCTGATCGCTCCTTCTTGCATGAGACAGTTAAATCCTACGACACTTCAACAGTTGCACTGTTGTGTTTTTCACATCTCCGAAGCTGCATCAAGGCTGAGACAAACGATGAGGTGTAATACTTCCTCTAACCCCGATAAGTCAAAAGCCGAAGCGTATACCCACTCATGGACAACGGTGCAACGCTCCCATGAACTCGGCGGCAAGATGACACATGATTGTTCCAATGGTATATGATGTCTAGGATTATTACAGTGTTAACGTGACAATAAATAATCCCTACACTAATGAGAGTTGATTATGCTACGGAGTTAGCACGCACTCTCTTTGGATGGACAATCTCCGAACTATCCAACTCCGGAGAAACATGTCGAGTCAAGTTGAGCCGAGTCAAGTCTAGTCCAGTCCTTGCCACACACGCAGCATTCCAATGGATAACAGAAGAAGGGTTAAAGCCGGGGGGTCGATGATTCTTTACTTACTACACCATGATATGTCAGCCACAAGCTTAATCACCCTCCCCCCACCAAGTCGTGTACGTACCCGATTACTAACAAATCTGTTATATAAAAGAGTCTCACCAACACCTCCAGCAAACAAGGGATCTCTCTCTACAAATGAAAGGATACATCGGTAACTCAGTGGGTAGGTTGTCGGTTCTCCAAAGACATTTAAGCTCCGCAACTAGAATCATGGCTCCTGTGACAGTGAATAAGAAATACGACTATTTGGTAATTGGTGGAGGTTCCGGTGGTGTGGCATCTGCCAGAAGAGCAGCTTCGTATGGAGCTTCTGTTTTATTGATTGAAGCCAGAGATGGTCACATGGGAGGTACATGTGTCAATGTAGGCTGTGTTCCTAAGAAGGTGATGTACTATGCTGCTTCAATGGCTCATAAGAGAGAACAATTGCCATCTTACGGATTTCCCGAGGAAGCTGGTGGGTCCAGGACCAAATACGGTGAATTTGATTGGTCAGCTACCAAGCACAAGAGAGATGCTTATATTGACAGATTGAATAGAATCTACGAACGTAACTTGAATAATGAAGGTGTCAATTGGTTATATGGTTATGCTAAATTCATCAATAGTGAAGGAGATGTTGAAGTTACTTTAACTGGTGATCAACAAATCTCTTGGATGGAAAAGGAAAAGGACCAAGTGTTCAAGAAGAACGAAAAGTTTATTTTTAAAGGTGACAAAATTCTTATTGCTACTGGTGGTACCCCAACCATCCCCTCTGACATTGAAGGATACGAGAATGGGATTTCTTCAGATGGATTCTTCCTTTTGGAAAACCAACCTAAATCTGTAGCTGTTGTTGGTGGTGGATACATTGGAGTGGAGCTTACTGGAGTATTCCAAAGTTTAGGTACCAAGGTTCACCAGATCATTAGAGGTGATAAGCTTTTGCGTGCTTTTGATGAACTGGTTCAAGATTTGATCACTGACCAATACATCAACCATTTAGGAGTGGATTTACACACCGAGTCGCTTGTTACCAAAGTTGAAAAGTTGGCTGATGGTCAAAAGAAGGTATATTTGAACACTGGGAAGGAATTGATTGTTGATGAATTGTTATGGACCATTGGACGGAAATCACATCTGAATATTGGTTTGGAAAAGATTGGCGTTGAATTGGATTCCAAGGGTCAAGTTATAGTTGATGAATACCAACAATCCACCAACCCTAATGTTTTTTCATTAGGTGATGTTGTTGGTAAGGTTGAATTGACTCCAGTAGCCATTGCAGCTGGCCGTAAGTTATCCAACCGGTTATTCTCAGGTCAAGATGTTTTCGCTCAAGATAAGTTGAGTTATGAGTTGATCCCCTCTGTCGTTTTCTCTCACCCTGAAGTTGGTCTGATTGGGTTAACTGAAGCTCAAGCACGCAAACAATATGGAGAGGAGAACATTAAGATCTACAAGTCCAAGTTCAACTCCATGTACTATGCCATGATGAACAGCGACGACTTGAAGACCCCAACGTTCTACAAGATCATTGCTGCTGGTGCTGAAGAGAAGATTGTTGGGTTGCATCTTGTTGGAGATGATTCAGGTGAGATTCTTCAAGGGTTTGGGGTAGCCATTAAGATGGGAGCCACCAAACAAGATTTTGATAACTGTGTTGCCATTCATCCTACTTCAGCCGAAGAGTTGGTTACCATGCGTTAATAGAAGTTATAAATATTATTATGAACTGAACGATATATACTGTAGTAAGTGTATACTGCCACTAATGTCTTACCCTTTTCGGAGGTGGACCTCTAACTGGGGGTCTAGGCTTATCACCAGGTTTCATAAAGAACATTGGAGCATTCTTTAAGATCTCAGGCACACTAATAAACCTTATAGTGTTGCCCTTAAGAAACACTTGTGTCATATATTTGGATTCACCTGTTGATCTATGCACTGTGACTTCATACATTGACACATTCATATTATCTTCGTTCTCAAGCAACTTCCCTCGAAACTTATCGCCATTGGTGGTCTCGATCTCAACGACATGACCCTGCGCCTCGTTGAGAAGTCGTATGGGGATCCCGCCGCTCATATTTGTAATATTGATATATTTATAATGTGTTGATAATGTACTAAGGTAATGATAAAGACAAGGTTAATAATATTTAGTAAGCTCATCATTTTTATGAATGAGTGACATTTTTCAAAGCGGCGATGAAAATGTCGCGACCGATACCACCGAGTTGCTTACATAGGCTTCAAACTTCTGTACATATATATATATGTGTGTGTGAGGAGCCATATGTGATAGGTCATATTGTGATAGGTCACATTTATACTGTGATCTTATGACTGGCGAGAAATGACAGCAGAAAAGAAACGTAAAAGAGTTCCTCTCTCGTGTTTAAACTGCTATCGCCGGAAAGTCAAATGTGACAGAGTCAGACCCAGTTGTGGAGGTTGTGTTAGGAATGGCGTGGGGCATCTATGTGAGTTTCTAGAACCAGAATGGGTCAATGATGAGGGTGAAGCCTCCAACCCTCGAAGAAAGTTAACCACTGTTGCATCGCTACAACAGCCTTCAGGCAGCGATAAGGTCAAGCTCGAAAAGGTAATCCATGGTCAAAGATTAGAAATTGAGGAGCTTAAACGTCAATTGTCGGTGATGGAACAACTAAGCAGATTGGTGGCGTATCAGAAATCGGCCATCAATCTTCCTTTAACGGTACTTCAAAAGTTAAACCCTTTAATGACTGCAAAAAAAGATACTTTGCATGTCTGCAATGATTTGACACGTTCTATTCGATCAGCATCATTACCGCCAGCATCTTTATTGACAGCATCGTCGTCGTTTGCTAATGAGTCGTTTGTGGATATCTATTCGTGGATCAATATCATCAGATTGGACCCCAACATGACTACCTTATGGTTCAAAATCACAAATATGCAAAAGATATATACCATGTATAAAGTTAGACACCACGACGACAAGCTGAAACACACACATGATGATCGTGATCGGAAGTGCCCCGTTATCGAATGTGACTTCAACTTTCTTGCTGATGATAGACCCAATACCCCAAGACAAGAAACGGGGTCAGCCAATCAGGGTCGGAGTCCGCAGCAGAGTCAAGATCTGGGTCCCAATGACAGCCAGAGCGTGCACGTTGTGGCTCATAATCGGGCTAGTGACAAGGGCAAGGTGACACTTAAGAAATTACAAAGCTTATGGGATACAATTCTCAGTCAGTTACCAGGAAACGAAAGGAGGTTGAAGTATAATCAAATGAAGTTCTTAATTGATTTTTATTTCCGTGTTCATGATGTTAAAAGTAGAAAATTGTTTGTGTTCTATAAGTCAGAGATTGAGAATGTCATTCGAAAGAATGGTGATAATATCATGATAAATATGAGTTTTGGATTATCTGAGCCCAAACTTGCTACTGATGAAGAGCTTTTCACTCGTATAAATATCAAAGGAATTTATTTGTGTATGCTTGGTCTTATAGTGGAAGAGACACTAAGTTTCTTAAGATGGAAATCAGAAAAGGATTTTAGTGGTGGTGATACCATAAAGACATTTAAAGGGTTATTCCCCAACTTATTACAATCTCCTCCAGATTGTAAGATTTTAAAGGCTGTTCAATCATTTTTGGTTAATGTCAGTGAATTAACAGAATCAACCCAGGAGAAATTACTTCCTTCCCTCCCGGTGATTACGGTAACTATTGCATTAATTAATCGAGAAATTGTTCATTACCAAACCAACAATATTTTTGTCATATTGAAACGTTTACTTAATGCTATTTTGGATCCTTTGAATCCAATTGCTCTTTGGAAAGATCCAGAATTAATAGTTGTTGATGAAGGGGCATCAAAGAAACAAATCAGAGATATTCGTTTACACATTTCATATCTTTGGTTAGAGTTTATTCGAATTATTAATTTGACATCCTTCAACATTGTCAATTTAACCAATGGGATGGATCAATTGAATGGATATTTTGAACAATTGTTCACGAAAATCGAAGAAGCAAGCTTCAAAGATTACCATCGAACCTTCATTAATAATTTCCAACAACCAGGTATGCAAAATTATAAGATCCAACTTGGATGCCATTATTTGATGAATAAAATATATGGTCGATTTAAATATGGGATCAATTGCTTACAAGGTCCACCATTACAGTTATCAGATATGGAAGTGTTGAAGGATGAAAGTGAAAATATTTTGAAAGACGAACAATATATGACAACTCTTGATTCCGTTTATTTGTTTGAAATCAGATTATTGTTATTATACAAGGCATTTATGATACGATTTCTTATATTTTTACAACATGAAGAGAATGGGAATACCAGGGCAATGAACTCTTCTATTGTGGATTGTTTTAAATCATATAATATCATTATTGACTTTATTCAACTAACAATCAATGAAGAAGTTAACGATGGTCAATACCTTCTCCATTTCATCAATGAAATGCTTACGAGGTTAATTCAATTTATCATAGGATTGATAATCAGAATTGATTCTCAAGACGGAGTTATTACTGATGCTACATTAGATTTAATTATACCTCGAACAACTACAATTAAAGGTAATGATTCAAAGACATCTATCACAGAGTATTACTTGAATTATGTCACAGATATAGTACAACTGTTGAACACTAGTGCATTGGTAAATAAGGAAAGAGCTGAAAAATTGGCTAAATTATGGGACTTTTATACTACCTTCGTCAAGAATTCCAAGAAGTTGAAGGTCAATTATGCCCAAATCCATAAAGCAATTCAATTTGAAACCGAAGCAGTCAAAGGCAACAAAGCTGCAATTCAGTGTCCCGTTGCTGGTAGTGTACCTGATGGACCACCACCACCAGATAAATGCCCTATCGATCCCAAGACATGGATGAAAGCCAATTTAAGTAAGAGAAAGTGTCCCTTTGATCACAACTCGTATGATGTCCAACAGAAGAAGCCCTCCATCAATCACATTGAAAGTAATATAAGGGGAAGAACAGAACCAGAGGTAGCTATACCAGATCCGACTTTACCCCCGGAATCTGCTTTAGACTATGGAATTGACAGCCAAACTGGTAGTGAATATGTTGTTGATTGGAATGAACTTAACGAATTTGACTTTGAGTTTATGAAGACTGAATTTGCTAATGACCAATTCGACTTTCTTCAACCTGACATTTAGCACAAATGAAGGATATTTATATGAAAAGTGAACAACTTATAAACAACATGAGCAACGTATAATAAATAAGCAACATGAGTAACGTGTAATGAATAAACAACATTATCAAAGCATAATTTATATATTTTATACTTCATTTTTTATAAGCAGATACATACCAGTAAATGTACTTATAATTATATAATTCAAAATACCTTCCATACCCTCGGAATACATCCGACCACTTATCGGTTGGTTTTCGGTCTATGAGAACATATCATATGTAAATAGAGGCAACCAAATCAATCTCGGATCTCCACTCATTAACTTCTTCTTCTTCTTCTTCTTTACCAATGTTCTCCAGACAATTCTTCCGAGTCGGAGCCCGACTGGTTGGATCCCGAAGGTTAGTTTCCTCCGGCATTCCACCAACCAAAAGACACCGGTCGACACGTGCGCTCAAGGTCATAGCTGGGCTAGGTATTGGAGGGACCATACTTTATAACACCAGTGATAGTTTCAAACATGGGGTTTTAATGGTAGAAAGAATTGGAGTGGTCACCGTGGCAACTGCTAGATGTTTCAAACTATATAAGAACACGCTTGATGCTCAATACGACACTGAGGAGATCCGAGCAGCAGCCTTGAAGGTGACCCATTTGAAAGCTGCTACTATTACTTTACATGCCTTAGAGAAGAATGGGGGGATTTATATTAAATTGGGACAACATCTTACGGCGTTGACATACTTGTTGCCCCCGGAATGGACCAATACCATGATCCCCTTACAACAGGAATGTCCTCAATCATCCATGGAAGAGATCCAACAGTTGTTCCAACGAGACATGGGGGTTTCTATTGAAGATTATTTCAGTGAGTTTGATCCTGAACCCGTAGGAGTTGCCTCCTTGGCCCAAGTCCACATTGCTCGGTTGAAAGAGACCAACGAGAAGGTGGCTGTTAAGATCCAACATCCTTCCTTACAACAGTTTGTACCGTTGGATGTGTTTCTAACCAATACGGTGTTTGAATTGATGTATAAATTCTTTCCTGAATACCCTTTGACTTGGTTGGGAGATGAAATGCAGAATCTGATTTATACAGAATTAGATTTCACTAAAGAGGCCCAGAATGCCATGGCAACTCAAGAATATTTCGCTAAGTATAAAGATAGTACGGCGTTACGAATCCCCAGCATCAAATCTGCAGAACATCGGATCCTTATTATGGAATACGTTGGTGGAGCAAGATTGGACGATTTGAAATATATGAATGACCATAACATTGATGCTTCTAAAGTATCTGCTTGTCTTTCTCATATATTCAACAATATGATCTTTACACCTGGAGTTGGAGTGCATTGTGACCCCCATGGAGGCAATTTAGCCATTAGAAGCGTTGCTAATGGCACTGGAAATGGCACGAATAGCCATAACTTTGAAATTATCTTGTATGACCATGGACTATACAGACAAATACCTCTTCAAATGAGAAGAGATTATTCCCATTTCTGGCTAGCAGTTCTTGATAACGATATACCCAACATGAAGAAATACGCTAAGCGGTTTGCAGGAATTGAAGGAGAACAAAAGTTTAAGATCTTTGCCTGTGCTATCACCGGTAGAGACCCAGAGAACAGTTTGAATTATGACATTACCAAACCAAGAACAAAAGATGAAATGCTCAATATCCATACCCAATTGAATGAAGACGGGATACTTGAAGATTTGATGGACATACTCAGCAGTATGCCACGAATAGTTTTACTCATACTCAAAACCAATGATTTAACCAGAAACTTAGATGAAGGGTTGAATAATCCCTTGGGTCCAGAAAGAACTTTCCTTATCATGGCCAACTACTGTGCCAGAACGGTTTACGAAGAGCAGAATGAATTGGTATCATTAACGTCTACCAAGTACTCTTTCAAATGGTTATGGGGTAAGTTGGATAACTGGATCTGGTACCAAAGAAGATTGAGCTCGTTATACATCTATGATTGGATAATGACAATCAAAAATTTCAAAGCAAAGTTATCCCTTTGAATGATAATTGTTATATTATTATACTTACTATATCATTGGTCGTCCATGTCTTTCCTTATCTTATCAAGCAAGTTGTTGATCTTTGGTCCCATCAATGGCTGTCCTTTAGAAGTCTTTTGTGTGACTCGGGAACGTACGAGTTCTCTTCGTTGTTCACTCTCTTCAAGTCTTCTTCGTTTATCTCTAACAGATTCCAATTTGGCTTGTCTCTTTTCTTCCTTCCTTTCCTTCACCTTCTTTGCTCGTTCAGCAAAGTTAGTAGGATTCTTTTTTGGTTGTTCTTTATGATGATGTTGTTGTTGATCCTTATCTTCTCCAACTTCCTTGGGTCTTTCTTCTAATCCTTCTTCCTTCAAAAGTTGAAAGTACTTCTTTCTTAATCTTGATCTGTGGGTTATGGCTTTTCTGATATCATTGGCTTTCTTCTCTCGGAGATTCAAATACGGATTCTTCTTATGCTTGTAGTTATTATTATTGTTATTGTTCCGTGGGCCTTTGCCTTTATGGAATCCTCCTCCCTTTTCTGCCATGATACTGCTGGTTTTATGGGTCAAGTTAATGATGTTGTGTATTGGTGATGATCTTTGACATTTTAGATGAGCCATCTCACTTTTTAAAGCAGGCAACCCCGAACAAATCACGTGATAACCCGGAATTGAAGTATCTGCTTTTTCACTTCTGAATTACAATACTCTGCTACTACTGAACGCCGATGAAAGGTTATCGGGCAATCAGAAACAAGGATCGAATCCTTTCCTATCATCAATTAGTTGAGATGAACCAGAACAAAATTACCCAACACCAGCTTATCAAAGTAATGCATATATGACCGTTTGTTATTTTTTTCTATATTGCTAATGTCATGCACTTGAACTGCCAGTGAACATAAGTCCTCAGGATTTTATTCGGTGGACTAGAATAACCTAAGATAATCCAATGGCTCGTAAATTGTAATTTTTTTGACGTACATATACGAACTGTAAAACATCCAAAAGCGCAAGTTTTTACGAACTATCTCCAAAGATAAATTATAGCCTTTAAACATTCCCAATATCAAGCATACTTCTTAGATACTAAGGACCACGAATTACACCATTACTTGTGAATGATCAATACTGTGCGTTTGTATACTCAAGTTCCGACATCAAGGAACAATCACCAGTTGAACAGCAAGTAATAAAGCCAATTAAGAGCAATAAATATTGAATGAACTACGATATACACTTCCATAGGTGAAAAAAATTAGCCCATGACATAATACGTCACGTGACAACATTTTTGCATCATTGGAAATCACGTGACCTTAATATATAATAACAACGAGTATAACAAGTATATCAGAGCAATTTGGTGCCTTTTATCTCCACATCAATAATGAGCTCCCATAAGAAGACCCCGTATGTGGCTGTCCCGACAACACCTGGGGAGGCCCAGGCTTCCGACTTCGCCGAAGAGTTCGAAATGCAGATGCTAGGACTAGAAGATGACGGAACTATCAGTAGACATCACCAAGAAGAAGAAGATGTAGATACCCAAGCCGAGGGTCAATCTTCGATGTCTATGGCATTCATGAACATGGCCAATTCCATCTTAGGTGCAGGGATCATAGGACAACCATTTGCCTTTAAGAATAGTGGATTATTAGGAGGCATTGTAGTGCTTGGACTCTTGACGGTGTTAGTTGATTGGACACTTCGCTTGATTGTGGTTAATGCCAATCTTTCTCAGAGCAAATCGTACCAGGACACTGTGAGTTACTGTTATGGTCGATGGGGGAAGATAGTTCTTCTTTTCGCTATTGGATCGTTTGCTTATGGTGGACTAATGGCCTTCTGTGTCATCATTGGAGATACCATCCCCCACGTCTTACGGGTGGTGATTCCTCTGTCGGTTACTGATGATGGCTCTCCATTCAGTTGGTTGTTCCGTCGGAACACGGTGATCATTATGTTTACGACGTTTATATCGTACCCATTGTCACTTAATAGAGACATTAGCAAGTTAGCCAAAGCTTCGGGGCTTGCCTTGGTGGGTATGATCATAATTGTGGTGATAACCGTGGTCCGAGGTCCAATGGCTGATAGTAGTTTGAAAGAACCATTAACTCCGCTACAATGGACGGTGAATTTTAATATCTTTCAAGGTATCTCCGTGATTTCCTTTGCCTTGGTCTGTCACCATAACACGTTATTCATTTATAATTCGTTAAGAAACGCAACCGTCACCAAGTTTGCCAAGTTAACCCACATAGCATGTTTTGTGTCGATGCTTTGTTGTCTTGTGATGGCCGTCAATGGTCTAATCAACTTTGGGAATGCAACGAAGGGCAACATCTTGAATAATTTCAAAAGTAACGATAATTGGATCAATATCGCCAGACTCTGTTTTGGGTTAAACATGTTAACCACTTTCCCCTTGGAACTTTTCGTGGTTAGAGATGTGATTAAAGAAATCGTATTGGCAAATCAAGATGGTGGAAGTGTTCATGATGTTGAATTGTCTAAAATGCATCATTTCTTGATCACCACTGTCTTAACATTCACGTCAATGAGTGTGGCATTATTCACATGTAATTTGGGAGTGATTTTGGAGTTGATTGGTGCAACTTCTGCTTCTCTAATGGCTTATATCATTCCTCCAGCTTGTTATATCAAATTATCATGGCAAAGGAAGGACTATTATAATTTGAGCAAACCGGATAAAAGGAAGTTTCTTCTTCACCGATTAGCACCCAGTGGTTTCTGTATATTCTTTGGCTTTGCAGTGATGATAATAAGTTCTATCGGAAGCATAAACTCAAGTTTAAACTCCAAAGATGCTGGTCATTGCAATGTGGAGTAAAATAAGTCATGTTTATAGTCATTTATTCGTCATCTTCATCGTCTAAAACAATTCTTTTCCTCTTCTTATGCTGGAAATGGGACTCAAGAACTGGGGGTTCGTCTCCAGGTTGGGGCTCAATATCAGTATCAACAATGGTGTGATTCTGACTACCCAATGACTCAAGTATCTTGTTATTTGAGTCCAAGATATCTGCAGTCTGGGCTTCAGATATCACTGTTGAACCCAGAAGTAAACTCTTCCACATATCTCTAAAGGCTTCTATAGACCCAGTATTGAAATTTGAAAGGGCATTACGAAGTTTCTCTTCTCTGTCAAAGAATTGCTGGTCTCTTTCTTCATCGGATTCATCATCAGTATCGTTGATGAATTCAGCAGATTGAAACTCTTTAGTTGGACGGTGTTGGTGACTGTCTGAAAGTATGCTATCGTCTGTTAAAGGTGCAGTTCTTCTTAGCTTACGCAGTTTATCTGGTCTTTCAGTTCTTTGATTCCGTTCACTCCGTTCAGCGTACGTTGAAGAATACCCTGCATCATTAGATGTGGCACGATCAACTTCAAAGTAGTCATGTGCCTCTTTGTCTTCCTCAAAGACACCAGGAACAACTGTCCAATGGCTAACGAAAAGATCAACTTTAGACAACAATTCTTGCACATTGACACAACTATAAGCATCTTCACTGTCTTCATAAGTCTGGGCAATATTGAACCCTAATTCGGTCAATAAAAGACGAAGTGTAGAATTGGAATAGAGCCAATCTTTAGCAAATTTCGACTTAACATTTATCTTGGATTCTCCTGCTTCTCCGGTTTGTTCAACAATTCTTTTGAATTCAGTGATTAACCAATTGACTTGACGTTCCTTTCCTTCGTCATAAAGAGCATTGGCCAAGACCTTCAACTTAAAGTCCATTGAAAGCGTATCATCAGCAAAGTATCTACTAGTTGCCTTCTCGGGAGGAGGAGAAGAGTCTGGAATCTCTCCAGTATTTAAGTAGTGACTGTACACATAGATCTCCGGGAACAATAGTTCAATGGGTACGGGGAACCTTTGGAATATGCCTTTAAATTTCTTCATGAAATAGTAAATGAAATCATCCACTTGTGATTTAATGCTGGATTTTTTGGGAAGATAATTGCTAAGCTTCTTCAACAAATACATGAAGTCAAGTCTTATCAATGAGATATAATCTCGATGAACCACAAACAATCGATGGAAAAAGGTCAATGCCATTTTGATTTCTTCAACAGAAAGATCTTCATAAAGTGAAAGAAACGAAATATATGAAGAAATGGTTGTCTTTCTAAAGAACTTCCGTTGGAATACAACAAAATCCAACTTTCTATTTCTTATAGCTTTCCTTGAAGCTTCAATTTCATCCAATTCTTCATCAAACTCCCCATCAAATTCTGAATGTGCAGCTAATTTATGCTTCTTTACACTCTTTATGTAAATCTGAACATCTTGATTGGAGAAACTCTCAAACGTTTTGAATATAACATCAACAACTTCCATAGTTTTCCGAAGATAACTGGGAGAATGTTTAGCTGCTGTTTCTGGAATTCTGGCTAAATCATCAAGGAAAATACTACTGGCAAATAGCTTTCGAACAATGACTTCTGCCATTTCCTTCTCAACCTCCGCACTGCTATCATCATCCTCTTCTTCAGTAAAGAGGGTCTGTTCAGTGGCTGGTGTTTTCTGGTTGAACAAAGTATGTGCAACAAGCAAAAACTCATTGAAACATACCAAAAACACATGGATAGAATTCCAATCTCTGCTGGAACAAGCATCTTGGAAATATTGAACCATAAGTCTGAAGTTTAAATCACCAAGAACAGAACCAATGGACCCAAATCCCTTAGAGTCACTAAACAATATTAATAGTTGATCATCTGGTAGACTGTTACGGTCTCTTTTATATTTGAGGAACCAGGACTGAGTAAGAAAGTACACCGCTCTATCATAAGGCAGTGTTGTTTCCAACAGTGACGAAAGAACCGATGCCACACTGTAAATTAAATTATTGATACATCCAGCAGCCAATAGATCATCCACAAACAGCTGAAGTAATGCGCTTGATGTAACATTAACATATGTAATTGTTCCGGAAACATAATCATCCGAATCATACTTGACTCGACTAGGGATTTTCCACGATTTGGCCTTATCCAAACGGTCTAAGGCTGCTGCAGATGAATAAAGGGCTTCTTGACCTGAGATTACCATTGAAGTGACATTTTGATCATTTCTAAGAGAAACAAGTGATCCAAAACGTCCATGACGAGTGGAAAGAAATTGTGATTGAATTTGTTTCTTCTTGCTTTCAGCATTTAAAAGGTCCTTGAGTTCCATCAGTGCTGTTGAACTTGAAGAAGGTACAACTTTAGGATCAAGCTCTGAGGCATCAACCCTCGTTGGCTTGGACTTGGGGACACCTACTTGTTTCCTAATAAGATCACTTGGCCTGATGCCTCTAGTGAGTAAATATATACACTCCAAAGAGATAGGACCAAACATTTGTTTATTAAAGTCCGACCCCAATGCGGTAGTCATGGTCAATAAGAAGAGGAACACCTTATTCTTTTTAAACGTGGGGATAACTGTGTTCATGGAAATTTCTTCAAGAGATACGTTTTCCGGAAGCAAATCGTCTAAAACAGTTCTGTTATCGTTCTTTGTCCCAAGTGAACTGTGACCCGGTTGAATGAATAAAATGTTACGGATAAGGAAGAGAACCAACCGGACTAAAGCATTATCCTTATTGTCTCGATCAAATCGGTCTTTGCTCATGATCGGCAAGACCAACCGAATCATGGCTTTTAAAGTCAGTCCCATTCCATATTGAAGGATCAACTTTTTATCTGCCAATTGAGCCTTCTTCATAGCTGAAAATTGAAGTTTTTGTAGGGGACTTAAATCATTATCATACACTAAAGGCCAAGTCAAAAGTACCATTAGCTCCAAGCACGCAATGATGATTCTTTCCATTTGTTTAGGGCTCCTAACTGTCTTGGTGGCTGCTTGTCTTTCCCATTGACTGGTAATTGATACCAAATCAACCATTAATTTGGATTCATGACACGCTAAGGCAACGTCATATGCATGTTTGGCTTCGTCCACTGCTCGAATCCATCGCTTGATATCTTTAAGACACGCCAACGCGTCTAATCCAAGTTTATATGGAGGGGGGGTTTCAGTACTGGTATGATCTGGACCTCCTAGTGCAGTAACTAACACCGATATATGGGCTTTAATCAACTGCTGTTCAGGTGAAACAGTAATAGGGTTCGGCCTTGATGCGTTATGTGACGCGTGGAAGTCCATTAGTCTCGCGTCTAAATGCTCTTCGTGTTGTTCATCTTCCTCTGTGTCTTGTCCCTCCTTTGATTCTTGACGAGGTCTGCTTCCAACGTCTCCAGAGGCATACTTCCCGTCGTCTACTATGAAATCATCAAACTCCTCATAATGAGAATAGCCCTCACTATCGGCCATCTCCGCTGGCGATCTGCTGCCACTCATTAATGGAATTGAGTGGTACACCGATTAGTAGATCATCGTTTGCAGTCTTTTGATCTTGAAAGGCTACGCGTATTAAATTATCTTTATATCACGTAACACATTACATAAGCATCCAATGACATTTGCTTACGTAATGACCTATAGGCGAGTTTATTTTGTGACAGCTGCTTAGTCGCTTTTTCTAGGTTTATTGCCATTCAACTAAACTAGTTGGTCATATGAAATTAAATAGTCATGACCATTACTATTACTTAACTGTATAGGATAATTCACGTCAACTGTTGTTAATCGTAGATTGACACCTATAAGAATTAAGGCGGAGATTATTCTTATGCATGAGCGCCTACTCAGTTGTGTTTCATGCTTATTGCGCATGTGTATGAATACTACCACATTAAGTATCCTATTGTTCACTACATTGCACTAGGATCTTGATTAAACGTAAAGATTTTTGCTTTATAACAAATATGAAGAATTTTTGATTTGGGTCAAACGACAACCATTGCGTTTATATGTATTAAGCAAAGGATCAAAATACAATATATTAATGAGTAGGGACGACGGGAGTGGTATACCATGGTCGTAATTTATGAGGTTGCAGGTTATGAGTTTGGACCCATTTATAAAATGCATGTATGTGTATGCAAGCGCACATAATTAGGATTAACCACATCATCAAAAAAAAGTTTTTTTTTCAATAACAAAACACTTTGGATCCGGTTGTGTGTAAACGATGATTTTCTAATGTAATTACAGACATGAAATCAGTTGCAAGTTATGCATGCGAACTCTGTGAGGGAAAAAACAGCCGAAAAAAACGCCTTCGTTAAAGAGTTGTGTGGTCCTAGATCTGAAATCTATCTCCGAACAGGAACCCTCCTTCTTTAAAGGTGTTAAGACGCTGGTTTAATAGCAATAATCCACTACTCCTTTGTATGCTATTTTTTTCTTATAGACTGAGGTTTTGAAAATAGCAAGGCAGTGAATAAATTGAACTGCAACCAAATAATAATGGTGGACGAAGAACCCTTCAAACATGCTGAAGAACAATTTGGCTGCAACAAGCAGGAATGATCACCGTTTCCGTGGCAAAGCCAATAGAAACATTCAATGCATTTTGCGACCAGCCAATTATAGTATCCAACGAGGGTTTTAATGCAAGAGCGGTTATTTCAATTGGTATTACATGTATAAAAGACGTAACATAATCTAAAACAAATAGTGTGAGCTCGCAATCCTGAACAGAACTTAACGAATTGATAGTAGATGTAACAATACTTACAGTTATAATAGTAATAGTATTATTTATATTAGTCTCATTATAGTCATACCATTCGGATCATCCTAGAGAACATTATATCCATCATAGTATGGACATATATAGTTCCTATATGATTATACTGTTACTGTTACTGTCACTGTCACTATTACTGTTACTGATACTACTATACGCCCTTTCATAGTTGGCATAGTAATATCCCCTACCATTGCTATTGCTACAATAGTAATTTTTTTTTTCGTTAGTATTAGTGAGACCTTTTGTCTGTTCCCCACCTTCCCTCACCCCCCACGATTGGGTGGTAACCAAGCTTTAAAGAATCTGAAAAGTAAAAAATTACCACCAGGGTTTTCTTCTACTCATCATGAACAACTCGCCTCCAGATCCCGAGACATCGCCAACGGAGTCGTCGCCGGATCCGTTGACTTCTTCTCCTATAAACGATAAAAAGAAGCCCAGACTTCCTGCTTCTTGTTCTGTTTGTAGAAAGAGAAAGACCAAATGCGATCGTCTAAAACCAGTGTGTGGTCTTTGTAAGCGAAGGAGTATCTCTCATCTTTGCTTCTATGAATCAGATACGCTGGATCGCCACCATAATTCAAATGTCATTGAGCTTCCGCCATTAGAGGCTCCAAATGCCCCTCATTATCACCACCAGCAGCAACAACTTCAGAGTAAAATTCACAATCTACCCCAACATAATAACCCACAACAACAACAACAACATGCTGCCCTATCACACTCCCAACTAATGCAACCTCCTGGTCCTCCTGGTCCTACTGGTCCTCCTGGTCCTCCTCATGCACCTGGTCCTGGTCCAGTTGCCCTAAGACAAGTACACCCTTTGTCTAACATACCTCAACAAATAGTAAATACACAAGCTGCTCCTTCTGGACCTTCAATGATCTTCCCAGGCCAATATGGTACTCAGAACCCACCAGGTACCCTCCCACCATTACAGAAACCCAACGAGGAAGCTTTGGTGCAACCAAACCACCATCTTCCTCCCCAAGCTTGTTCCCCTATGACAACATCTACCTCCAGAGTGTCTTCGATTCCTGAAAGCGTAGCCATAAAGCAGAATCATCAGCATGAGCATCAACATGAGCGTGAGCATCAGCATCAGCATCAGCATCAGCATCAGCATCAGCATCAGCATCATCAGCATGAACATCATCATCAGCATCAACATCATCATCAGTATCAACAGCAGCTTGAGCAGCAACAACAAATACCTCCGTCAATGATGGCCCAACAGCATATGCCTCCAATAACGCAACTTCAACCTCCTCAACACCTCCCACAACAGCAAATGTCACCTCCAATTCAACAACAACTTCCTATGCAAGCCCAACAAACACCAAACCGCCAAACTAATCATGTGCCTCCACATGAGTTCCGGCAACCGCGAACAGTAGGTAGCAGCATTTCATCCCTCTCACTGGTGGCAGGAGGACCTGAGAGTGCAGATCACTTAAGATTGTTGGGTAGATCCAATATGTCACCACAAACTATTAGCAATTCGGAACTTGACTCTCCTCAGGACAAGAGCATCACTTCTGAATCTGTTGCGGGGGAACCATCAACCATAGAAAATGGCTTAGTGGCTATAGAAATTGGTCCCAACTCTATATTGCATATATTGGAAAATGATCGTATGGACGTGTTTTCCAATGCTAGTTTCTCTTTCAGTACTGAAGGTCGTAACTGGCAGAACCAAGGAACTCTCACTTATGTTGGGTTGACAAAGAGTGATTCCTTTTTAAAAACTTTAAGATACTTTGCTTTAGCGTTATTTCAATCAGGTTTGATTCGTCAGTTTGTGAAAAAGAGAACTCTTGCGCCTTCTGGAGTGGACCAACCACCCATGAAGAAGCTAAGGCGGAAGAGTGTACCGATAAACCTCAATGAAACCGATTCAGAAAGTCACGAAGAGATCCAAACACCTGAAAAATTAGGCAAAGAAGATGAAATGGAAGAAGATGGAATAGTAGTGACCAAAATAGACGGTTTAAACGAAGACGATGGAGTTGACGACGAGAACCCGACACCTGTTTTCCCCAAATGTGAACAGGAAGGTTTGCATGAAGACCTTCAAATGTTTATTCATGCGCAAATGGGTAACGAAAGATCATATGAAGCCATTGCCAACATTGCATTAAAAGTTATTCCCTCTAAAAGAACGTGTCATTTCTTATTACGTCGTTTTTTCTGTTATGTCCATCCTTTCATTGCTATTTTGGACGAAGGTAAAACCTGGGAGTATCTAGCATCAATCACCGGAGAAAGACAATGTGAACCTGTTGACGAAAAGATTACTAAGATTGTTATTCGGTCTGACAGAGACTTGCATATCTTAGGAATCGTCTTGTTAACCACTCGATTAGGTTATATGTCTATGATGCATAATTCTATGTCTGAAGTCAACTTCACAGAAATCGACCGAGCTGTGATGACCGAAGTGGGAAGGGTTAGTGTCGAAGACTTTAGTTCTGTTGTACATTTCTGTATTGGGGACTTTTTACAATCTAAGTCATCATTGGAGTACATATTATTCCTCACGTTAGCTTATTTCTTCAGAAAAGTGAACCCAGTTGACGGTGAAGGTTTAGCAGGAGCTGACTCAAACATTCTTTTCAGTACCATCTGTTCTTCAGCTATTGGTAGCGGGATTCATCGTGACCCAACTACCTACAATCAACACCCTACTATTTATAAGAATGCTGCATTAATCAACCAGTGGAGGAGATTATGGTCTTATATTGTCATGCAAGACACGGCGTCGGCCATGTACAGAGGTACTCCTATGAATATTCCAAGTCTTGATATTTCAGATGTGCAGTCTCCTACTCTCCAACAACCCGGATGGAACGACTGTTATGCCAATTTATGGGAAATATCAGAGGGATACAGGAGGATATGCTATAGGATAACCAATATTCGACTTAAGCCCAAGGTTGCTGAAATATTGAATTATGCTAAAAAACTAGAGGGTTTATTTTTGGAGTATTTTGGGACAGACTTCTTCAAAGAATATATTTGTAAACCTGCTCCAGGGTCCGAAGCACTTACCTCTGTTGGGATAATGAGGTCAACCCCTAGTCTGATAAATGCTACTAATGAAGAAGAAGACCAATCTCCATCCACAAACATGACTCTTGCTCTGAGCTATTCCGAGGGTACCATAGTTCCTCCATTCAGCAATAAGGCCTACGAAACGTATCCTCGGAACAGTTGGGAGCCTTTAATACCATCAGAAAATATACTAAGCGAAAGGGCGGTGAAAGTGGTGAAGTTCTGCAAGTTCATTGAGTTAAGAACCAATTTAAGTTCCATGTATTTCATGGTTGCTACTCACTATGAGAATGCTTACAATTCTGAGAAAACTCCTTCGATGAAAGCTGGAATTGAATTGTTCAAAATCTATATCAAGAGTGTTGTACAATTGGTGTACATTATGAGTTACATCTTAGATAACACTGTTGAATTATTTGGAGAAAACTATGACTTTTTGATTACTTCACATTTGGAAAAGTGTATGATCAAGACACACAGTTTTCTTTCATCCTTTTTTGCCAGATTATTGCATCACAAGAAGGAACTTTCAAAGCAGAATAACAAGCTTGATCCAAGTATCGCCTCGAGACTTGAAACTATCAATTCTCTCTTCAACATGGTGATTTTAGATGCTGAATTGTTTGTGGGGAACTTTAGAAAGCTTGGTAGAAGATATAAGAATTCCCATCGTCTTTATGTTATGGCGAGATTCTTCTTCCAACAATGTACTATCAATCCTGATGCTATATTTGAGAGCAAAGATCCTCGGTTTTATCATGATGGAACCAACATGCTTGAATTCTTCACTACAAATGAATTACAATATCTTTGCAGTTTATGTGAGGAGTTCAAAGCCCGTAAGAATGAACAATTGAATGCCACCAAACACAACATTCGACTGCAATCTTCATTTTCACGAGATTCAATTTCCCCATCTTCAAATATAAGTGAACCTCAGAACACTTTTAATACTTTAATGAGTGTCATGGGTGAGTCTCAGTCTGAAGCTTCATCCTTCCTGAACTTTGAACCGGGAAAAATCCCCTTTGACCCGGCTTCCTTTTCAGCAGGAGACTTGGGAGACTTACAAGATTTACAAACGTTCCAATTGACGTCAGAACAATTGGATGCTATCTTCCCTGGTGGCAGAGGTGTTGGTGCTACAAATGCTGAATTCCTCAAGCTCTTTGAGATCTTTGGCGCTGGAATGTGACTTGACGGGACACACTCAGACACTAGACAACCAGACACAGACACAGACACAGACACAACCAGAAAACCAGATAAACTGTTGATCTGACAACCGTATATTTGACGGTTGTATAGGAAACCACATGAAAGGCGGGTAACCCTGGCTAAGGACCTGAGAGGTGACACAAAACTACAACTTTTAACGTATATAAGGACCCGAAAATTTTTCAATAATTTAATTTAATGATTACTCTTTTCTCCCAACAAAGATCTTCTTCTAATATATAATTAGATCAATCAACAAGATAAATGTATGTTCAGTTTTAAGAATAGTCTTCAATCTTGTTGTGAAATTTTTAAAGATGACAAAACGCTGTGCACCAGTCTGAAGTACTCAAACTATATGACAGACCCAGTATACCCAAATTTCTGATCTTTTTCACAATATGATAGCATTGAAGAGCAATGGTATTGATCAATGGTTTTGCTAACAATTGATTTAGTTTATATTTTTGTCTTATGATTTTGCATGATGGAGGTGCCTACGATCAAATGAAATCCAATTGCCGTAGTATCTTCAAACTGTAATTGGCCTTTTTGTAGTAATCAAGAGCATGTCATTTTACGTAAGCAAATCACCAATCCAACGGTTTGAATATCAGTGGATTGGTGATTATTATTTTGAAGTCATTCGATTACGTAAGCATTGGACATAAAAATGTATACCGGATGATAATAGATGAAACCTTTTTTTTGTCAAATCAAATTTGCATTTGATAATGAAAAATAGTTCGCTTGAGTTGCTTGTGCATGTACCATCTTTTCTAATCTAATGTGGTAGAAAAGTACATTATTTGACTATCTTCAAACTTCTTAGTGTGCACACAGGGTGCTCCCCTCTCCAAGCCTTTATTTAATTAGTTGCTTTGGAAAAGGAGAAACCCAACTCTGATTAATGTTTCTTTAGTGAACTACAGTATTCAAAAATGAAGTTACAAGTTTTAGTGTTGGCGTTGGCAGTTACGACTGAATGCCGTATGGTTGTAGATTTAAATGGGATGCTTGAGAAGGGTCTCATCAAAGGCGAAGAGATACTTCTTGCAAAAAAGGAGCCATTGGAACGAGTTCGTATTGATTTCGAAAGAAATAGAAAAGATCAAGTAAGGGACAAGTTTAGAGAACAGAGAAGAGAAAAGCTATCTAAAAAGCATTCGAATTAGACCATGATTTTGGTTAAGTTTATGATGATGAAGACGAAAATGTTGATGATTGTTACGAATTTTTTATGGGTTTATGAGGTTGAATATTATGAGCTTTGTTTAGAAGTCTAGCATGTATATGAATGGTCAATATATACTGATCAATAAAGTGCAAAGTATACTGTTTGGTATGAAGGAGGTCCCAGTTAGTGTGGGGTGATTGTAGAAGGTGACGCTTCTTAATAAGGTAACCCGTGTCGCACTTAACCCAGTTTCTTCCTGCTAAGCCTTGTAGTTTTGATTGTACGACATTCGCATTATCTAAGCCTACCGATGCCTTCTTGGGCCCGTGGATTAGTAGTTATCCTATGGGACATCTTAAGCTGTGCGGTTGCACCGTGCTATTCCTACATGTACATAAAGTTTCTAAGCATTTGGATGGTATTCGTGCATGAAGCACTACCATGCTTACCCAGTGAACTTGCCAGTTGTATAAACATTTGTTGCCAGAAATGATTAGATTAAAAACCACTATAGTTTGAAATCGATCGGGTCAAGCCGGACTAGAAAGGATCGGTTGACAAATTAAGAACCCCATATAATAGTATTGAAAATTTTCATGTCGTGGCCCTAACGTACATATGTGTAAGTGAACGCTCTATGCAATGCACTGCAGCCCCAGAAATTTCTACTGTAGTTGTCAGCCCCAATTCTACTAAAGTCTGTTCCTTACATAAGCAGCCCCTTTTGTTTTCAAATAAAAATACCCTCAAAGTATCACCAAGTACTTTTCCGTCTCTTCCATCTCCCTTACGATACTACTGACAACAATAAACACTATAACATGAAGTCTTCATTTGGAGTTGCTGCATGCTTGACTGTAGCTGTGGTTGCACAGGCTGCAGCTATTGGCACGGAGCTTGAACCACAGCTAGTTAACAGAGAAGGAGACTCTGAAATTGAAGTGGCTTACGGTACCATTTCCAAGAGAGAGGAAGATGATATTGTTGAGGAACCAGTCCAAATCTTCTATGGCTCTGGAACTATTAGCAAGAGAGCAGAAGATGACGTGCTTTTGACAGTTGTTAAAAGAGATGCTGCTGAATACGGAATCTTTGTTCGCAAGAGAGACGACGGTTCGGAAGAGATCGTTGTATCGTCTTTAGTTTCCCGGAAGGAAGACGAAGATGCAGAGGCTCACTTTTCAGTTGAAGTTTTTAAGAGAGCAGTTGACGACGAGAACTTGGTCTATGATTTTGGAGCAAACAACCAAGCTGAACCTTTGATTGAATTCACCATTAACAAAAGAGGTGATGTCAGCGTAGTTTCTGATCCTGCTGTTGCTACTGCATATGCCGTTTACAGTAAGAGAGGTGACCTTGAAGCTTTGACTGCTATTGGTAAAAGAGAACCTAAGAATGTCGTTGATATCCATAAGTTTGTTCCCACTAAAAGGGAAGCCAAGAATGTCGTTGATATTCATAGATTGGTTCCTACAAAGAGAGAGGCCAAGAATGTCGTTGATATTCACAAGTTTATTCCAGTTAAAAGAGAACCAAAGAATGTCGTTGATCTCAAGAAACTTATTACAAAGAGAGATTCTTCTGACAGCAACGACATTCCTGTTGTCTATGCTACCATTTCCAAGAGAGATTTGTCGTTTGTGCCTTCCATTGAAGATGTTCTTTCATCTCTTGTTCAAAGGACTCAACAGTTACTCCAAGTTGGCACAGAAACTGTTTCTACTAAAGCCGATGATGATTTCATTGGTGACGGTGAAACCTCGGCTATTAACACCTTATTAGACACGATGCCCAAATTAACCATTTTCGCCAACTATTTAAGAGACTTTGATGTAGCAGAGTTAAATGTCGCTCATCAAAATGTTAAGAGAAGCAAGCACTGTAAAGGTCACCACAAGAAGTTGATGAAGCAAAATAAGTCAAAGAATGACCATACTTTTGTGTTTGCTCCATTGGATCTGGCTTTTGATAAGTATACCAAAAAGCCTTGGGAGTATCCACTTGCTGTAGATACCGAGGAAGATGCTAAACACAACTTGAATGACTTCATCAAAGCTCACATTGCTTTGGGACACAAGCTCAAGCTTGAACATAACTACATGGACAATAAGGTCTCTGTTGAGGACAGTAAGGTATTCATTGACGGAGTACAACAAGCAAAGGTCATTGAAATTAAAAGGGCCACTGGGTTGGAAGATTATGTGATTGTAGTTGTTGATGATATTTTGGTGAAGCCTTAAATAGCTGGGTTTATTCTTCTTTGTTCATTCACTTTTATTCTTCTTTATTCTTAAAAATATTAATTGATTGTTTCTATAATTGTTTATAAGGTTGACACACCAGTCTCTTCGAATCTTTGTCCGTTACAGGAATATTCAACCTTCCACTTAATTTTCAATGGTTTATTATTGGGGTTTTCAATAATAAACCTTTGGGAAACTCCTTTATTGGTTCCAGCTCTCAAGACATTGGAAGATTGAGCCTCCAACTTCAAAGTACATGATTTGGGAACAGCCAATAAGAATTTAAAGTCTTCATAAGTGTTCATAAATGAATTATTGGAAAATAAAGCATCACCTTTAAAGCTGGTACTGGTTGAATCTAAAGTGTTGACTTCAATTTTTAATTTATCCGATTCATTGATAATTCTGGTACTGTTTGATTGGGGAGTGGTGATAGTAGTAGGCGTTGAAGATGGGAAATTAAGATTAAATGGGTCCAAGGAAGACGATTGGTTACTTTGTAATTGTGGTGAAGGTGAATTCAAATCTCCCAACAAATTAAGACTATTATTATTGGTGGAACTTGGTAATGGAGGTGTTGGCTTTGGTTGTTGTAAACCAAGTGAAATGGACCCTCCACTACCATATAAATTCAATGGATTAGTATTAGTAGTGGAGGTGGCATTGGAGGAAAAGGATAATGAAGATAAATCGTTCAATAAATCATTAAACCCTTGATCATCTTTGGAATCACTACTAATTGGAGCATCATCGTCAAAGTCAATCAAGTTCAAATCATTAGCACTTCCACCACCATTAGAACCGGAACCCAGAGATGTAATTTTCAAATTAGAAGCCTCAGAAACATTACCCTTACGTAATAATTGGAATTTGTTCATAACAACATTGATGTTATCATTAAGAACAAGTAAAGTTTGAATATGATCTGAGTTTCCTCCACTTTCATTTTGCTCTTCCTCTATAATCTTGGTGATACTTGGCTGAGAAGATTTTATTGAAGCATATAACTCAATAGCAGCTTCATTTGAATCTTCAACAATTCCAGATGATGATTCAACAGTAACAAGCATCTCATCCAAGATTTCAACTTTCCGTTTCAAACGAGAAACATCACTGGTCAATTGCTTCTTATTTTCTTCAACGTTATCATTCTTAAAGCCGGCCATGATCTTCATCAACTTATTGGCTTCTTGTAAATCTTGAGGTCTACCTCTACGAATCAATTCTTGTAATTTAGCTGAATGAACCACTGCTTCTTCCTTTTGTAATTCCTCCATAGATTTCAAGTTATCAGATGGATTCAATACGGCTGCATCTTCCACTTTGACTTCAGGGAACACATACCCCTTATTACTTAATAATCTATGCATATCTCTAATATATGTGAAATCTTCCTTATATTTGGAAGTCTTACAAATAGTTTGATACCATTCTTCGATTTGGGCTAAGACCAATCTTTGAACTCGATTATAACGAATTGGAGGAGATTCAGGGAATCTTTTAACCAATTCATTTAAAAACTCCTTTCTAGAAATTTGAAGATGAAATGGATACCCACAGTTCTTAACAAGATTATCTAAGAGGGCAATGGCCAATTCCGAAGTTTGAGGGTCTCTTTGAGAAATCAACTTGACAACAGCAATAGCAGCTTCTCTTGGAGCCGATCCTTGTTTAGCATTAACCCAATCACATATTTCAAGGTTTAATGCCAAATTTGGTTCTTGAAGTGTTGGACGACAAGCACGGTCTAAAGGGGTTAGTAGGTGAACGGAAAGGGAATGATATTATATATTCGAATATGATACATCACAAATGATAGGCCATAAATGGTATCAATATGATTCGTCACATATGATGGATCACAATTGAATTACTTTTATCCACTATCATAGTTCATAATATCATTCCGGTGCCAATAAAGGGACATACATATACGCCGTAACAACTTAGGGTTGATCTTGGAAATGGAATACGACATGGCTAAGGAAGAGAGTGTCGAGTTTGTTTCCCCGTTTGCTGGAAAAAAAGTGTGCGATATCAACAAAGGTGCAACGGAAGGGTGGCAGAAGAAGGCAGGAAGACAGCTACACAGAAGGCAGAAACGCAGATAGATAGAAGCACAGACGTGCAGATATACGGACAGATATGTAATCAAACAGACACACAGATAGAGGTAATTTATTACAAGTAGACTGTAGTTTAGACAATTTACAAGCATAAAGTAGTAATAATAGGAGGTACAATAATTGCTCATATGTACGAATTGTTACCTGACTCTGCAGTAGAAGCAGTTGTAACAATATCCGTAGTAATACAAGCACTGTAAATATACGAATCCATAATGTTCCCTGTGTATCTACAGCCACTCCCGAGTTATGCATGTATCTTTTTACTTTAATACACAAATTGTTCGATACATGATTCACTCGTAAGTTCCGAAGTAATTTCGCATTCGACTATAAACTCCCGGTCAAAAACAACTCTTCATCTTAGTCTGTTGGTGGCGTTAACATCCATTTACTGCTTATAGATTACCTAACACACTATCACCGTATGAGTTCCACAATACCTGAACAGTTAGATCCACAAGCAACGGATGATCCATTAAACATTAAAGATCTATGTTTAAAGTATGACTATTTAATGTTTAAGATAAAAGACCATCTTCAAAATTTAAGTGACACAACTTACAATGCTCTTATGCATAAAAAATCCCTTATAGATACTTTCCTAAGCGATGAACTATCTATAGATAACGAATTGAAGCACACCGACCAGTTATTAAACCAATGTGACTCCATTGAGGGCCAGTTGATGAAATTGGATCAAATAATTCAATTCATAGATCAATTCAAGTCTAGGGTTCAAGCCTTGGAGGTAGAGGCGGCTTCCCTTCGTTAGGAGCTGCTCCATCGGCTCCACTGGTGCCGACTTTAACCGGCACCTGCGCCGTATACTTTTCAACCAAATACTTTTCTAAAAGTATAAAGTTTCTAGAGTTACACTTATAGATGATGTTAATCAAATCCCCCACAATGGGCACCAATCCAAACCCAAAATCAATCATAGCATTAGCAGTCATCTTCTGCTTCAATGCAGGAGGTAATCCTCCTTCAATTGAGTCAGCTTTCTTGATCAATTGAAGCGCAAGACAGAAACAAATAGCGTCTCCAATCCATGGAAGTAACCCAATAACTCCAGCCCATCCAAGACGAAGTCCACATAAACTCAATTGCAAATCTAATCGGTAGGCTTTCCGTTTAACTGATTCAAGGATCTTCAAATCACTGGAAGGAATTATGTCTGGAAGTTTCCGTTTTCTAACTGCCCCTTTCCTTTGATAAAAGTGTAATTCGTTCTCTGGTATAGGCTCGAAGTATGGATCCTCCGATGGACCAATCTGGAGCAATTTATCCGCTGCTACCTGAAGATAGTTAGTACGAGCTTCAGAAAAGTGATAGCACTAGTAGTGTCAGCCGTCCCATCAGGAACAATAAGGCAACCCAGAAAAAGCCTCTTCAATTAGTAGTTATCTTTACATGCCTTTTTCAAAAAAAATTTGTAAACCAATTGTGACATATTTTAGACACTTTTTAAAGGAATAGTTCAATGAAAACAAGTAATCACTTTTCCAAGTATCATTTCAACAGCAATCATCTCAAATGTTGATAGTTGACCATCTAGTTTCACCTACCAATTCATTCCGGTATATAATCAAATGAGTGATTGAATGCGTCAAAGGACATTTTAAGATATACTTGCATAACAGTTTCTTCTTTTGCATTAAAGAAGTAGATAATTGCATCAATATTGACACTAATTCATATCGTATAATATATCTATGTACATGTGAAAAATTATTTGATTTCTTCATTTTGCACTTTTTCTTGCCGACTTTGACCCCAGTTTCTTCCCTTGTTGACGACGAAGTTCTCTTAAATCGGGTGGAGCTTCTATCCCCAACTCATTACGAAGCTCGTCAACATCTCTTTCTAATAATTCTTCCCAGAATACATTGATCAATGGTTTAGAACGTAAACCATTACGGATAGCCCAAGGATAATATATCGAATAAAGACGTTCCTTCTGTTTAGGTTTCAACCGTAAAGGTGCAAAAGCTGCACCTAACCCAGTCATAGGAATACCAATATTGAAGTATTCCAAAACTTTAACTGAAATTTCTCCTTCAATAATAATAGGAAGTCCAGTAATAGCATGATAGAAATCATGGCATTCCCTATATCTTTGAAAAACATAAGCCAACTCTTCATTATCAATGTAGCGAACTGCCACACGAGTATCCGGACTTACTCCTTCCTTATCAAGCCATTCCACATATGTACGTCCTAAAGTATTAGCAGGTAGGGACCGGAGATAATCTAAATCTAAAGACGTCAGAGTCATTCGAGGACGTTCTCGTAATATTCTTCTTCCCACTGGATCTGAAAGCATTTGATGTTGTAATTTCTTCAATATAAATGGGAAAGCTGTGGATTCACCTAACCCCACAATAAATTCATTTCTTTCAGGATGGAAATATGATCCTATCAGTGATCCAATTATCATACCTAACCTTTCTAAATGAGTCAATGGTATATGATCAGGATAATCAGGTTCCCTTCGCTCAAAATATGGCTTAGCTTGTTTGTTTTCCTTGTTAAGTGCTGTATTTGAATCGTTGTAATGAAGCCTCCCTTGCTCCATTAAGTCTGCCAACCGATTCTCTTTGGAGAACACCATAAGCAACGCAGGGATCGAGAGTATCGATAACTGGCGCCTAGCACCAATACCTGATACGCTTTTTATAAGACTCATCACAAATTATACGAGCTCGTGGATGTAAAGGAAGAACTGGTAAAAAGGAAATCAGTTCATTTTGAAACTAACATTAGTGAATAAATCGCAACAATTTTCGAGGCCTTTCCGAGGGTAAATTTATACCGGGGTAAAGTGAACAGATGTAATAGCATAAACTACGTCAAGAAACTTTAAAAGTATAGCAAAACAAGAAACCGTAAAGATTTTCCTTGCTATTGGGAAGATTTTTAACTAATATGAAAGTAGAAAACTTCAAAGTTCCACTCCATGTAGTACCTAGTTGAGTCATGTGATTGACATATACAACACCCGAACACCAATTTTTAAGAACTATATATAGTGCTACCTTTCCTTCTAATTAAAATTAACAATCTTGCGCGTCCTATTGAGAGAGACGGTGGATTAGTACGCTTATAAGGACAGCTGAAATACCCAAAACGGCAGCATGGGTTCGAGATGTAGTTCCCGTTATCGATGATGACGAAGACGCCGATTGCGGTGGTGTAGACGTCAGGCTTCGAGTCTGCTCCACTTCTTTAGCTATACAATCATCTCTATCTTCCAGGGCTTCACTACTATTCAGAAGATGCTCCAACTGGTGGACCTCGATGTCATCATCATCAACATCCTTTGGTTTCTCAATAACTTCACTTAACTGTGCTGCAAGGGTGTCTAAACATTCCACTGGATCAGTTGCAGCAGTTAAAGTATCTCTGGGAATGTTGAAATTGGATTCGGAATTTATTTCAGTCACCGTTTCACCTTCCTTTGTCTTTTCCTTTTCTGAAGATGATTTAGAAGACGATGACATCATCTGTTGGAGCATTAGAATTGTATCTTTCAATTCTCCTACTTCATTACTAAGTTCAATGTTCTCATTCTTCAATATGTCTATCTTGCCTTCTGCTTCCTCCTTATAATGCTTGTACTCCAGCTTCATACTGCGATGATGTTGTCTCTCCTTATTAAAACTGATATCCATTTCGTGAAACTTTCGGTTGGTGATATCATCAATGTGACGTTGCACGAGGATGTCTGTTTGTGTCAGATACTTCCTGATATAGCTTTCAAGAGATTTAAGGGTATTATTCTGTTGTCTCACCTCACTCAAACTTAGAGTTAAAATATTTAAAACACCTTCTAATGCAGTATTATTGATAATCTGTGAGTTATTGAAGAAACCAGCTCCATTTTTATTAAAGAGACCCAACAAGTTATCCTCAAATTTGGGATTAATATCTCCAAATAATGCATTGTCAAATGTTACCATTCGTTTGGATGATGAAAATGACTCCACTACCTCTTCTGGTGTTTCCTCCTTTTCCATAGTACACAATTGGTTATAAATATTCCTCACATATTCAACATGTTTCGATCTCTTATCATTCCACATCATATTGTTGCCCATGTAATTGGTGATTATGTTGATGTTCTCTACTCTGACGGAGATTTGTTTATGATTAGATTCAGCCTGAATATTGAACCCAAGATGAACGGTGTCACCAATTTGCAACGCCACTGGTTCTGCTCCTAGTTTAACATCATTAACAAATGTACCATTAGAAGAATTCAAATCTTTAAGCATAAGATCTCCAGTCGTGGGATCTATGTAAAGATCAGCGTGATTTCTACTGAGAACTCTTGAGTCAAAGTACCCATTATTCACATCTGGCTTGATCTTTGCTCCTATAGGACGTCCCAACTTCATTGTTTCAGGATAATATGGTACGTGCAATTGTTTCTTAACAAATGTATCATTCAACAGGACCAAAGTCACCATATATTCGCATGCTGTACGCTTACCCTCTTTTGAAGAACCTTCATGTAAAACCTGAGAGTTTGAAGCTACTTTCGAAGAACCGGAAGAGGGTTTTTCCTTAGCACGGACAGAATTCGAAGGAGTCGTGGTTGATATTGGTGGTACTGCTGCTGCTTCTGCTGAACTTGATGTATTCTTTGTATTTCTTTGGCCAGTGATGTTCAAACCAGAATTAATTCCATTGTAGTTCCCATAACCATTATTAAGGTGACCAGGTGTTATGTTGGATTCATCAGACGACGATTCATTACTAGTATTATCAGTGACAACTCCATTACAGGCTTCAAAACTATCACGTCTACCTAAGGGACTGGTATCACTCATTATAGTTTCCAAACCATCTTCTTGAATATTAACCAAATGGCCATGAGATCCTATACCTGTTGGCATAGCTACCACGTGAGACTGTGAGTTAGACCGTTTCCTTCCGCTTGAAACATGTGATTCTTCATTATGATTAGAGCTTGAACTGGAACTGGAACTGGAGGTAGAATTTAAACTTGAAAGGGAGTTTGAATTCGTATTTAGATTCAGCCCCGATCTTGATCCTGATTCCGATCCTGTTACGCTCTTATTATTACTATTGGTAGTAGCAAACATCATCCGTTTCAGAGGAGACGTGGCTACCAAATCAAACTGTATGTCACTAGACACAGCCATCTATATTTCTTCCCATCAAATTACCTCTTGTGGCAAGTGGATCAGGCACCTGATGGTAGCGGATCCAAGATAAAGTTGCTCCTTATAGTAAAATCTGATGGAGAAGGCCAAAAAGTTCCGGGAAAAAAACCACGTACAATTTCCAAAGTAGTCTAAGTATTTCCTGCCTTCACTATTAAGGGATAGTGATGATTACTATTTCAATGTTTATAGTAGGGTTAAAGCTATAGAATACACTACTGTATATTTATTCAAGGCCACTTTCGCTTTTGAAACAAACAATAATTCGGGGCGCTACCATCTATCCACACACGAAAGCAAAATAGGAATAAGGGCTATTATATGGTACTGCTTATGTATAGTATAATGGTTTGGTAGAATTCACATAACAGTAGATTGTCTCAAGAAATTATTATATACATACCCGTTAAGGTAATGGTTAGTCGTTGAGTTTATTGGCTTTGTAATGCAGTTGAGCATTTTTGTGCCACTAGGTTAAGTGTCGTGATCAGATTGTGTAATAGTAGTTAATGTTAGTACTTGCCTCGGACTACTGTCTAAAACAAAGAGGACAGCTATTATATGGGGTTTAGTTGTAAGGCTAACTAGTAGTTAGACTAATACAATGTACGATTGTATAAATCTAGACACGTTTTTGTTACCATATTCAGCGTATATTTTCATCTTACGTAATTAATTACATAAGGATGATTTTAGTTTTGCGTAACAATAATACCGAGTCATCTTGAAATCAAAATGTAAACACCATTACAGTACTACTGTTTTCTTTAGTAAACCCTTACATATTGATATGAGTAACTTGGACAACTGTACCAGTAGATTGAGATCATGCTTAAATTTACTCCAGACTTCGAATGGAACTTTAGAGAATGCTACAGAAGCAGTTCCTGGCCTCTCTCGTATGTTCTACACTCGTAAAATATACGGACTCGTACCTGAACTGGACGTCACAGATGCCAGAGAAAGTGCTATACGACTTATTGAGCCTCAATTGAAGAGCAGATTGGTAATGATTCGCAAAAGTTTGGACAAGTGTCGTAAAAGAAGAGACTACTTGTTAGGTCAAAGAGAACTTATAAGAGGTAGATTAGTAGGTATTCCCTATACAACGCTTTCGGATGAACAATTGTCTAAATTGACTACTGATGACAAGAAAATAGAACGATACAAGTTTCTTCGGAATAAAAGAGAGCGTCTACAATATCTGCTATCCTTAATCGAAAGAAGTAATCCGGAACCAGCTACTTAATTCAGAGTGTCTAATGCTACTAATTACAAGAGGTCTATTATACTTCTAACTCTGCTCCGCTCATATGCTCCACAACTTTGATACCGAGAAGTAATGCTACTTCTTTAGCATATTGATCTGCTATTTCTTTAACTGATGGTTGCATTCCTGTTTCCTTCGCTACCGAGGTAGCTTGAATTCCCTCCAATCCACACATGGTAAAGGTATTTAAAAACGTCATTTCTGGATTTATGTTCATGCCAATCCCATAAGATGATATGGCTCGTTGGATATTACATCCCACACTAACAATCTTGTCTCCATTAGCCACATACAATCCTGGGCTATCTGAATGCGTAGAAGTTTGGATGTGATAGTTCTTAGACAAAGTTGTCAGTGCAGCCTTAAGAAGAACAGAATCCACAAAGCATTTCACAGTTAAATTTTTAAATTGTTTCAAGTCCAATATGGTATACGCTGTTAATTGTCCTTTACCATGCCATGTGACTTGACCCCCTCTTTCTAATTGATGATAAGAGCATCCCATGTCTTCATAGCCCTTAATAAGTTCACTTATATTTGGATCTTGTTTCATTTGCTTACCTCCCGTATACACATTATCGAATTCAAATGTAAGCAAAGTGGGATGAGGTCTCATGGCTAATATTTGTTCCAATAATGTAGTTTCATATTCATTAATGACTACTCCTTCGGCTGTTGCTGCCTTTTGTTGTCTACGGATCTTTCCCTCTATATTCTTAAAGTCCAAGTTTGCACTCACTATTGCTTTTTGGATCTCTTCCCCTCGGATAAATGGGGTTATTCCGGGGAAATGTATATGTCTAAGCTTCTCATAACTTTCATTCAACGGATAAAACCGGCTTTTGCACTCGGTGCTTAGCATTCTAATACCCAGTCTCTTTATCATGATGACAACAGTGGAATAAAATCTTTGCTTGTGCCAAATGCAGTATCAATAACCGAGACAACTTTCAATTAGAACAAGAATGGAATAAAGTAACAACATGAATGATAATCTTTGTAGATGCATTTTTCAACTTCTTTATTTAGTCGTGTACAACACATTTAAAATTGAGGTCGTGTATGGACCCGGTATCTCCACATTTCGTTTATCAAATGCAAACACACATACTATAAATTACTACTGGTCATTACGTAACTTCAACATGAACAAACAGAAGTCGGGCCGGATTGTGGGCGCCGGAGCAAAACTAAAAGGCAACAAATACGAGAAACGACGGCCAAAGAACGCGACCGGAAGTACTGTCACGGGGGTGAAGAAACCCAAGGACACCCGAACACCAACCAATGATGAAGATTTCGATCCACTACAACAGCCAGATTGGCAATTTCTATACCAGATGTTTGCCAGTAATAAGAGATACCAGCTGCTGCTGCTGCTGCGGCGAACTGCTGCTGTGGTGAAGCAAGTGCCTAAACTTGTGGAGGATGCCAATTTAAACATGGTATTGAACTTGTTTGTTGCGGGCTTAATAGTGGAATATGTTGATTCTTGGTATAGTAAGAAACTTAACACCAATGACCTTGAGTTTGAGCATACTTTGTTTCATATAATAAGTGATGTCATTGGTAATGTTTGTGGAAGGCTAACTCTGGAGAGTACGGATTATGTAGTGTTGGGAGAGGAGTGTTGTCGGATATTGCATGCTCATTTCCAGCGATTGGTGCCGAAGAACCCCGATAATGGCCTTCAATTGATAGTGGATTTTAAGAGCACCGGTTTGATTGGCCGAAATGACGATGAAGAGATTATTAAAAGATACTTAAAGACGAATCACGCTTATTTCGACGATGGTAATAACGGGAATACATACTTGGAAATATTGAGTATCAAGCTATTAGAGGCAATTCTCCCTGATTTCGATTCACCTTTAACTTCACCATTGGTGTTGAGCTTTGTTTCTAGTCTTCTCGGAGACCTTGTTCTCCAGAAAACACTCGATGTGCTCTCGTCACCTGAGTTTCTAATAAAGCAGATATACACACAAGTGCTCCCACGAATAAAGAACCGTACCAAAGAAACAGCACTGTTTATCTCTATTAAAGATCGAGCGAAGCAAATGTGTCTTAAGCTATACAACGTCATTATGGCTTCAAGCTCTACTACCCCTTCCAGTATTGATCTTCTTAGACTGCAAGCATTTGCTTTGGTGGATTTGGTTACAGAATTTTCTACAAGACAGCCATTACTAGCGTCATCCTTACTGTTTTGTCGAGGTATAGTGGAGTTGGGTACTTTTACACAACAGAAAGTCAATGCGATTTTGATCTCGTATCTCCGAGGTCTCGTTGAAACCTTAGATATTCCAGGCTTATCTTGTACTATCATGTCAGCTTTGGGAGAAGCCATATTCAATTTTAGAAAGGAAAATAAGGGTAATGAGCCAATGGAGGATAGTCCTTCTTTTTCAGAAATGATGGACTCTATTGCTGAAACATTTGCAAAGTTAGCTCCATCATCTTTCTATTACCAAGAAGAGACGTCAACAGATTTAAATGAGTTCTTTAGAAATCGTTTACAATTATTGACATATCCGGAGTTAAACAAACTTGTTGTACTTGAACTTTTGGATATGATTCTCGGAGTTCTTTATCCGGAGATTACAGTAAAGTAAGCCACAGCTATTGAGTTAATGGTAGGGTACACGGTCGTGCGAAGCACAATTGAACCGTATACCTTCAAAATCGTTACCACCATAAAATCTCTCCACACTTTAATGACACTACTAAGATACTGAAACATGGATATTCAGGAATACATAGTGGCGCCTGGTAACTTCAACTTTGTGGATCTTTGTGACGAAGCAGACGAAGCCGATCGCAAAACCTTGGAGCTATTTGCGTTTGGAACCTTTGAAACCTATTGCAAATATAGAGACCAATATGAAAGACTTAACGGGCCAATGACATGGAAACTCATACAGCTTCTGGTTTTAAGCGTAGTAAACCATCACGAGAATACCAGTGTGTCCATAGATAGTGTGTTGGACCAACATGGAGTTCGCCAAGGAATACACTGGTGGCTCCAACAACAACTTCCACAACTGACTGATGTATATGAGACTTTTGATGACGTAATCAAAGATATGATTAAACAAGAAGGGATAGATGCTAGGATAGATCACGAAAACGATAGCATAATTGTTAGAGAAGCTCGTGCTTTACGAGATGTGTATGATCCTACTTTCCATCACTTACAAGTTCTCCAGCCGTCAGATATCTCCAACCAATCTCTAATCAATGCTCTAGAGGTCTTGCGTAATTGGCAAAACAATCATGTGGAAGCAATGGCTAAAGAGTTTGATATCACTAAGGCACTGTTGGATCCGAATCCTCGGAAACGAAAGTCACAAGTCCTAGGAATAAGTTAGACAACTAAACAGACAGATAATTGGCTCAATATTTGCACCATTATGATCAGACCATTGCCACTGTGCCGTGGCCCGATCTATATAACTTGCTCACCAAGCCAACTCCACGCTTTAATTGCTCAGTGCCGTGGCCGTGACATGCGGCTACAACTTGATGGTACGACACTCCAATAACGGTGGGCGCACTCAGTTTTCTAATTTGATAAGGATCTCGCGGTATGTCCTGTCCGTATTGGGTTACTGTAAACGAAAATAGAATTTCTATATAACTACGAGGATATGGAGCCATAATGGCTCTAGTGGCTAAATGTTCATCACGTTCATTGAATATATAAGGGTATAGTATGAAAATCACCTAAATACGGGAAGGACGGGGCAAATTTACCCATTGGTAGCAGCAGGTTCAAAGTCTAACCAATTCCAACTAGAGTCCATTTCCGTTGCTCCGTTACCGGTGGTAGGGGCCATACCTGAACCCCCACTTGCCAGAGACATTACTTGATCAAATAGTATTTCGTCTCCGAATGTCGACATATGTGAGTAGTCCACAGCACCACCGTTGCTATTATTGTTAATGCTGTTGTCGATGGGATTCTGGTCACTGTTTCCTCCTATAGTGAAGGATTCACTTTGAAATAAATTGATGTTCAACAATTTATCAATTTCATCCACGTTCCCGTTGGCTGCTTGGAACTCTGGGCCCTGACTCATAGTCATGGACATCCCTAAAGCAATCCCATTGTCGTTTACCATACCTGTTGGAAGCGACCTTGATAGTGGAGTGTCTGTTTCCATGTCCACATCCCATCTTTTGTCTCGAGAGTATGCTGACAGTGTTGCGGAAGCATTGGTAGATCCAGTATGTCCCATATGAGTTGCATGATTGTTGTTGATATTATTATTGTTGCGTTGGTTCAAAGGACGGAGCACTCCGTGTAATTTGTAGAATAATCCACAGGCATTGCACAATAGCTCTCCAGCATTTGATTTCCTCCAGAGTGGAGTGGATTTGGTCCAACAGTTTGTACATTGAAGGATTCGCTTGGTTTCCGATCCCTTTCTGTTACCACCAACATGTGCTATTGGCGGACTCTTGGAGTCCACGGATTCTGATTTGATGTCTTCCTTATCGTAGTCTCGTTTGAGAGTGGACTCAAGGGACGATATGTATGACGAAAGGAAATTGGAACCTGCTAACTGGTCTGACGTACTGGTGGTGGCAGTAGCAGTAGTGGAAGGGGTTTCTAGCTTCGGCCGTGGGGCACCCGAAAGGTCCACGTTGGAATGAGTCGGAGGTGACACCTGATGCGAAGGGAAGCTTGTTGGGGACGTTTTAAGGGGAGTTGTACTGTTAAATGAGGAAGTTGTTGTTGGTGCTGTTCCGGTTCCGGTTCCTGCTGTGCCACCGCCGGTACCGGCGAAATCTGCTGCTTGAGAAATACGTCTGATATGTGCCACATAATCAAACTCTTCCACGCTTGGATCGTTTGAGTTGAAAGTCCCTTCATTAATATTATTGACGTTGTTGCCACTGGCAACGTTACTGGATGGTTTCCTCAGAGGCGAGGGCTGTGACAGGTTCGATCCCAGGGGGGAGGCGTATTGTAGATTTGTGGACGTTGACGACGAACCCGTCATGTGCATGCTAGACCTTGACGTTGTGGGCATCGACATGGTTCTTCGAGACCCCCGCATCAACTTTCTGTTTTGGATTCTCCATGCGATATTCAGTATACGTTGGTTGTGGGGTAGATAGTTTTTATGCTGGTACATTTTATAGATCTGGAGCGAAGTATCATCATTATCTTGGAGTAAATCTTTAATTGCAAAGGCCATTTCATTGGACATTCTTCTGGAACTTGTCAGTGACTTTTTTGAGATTTTACTGGCCGCTGTTGATTGTACGGAGTTTGATTGGGGCGATGTGGTTGGCGTAAATAAAGATGTCACCAAGGGAGGGGGGGCCAGAGCTGTATTTTGAGGTTCATCTTGTGATGATCCAAGTTTCTTTACTATATGGCCGTCTTTATGCATAGTGAGTGGGGAAAAAGGTATATGAGTCTTGATGTATACGAGGGTAAATATGTACACTTATCAATATACGAATGACGAGGTGGGTCTTCGTAAACGTAAACAAAGAAGTATGTGCGTCTTCCGATATCAAGTAGCTTTTTAAACAATAATTTGCTAACCTTTTGACCACTAAATTTGTATATTGGTTTGAAAGAAAAGGGGATCACTTTTGGTGAGGAAAATTTCGCCTATGAAGGATGACTGGTATACAAATCCGCACCAAGCCAAAAAATATATTTCTATTATACACTTATGAATTACATCTATATTTTACTTGTGTATGTGTGTATGTCTTCATCGTATATAAGCATGTGTATACACATATGTGTATACATATCGTATCTAATCAAGGGTATATTCATAAACACACATTTATCTATATAGTACTTCACCATGTATACCTAAATACTATCATAAATACATGCACACGTAAATACATACAAAAAGGATGAGTGGAAATATACCCTGGCATTTTGTATGAGACATGCGTTCTAATATGTTCATGATTATACTAACAATAACATAGTATCCTCACTATGACTAACCACAACTGTTAAAAAAATATTCTGCATATAACACCGCGTGCATTAGTTTATTCAAACGGTTTTGATGTCGGAATTAGGTATGCATATCCGACACTTAATGACTGTGGTCCATGTTCACATATAGTTCTTAAATGATATACTTAGGTCTCTTCCTTCAATATACAAAGTTTTCCTTATGCCTGTCAATTGCTTGCTACTTTTATCTCTTCCTTTCTTATGTGCTTACTTGCTTGCTGACAATGGAATTAATCACCTTTGTTTTCTTGTCATCGTTGAAAGCAAAGGCGCAAATACCAATTCACCAACCAATCTATTCAATTCACTGACAAGACTCACAAGGGAAACTTCACAATACTTGACAGACACATATAGTTGTAGTCATCTTAAGTACCAAATGTCTATTATATTCTAATCCAAGGGCCGTGCGTGAACCCAAAAACAAACATAAAGATTTATGAAATATAGTGTTTGTTTTAGGTGTTCTGCTAGACAACCCAAGTTTAACATGATGAAAATGCTGGTAATCATCTGATATGCCACCGGATCATCCCATTGGAGTACAAAAAACTTAGGTGCAAAACTAACGGAAGAAGTACTTGGTTCTAATAAAGACTGAGAGTACTGCTACCACTCTGTAGAGCACAAGACAAGCAATTAAGCCACCAAAAAAAGCAGGCAATTGATGAACAAATCCGTAATTTTCCAACACGATAGGACCCGAGGTTAAAGTACAAGAACTGAAGTCGTCAGTGACTTTTCCCACTGAACAACTGAATGTCGTACTCTCATGGAAGATCTTCTTCATTAAAATTTCCGAAGCATATTTCAAAGGACTAATGTAGTTCCAGGCTTTAAAGAATGGAGGTAACTGCAACGACATTGTACCACCCATGAAGATAGCCACAATTACCAATGAAGATAGCAAGTTTGTTGCCAATCCCAAGTGGTTGAAGACCGAGTTAACCATGATACCTAAGGATTCACCACACAGAATCACCACAAAGGAACATATAAAGAAGCTCCAAAACATTTCATTCGATCTAGGTAACCCAATGGAGAACACACATAACACGCTAAACACAATTGAGGGAAGGAATTCTGCCGGAAATTCATTAATAGCATATGCAGCCATGAACTCACCAGCCCCATAGATACCATCTCTGTATTCAGTGTAGAAGAGGTCTCTTTCGAACGGATATAACGAAAGATTGTTCACTAAACCAACATAGTACAAGAGTAGAACTTCTTGCACGAGACCCAACCGGTTATTGATTCCATCTTGAGTCAGACGAAGTGGAGTGAAAAATAATACGTAGATAATGGCCAAAAATATAACCAGCACGTACCTTGCAAACACAACGTCAAACGACCGTATGGAGTTAACAAACTGTCTCCTAGTAAGTGTGGTGATTTGTGAAAACATAGGGTTTCTCTTCCTTTCAAACTGTGAACTAGGAAACAACTTGGTGGTAGGGGACTCTTCTATTAATAGATCTTTGGCGGTGGTTTTTAGTGAAAAATTGGTTTGTTCTTGACACCAAATCTTAGCAAGTTCAATTACCCGTTTTTGGGAGTCTTCAAGGGTTTCATTGATTTGTTTCCCTACCAAATCAAGCATAGCATCTGCAATATTATTGTTACTCACCCCAGCATCAGATTGGTTGTCTTTCTTCAATTGAGCAGCTTGTAGAATGGAATCAGCTCCAACAATAGGGTATCCTATGCTTTCAAAATAAGAGCTTATCTTCGAAGGTGCACCATTGAAGAGAGCTTTACCACCTCTACCAAGAAGTAAGATGTTCTGGAACATGCTTAACATATCTTGGTTGGGTTGATGGATAGTACAAACCACTGTGTAGTCATTGTGTTGGGCCAAGTCCTTTAACAATTGCAAAATACTTGTAGCCGTAGCAGAGTCAAGACCAGAGGTAGGTTCATCAAGAAATAAAATCTTTGACCGGTTCAATAATTGAATGGCAATCGTAAGTCTTCTCTTTTCTCCTCCAGAAATACCTTTAACGTCTTCATTTCCAATCATTAAATCAGCACAATCTGTAAGTCCGGTCTTTCTAATCAATGAACTAATTAAATTAGGAATGTTCTTGTGTTCTTCAAGTGGCAATCTCAATTTAGCTTGATAGAATAGTGTTTCCCGTACAGTTAAAGTTGGAAGCAAGTAATCTTGTTGAGGAACAATCGACGAAATCTTCATAAGAGACTTCGTATCCTTAACCAAGTAATCATTCAAATAAAGAGACCCTGTAAGATCTTCTACCTTCATCTTGGTGGATAATCTGTTGGTCAAATAGTTAAGCAAAGTAGTCTTACCACTTCCAGATGGTCCCATAATAGCATTTAACCCACTTCCCTTGAAATGGGCCAGAATATTCTCAAGTAAGACCTTAGATTCACCTCTACCGGCTTTAATAACTAGAGAAACTTCAGCCAAGTTTAATTCCAAAGAGTTCAAGTCTTCTTTCCGTTCCAATTCGGTGTTTTTAAGTTCCTGTTCAACGATCGAAGGATCAGCTTCTTCTACTGATTCTTTACTGCCCAATAATAATTCATCATCAGCATTACCACCAATCTTGTTCCTCTTTTCTTTCACCATACTCATTTCAGGCGACTTGAAGTAAAGCTGTACCCATGCAATCAACTGAAGCCCAATAGTGAAGGCAACAATAATAACTATGGGAATATTAACGTAATTCTCTTTAAATCCAAGGTTCCTCAAAACGCTTGAGCCACTCAATTCAGCACATTGAGGATCATCAGCAGTACAAGCACCGTACCAATTCGTAAATTGATTCGAAGCAAGTCCTTCCATACTGTAGTAAAAATAAGCAATATACTTTACCCATCTAACGTAGACAGGCATTGTGGAAGCATTAATAAAATAACCACTTCCTAAATTCATAATTTGATAAGTAATGTTTACAATAACAATTGATAAAGGGAAACTAGTAGCCAAAGCATATGCCACCATTGCAACAGATACCCCAGTCAAATAATTAACTACCGTGAACACCAAATAAATGAAAAATTGTCTTGTGCCTGAGTTCAATCCCCACATATAGAAAGTAATGATTCCAAACAATATAGAAGTAGGTAAGTCTTCCAAAAACAACTTGCCTAATCTTCTGGAGATCAAGAACCCCAAGGGGCTCACAACATTATCTGTTCTTTCTCTGACATAGTTGGGCCCATCGATGTAACACAATCTTTCCAACTCAATGAACAAAGGACTGAACCCAATGACTTCAAGCATAACATACAACACTGAGGTTAAAGATCTGATACCAGCCAAATCAGGTGTGGGTCTGAAGAAGATCCAACCACATAAAATGGCAAGGAAGGCTCCACCAAGCACAAGTGAAAGCACAGACATGTAGTCTCTGTAAGTTGTGATGAAGCTTCTCTTGGTCAAAACATATATTTCGGCATAGAAGGGAAGAGCAGCCTTATCTCCAAGAATGACTGACTCCAACGTCTTTAATTGATTTGTACTGCCCATATGTTCATCATCAAAAGATCTTGTAGAGGTCCAGTTCTCCACCAAACGATTGATTCTATCAACGGTTGCCTGTTCTGTTTGTTCTGTTGAAGTGTCTTTAACGGATAAATCTATAATGTAGTCAATAAAGTTGGAGTAAGTCAAGTTGCTAAGTGAACCTTGGGGAATAAGATCATTGAAGTAGACTTGGGATTGGGCAATATTACCGTAATAGATAACTCTTCCACCTCTGGTAAGCAAGCAGATGTTATCAAACATGTTTGTGATTTCCAATCTTGGTTGGTGAATGGAGAGAATCACCGTGATCCCCTGTGACTGGCAGAACTTTTGAAGCAAGCCAATCAACTTCAAGGAGGAGCTCAGATCCAACCCCGTGGTAGGTTCATCAAGGAATAAGACTTTGGGTCTACTTAACAATTGGATTGCAAGTGATAAACGACGTCTTTCACCACCGGACAAATGGATCTTGTGCGTAAAGTCCACCACCAAAGTTGAAGCCAAATGAGTCAACTCCAACTTCTCTAATAACAAGTTGATCAACTCAAGTCGTTCCTCTGAACTACTAGACCAGATTCGTAACTCCGCTTGGAACTTCAAGGTCTCAAGAACGGTTAAACCCGGTAAGAAATGATCTGTTTGAAGCAAATATGCGGATGAAACATGAGTCAATTGACTCCCACCACCACCACCACCAGCTGAATAGTTAATAAACCCATCAAATTGCAAATTCTTATTCTTAACATTCATCCGACCTGATAACGTGTTTAACAATGTGGTCTTACCTGATCCAGAACCCCCCATGATCGCCATCATCGATCCGGCTTCAACATCAAAGGAAACATTGTTTAGGATACAAGGAGATTTGGCAGCATCTTTCTCTTCATCATATTGATTCTTCTTTTTGTTAGTGGTAGGTTTCGTTGTGACTGTTAAATCTCTAACCTTGAGACCCACTCTGTCTTCTGGTGGAACGTTCAAAAGATCAGCCATAGTACGTTTGACTTTGATTCTCAGTGCGCTTCTGGTTAGTGCGGACTAGGCGAGGTTATGGGATAAAGACCCCGATTCAGACACCTCTTTATATGTTGAGCCTGCTTAGGGAGTGGAATGCAGAAGAAGCGGATGTAAGCATTTGTTGTAAACAGAGAGGATAAGATTACAGCATTCACATTCCTAATTAAGGTTTATTACCGCTTCTACAGTGGAAATCAAAGACATACGTAGTGTGCACTCCGATGCAACATATTCCTGAGAGAAAACGCAAAAGTGGTGGTAGCACTGGGCGGCGGGAGTGACACAATATCTAGATGGAAATAAGGCTGATGGAGCCAAGAGATTTCTTGGCTCAACGTCGCTTAAGTCCATGAATCTTGCTGTCTGCTGCTAATAAATGCCTGGAAAGCACAAGTTGATGCATAAAGCATATGTATTCGGTACAGACTATGTCGTATACTGTTGAGGGTAGGTGGCGTGAACGTGATTATCGGATTTATGACCTGGAACGTACGTATGAACCAGATAGTGCATACTACTCCAGTGAAGACATACCGCCGCTCTCTAGAGCTTGCCCGTAGGTGCAATTATTCACTGATTCCTGTAATCATAAAGTAATGCGAAACATATATAGTGGTACCCGTCTTCGTCTCTCATCAATTACAAATTAGGAGCTAATTCTATTACCCACGCGTCCCCCCAACTAAATGGTCCAGTCCAGGAACATAATGGGGTGCAAATTTGCCTCCAGTTTTCTCCGCATTCAAGGAGATATCGAAATATTCTTGTCACGTCGTAAGGAAGTTGCAAATAGTGTCGCATGGTTTTAGACATAGTTACGAACGTTAGTGAGGCTGAGAGTGCCTTGAAATTTTTCTTGGTTCGATTCAGTTACAATTGCCTCAGAGCCCAATGTAGTCATGCACAGTACATTGAATGTTTATTGTATTAGTAAAGTGTGCAAAAAAGCTGGAAGGTGGTCAGGACGTTTGGATAGCACTACCCAATATAGTAATCTGTGTCGCGGAAAATTGTTAACTATGTTTGACACTGCAAAAATTAAGTTGAGTACACTCTATTATGAATGGTTCACCTACAAAAGTACCTCCCACAACTCCCACAACAATATGGCAGATAAGCTCAAGGAGATCAATCAGTTCAATGTTCATCGCACCAAGTATCTCGGCTTGGGCACTCCCGACACAACGCGAGAACAGTTCATCAGCAACATTAAAAGAGACACTTACGCCTCGTTAGCACAACATGACCCTATTCTTGTGTATACTTCAGTTGCCCTTAACGAGCATCCGAGCGTATTACGTCAGGCATTTCTTAAGAAGATGGTTCAACCTTTGAAGCCGGCACTAAGCAATGACACTAGTTAGAACGTCAATTAAATACACTACTTGTATAAAGTTATATACCTATGAAGTTAAGTTACCAAAGGTCTTTGTTCTTCATCGACTTCAACAATAAGTGTGGAAGAACTACGGAACAACCCAGCAATGCTAGCAACTGTTAAGAGAGCCAACAACCCCAAAACAACAAAGGCAAAGATCCATTGCAAGGCAAATACCTTGTGAGTCAACTGTTTCAAAGCGATACCAAATACCAAGATACAAGTATCAGTGCCCACCAAATAGTCATTCAAAAGCAAGATAAACAAACCAGGGATGATCAAAAAGTCCCAAATGGTGATATTGCAAAGGATTCTAAACCACAATCTGTCATTGAAGTGACCCCAGATAGAACTACCATTCCAGAAAACAGCATAGAATAACCAACTGATAGCAAATCTTACCAGATAACCTTCCAAGCTTACTTTATCTTCATATTTGTTGACGGAGAAATAGTATACCAAGGAATTGACCAAACTAATCAAAAGGATGATTTCTGATACGATATAATGATGGCCGCTGTAAAAGTAACTCCAAATAAAGTTCAAAATACCAAAACTTATCAAGTGAGTCAGAACATAAGAATTGGCTTCGTTAGCAAACACCAAGAATCCCACTTGGTTAAGGAAAAAGAGTACCCAATAGACAATGTAAACCACATGGTTCATAGAGAAGGGAGTGAAATGTCCAGCATGGAAGGGGTGAAGAAAGAAAATACCATAGATTGATAAAATGGTGGCAATTGCTCCAACCACCTTATGTTTAATCAATTCGTTTGAATCAGCCATTGCACTTGAGGATGAATTGAGCTAATAAATAAGAAAACCACATCCTAAAAAATCGATTCAATGTCGTATCCCCTCCATTTATAGGATCATTTATAGAACATTCATGATTGCTTGCTGTGGGGCTTTCTTGCGCATTCTAAAGGGACTATACACTCCACATCATGGTACTTGCCTGACGTCAATTTGTACGGAACTCCTCAAAGGGTGAGGGCGTTTTTGGGTGGACCACGACTACAATACATTATATATAATAGAACTGACTCCTAATTACCATGTATGTGGTACTAAAACTACTTGTAGATTAGAATAAGATGTTAAGCATTCATAAAGGAGATCTAAAGCCATATTTGATGGCCACCTAATTTTTAGTGCAATTGAGTTAATCTCATAGAAAGTTGAGTGGACGACATTATTCAAGAGGTATGTGCATCCATTCTTTACGACATTATACTAACAGACTGTTCTGGTAGACTTACCGTCTGTTCTCTCTTTAGATTTAAACAGAATGGAAGCTTCTCTTGCATCTTCAGTACCATTAGAAGCAATAGACAAGAAAATCTTATAAACCAATTCTCTCTTTTCATCATCAGAAGTTTCTTCTTGGTGTTTGATCATATCTTTAACAGTCAGACATGCTGAAAGTAACAACTCTGTGTTTTTCACAATGGATTGCATTAATTGCTCCAATAGATTCAAAGTTACCGAATCCCTAACCACCACCCGAAGAAGTTGTTTCTCCTCTTCATCTGGAGGTAAATGATAATTAGGAACAATAAACCCTTGATTTCTCAATAAAGTAGAGATGATTCTTTGAGGTATCTCCGGATAATCAGTACGGATTTGATCTGAAAATCTAAAGGCAACAACAGGCAATCCAGGATAATATTCTTCGTTGGTAGTAGAATCTGAAACATGCATTTTATGATCAAAATGTCCAGTAAAAAGCATATCTCTTTCCTCCTGAGTCTTTATCTTCTTATGAATCACAGATAAAATTTCAAAATAGCCAGTTTCTTCCAAGAATTCACTCAATAACCGAGCATTCTGTAAACATGAGTTATAAATCTTGGTGTACCCTTCTCTTCCCAAGGTTAAAAAGTTAAAATATTGCAAGATCACGGGGAACCCAGGTCTGGAGAAATTCAACCCAAAAGTTTCTTCAACTCCTCCCAAATAATCCAAGGAGAATCGTAATGATTGAGGAACCAACAGTGAATCACGCCAAACAATCCATCCTAATCCAGCAGATGTTAAACCAAACTTATGACCAGAAGTATTAATTGAAACCACACGGGATACAGCAAAGTCCCATTTCAAATGAGGATACACAAAAGGAGCTACAAATCCTCCACTTGCTCCATCAACATGAATAGGAACATCAAACCCAGTTTCTTCTTGAATTTCATCCAAGGTCTTCGAAATCAATTCAACATTATCAAAGGCTCCAGTGAATGTAGATCCAAGAATTACAAATATTCCAATGGTATTCTCGTCGACATTTTCCTTGATCTTGTTTACATCAGTCATATGTTCCAGAGATTCACTAATGGAAACCAACCTATTTTCAACATCAAAATAACGAGCAAACTTCTCCAAGGCAACTTGAACACATGAAGCCATAATGATATTGGGGTTTTCTGTTGATTTCCCTTCCTTCTTACGTCTTTCTGTCCATCTCTTCTTCATCAGTAAACCACCCAACATAACAGCCTCTGAAGACCCAGTGGTAGCCACTCCAATAGAATTGACATTCAGCTTTCCTGTTACAGGATCGGTCGTTTTAGGAGCATGCCATAAATTGGACAAAATGGTAATACATCTTTGTTGCAAGTCTATTAACGATGGATATTCATCGTTATCAGCCAAGTTCTTGACCAAACTATCTTCAACTAATCTTCGTTGAACTGGTGATAACTCAGTGTTAACAAACGAGGCTAAGTTAAGCTTAGGGTTTCCATCCAAAGCCAAACCTTCGGACATATACCGATAAACCAATTCTTCATCCAGCGATTGAATTGGAATCTCATACTTTGGAACCAGAGCGTTGGCGTCATATTTGAAGATATACTGTTCCTTATTATCAAGGGGAGTTTTGGTGAGAGAGTGTAACACCTTCTCTTCCAATTCCTCAGAATCAATGTGATGAGAGATAACCATTTTGGTGGCCGTAGTTGTAGGAAAAGTGGACAGAGGTAAAAATATTATGCCAACTGGGTGCCCTTTTATATGTTGCTAATCTCAAAGTACACTCAAAGGGGTCGCAAGTACGGAGATATAAAGCCTCAATATCTGTATTTGGAATCGAAAGATGAACCTAGTGCATTCGATTGCTGGTAGTTTTGACAGTAAGGGAGTCGTTTACGTCAAGTTGCATTGTTCGGGAGGATCGGCTGTTAAACGTGGGGTAGGTGAGTGTATAGAGTAAGGCGTAGTAGTATACAGTGAACAGAAGATCTTAAGTTGCTATTAACAGCAGCAATGTATGAACTGACAGCATATGGTACAAGTGCGAGCTACAGGATGCACATGCATGGGACGCATACTTGTATGCTGTCACAGAATGCAATAGAACAATATAGTGTAGGTGTTTCCTTGTGCTGGATACTTCAAGTTTCACATAGTGCATAATGGGTCTAGACAAAAGTCGACGTATGCGACTAGATTTACCAAAAGTAGTAACATTAAACCGGAGCCCTAGTCACTTGACCAAATCAACTACATCTTTTCCACATTACTCCGATCACTATTGTATTCGTTGTATATACATTTCTAAGAAGTGGTATTAACTGAAAAGGCTCTATTCACCTCCTATGGTCATATTCCGTTCATTAACAGTAGATTAATTAGCCTATTGATTGATTTACTCAACTTCATCGAATTTTTGTCCTTCAACCAAGTCAGGAATGTCATCATCTTCGTTAACACCGCCAGCAGCAGCCAATTCTTCAGGAGTCTTACCAGCTTGAATTTGTTCAGCCAACTTTCTCAAAATGTTCAAGTTTTCAGCACCTAATTGAGGCAAGATTTGAGGAATCAATTGAGTAACATCCTTAACTTGAGGTAAACCATTGAATCCAAAAACATTGGAATCTGGAGCTCCTTGAACACCAACACGCGCAAAGTGCAAGACCTTACCATCGTCTCTGAAGAAGTTGGCTTCTTCAATATTGTCAATCTTCTTGGATCCCAACTTACCTAAGGTTTCAACCAACTTAACATCGTCTGGTTCTCCCTTAACAATCTTCTTGGCCTTAATTCTGGTACCACCAACCTTCTTAGCGGCAGACTTTTGCAACTTGGCAATCTTTTCAGGGTCAACTGGCATTTTGAGGACTTATGTATCTTATGAATAGTATATAGTGGTACTAAATTTTCAGTTACCCGTTCTGAAAAATTTTTCACCAATATGGACAAGTACTCTTTGTGGACTTGATAATGACACGACCATATACTTTAAAACTAATTGCAATAATTAATATACTATTATACTTATTAATATTAGTATATAAGACTATTAGTATATACGACTATTAATATATATGACTATGGCTAGTCTAATTTCTCAAAGGCAAAAGCCAAATAAAAGTTGACTGCTTCCTTTTCCAGCCCCTCGACACCGTATTTCCCATCTGTCCGACGCATACCATCAATCAAGTGACGGTTCAATTGAGAAAAGTACTTTGGAATTTCCAGATTGAACATTTCAATAAAACTCTTTCGATATTTAAGTGTCAATCCAGCGTCTTCACAAAGGGATCGAAGAGTTTCAAAGGGAACAACATATTCTGGAATATTGTCGACTGCGTCTTGTAGAAAGTAATTATATTTGTTCCCAAATGGTGGTCTGAACACACCGTCTTCTGGAGGATCTCTTTCGAATGTTACTTGGTATAAATCATTACCAAATTTTTTCGGAGACAAAAAGTCCTTACGAATAATCTTTTCTTTAATGAAATCTGAAGATGGTATTGTCCCCACAAACACTCCACCCGGTCTTAAGGACTTGGAAACATTAGTAATAAGTGTACGGGCCTTTTCTTCTGTTTCAAATGAATAATGTAATGAAAACTGAACAGAAACACAATCAACAGGGAATAAGTTTTCAATTATACCGGGGAAATGAGGCTCTAAAATATCTGGAATCGGAGTCGAAAAGCAATCTCCAGTGGCAAAGCATGCTTCAAACGTATACTTTCTAGAATCAGGAACTCTATGAGCCAGTTTGAAATGGGCTTTGTTCTTACTGTATCTTGAATAAGCTTCTTTAACTGAACCATCACTTATATCAACTCCAATATAATGATCTACTCCTATGAATTCACATTTATTCAAATCTCCACCTTTCCCACAACATAAATCTAACATTACCTTGGGTTTACCTGAATCAGGCAATGACCTGGCAAAGTTCCCTAATAACATATACTTGATGGCATTGTTGAAGTTCCTCATCTTATAAATGGGAGATTGAACTCTAGACCCTTGAAATTTCGATACTTTGGTTCTTTGGTTATAATGATCTCGAACAATGTCATTAATGTCCTTGTTATCTCTATCACGGATATTACTATGAAACGTTTGATACTCTGATGCTCCAAGAGTAATAGGAAGATTGGAATACGATGCTACATTCCCTTCATTTCCATATCCTACTCTGCTATTATTATCATAACCTCTGCTACCACCCTCGTATTTGGATCGTTTGTTTGACCTGTAATCGTTAGCTGTTGCTTCTCTAAGTCTTCGAGCATCTCTAATATCATTATTAATACCAGTCACACTAGTTTCAGTCCCACTGCTCCCACTACCTCCAGTACGATACCGTGCATATCTATCGTTATGTTCCAGTGTTCTTTCTCCACGTTGTGTGGAGGCTGCTGGAGCTGAAGGTCTAGACCCGTATTTATCATACTTATTCCTCTGTTCCGCTTCCTTTTCCTGAGCAAGCCACACTGGCAACTCCTTTTCTTCAGCATATACAGATTTACTAGGTACGGTATCATAGCCTCTTCTCCCGTTGGTGTACGAGCCTCTCCGAGTTTCTCTTCGGGAAAATGATTCAGAAACATCTTGTTCCTCTCTGGCATCAGTAACAGGCGCACCATCTTGTACTCCTACTGGGGAAGGCGTGGCAACTACGCTCGCTGCCTTTGTTTCTTCAGAAGAGCTGGTCATTGATGGATAACCTTCCTTCTTCTTTTGGGATGTGATGCATTAGGATGTAGGTATTTTATTTAAAGAGTAGCGATCTTTTGCGTTAAAGATGACACAAAACCAATTAGGTAATAAACCAAAACTTTAGAAGTAACATACAACAACACTACTGGGGGGAACATTATGTGACAGTGAGCTTAAAAATGAGGTCTATAAAATTGAGGTATATAATTCATTGGAATCTATGAGTTTCTAGCTTCAGAATGAATGTAATATCGATCAAAAAAGTTTAGCGTTTGTACGTCACCATCATAAGTTGGGTTTGCTTTCTAATGATGACTCAATCTGTTCGACAACAGGATTAAGAAACTGCTTTTTATTGGGTACTAAATGACCTCCATCGTGTACAAAAGTATTAAGTACCGCAAGAGCATAAAGGGACTCCAAATGACGACTTCTGACATTTGGAACAGCAAAATCATTACTACCATATATCAGAATAATGCTTGTATCGAAATCCGTTGGGGCTTGAAAATACTTCTCATATCCTGGAACAAGGTTAACGTTTTCAGTATAAGTCAGAACATCTGTAATTTCAGTATTCAACTTTTCTCGGTCATCTTCGGGATTTTTAGGTTCAACAAATGCAAATCCGGAGATAATCACTGCCACTTTAAAGTTCTCATGGGATGGTAACAACTTGTTAATATTGTTAGCAACTATGGCTGCCATTGCAGCTCCTTGTGAGAACCCGATAATCCCATCGTAAGGGCCGTTTTCTTTAATATAATCCACAACATATGAAAGTGCTTCATCAAAATGTTCATATCTACAAGGTGTAGATTTATGAGACCACCAACAACGGTTTACGTTAAGATCAACAAGTCCACTGAACTTTGTATTAGCCTCATTCTCGTCTTCGGAAAGAGTGAATGGAAGTTCTTCCTTATTGGGGATAAGAATCGGTGGATCAATGTAGTCAAGTTGACAGTTGTACTTCTTTGTCAAAATCTTCCGAATGCCTGAAGACTTTTCCGCAAACACCTTCCCACTTTGTAAGTACCCTGGTAAGCAAACAAATTTCCTTGACATTTTCTATTTTGATATACGTCTGTTTTAATTAAATTAGAAAGAAGACTCAGTGATATAGTGAAATTTTTGAAGAAAGTTAAAATATTTCGTATAGGCTTTGGACAACGGACTATATACCGAACTCGTAATTTAATAACGCCATACTTGAGCAACAGGTTCGACTAACAAAAGGCTAATCTCCCTGGGCTAGTGGGATTCTCGTCTTAAATGGTTAGGGATGATTTTCACTGCTACTGATGGTGGTTTAGTAATAGGTTAGAATAATTTCAGTGATTACAATTAACAGTCGAAATTCTGCCACAAAACAGTAGCGCTTAAATCCGACATTCTATACATGGGCCTAACTGATGAGAGTGTGCATATCACTTTTCGCCATTAACAAAAGATGTACGGGACTGAATTTACTGACCAGAGACCAGGTGTTCAACAGACATGAAGAAGAAAGAATAGCAGGCATATATCAAACACTGGGCAGACAACCAACAGAAAAAGACCGCCAACAGATTTTAGTCGATCACATGTTGGTTTGATTCACTTACTATGGATAAGCGTAATACAAAAATGCACCCAAATTCAGCCAATTATTCACCCATAACAGTAGATCAGTTAACGCGGTTGAACTGATTGTATTAGGAGAAGGACTTATGGCACTAATAGACAACTTCGTTTCACTTAGTAACTTTGAGCATCTATTCTCTTCTGTGGGGGACAAGGTGGTTGAGCACCGCCGTTCTCATCTGTAATAATTCTATACGGTAGTTGAGAAACACAATCATGGGTTTCCTAGAACCATATACCTTTTCAATTGGTGCATACTGTACCATCATTTTAATATACCTAATGGCGTATGATAATGGCATACATTATGTAGAAACACCTCCAACTTACGTGAATCCATTTAGCCCAAAGAAGATTAAGATAACCATTTGCTTGCTTTCGGTATGCAGAGACTGTACATGCATATGCAAGATCGCATTGTTGCAGCGTTCGATGAATAAACGGGGTACAAAGAACCTGATGGTTCCAAGCATCGGATCTATGAATAGAAGTAGCAAGCCATTCACAACACAGGCGCCCAAGACAATAGCCTTTGGTGTGTGCGCGCACTCACACAAACAATAAAGGAGGGAACTCGTAAACAAAAACACGTATTCTGCGAAGTCTTGAGTGTTCATTTCAAAAGGCTTATACATACCAACACACAGGAATAAAGATCGTCACAAAGATCTTCGATATGCTTAGTATAAATATTACATCGTAGTCCCCAAACATTAAAAACACCCGTAGTTTATTCTTTGATTCTTTTCTCTTATCACAACAATATCAACCATGTTCTTCGGTAAACCATTAGCATTATTGTTATCAGCCACCAGCTTAGTAGCTGCTCAAGACATCGAATTCCAACGTATTGGTTTGGATTTCAAGGTCATGATGCTTGGAGCTCCAAACACTGCTGCTGCTCCACTTACAAGTGAAGGAGAACCCATTGAACTTGCTTTATCTTATCCAGACACTTTGATAGTCAATTTGGATGCCGTGGAACATTTCATGGAACATGAATACCAAAAGACTTCTATGAACGTCGATGAAAATGAAATCATTGCTTATTTCTGGGCTAAGCTTGCCAAGTCCAATGGGTTGGATGAGGAATGGATAAGTAGAAACAACTACGAGTCTGAAATTCCTCGTTACGAAGAACAATCTTCGTTCAAGGACGTGTCCAGATATATATACGACATTATTAGATGGTTTAAATGAGTATTTTTTTTAATTAATAAAGGTATTGAATGGAATCAAATGTACACGTCCAAACCTTCTGAATTTAGTTCACTTAGCAAATCCCGTATCTTATCCTGTTAGCTTCGTGTCATAACCAAGGTATCCATGGTTTATTTCTGTCCTATATCACATAATATATGCGTTGACACTTTGAAGTGTGTTTCTTGAGGGATTCACCCGTCGAACATTCAGTAGGAGTCGAAGATGACGTCTAACAGTGTCCTTATTAGGCCTTTGCTGTCGTTGGCAGCGACACCAATCATCATCATAGTTTTGACTTAAAAGAATTAGCACAACCAGAGCTGCCAAATCAGTATCGTCTTCACCAAGTACCATTATAGGCAAATTTGTGTCCAATTGAGGTAAAAGCACCGGAAATATATCTCTTAGTTGTCTGGAGCTCTTTTTACCACTTTCAAGAGAATAATGGAAGACTTTGGCTTTCCTGGGGTTAAGGATCTCGTATTTTGTAGAGAACACTATTACCTGATCGACATTGCCCTTAAAGGCGTCGACCAATTCTGCATATTCTACCGACGAATTGATTATACCAAACGAAATGCCTGTTTTATTGTCCTCTTTGTCCACATTAGAAATATCCGGTAGTATACCATTCTTAGTAGAAAGCAGCTGTGCGTAGTTTGTCCAAATGCTGTTCATCTTGGCTATGAGTTGATCATCTCCAAGCCAATCATATATCATGTTGGAATTAGGATCAATGATATCAGAACTCGTATAGATGTGATTCCAGAAGAACCGAGGATCGAGTTTCCCCTCACATATTTCGTTGGTAAGCCAAAGCTCATGGTCATCTGCTGAACCTTGAACGTAATACCATTGCACCACTGACCCATTTAGTCTAAGAGTCATACGGTTTTCCATGTCGTTGACCTTCTTGGAAGCGATGACACAAGATATAATATGTAATTGGCTTACATCTATATCCAAGGGGTTCCTCAGTCCCAAACATCCAGGGTAATACCATTGACACAATAACGGTTTCCGTTGGTCTCCAGTTCCAAGAATAGTCTCTAGCATTTCTTTCGTTATAAGTCCCTTTGATGCCACCTGTCTAGCAAACAACGGTATCAACTGTTGGATCTGTCTTGTTTCACTATCACCAACCATTTCCGAAGGTGTTAGTAGCCAATTGTTCTTCTGGAACAGCCTAAGACTGTCGTCGAGCTCTTCATTGTCAAAATATATACTATTTAGCACAGCGCACCATATAGGAATAGTTTTAGAGAGAGCGTCAGGCATAAGCTTACCCCTTTTAGTGGAATCAACAATAGTGATATTGTTCCCTTTGCTAATAGTCTCTAGCAAATGGAGATTCAACCGCCTCTGAGAGAAGGCCCACTGGTGAGTATGGCCGTCTGTAGATTTGAAATAGCATGTATCAATATACTCTTCAGGGGCCACATACCAGAGTCCACATCGTTCATTGGCTACCACAGTTGAAAGGTTCCACTTGGCACAAAGCAACTGCACTTGGTGATGATCGTAAATTACCGATTGGAGTCTATTTTTCACCGATAGCGCATCCTTTTTGAGTTCTTTGACAATGCTCTTGATGCCGGGTTGGAAGAGCTCGTATTTCTCCGTCATCGAATATATACGAGATGGATTTCTTCGCAGTTGCCACAACAAAGACTAGTATAGATGTGAGATGAGAGGGTATTTGTTGCGCGATGGAACGGTATATAAGAACTTTACTCCAGTACATTGCAAATTTGTAGAAGGTCAGTAATGGGACGACTTGGAGTGAGTCAAATACAAATGTGTCCATCATATCCAAGAATCTGCTGGAGGTTTACAAAGCCGGATTTTCAAAGCTGCGTACAGTTGTGACTACAATCATAAGGATACTTAATTGTACCTTAGCTTGATAAAAACATATGCATTTATAATATCAATATGTACCATCTTCAACCATATCTTGCTCGTTTCATAGCAGCTCTTCTCTTCTCCTCTTCCAACTCTCTTCTATCTTCAACCTCTGCTTGACGTCTGGATCTGGTTTCTTCCTCAAGGATCTCTGCCCCAGTAGCTTCCATATCATCAGAATCATAATCGTCATACGAGTTATAATAAGATCTCTTACGACCTCTATTGAACATAGCCCAAATCTCGTCTCTGTCGTATCCAGTATCCTTGTGACTGTAAATATCATTCCTTCTGCTTTGTCCATAGTGTTGTTCTTGCCCGTACTCTTCTTCTTCCTCCTCATCGTCCACCACAAACGAGTCCAATTCGTCATCGTCAGAGTAGTTATCATGATCATCATAGCCTGCTGCGCCATTTCGAATGGAAGGAACATTCCTATTGTTACTCAGTCTGGGTGCTTCTTTCTTTGATTTCAACTTCTGCAGCAAGTGAGCAGAGGGCCCTCTAACCGGGATAGGGGCTCTTACAGAAACTGGTTCTCTGATTATAGGCTGCGGAGAACCGTATCTAGATTTTGCGCTTTCTCCATTGGTTCTTGTGGATGATGATGGTGGTCGTTGTTTGGTGTGTGGGGCTCTTTGAATGTCTCTCAGCGTTGGACGTCGACCTTCATTGGCACTATTATTACTATTATTATTGAGACCTCCTTTAACAGGTTTAGTATGTTCTGGGGATTTGGACTTACCTTTTATAGAGAGGGCAAGTGTAGCCTGATCTATAGTTGAGGCTTTCTTCATGAGATCATTGAAGTTCAACTTCTTAGCAGGTGGTTTCCTCTCCACAAATGAAGAAGGAAACAGTGGAGCGCCATGCAGTGGAGCACGAGTCGACGATGGTCGTCCTTGGTTTCGACTACCATTAGATCTTGATGAAGATGAAGATGATGAAGGTTGCCTTGGTCCTGATGGTGCTCTTGATCTTGGTGCTGAAGGCTTAGAAGAAGTCTTGGGAGCAAGTCCTTTCTTCTGTCTCATTTCTTGTTCCTTCTTTTCCTTTTCTAGCCGCCTCTTCTCCTTAAGTTGGGCCACAACTGGGTCCACTACTTTGGTGGCCCCGTTTCCATATTGGTACACTTTACCCCCCAGTGTTGCCGGTATTGTTGCCGATGTCGCACCGGTTTGGCTTGCGGTCCCGCCGTTATTTCTGGAAACAGGCGGTAGTTGTCCTTTTCGTCTTACTTGGTCGAATATGTTCGCCATAGTGGTCGTAGTAGAGTCCATTTGATGGTCGTTGTTAAAACCGATTCAACTTCTTGAATCCGTGAGCATAAGTGGTATTTGCACGACCATATAAAGAGAAGTTGAACGTAGTTCTTGCTTACAACACTGCTGAAGATAATGGTAATATATATATACGATTCTACTTACAATAACACTACTTAATCCTTAGGACCAATCATGTTCTCAGGTCTTACCCATTGGTCAAATTCAGCCTCGGTCAAAACACCCAATTCCAAAGCAGATTGCTTCAAGGTCAAGCCCTTCTTGTGAGCATTCTTAGCAGTCTTGGAAGCAGCATCGTAACCAATCTTAGGGTTCAAGGCAGTAACCAACATCAAAGATTCGTGCAATAACTTGTCGATCTTATCCTTGTTGGCCACAATACCATCAACACAATGAACTCTGAAGGAGTAAGAACCATCGGCCAACAACTTGATGGAGTTCAACAAGTTGTAGATCATCACTGGCTTGAAGACGTTCAATTCAAATTGACCAGAAGCACCGGCAAAAGTGATGGCAGCATGGCTACCGAAAACTTGAGTACACAACATGGTAACAGCTTCGTTCTGAGTAGGGTTGACCTTACCAGGCATAATGGAAGAACCAGGTTCATTTTCGGGTAAAGACAATTCACCATAACCACATCTTGGACCAGAACCCAAGTATCTGATATCGTTGGCAATCTTATACAAGGAGACAGCCAAAGTGTTTAAAGCACCAGAAGCTTCAACAATGGCATCATGAGCAGCCAAAGCTTCAAACTTATTAGGAGCAGTCTTGAAGGGGAACCCTGTCAACTTGGAAACAGTGGCAGCAACCTTTTCATCAAATCCCTTCTTGGTGTTCAAACCGGTACCAACAGCAGTACCACCTTGAGCCAAGTACAACAAGTTTGGTAAAGTCTTTTCGACTCTTTCAATACCATTGGTCAATTGTTGAACGTAACCAGAGAATTCTTGACCCAAAGTCAATGGAGTAGCATCTTGTAAATGGGTTCTACCAATCTTAATGATGTCCTTGAATTCATCAGACTTCTTTTGTAAAGAGTCTCTCAAGGCAGTCAATTCGGGCAACAATGAGTTGTTGATTTCAGTTACAGCAGCAATGTGCATAACAGTTGGGAAGGTATCATTGGATGATTGAGACATGTTAACGTGATCATTAGGGTGAACAGGTTTCTTGGAACCCAATTTTCCACCCAAAATCTCAATGGCTCTGTTGGAGATGACTTCATTGGCGTTCATGTTGGATTGAGTACCAGAACCGGTCTGGAAAACAACCAATGGGAAATGGTCATCCAATTTACCTTCCGACACTTCAGTAGCAGCTGCTTGAATGGCACCAGCCAACTTGGGGTCCAAGGTTCCCAATTCCTCATTGACCAATGAGGTGGACTTCTTCAATACACCAAAGGCATGCACAATGGGTGCGGGCATGCGAGCAGCAGGTCCACCAATCTTAAAGTTCATTTTAGAACGGGCAGTTTGGGCACCATAGTACTTGTCGTTGGGGACTTCAATTTCACCAAATGCATCGGTTTCTATTCTGGTACCACTGAGGGCACGTGTGGAGGCAGACATGGCTCTAATGCTGATGCCGGTCTTGAGGTTTCTAACTCCGGCTTGTAACATAGTTTTTTGGATTGGGATGATTGATGGTGGAAATTTTTCAGGTCCGATTTGGAGGGAACCCTCCTGCTTATAAAGGCGCGGGTGACTACGGACTCCTCCACACAATGTGATTGGCCGGGTTCCGGGGTCGGACCAAGGTAGGACTGAACCCGAACAAACTTTTTGATTTGCGCTAAGTGTGGGAGAGAGACTGTATGAGATACGATGCTACAATTGATCCTTTACAACTGATTACTTTTTGATTAAGTGAATCAACTATAATGCCGTGACTATGTTGTGATTACGTAAATGATTACATAATCATGGTAACCTCGGAGTTGCAAAGTATGGGGTAACATGGTAGCACAGTATAATGCTTTTATTACTATATACATGGCTAATGATTTAGCCTAACCGATGCGTTAAATTGTTTCAACTTGTCTTGTGTGGGCCATGGCCAGCTGCTTACGTCTTCAATGGTAAGCGGTTCCTTGTGGTTGTCTATGTTTTCAAAGTCCTTCTGACTATCGTGTCTTACTTTATCCATATGGAAAATGTATAAGGAAGCGTATTCGGAAGGCAATGAATGAAGTAGCCAAAGAAGAGTTGTTTCATTGGGAGTAAATTTAAGTGAAGTCCACCATTCAATAATGTTGGCTAATTCTGGAGTATATTCAAACTTACCAAGTAATTGAATGTACGACTGCCAAAGCTTATCGGTTGGAAAAACTTTTGTTTCATCATTGGATCCGATTTCCATCTCCTGGTACCGTTGGGTCATGACATTACTTTTAAAGACATTCACTGCCATTTGTGCTGGGTACATACCCTTACCCCAAGTAGTATCTGATTGAGAAACATTCATGGCACTTGTAAGTAAAGCTAGCAAACACAGTTCATCAGGCATACGGTTCTGGGATACTAATAAGTCTTCATATCTTGTATAAAAGGCATTGGGATCCACTTTAGCTTCACCTTGAAGGGCTACTCCAACAAATGAAGTGGAATAATATTGGAAACAATTGTTGTAAATGTATCGGGCGTAGTCCACATGAGTGTGTAATGGCTTATGATCACTAGGAAGATAGCATTTGGTCAAGTACCGGACTTGGTGAGAATTCCTGATGATTTCGTGGGGAGTTCGGTATAAGATTTGAACATATTTCCGAAGTATAACGTTCTTAAAATGGGGATGCAAGTTATACTTGTAAAACATTCTGATCATAAATTCTAGATCAGATACAGTGTCTATAGTTCTCAACAACAAACCCAAAATCTCTTTGGTTAAAAGTATGGTTGAGGATTTCTTTAATAATTCCACTAGTAAACTCTTAGATCGAGTGTTGTTCAACATTCCAAATTCAAAGAGCTTTCTAATGAAGGAATACCAAACGTCAGACGATTTCACATCACCAAACGAATTGAAACCATTCACAAGTTCTTCAGGGGTTTTGGAAATCGCGAGACTGACTATTTGATAGTGTTTCAACTCATTAACTTTGATTCCTGGATTAGTGACTTGTAAACGGATGGTTGCCGATTCAAGTAATTGTTGAGCTTTGGTGATGGCCACATCTTTTAGTCCCAAGACAATCCCAAGGTTACCCTTGAAAGAAAGATGGGCAACTACCAGATTATCAGTAGTGTCAGATATAGCCCGCACTAGCACTTGTTGAGCCTTTAATATTGATGAGATGGACGTCCAAGTCGTCTTGAATGCATGTGAGGCTGTTAGCCATAAAAGAGTATTGATATAATCATTATCAATAAACGTAAAGACATACCCTGTTTTTGGTGACTTGAAATAGTTTAACGAATGAGAAAGCAAGACGGGCAACTTGTGGCAATCGAATGCAATGCAGTTCTTGATGATATCCTCAAATATCTGCTTAATATATCTTGGTTTTCCATAGTAATAACTGGACACAACATGAATGTATTCCATCCAGAGGTCTACTTGGTAGTATAAATCTTCCTTATTAAGTGGAGTTCTCAGTAAAACATCACCAATAATGAACCCAGGGATACTTGTTAGCCCAGTTAAACACCCACATGCTTGTATGACGCCATCAGAATAGACACAATTGATCCAGGGGATCAAACTGTTATCCACAGTGTAATTAGAGTCGAACGTTTGAAATGATACGGTATAGAATAATTGGACCAAGTCTTCGAGTGTGTCTCTATCTCTTGCGGTACAAGTAAGGATCCCATAGTACTCCATGAGTAAGTTTGTTTCCGTCGCAAAGGAGGTATTCCATTTGGACTCCATATCAGATGATAACGGAGTTGAACTAATTTTCACAAACTGACTCAGTGCTTCATGTTGACTGTTGATATGGTTTGGGTCATTCCCACCATGTTTCAATCGTCTAAGTGTCATCAATATATAATACACTATGGACTCCAAAATATTCTCCCTCTTGGGTCGAGCATACTGGATCATCGTTGTAGAAGCCAATGAGTTAGCAGTAGTGGAAGCAGGAGTCTCCAAGTGCACTTGGATGAAATGACTCCGGATAGAAGCGTCCAATCGGATGGTTTTCTTTCCATATCGTCGTATATCTCTTTCAATGGTGTTGTATGCTTGTCTATGTTGTTTATCCAAGAGTCTCGTAGTGAACCCTTGGAATGGTATGGAGGTTGTCTTGAGTCGGATGGGTAGAACTCGGTTAGGTCGTATGGGTATGAATCGAATTGATTGTATGACCCGGACATTAATGCTCGGTAGTGTTAATCGTATCATATTCGACTTCGTATAGTCATAGTTAATACGGTTGGGAAGACTTAGTTCAGTTAGTATGGTGATGTTAGTTGTGTGATGACTTTGAGTCTTACACAGAAAAATATAAACACTAACTACTATTAGTCCCTAACACCACAGCTCTCTATGGACATTCCCAATGACTGGGGCTGACCGTCAGTACACTCGACTACTAAGAGAGAAGATACTTGAGACTCCTACCCAAGACCAGCCTCCCCGAACGCGTATCAAGCGTAGACGTGTGAATGATGCGACGACTGAACAATCACAGCCACAACCATCAACACCCCCAAGAGTATCGCCATCTTCTTTTGCACCATCACCTCCTCACATCGACAGTTCAGACGATTCAGACGAGTTTGAAGATGTTGCATTGGATAATGACACTGATAGCGTGACCTACTCCTTGCCTGAGTTGCCACAACAAGCAGCCCCCGACCCGCGAACAGAAGTGCTTACCTTCTCATTGGCTTCAGACCAAGACCAAGACTCTACTACCAGCAATAGATGTAAGAAAGTCAAACAACGGTTCCCTCCCATATCAAAGGAAGAACGCCAGGAACGCAAGTTGATCCACCAAACGTATTTGGTGGCCATGATTCTTCATGGCCATGTTCGGAACAAATGGTGCAACAATAAGCCATTGCAACTGGAACTACGTAAGAGAATCCCCAGATCCATTTTGAATCTGCTATATCCAGAAACAGGGTCACAATTGGCCGACAAAGCCGTCAAAGATGTGGTATATTCCCGTCGATTCCTTGATGGTGTACGCGATCTCATGCTTTTCTACAAGAAACGGTTTAAAGTATCTTCAAAGGGCATAATATACAAGAATTGGCATGAATTGAGCTTACGACAGCGATACACGTTGAAGAATGTTGATTTCCCCAAGTTTAGTGGTCTTGTAGAGCGAATGAAGGGCTCACGAGATATAGGAGCCCAAGGGTTTCTATGTTTGGCAAGAGCTTTGGGCTTAACTGCTAGGTTGGTGTATTCCATCCAGGCCCCCGATGTTACTCTGATAGTGTCCAAGGAAAGTTTGAAAGCTTCAGACGACAAGACAACAGCTTCAGTTATACCGGAACAGGCACCGGTACCGGCACAACCAAAATCTATGGCATACTTCAACCGGAAAGATAAAATACTTGAAGAAATTGGCCGCAATTCCCAAGGTGGGTATCATCCTCCAAATTCAGTTTTATTTGAGGACTCCTCATATCCTATATTTTGGGTTGAAATATGGAACAAATACACTAAGAAATGGTTAAGTGTGGATCCAATAGTGTTAAATATTGTTGAGGTTAGTCCCATGAGAAGACGATCAAAGTTTGAAGTCCCTCTAAAGGAGACAAGAAACCATTTAACTTATGCTATTGCTTATGATAACGAAGGAGGGATCATGGACGTCACCAGAAGGTATTGTCAGTATTTCAATGCAAAAAATGTCAAGAAAAGAATTGAATTTAAATCTGAAGAGGATGCTGAATGGTATAAACATATTATAAAATCACTCAACTCCCTGAAACGACAAGATAAGCTTTCAGATCTTGATATACTTGAACTAAAGGAGTTTAGAGAACGAGATTTGGCTGAGGGAATGCCACCAAATGTTGCAGACTTCAAGAACCATCCAATTTATGCATTAGAACCTCAATTGCGTCAGAATGAAGTTATTTATCCCAAGGATTCCACTAGTAGTTGTGGGAAATATCGAATTCGTACTAAAGAAAGTGGTAGAAATGTCGAGAAAGTTCTTACTGTGTACAAAAGATCCCATGTATACGATTTGAAATCAGCTAAAGCATGGTATTTGAGAGGAAGAGTATTAAAAATAGGTGTTCAACCTTTAAAGATAAAACAGAAGCCTGCAAACAAACTACATGAAGACTTAGGCGGTGATGATGATGACGGTGTCACGAGATTATACGCCCATTTTCAAACTCAGCTCTTCATTCCTCCGGCAGTCGTGAATGGGAAAATACCTAGAAATGCCTATGGAAACATCGATGTTTATACTCCTTCAATGGTGCCAGAGAACGGGTATCTAGTCAGAGCGGATGATACTGGATACACCGTTAAACAGATGGTGGAAGCAGCCAGGATTCTAGAGATTGACTATGCTAAAGCTGTTGTTAATTTTGATTTCAAGAATCGAAAGAGTAACAAGATGCCAACCATTAAGGAAGGCGGTATTGTAATTGATGTTCAGTTTAAGGAGGGTATATTGGCCGTTTTAGAGAATATCAAGGAACAAGATGACGAAGCCAAACGCAAATTGATAGAGGATATTGCTCTTAAGAATTGGAAGTTTTTTTTAACCAAACTCCGTATCCAGTCTCGGTTAGATAGAGAACATGGCCGCATAAATGAGGATGAGAGAATAACCCCCGATATTAGTGGTAAAGAGGAAGAGGAGGAACAAGAAGAAGAATTTGAGAATGAAGGGGGTTTCATGATGGAGGACAATCAACTGGATGCTTATAGCGTCCACAGTGAGAATTCTGAAAGTGATGAAGAATGGAAGAATGAAGAAACTACAGTAGTAAAAAAGAGATATAATACTAGAAACAATCGACAACGATATGTGGAGGATAATAGCGATGACGATGATTCAGATTATTACGATAGAATGGCAGAAATTATACCACAAATGGGTCACAATTCAGGAAGTGGTTTACAAGTTAATATAAACTCGGTTGATACCCCCGGAAAAGTTACAGATTTATCCGATTCTGAGTTTGGTGACAACGAGGGGGGCTTTTTAATAGAATCAGAAGAAGAGAAAGAAGAAGAACTACAGTTAGTCCAGAGCAGCAACACCCCGAACAATATCAAAGAGTCAAGCAATAGAATCCCATTGGATAGCACAGTGTCAAGTGATCCACCAATCATGGTCGACAATGAGAATGAGAGTCCATCCAATGACTCACCATCACCAGAACCAAAGCGCAACAATAAAGTATACACGGAGTCAGAGCGCAATTTGAATTCAAAAGTTTCACAAGAGCCCCACACATCTTTGTATCCTGTCACTGATCCGGTTGAAGTCATTGACTTGGATCTGGATGAAGGGAACGGAGGTAGTGAAGGTAGTATTGAGCCGGGTACGACCGATGGAGCTGATGAGATAATCCAAGTAGACTCGAGCCCTGAAGTGATTTCATTGGACGAAGAGGAAGAACTCACGTTACAGAATGAAGAGCAAATTTATGACTTTGAGTACAGTGAGTCAGAGTAAATTCTGCAGTTACTCTGACCCAAAGTGCGGCTATTATGACCTAAAATGAAGGGAGTCATTATACGTATTCGCATAGTTATACCCGTTTAGGCTATCTCATAGTGCACATTTTGTGTACCAAACCTTGGCAAAATCCTATTGAATTCCAAGGTGATGCCAATTTGCGTACTGTTAGCAGACATTATATATAAAGGCGTGAAAGGAACACAGTGTAAGTTATTTTGAATGGCTCGGGAAGGCTGACATGGGAAATGATATAGCGGAGAATGTTTTGGGAACTGCAGGTACTATCTGTTGGTGTATTCAACTCATCCCTCAAGTTATACGGAATTATATGGTTAAACAATGTGAAGGGCTTCCACCAATGATGATGTTTCTATGGGCCGCCAGTGGGATCCCCTTTTCCATATACTTTATAGGAACCGATGGGTCCATACCATTAAGGATCCAACCTCAACTTTTCACCTTCTTCTGTCTATGTACTTGGTGTCAATGTCTTTATTATCCACCGGTGCAATGGCCTATTAAGAAGGTTATTGTATATGTATCAGCATTTGTGCTTATCGGAGGTGGTTTGGAAGTTGGGCTTATATTGTGGCTCAGACCACTTTATCGTGATGGAAAGGAATGGCCAATGTTGATAGTGGGGATTATTGCATCTATATTACTTGGGATTGGACTTATACCTCCGTATTTCGAATTATGGAAAAGAAAGGGACGAGTTGTGGGGATCAATTTTGTTTTTTTATCTACAGATAGTTTGGGTGCCATACTTTCAATGTTATCGATTGTTGTGGGTACAATGGACGTGATGAGTGTGATCTTGTATGCTATAGTGATTTTCTTGGAAGTGGGTATATTTGCTAGTCAAATCATTTGGTATGTTACTGGTGGAAGAACTATTATAAGACAAGAGAAGGCGCAAGAGAAAGCTGCTAAAAGGGCACTAGAAGAACAGGAACAAGATGAGCAAGATGACGAACAAGAAGATGATGTTGAAAAGACTCAACAGGTTAGTGTACAAACAACGGGAATTAATTAGTGTAAATAGATGTAATGTATTTAGTAGACGTCAAACTGTACTGTGCTCTGTAATTGACTCAGTCCCTTGATCTTGACTCCGGCCTCTGACCTTGTCCCGTGTTCGACTCCAGTGAGTCGCGCTAACAAAATAAGTTCTTAGTTAATATCGTTATGTAAACATCACTACGACGTCACCACGTATGTCGTCGTTCGTGCCAATCAACTTGGCCGAAGACTCTGCCTCCTCAAAGAAGGAGCTAGAAGAAGAGCACACTCGAGAAATCCAAGTGGAACAAGCCTTCTCTACCTTCCAAAGAGCATTAGCGTACCAGAAACAAGGCTCACTACTAAAGGCAAATAAACTCTACGAAGAACTATTCACCCTAACGGTCATAGGCAATCATTACTTTGAAGAGGAGGCGTATCTCAAGGGCATTCAAAATGGATCCATGAACCATTCAGTTGATAGTTTGAATTACGTGTCTCAGAACGTCAAGTTGTTGCGGTACTTGATCTTCCGGAACCGGGGCTTTCTTCATTTGGATCTTCTTCTGAAGGGCCCAGACCTCGTGGGTCAGCTCATTGGCGACGACGAGAAGGACACCAAAGTGTGTGATAAGCTGAAAGAATTGTTTTACACGATGGTTGAGGATCTAACTGCTGCTATCATTTACCAAGAGGGCGATGAAGAGGTCATTGAATTGCTATACCAGGTGTTTGTTTATTTGGGGTTGATTCGATTGGTCAGATTCACTTTAGAGTATCGGTTGAGTGGAACTGAAGAAAGCGATGATGTACTTGGGTTTCTACCTGTTGATTCTCGTTCTTTACAGAGATACAACAATGTACTCAAACAGTTGCATGTCAGTCATAGTAGACAAAGTCATAGTCACAGTGTTACTGATTTCGAGACAGAGCGCCAGATGATAAATACCAAGTTTGCGTTTCTAGATGACATTAGAGACGAGTTCAAGGTCCAACAGCACAACACCTACAAGAAACAAGCCATTAAAGTTCAATTGCCGAGTTCTACATCGATTTCCTGGTTACAAGTAGTTGAGGCCATTGACCACAAGGCTAAGAGTTGTCAAGATAAGAAGAAAATAGCGGATATTGTTAAGATAAAGTTGAAATATGTTGATCCTTATTTGTTCTCTGAGACTCCACAAGAAGTAGTTGAGATAGAAGTACCAGAAGTTCCAGAAACTACTCATGAACAGCAGCAGGAGAAGACGGAGAAGACTCCTCCACCAGAAACAGCAGCAGTAGAACTATCAAAGGGAAAAGATGACGATATCATTGAGCAGACACCGGAGTTACCTGCCACCAAAGAGCCACTGGTTGATCAAGAAGCCAAATTCACACATAGATCCTCTAAAAGATTGGCCAAGAATGACTCAATGGGCATAGAACAAATAGATTACGTCATTAGTGGTAAAGATTTCATTGAATCTGAACTGTTTTTCCAAACATTCAATCAATTCCTAAAGCAAATAGATCTGCTGGACAAACATATGCAAATCTCCAACATTGTTGATTACTATTTCAGTGATGAAGATGATTCAAATGGAACAACAACTCCGCAATATATATCTGACTTCTTGACGATTATTGATGATTGGACGTCATCATTTTCCCACTGCATACTTGAAAATCTGTCTGTTTCCAATGGTCAAGACGGAACAACGGAGAATAAAAAACTTCTAGAAATATTGGCAAATTATGGTAATAAAGTCCTCATTAAAGATGTTCCAAAAGACCAAAAATTAGATCATGTTGCAACGTATGATTCCATACTCGACTCACTCAAAGCTCAGCCCTATAGAAACTTAACTGATCTCAAGATAGGTTTGCTATTGAAGTTCTTCCAACCCCAAAATTTAAATGGAAACAAAGTGTGTCTTATATCCGATTTCCAATTCAATCCCAAGCTTATGGATATTGTTAATGAGTGGACTTTACAACTTGAACCGTATGTTTTTGAAGATTTGAATCGGAAACTTGAAGCTGGAACTGGAACCGGTATCGGTACCGATATCGGAGTCAACGAGTTAGATCTCACCACTGCAGTAAGTTTCTATGAAGTTTTGACTGATATATATTACACTCTAAGAAATAAGATCACCGACAGAAAAGGTACCACTACTACCAAAGGAGCAAAAGGTCATATGCAGATATTGGCAATGCAAGCTATCAAATTGAAGTCAAGATTACAGGCTTGGTTCAAACTCATTGATAATAATATCGCTTCATTAGCACAACCTTTCACGTCTGAATTGCTTAAACAAAAGGGTCGGTTTTTATGGGCCAACATCTGTCTTGAAAAGCTTGATACAAATAACTGGAAGAGCACTAACTATCTTGTCAAATTATTGTCTGATATTCTTTGCTTCATTCAGGACAAATCGCAATGGTTGCAATTGTCCAACTATAACTATGGCAATATCCCAACACTTAACCTTGAAAACGTTAACTCCATGATCTCCACTGTATCTGTGTTAAGTGTCTTTGCAAAGATAGTCTACGCCGATAGCGGGAATACTGAGTCCATATCTGTGCTTGAAAGTATGTTGATGGACGGAGAATTATCTGAGAGACAATCATTGAAAGACTTTTTAGAAACATCTTCAATTGACCTTAAGTTGAATCTATGGAGTATTTTATTTGATCATTATGAAAGAGATAATGAGCTTATCAAGCTCCAAAGTGGGTATGAAAGTTATGTTCGGTTTCTATTTGATTATATTCAAAGCCAACAATACCAAGACCTTCCTATTAAGAACCGACAATTGACCTTATTAACGATTTGCAATTCATTCTCTGAATCCACCTCCAAGTTTTTAGAGTCCCTTGAAGCGGTAAAGCTTTGTCTTCCCTTGAACAAAGAGGCTCATGTAGGGACTTTCCTGATTCTACTTCGATTCTTTGAATTATTCTATTTATTCAGTTTACATGAAGAAGCAGCAATCTTAACACCGAGGAAGAACTCGGTTCTTTCTGTATCCAAACGTTCTTATGCAAGACTCAAGGCTTTTTGCATTCAACTGGTTTCAATCATTATGATTTACTATAAGAACTCCAACGAAGCCAAAGTCTGTGAGTTTATGAGAGTGGTTCATGATCAGTTGGGAGCCAGAAGATTATGTGATAGTGACCACGGCCGATTCTTAAAGTACATTCAACAAATTTTAACTTCCATTTCAAGTACTACAATCCCGGAACAGGATCTCATTCAAATATTACACTGCAGATACCATTACAATATCACATGTGACACTTTCACGCCTGAAAACCACGAGACAACTGAAGTTGAAGAGCTAGATTCTCCATTGGCAGCAGAGGGGATCTGCGATTTTATACTCCCAGTTTTTTTCAAGGAGAATCCACTTATTAAACCACCAAAACAAGATCTGAAACAATTAATTGAAGATTTATATTCGATTTTGGGAGGTCCTGATTTTGAAAGCAACGAGATACTTAAACGGAATAAGGCAGTGTTAAATTACTTTTTAGATTCCGAACGGCTATCTCCGAGATTCTTTAGAGAAACTTACTATGGATTATTCACCTTGGAATTTGAGCCTGTCAAGTCCAAAAATTTATTGGTGATGAGTGGGTTATACTATTTACAAGCTCTACTGATTTTTTCCTCATACAAACTAAGAAAGAAGAGCATGCAAACAAGAGCAGTGGAATTGGAAAGCATAGTATTGCTATTGGAAACTGATTTGATCTACAATTCCAATAGACTTGAAAGTTGGCTTATTCTTGGGCAAGTGTACGGGTTTTTAGTTGAAGACGACTTGATTTGGACCTCCGATAAATTGACATACCCTGAAAGGAAAGTGGGCACTGCCAACTTACAACGAAGGTCCATTATCTGTTATTTAATGGCTATTAATGCTTCAGTCGGTATACCAAAGAATAAAAAGAATTATTATAAGAAGGTAATTGGAATGTTATTGGCCAGTTTTGCTAAGGAGCTCTACAGTGCATGCATGGAACCAATGAACGGCCATGCCTTTGAAGTATTAGCAAACCCCAAATTTGTTATGAATAATGGAGCTTCATCATCTTCATCGTTTGTTACCACGTCTAAAAATATGGTATCTCTTAAGACATGCTTGAAGTTGATGAAACGATCACTTCAAATGTCAGTAGTCATTAATGATGAAGATTGGACTGTCTTCTATTACTATGCTAAGGTATTGCAAAAAATGAAACATGACCCGAAACAAGTTCTTGATATTTTGATTAAAGCTGGTGTACTTGCAAAGGAACAGTCTACTTCTACAGACCGTATTATTGAGCCACATTATTTATTATGTGCTTACAGTTACAAGTATGTCAAGTCTGACTCCATGAATATTCAAGATGCTTTGCAGTACTTGAAACAGTCTCCTATAGTTGAACTAGAACACACTAAGCTTGATCTTGATGTTGCTGCTGCCACTATGACCAAGCCAGAGTTTTATAAGGTGATCATCGAGTGTTTAAATAAAGTTGACAATTACGACAAGAAGAAATGGCACCACAAGGCCAGATATAGATTGGCGTATATTCATTACCATGAGTTTGGTAATGTGGAAGCGGCCATGAAAGAAATGGGCCTCTTTGTTTCCGTCAAAGCCAGTAACAAGACGTTAGTGCTGATATGGAAGCCTGAAAATGAACGTCCGGGTAAGCATTTCTGTTATACATTTGAATATGCTATGTTCTATATTGATTTGTTGGTGAAGGAAAGGAACTTGAATGGTTTAATACAAATGCTCCCCAAACTAAGAAGATCGAATTCCACAATGATCAAGTTGTATAATGCTTGGGAAAGATTATGTGTTGCAGTTTGTGGATTAATACGAAGCCTGCTTCATATGAATGAGGCTTTCACTGAAGTGTTTTTGGTTCGTCTTTCGTACAAGAAGTTCATTGTTAATTCCAAGCAACTAATTGAGTCGTTGAAGGCTGATGGGTTGCCCAAGGAACTCAGCGCACATATCTGTCTTATGAATGCAGTCAATGACATGAAGAAGTTCAACAATGGGTTTGGTCCAACTGCTTTAATCGACGACACCGTTGTGGGAATTTATATTTGTTTCTATAATTATTTCCTTCTGGCCGGTAAGTTAGTTGATGATTCCACTGCGGTTTCTGAATCCACAAGTCACAGACCAAAGAAGATGGCCAAGAGAGATGTTTTCCCTTTAACCATTGAAATGTTGAAGATGTTGAAGAGAGATGTAGATCAGATACTTAAAGACTCTCCTAATATTTTTAATGAGTTTGTTGAATTGAACTTGGGGCCATTGAATGAAATGAAGGACGACATTAAGACAGTGGAAGAGAAAGAGGTCATGAATAGTGCAATGGAAGAGAAGGAGGGCACCAACAGTATAATGGAAGTGGAGGTCGACATTAACAACTTGAGCGGAGCGAAAGACAACATTAAGCAAGGACTGGAAGAGAAGGACGTCGTTGAGATTCCTGCGGAGGTTAACAAAGATTATACACTGGAATCAAAGGGCGACATGATATTAAAATCAAAGGACGTCATGAAAGTGAACAAAGACGATATTGAGTTCATGAATGTGGAGGCCAACGACGTGGAGGCCAACGACGTGGAAATGAACAACCATGTGGAAGACAACCACATTGAAGTCAATGAAATGGAAGACAACCACATTGAAGTCAATGAAATGGAAGTCCACAATGACTCTACCGAACCCAAAGACTCAGAAGTTGCGACTCAATCACAAGACGCAGCAGAAGCAATACATGGTACTGAGGTTTCACATGGACCAGAAGAGGAAGCGATTGTGACTTCACCTGTAAACGATAATGAAACTGTTCTAGAAATAGAAGATGTGAAAGCTGATGTAACAGAGATCGCTACCGAAGATGCAGAAGCAGGAGATAACGTGATAGTATTAACTACAGCAGATGAAGACAAAGTTGCGAAAGCACAAGTTGATGATGGAGAACCTGAACCTGAGGAACCGGAGACAAAAGATACCATTGACCATCAGAATTCAGTTACACCTATTGGTTCACCAATTGCTATTGAAGTCAGCGATGAGTTCTCGACCCCTATGGCTGAAATTGACATGACTGCAACTGAGCAAATTAATGGTGCCACAAGAGGATTATTGAAGAAACTAAACTATACCAAAGATGATGATGACGAAGGCAAATCGATTGAAGTTAATTCGGAAGATGGTAATTCCCAAAGTATGTCTGTTTACTCAATCAGCTCTGATTCTTCCTCACCAGCATTACCAAATGTTGATATCGTTGAAGAGGCACAAGAAGTAGTGCCTGATGAACAACCAGAACTTAATCAAAGTGAGCCTATTCCAACTGATGCAGATACATTAGGTCAAGAGCCCAAAGAGCAACCTTTGGTAGCTGAGGAACAACCTTTGGTGGCTGAAGAACAACCTTTGATAGCTGATGAAAAACTACAACAAAACTCGGACATTGTATCTGATACCGAAGTTACTGTTGATAATGGACTGATTGTTGGTGATGAGGGCGTCGTTGAAGGTAAGACTGAAGAGTCCAATAAACCTTTTCAGAAGTCACTGGTCAAAGTGACCAAGAAAAGGCAAGTTGAGGAGCTGCCAGTTGTTCTCCGACGTTCCAAACGACAAAGAACCAAACGGGTCGAATAAATCACTGGTTTAACGAACAGCTGGTTTAATGCTTTAATACGCCCAAAGTCTTTTGCAATAAGCTTGAAGTTGCAAAGATTTGTTCATGGGTCTTTAACTGTTGACTTATAGAAGTTGGTGAATGTTTGATACTACTAAATTGAACCACTTGATCGTCAACATTAATTGAATAAGACAATAAGCTTTTCACAGAAACTACCGACTCCAAAGACAATTCAAACTTCTTTTCCAATTGGACTCTGGGTATGCTATTTATACCTACTCCATCAACCATATATTTGAGGGAAAGAAGAGCCAATAATCGTGAGACTTTATTAACTAACTGAACATAGCGAAACTTACCATGTTCTGATTGTTCCAATAACAAAAAGGAATGCTTGAAATTGGTATTCAGCTTAGAATCACTGTTATAGGACGTTATAATCTTGTTAAAGTCCAAGTTATCTGCATTTAGATCTCGCAACAAGTTCAATACCAAGTTGGCCTTCTCCAAATACGATCCATGATGGATTATTGAAGTTAAACAAGCATTGGAACAAAATGAGCTTGAAGTTGATGCAGTACCACCACCACCACCACCACCTGCTGCTGTAGCAGGAGAGAATGAGTCATGAGAAATGGCTTCAATCTGGGTAGTTCTACCACCCATAAGAGACTCTTGATGTTGATGTTGCATCTGGAATAGTGAAGATATACTAGAACTTCGACTATTGGGGAGCGACTGTTGTCTTATGTCACTGCTAAGAGAGAACTTCAATGACTTTGCAAGAAACTTCAACTCTTGTTTATAAGTTATTGATGGAGTCATCAACTGTTCTATTCGGGTAAGTCCGATCAAATAATTCAAGATGAACAATAGGGAAACTTCTTCTCTTTCAAGCAAAGAAATTGATGTTGCTGATGAAGATTTCATTACAGACGTTGATTTCTGGAGCATATCGATCTCTGGACCTTGAAATAGACTTAGGTTTAAGTTTGGTATGGTCACAAGAATATCCAAGTATTCCTGAGCTCTTTTGGTATATGAATCATTGATGTCGTTATCTTTGTCGTCTTCACATGCCAAGTCTATAAGACAGAAGCTTGAATAACGATAAAAGTCGATTATCATGGGTATTACGATTGTGGATTGAGACAAGATAGACAATGGAGTTTTTGGGTTTATGCTTGAGTCAAACACTCTTTTCATGTATTGAGTCATACCCTTTGAATATAAGGTCTTTAGGAGTGTTGATACAAAGATGAATAGTTTAGTGCCTAACGATCCATCTGATGGTGATGATGATGATGATGACTTTAGTTCTGATCCTGGTTGATTGAAAGCATCGAAAATGCTCATCCCAATGTCAATGAGTGAAGCATATAATCTAGAACAGTTGGTGGTAGACTCCGTTTCCGCCTGGCTGGTGGCCCTCAACGTTGATAGCAACAAATCAACAGTTAGTTCAGCAATGATAGAGGGAGGTTTTAGGGTACCGTCCAAAGCATAACTCAAGTCATACTCCTCCAACATTTGAGTGATCATCTTAATGAACGTATGGTGATGTCGTTGCAAGACGGCCATAACTTCCTCCAGCTTCTTTCTGGAATCGTCGCCTCCTCCTCCCTCGGGAAAGAGCTGTTGGAACCGGAGATAGAAGCGGTTCAACTGTTCCGCAAACTCTTTGAAGAAGAGCACATTCAAATAGTAATGATTGGCTAATCCTGTTGATGACGTGGTAGCTTGGATGTAATAGATAAGCTCCTGAAGGTTATCGATTCCAAATACATAATTATGTGCTTTCAACTTTATATCTTTTAGTTGACATTCTTGTAGTTGTTTCTGGAGCTCTTTGTTGAGTTGGTTTATCAATTGAGTAGGGTTTCGTGTATCTTGAAGCCGTGACATAGTGGGATACAGAATCACTGATGGGTCGTACAGTATTCCTGTTGTAAACTGAGTTTACCATATATATATTCATCACGTGATATTTCTATTTCACGTGACTTGTATCACGTGTGTGGTCTTATAAGGTCTTCCAAACTATTGAAGTCACACACCCAATTCCGGTTCTTCTTTAACATATGTCTGGTTCGTCTAGGGCCTTAGTCAAAGCGCTTAACAATGTCTTTGAAGATCCCTCGTCGTTACCCGAGGTCAATGGTATTATAGACCAGTACTTGAACAAGCACAATACCCTCAAAAGCATCCATCAATCAACCTTCATCTTGCACCACGAGTTTCAAAGAATCTACAACCATTATGTCGACCCCAAGAAGAACGACAGCGCCACAGAGTGTATGTTCCTTACGCTCCTAACTCCGTGCATAGGCGTGTTTGATCTACCACAGGTGGACTTCTGGCTCCAATGTTATCTCCGACCGGCCATAGACAGTGCGGGCTACGATAACCGTTTGGTGGAAGGGTGCCGAGAGTTGATTAAGGCGTTGATCAAAAGCGATGATGGTACGAGTCAGAATGACACGAGTCAGAATGACGAGTCAGAATTGCTAGCTCAAAGGGCTCAGATTGCTCTGTTTGTGGTGTCTAAGATCATCGATGTCTATTTGGGGGATTACACCTTCATGTCGTTGGAGTTTTCCGACTTGGAATTGAATACCCAACCTCACTTCGAACGGATCCGGTTCATGAGAAAGAACTGTTGCATGTTGATCAATGATTATGCCGTTAGTCTGCCTCAAACATATTATGAAGTTATCAATACTTATTTTTTGAAGCCAGTTCACAGGTTACCCATATTGACCCTATTGGCAGGTTTTGTTTCATCATCTTCATCATCGTCTGTATCTGCTCCCGCTCCCGCTTCCGCTTCTGCTTCCTGTATAACATCGACTCCTTTATTCAAATCGTTGCTTGTGTCTTTGGCCATGGACGAAAGTGAGCATATCATTGTATGTGCCTTATCTGTGCTCTGTATGGTAGTACCCCAAATAGCCACTGCTTTGGGTGACTACCTCATTGATATGCTTTATATTTATATCAGAATGGTACTATGGATCCAACTGAAGGGTTTGGGTGACAGTTGTGACTATTGGGAGATAGCGGCAGCAGCCACTTCGGAACAAGGGACCACCGCATTAAATATTGACCCTCTGAACTTGGCTACGTTGCTCTATGGTCTCTTCCCATACAATTTTTGTTCCTTTGCTGTGAACCCAAAGAGCTATTTAAAAGGTAAGAAGCCAGCCCTATTGACATTGGCAGATTTGCCTTTCATGACAACGTTCTTTGATGAAAGTAGTGATCCTCATGAAACTCCGTGGGACGATACTCTTAGTCAAGAAACCAAAGTATTGTTGAAGAGCTTCTATTTTCATCCAAAGTTTTTTCAGTTGTCCTTTTTTGGTAACGATAATAAGTTGACGTTGACCAATGAACTCTCTGGGCCTACTGCTTGGATAGATCATCATCAACATGATGTTCATGACGAAGTTAGTTTGAAGACATTGGGCTTGAACCCCAACTACTTCCTTTGTATTCCAAATTATATTTCTGAACAGTCTTATGACACTAGAAGTTATCATTCTCGTCAATCGTCGTTGGTTACGGGGACAGCTGGAAATAATAGCAGCATCAATATGAAGCACCACTGGGGCGGACTTGGTGGTTTCAAAACCAATAATAATAGCATTCGAAATCGTTCAAGCCAGGCTTCTTTCACACTGTCAAACGATAGAGCCAACAGTGGAGCAGGGCTAGAGATCCGGTTCAAAGATGTCACCTTTGACACACCCAGATCCAATCATCTTGATGTTGATGATCACTTTGATGCCGAACCAATAGATGAATTATTGGCATCTCATGAGAAACTATATTCTACAAATAGAAGTCCTCCGCCAGAGGAGAACAGCTATTACAATTCACCTCCTTCTGGTAAGAGAGCTTCATCGTCCTTGTTGTTGCATGAAGGACGGTCTGTTTCCATTCCTACCACCTCTCTTGAGACCACTATGGTTCATAAGAGATCCATTGGGAATATGAACATACTAGCAGTTAGTGATGGCATAAGTACTGGTGCAGTATCAACATTGAGTAATGCTCTTACTGCTGCTTCTCTGGGAAGTCCCAATACTAATATCAGTGGGGTTGTGGACTTTTATCAAAGAGAATTACTTTTATTAAAGAACGAATTGGAATTTGCTAATTATATGACGCTCCTCAACAAGTACAACAACGTTAAGCTTACGCTACAGAATAATAAAGCCTTGCGAGATTTACTTCGACTCAACAATGGAGGATCAAGTTATAATGAAAGTGAAAGCTATCAAAAACTAAGTCTTGAAATTGAGAAGATCCAATCTGCCAACGAAATACAATTAAGAAAAATCACTGACCGGTTGGTTGAGCTCCAAAATGAAAACGATACCCTAAGAGTAACCAATGAGAAACTTTCTCAAGAGAATGGATACCTACTGAAGGATTTGGACTATTTCACCAATCAAGTAATCCCCAATAAGGACACTCAATTGACACAATATAAATTATACATTGAAAAGTTGAAACAGAAAGTAGAAGACCTTCAACTTCAACAGAAAAAGAAGGAACAAGTGGAGAGTGAGAAACAAGCTCCATCTATTCCAAGCCAAGACACACTGACGATGTTTGTATTTGATATTAAATCAAAAGTCATTCGACTAGAAGAAAAGAATATTGCTTTGGTCAAGGAACTTGGGAAGCTTCAAAATGCTCATGAAAATACAATTAAAAAATATGAGAGTAAACTTCAACACGATAAAGTTGATTTGGGAAAGAACATTAATGGTTATGTGAATCATTATGAGAAGAGAATAAAGGAATTGAATTCAATCATCATGAAATATGAATCAGTTATTGAAGAAAAGAATGCAAGAATATTACATCTAAGCACAAGTAAGCCTATATCCATTCCTGAAGCTGGAAATCAATATCAACTGCATTCAAAACATATTGAACCATGTTTTAACCCTGATTATACATTGGAGTCTCAAACTCCAGATACAAGAGATTCACAGTCATCATCTACTGATTCAATCCATTCACCTACCAGAGGTTATCCCAAGAGTCCTCCTCTTCAACCTCATATGCACCATTCTTCATCTACAATTCCTGTTCTGAAACAGTTCTCCGGTTCGTACACCATTCAGCCTACTGTTAGAGGCAGAGGAGGGTATCAGAAACGGTCCAAGAATAAGCTTATGTAATGAACCCCATAGTTTATTAGTGGTGCTGATGATTACTACGACGTTCTGATAATTACACCGAACTGTCATCTTATACTACCCCGGTGTGTCGCTACCATACGATCGTGACTTGAATGCATTTTGTGCGACGTTCTCTGGAATAATAACGACGTGTTATGAAAAATTGCTACCAAAGAATCTGAAAGAACTAACACATAGTTTTCTTCTTCTTCAATTGTAGCGAACAATGTCATCCCAATCGCTTAGAAAGCGGACGGGCAAACGGACTCAAGGATCCGTGGCAGCCTCGTCCAAGAACTCTGAGGTGGATCTTGATGAGAAGTTTCTCAATTCAACCATTGGAACTACAAAGGTTGCAAAGGACCCACAACAAAATTATTGGATAGCATTAGCTGTGGTTACATTATGTGCTATTTATACTCGGTTTGGGAAGATTGGAACACCAGATCAAGTTGTTTTTGATGAGGTACATTTCGGGAAGTTTGCCTCTTATTACTTGGAGAGAACTTACTACTTTGATTTACATCCTCCATTTGCTAAGATGTTGATTGCCCTTGCTGGGTACTTCTTGGGCTATGATGGTCATTTCAAGTTCACCAATATTGGTGATGACTATATCTCTAATAATGTTCCTTATATCGGACTTAGAGGATTGCTGGCTTTACAGGGTGTCATTACAGTACCCGTGATGTTTATGACTTTGAAAACCTTGGGATTCTCAGTAGGTGGTTGTTTCTTAGGAAGTATCTTTGTCTGTTTTGATAACGCTCATATTAGTGAGACAAGATTGATCCTTTTGGATGCCACCTTGATTCTTAGTGTGGCATTAACAATGTTCACCTACGCAAAGTTCTCCACTTACCGTAAACAACCATTCACCAAATGGTGGTGGACTTGGTTAAGTTTATGTGGGCTTGCCTTGTCTTGTACCATCTCTACAAAATACGTTGGTGTTCTTACTTATGTTTCCATTGGAATTGCGTGTGCCCATGAATTATGGCTCTTGTTGGATTACAAGAAAGGTTTAACTGTGGGTGAAATCTTTAAACATATTAACGCAAGATTATGGTGCTTGGTCATAGTTCCATTTTTTGTTTACTTGTTTTGGTTCTATTTACATTTTGCTATCTTGACTAAATCTGGTCCTGGTGATTCTTTTATGTCTGCTGAATTTCAAGAAACTTTAGCTGAATCACCTATGGTTAAATTAGCTAAAGACGTTCATTATGGTGATATTGTTACCATCAGACATAAACAAACTGATTCACTTTTACGTTCTCATGACGCAGTTTACCCATTGCGTTATGAAGATGGTAGAATCTCCTCCAATTCCCAACAAGTGACTGCCATTAAATTCACTGATGGTGCTTCCCAAGATGTTATGAATCAATGGATGGTTTTACGTGACGATCCTAGCAATTTTGCTACTGGACCCGTTCACACTAATGATGTTATTAGATTGCAACATGTTGGTACTGGAGGTATTTTATGGACTCATGATGTTGCATCACCTTTGAAGGCTACACATGAAGAATTTACCATTGCTCTTGGACCACTTATTGATGAAAAACATAAGGAAACCTTGTTTAGACTTCGTTATGCAGATTCTGTGAGTTCTAACAATAATAAAAACCCTAAGAAGCTTGTTAAGACTAAGGCAACTTCATTCAGAGTTCTTCATGTTGATACTGTTGTTGCTATGTGGACACATGACGATGAATTACTACCAGAATGGGGTTTTGGACATCAAGAAGTTTGTGGTAATAAGAAGATTCCAGATGGAGATAATGTTTGGACGTTTGATGAAATTGTTAATTTGGATCCTAAAGATCCAAGAGCAATTTATGTTCCTAAACCTGTTAAAACTATGCCATTTTTGAAGAAATGGTGGGAATTACAACTTTTGATGTTCAAACATAATAATATGTTATCTTCAGAACATCCATATGCTTCACAACCTGAATCTTGGCCATTGGCTCTTTCTGGTGTTTCCTTTTTCAATAATAATGAAGCAAAGAAACAAATCTTCTTTACCGGGAATATCATTGGGTTCTGGATTCAAGTTGCTCTTCTTTCAATCTTTGTTGGAATTGTGTTGGCTGATCAAATCTCCAGACGTCGGAATGTTTATGTCTTGACAGATCGTGCCAGATCTACATTATACAATACTTTGGGGTTCTTATTTATTGCTTATTGTGCCCATTACTTCCCCTTCTTTTTGATGAATAGACAAAAATTCTTACACCATTACTTACCAGCACATCTTATTGCTGGGTTATTTGGAGGAGCATTGGTGGATTTCATGTGCACAAACATCACGAATAAGTCTTTACCTCAAACTGTGAATAAGCCTAAGCTTTATATCATAGTTGGAGGAGCAACGTCAGCCATTGTGTGGTTCTTCTTCTACTTTTCTCCCCTTGTCTACGGTGATAAGTCGTTGTCTCCAGCACAAGTCCAAAGCAGACAGTGGTTAGATATTAAGTTACATTTTGCCAAATAAAGAAAGAAGAAGAAGACAGTGAATGGCTATATAGTTGTGTAGAAGATTGACTTCTTGTTCTTTTGACTCGGGGAAATGCAGTCAATGACACAAAATCAAGCTCAAATTTTAGAACAATCTCAAACTCAAAATCATAACAACTGCCTCTTGTTTTCTTTCAGCCTTGCGTAACCTCCGCTACTCACATGACCGCCGTACGCACCATCAAAAGCTTCCTTGTGGAGCTTAAGTCTGTCTTGCAATCAGAGGGCCATTCCTTCCCACTTAGATTTGTCACCGGCAACCAATCATGTGACATGGACTCTACTGTGTGTGCGTTGACGTATTCGTACATGAACTATCTTCACAGTGGTAAATGGATGATCCCGTTGCTTAACATCCCCCGAGCCGAGCTTAGGTTGAGAAAGGATATTTCCAAGCTTTTGCAGGCACATAAGATAACCAATGATTTGCTTTATTTTGTTGAAGATTTGGACCGCTTGGTGACACTGTCGTCACCAATGTCGTCGACGTATGAACTTGTTTTAGTTGATCATTGCAATGTTCAAGGAGACCAATGGGAGCAGTATTTAAAGGATGGCAAGGCTACAATTACTGCGATAGTTGACCACCATGAAGATGAGGGCATTGCCACAGAAGCTAACCCTAGAATAATCAAATCAACAGGTTCGTGTTCTTCTCTAGTGTTTAACTATTGGTATAACCAATTCCAAGATAAAGGCATCTTTCAAGATCAAACTGAATTGGTGGAATTGTTGTTAGCTCCTTTGCTTTTAGATACATCTAACATGAGTCAAAAGGTTGAAGAACCTGATGTTATTGCCTTGGGTGTTTATCGCCAAATTTTAGAGAAGGATCCATCAGCATTACAAATCACTAGTTTGTTTTCAGATATGCATCATAGTTCATTCAATGACTCCTTCCTTAAACAATACACTAAGAAATTGAAATCTTATAAGAAAAATTTGGATGGGTTTACCTTTTATGATATTTTAAGAAAGGATTATAAGAGTTTCACTTTTGTCAGTAATCTTAAACCAATTAAGGTTGGTTTCAGTTCTTTAAGCAGTGATTTTGAATATTGCTGCACTGTTCATAAGGACGATTTTGTTAGTGGAGCAAGTCAACTCTTATCTGCCAGTGGGTTGGATTTATTAGTAATGACTGCTTCATTCACTGATAAACAAACTAGAAAGTATTCGAGACAATTTAGTCTTTTCTATGCGAAAGATTCCGGTAACTTAGCATTATTTGAATCGATTCCAAAGTTGGTCAATCAAAGTCTTGATTTAAATAATGATGTTCCTAACATTGAGCTTTATACTGATTTCATTGACTCTATTGGTGAAACTACAAATTACACGTTCACATTATTTAATCAAGGTAATACCGCTGCATCAAGAAAGCAAGTTGTACCAGCAGTTAAGAAAGCTATTGAACAATAAAGAATATATTAAACTATTTAAATTATGTCGTCCGGCGACAAGTATGAGATTTGATATTCCCCATCTAAAGATTTAATTGGTGGAACAAAAGGTTTAATCCATTCATGAACCGTTGATAATAAATCTGCCAATATATTTGCATTGTTTTCAGCAAATGTCAATGTCTCAAGATTATCTCTACCAGATAATTCCATATTGTCAATTCTGAATCCCAATTTTAAGGCATTAGTCAAAGATTTCCCATTAATAATTACCAGTGAACCAACATTTATTAACCAAAGATGTAACCATTGATCATCATTTAGTTTTGTTTGAAACCATCTTGATGCAGTTATATTAAGACGATCCATTAAGACATCATATAAGTAAATGTTTTGTTTAAACTTTTCAATGGTACCATCGTTATAACTAAGGTTGATATGCCACTTCATTATTTTGAAGAATTGACCTTGTTTGTTGTATTCACCTAATTTAAAGGAGCATTTGGAGCAACAAACAGTTTCAGCTACTATGCTTAGTGGTAAAGTATGTTGTTGCTCACTGTTAATCAATAGGTAGTAAGTTCCAATAATTATAGACCCTAATTTTGGCTTTAAGATCCCGTTATAATTGTTCAAAGCACCGTCACTATTATCATGAGGCTTATGACAATGCCAAAACTCCATAAGTTCATGCCACCATTCAGAGGGCATATCCATGAATTTGAACTCCTTAGAATCAATTATAGAATTAGAGCATTGGCCACATACAAATCTGAACTCGTTTGTCCGGGTAACACCGTCCTGAGGAGTATGTAATTGTAGATACTTGCAACACCATTTTGATATCAATTGGTGCTCCACAAAGGAATTGATTGTGGGGGGAGAAGATCGCTGTTGATCACTCTTTACATCGATACTAACATTAATGATGTCAGAGCTTGGGGTAGCATTGACTTTGGTGATGACATAACTGTGGGTGAAGTCATCGCGGACTGCTGGAAGAGTATATTTAGTGATATCGTTTTGATCTCCTAGAAGACATAGACCATGATTGATGGAGATGCTTTTTATGGGAGTTTCCCTCTGGGCCGAGACAGTGATTGTATTAATACGCGGATGGTATTCAGCTATGTAAGACATGATGAAGAGTGTCCAGCTTAAATGTATCTAAGGGCCCACAGTGCAACAATTAAAGAGATTTTGATTTTTGTCACGTGCTTTTTGTCACATGTTTTTGGTCACGTGATTATGTGGATCTCAGTTTCATTAAAGGACGTAAGAGTGCAGACAACATCTACTTTGGCTACATAGTCTCTATTATGTGGTTGTTTTATCACTGAATGAATCTAGATTAAATCCTATACATTGTTAAACATCATATGCTGGATATGGAGCGGTATTAGCTCGAACAAATCTGACAGCAGTAGGATTAAGGATAGTAGGAGGCAGGGAGAACTTGTGTTTATTCCGTTGGAAGAAGTCTCGATTTATGGTAAACAATTTTGAAGGTCTAGAATTTGTTTCAGGATTCATTACACCACCCAGTTCTGGCATTGGGTGCAATAATTCATTATTCGACGGAATTGACCGCTGTGAATCTCCCAAAGAGGAAACAGGTGATGATATCCTTGAGCCTGGGTATATTTGTTTCACTCTAAAGCCCTGAGGAGGAGCGAATGGAATGTTCTTTGGGTCATTACAAGAAATAGATCTACCCCTTGTTTTCCATACCACCGGCTCACATTCTGGGTCTGAAAACGATCTCGTTTTGGGACGATTACGGCCGTACTGTTGCTGCTGGAGTTGATGATTCTGCTGACACTGCTGGTAACTTTTTTCTTTGACCTTTGGGGTTGTGGCCATTGAAGAAACCAAGCCTCCAATAAAGGCTATAGTCTCGTTGTACTGAGTGTGTAGATCTTGAGTGGTGTCCATATAACAAATCTCCCTTAACGAATAGTCGAGGAACGACGTGTTATATGGCATTCGAGAGACAAAACTGTGGATGGAGTTGATGATGTAGATGGGAAACACAGCAGAACATATACCGAGCAATGCTCTCAACAAGATGTTCTTCCTCGACAAGATGATCATCGAAACAGGGTCTATCCAGATTTGTTCTAGTTTAGTAAAAGAGAACGTGGGCGACCCAATGAGACTTGCACCAATTCTAGCAATGTAACACTTGTTGATGATTAAACATCCGTGGCCATAGAAGAGCCATAACTTAAACATGGTACTCATGATGGTCATAGTTGTACCCAATAGACCTCCGAGGTTTAGGATCAATTGTATGGCCAACACCGATTCGAAATAGGTGATACTGGCGAAACAGATCCAATAATGAAGTAAGAACCGGAAATGGTCGATCAATTGACCCAAGTTGATTTGACCGTTTTCTGTTTCCCGTTCAAAGTCCGTCATTTTGGAGAGCACTTTGCCTGTGAGCGTTAAGGGGAAAAGGAAGCATCCGGTAAACGTAACAAGGGATAGTATCATGGGAATAGATATGATAGTAGTAGCTGTAGCAGTAGTAGCTGTGGTGTATAAGTGTAGCAGTAGTAGCCGTGGTGTATAAGTGTAGTAGTAACAACAGTGGTGTATAAGTGTAGTACTAAAGTAGTATTACTAACAGTAGTGTTTCTAATGTAGGACAAATAAATATTTATTACTGTAGCTTGACGCAAATATTGGGGGTGTCTCGGACTACTTATAGTGAAACAATAAGGGACTTTGGTCATTGTCATTTTGATTTATAACTATCAAATATTGCTATCACTACAATCGTAAAGTAGTACGGCGTGGGCTACTTTTTACGAGTAGCCATTACATTTAACCCCGTGCACAGCTCAAAGTCATCAACCGCAATCTACTACCAGGTTGACAGAGGCAGCCATATAATACTATGCTATGGCACATTACTATGACATTCGTTGTTTTTACTCCAGTATTACATTATTAACATGTTGACTATATTATGATAATAGTCTAGGCTTTGGTGTTAGTGTATGGAAAGTATTAGTGTATGGAAAGTGACTCAAATCCAAAGGGACCCCCCTTGGAACATTGTTATATTCAATTTACTTCCTGATTTTGAACCACAAATGACGTAAACTGCGACCCGGGTACGATCCGAGCCGTTGGTAGCCGCTTATTACCGTTTCAGGCCAAAGTCTATAACGTCATTTAAGGTTTCATCTTGATATTGTTACCAAACAGAATACTCGCTTAAAACCGATAGACAAGGAGCTACGGCAACAGGTATAGTCACGTGCGCAGATTGGTATGAATGTAAAACCTACGAACGAGGGTATGCGTATACCTTTAGCAATTGCTACAATCACGTACATTATTGGTATTTAATTAAAGTCATGGAAATAAAATAGTGCGAGTCGCCCAATGTGCGCACGTGACTCAGGGACTAGCGCATTAATTGTGGTCACTATCTGTTGAGTTACCTTGTCTATCGATATCACTCCATAAGAACTTATTCTTAAAGTATTGAGCAACAAAGCAAAGGGATATCAAGATTGGAACTTCCAATAATGGTCCAAAAGTTGCAGCGATTGATTCTCGACTTCCAGATCCATATAACGAAATAGCAATAGCTAAACTTAACTCGAAATTATTAGATGCTGCAGTAAATGTTTGAGTCACAGTTTCGGAATAACTTGCACCACATTTCCAAGTCCATTTCTCATTATCCTCATCAACTTGATCTTCACAACCACAAAGTAATTTTTCAGTTTCTGGACTTTGAGGTTCAGTGGATGTGGGGTTGGTGTTGGTTGGGGAAACTGACAAACTCTTACCCAATAACCAACGCATTCCAAAGAATGTTCCAAACCAAGTGATGGCAAAATAAAGGGTTAAGGGTACAAAACATCTAAGACCAGATCCTATATCTTTGATGAAATCATTACCTCTTTCAATAAAGATAACAATAATCGTATACATTAATCCAATGAATCCCCAGGGAGAAATAAAGGGCAAGATTTTCTTTTCATATGTCTTTAAACCAACAGTGAAAAGTGCGAGGAATCTTACCACCAATCCAAATCCTAAGGGCACCCCTAGGAAAAACAAAACACTCTTTGCAACAAGTCCATAACTAATGCTGTTTGTTCCGTTGGAATGGTAATCTCCAGTGATAACATAACAGAAGAATAACTGGTAAGGAGCATACAATATGATTTGAAGAACACTATTAACAATAACAATCATAGCACACAAATCAATATCTCCACCGGCAATATCATTCCATAACAACACCATGGCAATACATCTGGCTAACCCAATCATGATTATTCCATTTCTATATTCCTTTTTATCAAACAACGTAAGCCATGCTAAACCAAACATTAGAAAGGGGCAAACTATCCAGTTCAACACCAATGAAGTGATCATGGCCCGAAAGTATCTCTTATTGGAGAAGAACGTAAAGAAGGACTCCCAACGAACCTTACATAAGGGAGGAAGCATCATTATGATAAGTCCTACGGCTAAGGGAGCTGAGACCCCTACAACTTCTGCGCCGTTGAAGGCATTTCTTGATGATGGAACATACACAGAAAGTAAGATCCCAAGTACCATAGCAAGTATGATGGCCAAAGGTAGAAGCTTATCGGTGATTGAAAGCGAACTCCATGTCTGACGGAGAGTGGAGAAACGGGTACTCATTACGTTAAGGCTTAGGTATAGATAAAGAGAAACTTTAAGAAAGATAAGATGAGATTATTTTTTTTCTTATATGTATGATTTTTTAATCTCCCACGTGCTAGAAAGCAATGTCACGTGAAATGTCACTCTATAACCAGAACAAATTCAATCAGGTCACATGGTTACACTCACGTGATGGTAATTAGATGGAACGCGTATAACGAATTCAATTACACTATACAAGCACCTTTAGCTTCTTCCATTCTTCATCATGTCGTCTCTTGAAGATGAAGAGACTTTTATGCCCTCACACGATGCTGGTGACGATATCCTTGGCCTTGACACTAACATCAGCATCACCAAAAGGAAACCAGTTGCCCGTTTAGATGCTACTAGAATCCTAGATGAAGAGAAGGGTGTTTCCTATATCACGCGTAACCATAGAAGAATCTATAAAGCCATGCGGTCCAATGATAAGCGGCTACACCAGAAACTCAAGAGCCAGAGGTTTTTGGATGCTAAGGAAGTTAGAAACTTAAAGGTAGAGAATGAATTGACTAATTTGAGCTCTGTATTGGGATTCTATCAGACTTGGTGTCATCAATTGTTTCCTAAAGCTACGTTTAAAGATTGTATCTCGTTGTTAAGAGCCAGAGGTGCTACGTCTTCGGAGATAACGTTTTATAGAAGGGAGTTAATCAATGCAGAGATACAGAAAACCCAAAGAGCGTCAGGTCCATATGTTGATGAAGAAGAAGAAGAAGAAGATCAAGTTGAGCCCGATCCTCAAGCCCAAGCTCAAGCCCAAGTGGAAGCTCATTCTGCTGTTCCAGAAGACAATGGTGAATCTCATGTTATTATTGATGATAATGAGAGCAGTGCTAGGACTCGCAGGTCCAATCAACCACAGGAAGTTAACATTCAAGACGATGATTGGATGATGGAGGCTGCTGGAATTACACCAACGGTTACTGTAGGCACTAATACTAAAGAAATATCAACTGAAAGTAAAACTGCGAGTGATATTGATGATGATGATGATGATGATGATGATGATGATGATGATGATAATGATTTTGGTGATGAGCTACAATTATTTAAATCCACTGAGGAATTTCCAGATGAAGGTGATTACCTTTAGATTATGTGGTAATATATATTCTTCGAAGAACAGATATGGTACTAAAGATATCACATATTTGATCAACCGAAAGTTCTGGTTTATTGGCATTACAAAATAGCCCAATAAGATGACCCCCTGATCGAAGATAAATATCTATCAATCGATCTGGATCTTCCGTTTTATGTTTATTCCCTCCAATTGGATACTTTCGAAGTAACTTTGAACCTTGACGATGGAATGGAATTAGTGTGCCCGTGGAATAGTAGCCACCACCTCTAGGATCACGTTTATTATGCTTTGATTGACGTTTCACTTGGATTCCAAACTCAGATACAAATGCTTTATAATGCAATTGTTTCTCAAATTGTAAAGGTTCTTGAGGATTCTCATTGGCATATGAACCAACTACCCTCGACATGAAATCATAATCTTGCCCCGGCATTTTAATTAAGTCTTTGGCATATTTATAATTTTCAGCTTCAATTTTATTTTGGTCCGGGGGAAAACAATTGGCTTTAATTCGGTAAGGATCAGCAATTCTAACTTCAATCACATAAACAAAATCAAGAGAATATTTGGTTGCAATCAATTTGGTAACATTCAAAGCAGCTTTTTTCAAAGATCCCAGTTGATAAGCCAATTTTCTAACAAGTTCACTATCAATAAGGTTTTTGGAATCCCTTGGTGATAGATTTGAAAGTTTAGTGAATCTAAAAGAGCCACTTTGAGAATAGGGACCACCAGATCCATCTCTATCAATTAAAGTCAAATTTGAACCTTTGCTTGTTGCTCTTCCCAATTTTAAGGTTAGTTCTGCCAATTCATTATTGAATTGAGTTTTTGGAATGGAAGATTTGGAAGTATTTTTGGCCACGATATCATCATAATTTGTGGTTAAAGTATTTATTACTTGTGAGGCCAAAAGTTGTAACTTTCTGCAACCATCCAAATCAAATTCTGTTTTAGGATATGGACTAAAGATTGCCAATATTCCTATTTTAACGTTATCAATGATTAAGGGAACTCCACAATAGAATTTGATATGAGGAGGACCATTAACCAAAGGGTTTCTAGCCGTTCTCCAGTCCATTGAAGCGTCTAAAAGTAGAAAATATCCTTGGGAAAGTAAAGCATGGGCATCAATTGATGCCGACCGGGGGATATCTGTTAAGCCTAACATGGTTTCATATTTTATGAAGGTTTTGGACCCCTTTACTAAGGAGACGGACATTCCTAATACTTCTAGATGTCTTTTCAATTGACCAAACAATTTTTTAAACAATTTCTTATCGTTCCAATGGGGAAGATTCATATACTTCTCCACGACTTTATATCTTGAGTCTTCATTATAACATAGTGGAGGTTCCATGAACCCGCCTGATTCAAAACATGGAGGTTGGGGTACTTGAGAAAGGTTCCATTTCCCTTTACAATAGGCGTCTAGGAAATGAGATTTGGTAAGGGGGATCTCTTTAACTGTGACTTGGTTGTAGCGAAGGAAGTAGGAATCGGGAACTCCACCTCCAATAGGAGCGCCAGCCGCACCAACACCCACGCCAACACCCGCCCCCGTTGATCCTTTGAAGCGATCCTTCTCCTTCTTCAACTCTCGATGGTTACTCTTCATGTTAAGATAGCCGCGCGTACAGAAACAAAGAGAGAAAGAAATGCTACTTCTTTTCTTTCGCACCCAATATTTATATTAGTATAACCTAACATAACTAGTGGTATAAACTATTGTGTATTATTCTCTTCCATCACATGATCATCATCTTTATCATCTTCCTTTGATTCGTCTATTTTCTCCAACGGTTCATCCTTCAGCGGTTGGTGCTCCTCCTTTTTGGCCTCACGTTCTTGTCTTGCCTTTTCTTCCTCTAGAGAAAGTCTCAAGGCCAAAGCCAAATCCGGGTCGGCGTTCGGATCCATGATATCCCCGAATGGATCGTACCCTCCCCCGCCACCATTGCCACTACCCATATCAAATCCCTCTTCCATCAATATAGGCGAGGTGGCAATGGCTTCATAGAGCATTCGAGGACCGGGGGGGACGGTTATTAAATGAGAGTTGTCTTGATTATTTATTATCTGTTGGAATCGATCCAACTTATCGGAGTTGACACCCTCTTCACCAAAATTTATAACATCGATAGCAATGTTGTTCTTTTTCATTTTCTTTGCCAACTTCTCTAATTCCCTATCGCTTTCTTCGATTGGACTGCCAACAAAAATAACAATTCTTTGATGCAGAACCTTATTTTGGCGATGTTTTAAGGCCAAAGCTGCCACTTGGATCCCACTACAAAAATGACTCTGGCCGCTTATGCTCACCTCATGAGATCCAGAAAGGATCTTACCGAAATCGGTGGTTAAAGTAGAAAGAATCTGAGGTCCCTTGTCTCCGTACAGTAGTAAGCCAACGGTGTTCTCGGGGTTAGAGTTGACTTTACTCTGGAAGATAAACTCCATGGCTGTCAATTGAGCGTCGTATCTTGAAGGGGCATAATCTCCGTTCCGCATGTACTCGGAGTTGTCAATGGCTATCATTGTAGCCTCAAGAACCATTGTGAGTTAATTTGATAGAGTGGAGTTGATCTTAAGGTGTAGTTGACCTTGAGGTTAGCTTGAGTTGTTGATTAAATTTTCGATGGCAACGTGCTGACGTAATCAACATGTACTACTACTACTATACTACTACTATAATATACTATAATATACTACTACTACTATACTACTACTATAATATACTATAATATACTACTACTACTATAATATACTACTACTACTATAATATACTATAATATACTACTACTACTATACTACTACTATACTATACTACTACTATACTATACTACTACTATAAGACTGCATATACTGCACCTTCTCCTAATATACTACAACTGTGCTGCCACTTCTTTTGACAGTACACTGCTACGATCTTCACTGCTACTACAGTATCATGCTGTGCTACACTCTATCGTTACTCAGAATGATCGAATACGTTGGTTAAGGTAATATAATGAATGATTGTATAATGAATCGAGCTTTACTTTTCAGTCACGTGACCTCAAAGATATTGTACGCATAAACTTAAATAACACTCCAACTACAGCACAACTACCGTCAGTTCAGTACAGCACTGCTACAGCACAGCACAGTACAGATACCGCACCATTCGATTCAGTACAATCTTTCCATGGCTCTTACCAGACAACAAAAGAAAGAACTTATAGCATTCTTAAATGCTCGACATCGTATACACAAACAAGAATTGGAATCCCGAATGACTGCGGTGGAATCAGAAATGAGAGAGAAACTTCTACGTCGATTGAATGCTGTTAGTGTTAAGTTGTGGACGCTTAAGATCTCAGAAGTGTTAACCATTGAACGTCGACATCGACCAGAATTAAAGCGGTTGGTTGAAGAAGTAATGGAAATAAGGAGGAATAAACGATAAGTTACACCCTAACACCAATGCACCCTGACACCACACCTACAATATCAAAGGTTCCTACTTCACTACTACACTATAACTGTATTATAACTGTTTTTGTTCTCTTCATATACATTAATTAAGCATCTTCAGGAATATCTTCATGGAAATACTTACCTTCAGTTGTAGGCTTGATATACCCAGCTCTAATGACCCAATCACCAAATGGCTCCTCATGGTTTCTTTCCAACCCCCATCTCTTGATCATAGGTTTCAAGATATCCAAGATTTCGTCTTCCTTTATGGAATAACGGTAGATCTTATTCAATCTTTGACCATAATGTCCACCTCCTAACAATAAATTATAAGCTCCTGGTGCCTTACCAACCAAAGCAATTTCAGCTAACCATGGTCTGGCACATCCATTAGGACACCCGGTCATTCTCATGACTATGGAGTCATGTCTCAATCCATATTCTTCAATTGCTTCTTCTAATTTGGTGATTAATTTGGGCAAATATCTTTCGGATTCGGCCATGGCTAATCCACAAGTGGGCAACGAAACACAAGCTGCTGATGATAATCTCAAGGCTGAAAAATCAGTGTTATCCAACTTGTACATGGCCAACAAATGCTTAACATGTTCAATATCATAATCACTGATGTTGGAGATCACAAGATGTTGATTCCCTGTTAATCTAAACTCCCCAGATTTACCAATTAAGTAGTTGGCTATTTCTCTTAGCCCGGTCTTTTGAGGTAATTCAGGTGTATCTTCAACTCTACCGTTTTCAATGAAACATGTGAAATGGTTGAATCCAAGTTCATCCCTACACCATCCGAAATAATCAACATTGGAGTCGATTTGATAAGGTCTGGCTTCTTCAAATTTAAAGCCCAATAGTTCTTCAACTTTTTGCTTGAAAACTTCCACTCCTAAATCATCAATGGTATACTTCAATCTGGCATGCTTTCTGTTGGTTCTATCACCAAAGTCTCTTTGAACAAGCATTACCTTCTCACAAGCAAGATGAACCTTTTCAGCAGAAACATATCCAAACATAGACCCGGTTCTGGGGTATGTCTTCTTATTATTGTGAGTGGATCCCATACCACCACCGGCCATTAAATTGTAACCAGTGACATTATCTTGTTCATCAACAATAGCAATTAACCCAATATCATGGGCCCAAACATCAACATCATTGTATGGAGGAACAGTAATAACAATCTTGAACTTTCTAGGTAAATATGTGGGACCATACATTGGTTCAACATCAGTTAAGGCATTACCTGCAACTAAAGTCTTCTTCTTGGTCGGACCTTCCTTTCGGTTTTCCCAAACTTCTCTATCACCAGGCTTATCACCTTCATCTTCACCTTCCAACCAAATCTCGTGATAGGCGGTAGTATTAGGCAACAAGTGTTCAGAAATCAAAGTACCAGTTTCAGCAACTTGACTGTGAACCTTGGCATTAGATGGTAAGGCAGAAACCATGACGTTTCTGTTAACATCACCACAGGCTGCCAAAGTATCCATTAACGCAGAGTTCATACCTCTAATGGCTGGTTTCAAATCATGTTTGACCACACCATGTAATTGGAAAGTGGCTCTGGTGGTTAACTTCAAAGTACCATTACCTCTGGTATCAGCTAATTCGTCCATCTTTAAATATTGTTGAGGAGTAGCAGCTCCACCAGGTAATCTTACTCTAACCATGAAAGCATAGGCTGGTTCCTTACCTTGAGCCTTTCTTTCATCCCTAATATCACGGTCATCTTGCATGTAAATACCATGGAACTTGGTCAATTGTTGATCTACAGCACAGATTGCACCGGTAGATTGGTCATTCAATCCTTCAACAATGGTACCTCTTAAATAGTCAGAACCAATCTTCATGTCTTCGTTGGTCAAAGGCTTTGGTTCTTCAATACCATCAACATTATCAACACCCAAAGCTTTCCAAATTTTGGGAATCCATTCATTGAATCCAGTGCTAAATCCATCGGCGTCTTGATCATCTCCTAACCCAATTTCAGCCAATTCAACACCACCATATAACTTCAACTTAGCATCTAAGTCCTTAGCTGGTTTATTGTAGTAGTGTTTGTCTTCCTTTCTGGGCCAATATTGAGAATCACCTAAACCAAACACAGAATACTTAATGGCAGATAAATCCAAATCATTAGCTCCTTTAATACCATCCCAGAATTGCTTACCATTAGTTGGGAACTCACCTTGACCGGATGTGGAACTGACAAACACAACATTAGTTTCATTAGGCAAATCTTCAACTGAAAGATCGTCCATAGCTAATATAGTAGCCTTTAAACCTCTAGCCAATGCTTGTCTATGGATCTTTTTACCTAGGGCTTCGGCATTTCCCCCATCTGATGCAAATGCAATAGTAAGTGGAGGTCCTGATAATCCTTGCAATAATTTGTGGAAAGAATCATCAGCAACTTTAGCTTGTCTGGCCTTTGTTTCAGCATTGGCAGTTAATGCTGTCAAGTTTCTTGATAATTCAGGGTTTCTAGAAGCCAATAAAGTCAACTTATTTTCTCTATCTAAGAAATCCTTCAACCCCTTTCTCAAACTTGAAGAGTCCAATTTGAAAGCATCCTTTTCGTTTTCCAAAAATGGATCGTATCTGTATAAGGGCCAATGACCAGAGTCAACAGCTTTCTTGGTTTCCTTTAAAATAGACAAAGTGTTATCATTTTCACTATGGTATGGTAAATATGCCAAAACAATTGATGGACCATTGAACTTCTCAGCTTCAATGAATGCTTGTAACACCTGAGTATATGATGAATAGACTGCAACAGAAGCAACATAAGTATTCCCATAGTTCATGGCATATAAGCCAACGTCCTTCTTTCTGAATCCGTTGACCTTCTTTTCAGATTGGGTCTTTTCTTCATAAGGTTCAGAGTCTATTATTAACATGTTCACGTTCTTACCTGATGTTATCACATTGTGAACACCAGAAGAACCCAAATCATAAGACCAGGCATCAGAACCAATTAACCAGTTATTCTTAGTGGAAAAGTAGTTGGCTAAGGAAGCAATTTGTTTTCCAGACTCTGAAGAATCAGTGCCCAAATATTCAATGATCTTAGCAACATCATCAGCACTTATGGAAGATGTAGATGATGAATCCTTAACTTGAACCAACCATTTAGATAATAATTCCAATAATTCAGAGTTATGGGGCAGTTGGAACTTGTTTTCCTTAACAGCATTGTAAACCAAATCAATTAGTCTACGTTGTTGTTCGTCATCATACAAGAAAGCACCAAAACCAAATTCTGGGTTGGTTTCAACACCAATTGAATCTTGGTTGAATTGGTTTAAGATTCTTAAAGATTCTGAATTGGAATTAACTTGTTGTAAGAGCTTCAAGTAAGCAGATTCAGATTTGACGGCATTTTCAATAGCTTCCAACAGCTCTTGGGTTCTCTTGATGGAAGATTTGGTTGATAATTCAGTGTCCAACTTTCCAAATGATAAGCTTTGAATAGGTGATTCCGATCTAGTATTGGCTAAAATGTTGGCTATGGCTTCGGAATATTTCCCAGTAGAGATATAGCCAATAGTGGCAGTGATGATCTTGGAGAAGTTCTTCAATGATTGGTATTGAGGATATTCAGAGAAGAAATCCAAGGCCAATGGACACACGGCATTAGTACCTTGATTAGTGGCCACAAGAGATTGTTCAATCAAAGTCAAAGTCTCCACGGAATTGGGAATCAACTTCAAGAAGGAAGCCAAATCAAATGGCTTGTACAACTTGATGGAGATCAATAACACTTTAGCAGAAGCAGCAGCCTTAGCCAATTCCTCGGTGACTTGACCAAAATACAAGAAAGCGTCCTTTGGAGAGGGCACCTTTTGCACCACTTCAAAAGGTGTCACCTTGTAATGGTTTAACAACTCTGGAACAGATGTGATGTCAACAGAAGAGGGTTCATCGGCACCACCAACAACGATCTTAGAGAGGGTGATGGATTCTGGTTTGGCAGGGACGTAGAAATGAAATACTGGCTTGTTCAACAAGGAAGCCAACTTATACCCAACGTTAGCAAACTTGGCACTCTCAGCAACAGTTTGAGACACCAAGATAGGGAAAGACAAGTCTCTCAAAGCAGTGACAATGCTAAAGTCAAAGGTGTTCAATTCAACATGGGAAACCACAGGATTGGTTTGGAAAGTTGACAAAGATAAATAAGGCAAGTTCTTTAATAAGGTTATACCATCAGTAGCAACAGTAACAATTTCACGATGTTCTGGTTGTTGTTCAAGAGTGTTGATAACAACAGCATACGGATCATTGGCTGCCAATAAAGACTGAACGTCTACAAGTGGCTTAAAGGCAGATTCCACTGTTTTAGCAGGTTGTGTGGCAAACACAGATGACCCACCAGCCTTATTGATAACATAGGCAACTATAAAATGCTGTTAGTACTGAGGTTATGACGAAGATAAAGGTGATGATGGCATCGTTGCAGTGATGCTTATCGCTTATCTTGTGCTTAACTTACTGGCTTCTGTTTGAGTGACGCTCATGATGAATGCAAATCACTACAAACACAATTATCAACGGCTATTGCTTGGTAGTAGAAGAAGAAAGACAATTGAAGATAATCTATGAGACAGCTACTAAATTGACTATTAGTATGAAAATTATCATAGACGTAGTGTCACAAACAAGGTTATATTGATAATTATTCTTTGGCATTGTAAGGTATATAACGTCTCCTCATAGCACGTGACAGCAGCTCATGGTAAAGAGATCTGGTATAATTTCTATCCAATCAGTTATTGATTGAGGGTAAGCTTTGATAATGCGTGGGATGACGAATATGTCACGTGATGTGGAAAAATATATCCTTGGTGCTATCACAGATTACCCCATGTTTTTGACTGCATGTGCACGAATGTATGCATGTATGTATGTATAGTGTGCATGTACATACGTATGTATGTATGTATGTATGTATGTATGTATGTATGTATGTATGTATGTTTGTATGTATGTTTATATGTATTTACATATGTATGTTTGTATGTATGTTTGTATGTATTTACATACGTATGTCCGTACGTGTGCTCTACCTATACCAGCGACAATAAGATAATGAAAGATGTCATGGCACACGTCAGTACCATCACCAACCCGATCCATAACACTAACTGATGACTCTTTGGTGTGGGCAGAAACCGTTGGAAATTCAAGTTAATGCTCATAAAACTGAACATAAGTGAAAAAAATAAGATCAGCACCAAAGTAATAAATAAGCCTAAATTGTCAAAGATCCAAACTCGGCCCTGAGGATCGGAATAGCTATTAATAATCGTGTAGATGATCCCCAAGGCTATACCTGATGAAAGAACAGATATCACGCAGAGTGCAAAATAAATGTATGATAAATTGATATCAAAGTTCTGTTCATATTGATATTGATATTCCAATTGATATTTGTCTCTTGCTAAGAACGAAGGATCTTCGTTGATGCTATCGTAGTTTCCGGGGGTGGAGTCGTAGCCATTGAAGTATGCATTATTTTGATGATGATGATGATGATGATACCATTTTTCTCTATTATTGTTATAGTAGTAGTAGTTCCCAAATGATTCATGTCCAAGAAATTGTCCATATATATCATTGAATTCTTCTTCTTCGTCAAAACCACGTTCTCCTCGAACCCAATATCGCAACTTGTGGAACTTATTACTAAACCATCCAAACATTGACCGGTCATGATGATCATCATCTTCATGAACAATTTGATTGGAAAAGTAGTCATTAAAAGGTGATCGTTTCTGAGGTCGAATAAATAATGAAATGTTGTCATCATCAACGGAGTCAAACATCATAAAACCATCATCTTCTTCTCCTTCTCCTTCATCATTATAATCACCATCACCATTATAATCATTGTGAGATCGTGAGATCATAGCTCGGTGATGAGGGTCTGTGAATACTGATTTTGAACTATGTGGAGTGGAACTATGAGTAGTGGGGGAGTTATCGTGTATTCCTCCCCCGCCACCCCCTCCCCCATCAAATCTTCCTCTATCATATCCACCCCCTCCTCCGCCTCCAGCGCCACCTCCAATATTACCGAGCTCCCCATCAACACCTCCTCCGCCTCCACCATTGAAACTAGGTCCATGCTTTCCCCAACCGGCTCCAAATCCGCCTCCTCCACCTCCACCGAATTTCCAATTCTCCATGCCTATAGTACTCCCCACTCTTCGAAGCAATTGTTGTTTGTCCTCTCCATCAACAGCATTGGACTCTCCTCCTCCGCTAACCTCTTCGAGTTTCTTGAGTAAGTTCAAGTAAAGCAAATTGGCATAGTGATTTTCTTCAAACTGAGGTATGACGTTACAGTAGCATGAAAGCATATAATCATACAAGTTCAAGTCCTTATACATGTTGAAAGTCGACTCTTGTTGAATGATCCGCTTTAGAGGCTCTGGAAGACGACGGAGTGAAGGAGATGTGTATTTGTTGTGTAGAATTCTCGCTTCATTTTGATCTGTGACAGCTATGCTGGTCTTTAAATTGGATATAAAGTTGAACAAGCTGGAATCATTGGATGTTGCTGAAAGTGTAGCAAAGGGGAACCGATCCATTTGAACATCATATTGATTCAAATCCAACAGTTTTACTAACGTTGGTGAACTGGTGGTGTAGATGTTGTAGTCTAAAGTGAAGAGATAATCATCTTCAAACTTAGCAAATGATGCAGTGCTAGTATTTGACGGATATATGGGGTTATCGCCACTATTACTTATTGTTCCAGCTCCTGTTCCAGGAGCACCACCGGTTGGAGAAGTTTGACTCTGCAGTACACCTTCTTCGAAATCACCTTCATGGAATATAAAACGAGATCTCTTGCTGACAATCTTCAACTTTGGAGTGAACTCATTGTATCGCAAGCAATTTAGGGTCTGGACGATTCTACCATTCGACTGGAACTGTGGTGGGATGGTTTCCAAGACGGTGGGGTCAGTTAAGAACTCTTGAACAAAATCATTGGGGAGGAAACAGTAGGAGAATTGACGAAGACCTCCGGAATAACAGATAATGGCCAGATGCGATTGGTTTGGTTGAGTAATAATTAAGGAGGGACATTTATGATCAAATTTCGGGGATTGAAGGTATATGATGGAGATTAAGTTGTTTTGGTCAAGTATCTCCAAGTTCAGATACACATTGAGCGTGAGTAATGCTTCGTTGAGAGTGTTGGGATCATCTGCTATAAGAAATGACAAGTTAAAGTTCTTTTTAAGTAAAGACTTGACGTCAAACACCACGCTAGAGTTACTATTCTTCAATTTGGCCAAGTCAGCAAACGATGAGTTGTGAACCAAGTTGGACTTGCCATTATGTAGAGACACTGTGTCGTTAGTAGCCAATGAGTCAGTTACAGAGTGCTTTTTTCTGATGCTTGAATGTAGAAGTAAGGGAGAAGGCGGTCTATTATTGTCAGTTTGTATGTGTTGTTGTATGGGCATGGCAGATGGGTTATCTAAACCTCGATGGACAAGTTTGATATCTTCAAATAACGATGTCAAGTCCAACGTTAAGGGACTTAAATTGAAGTTGACAAAAGACGTTGGATCCAGATGCAAATACAATCGTAACTGGTTTATCAAGTGCTTTGACTTTTCCCGATCAGGATAGTATTTAAGGAGTTTCTTGAAGATCTTCTTGCACGCTATCTTTTGGATGAGAATGAATTTTGATAAGTTCTTTAGTACGATGGACAATTCAACCACGTGATAAAACACTTCATGGAGGCTTGTTCTGGCTGTTGCGATGGCTGCTTTGGAACATGATTCTAGTGATGTTTGTATGTGAGATAGTATTACTCTGAAGTACTGTAACCTACGATTAAGTTCACCGTATTTTGTCTTGATAAAGAGCGTGACATGATCAAAGTTTTCAATGAAGGAAGCTTCTAGTGGACGTAAGTCTGTTGATGATGAGTGGGTTAAAAGTCTGATTTGTTTCTTTAAATCGTTATAGTCTATGTTGTATCCCTTCCACTCTGGAATCGATAGGTGAGTTAAATTCTTTCCGAATTTCATGTGAAAGATGGTAATACTTTTCTATATACCACTTTATTATAATAGTACCTTATAACCCTGTTTAAAGTATTACGGCACACGATAAGACTAACGGGACTGAAATATGTGTTCACCGTAAAGTTATAATGGCCATGGAAGGAATGTCAGCCTTAATCTTTATGCACCAACGTATGTTGAACAAAATGACCTTGTTGGGTGAAAATCCTGATGATATTGGGGTTCCTTATCGCACACCTTGATGCACACTACTTTCGATGGAATGACCTAACCACAAGTGTCGTTGATAATAACAGTGTTTCACTACGTATTAAGAATGTCAGATACAGGGGTGTAATCAAGGTGAAATATGTATCTATATATGTATATTTTTATATACATACATGTATGTCGGTATATATAGTTGGAATGCCTTTATTATTAAAGGTTGTCTATATATTGGTTTTGGGAGTTTTTTATAAAGTCCTGCCGTGAAAGAGTGGCAGAACCAGCAGAGACAATTGAATTTGTGTCTTTAACACCTAAGCCTTACACCTGAACAAAGGTACGAAATTGGATTGTTTAACGATCTAGTCGTGTGAATCTTTCATCATTAATAAAAGCACTTATTAACATGAGTATAAGTACTTGCCCATGTGTATATTTATACTTCCATTCAATTATGTATATGAGCGTATATACATACGCAAGAGCATACATATGCGTGTGCATGTGTATGCATGTGTATGTATACCCAAGGCATGCCCTTAAGCAAGCCCTCACTGACTCTGTTTTATGGGTCCCTCGTTAGTTTTGTTCCTGAAGTCATTATTAGGGTCGTACACTCATGCAGGCCATTTTGCTGATGTGCACACCTTCACTTGTTGAATGTAACAATTCTACTTGTTTGTCCTTGTGATACCATGCGATAAGGCAAGACAAGACAAGAAACACACTCCTTACCCTAACAAACGTCACCTACTGCCCTTTAAGGCTGTTTTCCTATGGGAAGGCTAACGTTGTTACGGTCAACTTTCCTTCAGCATACCTCACGGGAAAATTATCATAAGAGTAAGCTTATTTATCCCCTAAAAAATAATGCATTCCTTTATTGTTCTTTGGTACTCTGATCTTGTGACAAAATACTGTTTCTGGTCGCTGTACTGTGTAAAGCTTCTCTCGGGTATCAGATGTGACTCTTCTTAAGAAGATTTGATTTACCACAGTACTGTATAGTTCATCTGTGTGTCTGGTATATAGAGACCAAGATGACGAAATTGGATTATTGTCAAAGTGCATACTCATTTGTTGCTACAGTTTTAACAGATTATACGAATTGAACGGCATAGACTTAATAATCCAGTTAACATAAACATAACTATGAAAGCCTCCTTCTAAATACGACTTTAGCGGTTTCTATTGTTCATTAGTGATGAACTCTCCCTTTACAAGAACGGGGATAACTCCTCCTGTACCAATGGCAAACGGACGATGGCCCAACACTAGTAACAGACTCCGAATACTACCACTATGACTGGTTATACAAATATTTGACTCTTCCTTGGTGGTGTACTTTCCCCATATATCTTGGAGACTCTTGTTGAGTCGAATGGCTTGTTCAGCCGTTGATTCTCGATAATCATCTTGATAGTAGATATCTTGTTCCACAAACCCGTCTTCTATCTCGATCCCCAAGGGACAATATTTATAGTCAATTACTGATCGTGGCAGTCTTTTATCGCAAGTATGAACCCCCATTTGTTCTCTGATATTTTCCATCACTAAGGGCCGAACGGTCTTCAAATCAACTAAATCCAAATCCGTCCATGTATGGATCATTGTATCAATACTGCGACTTAAAGGACTAACAAACCACCGTTGAGGGACTTTTAACCCTTTAGCTATCTCTTGGTTCCATAATTCGCCATTCTTATGGGCTTGAGATAACCCTAAGTTGGTCAATAAAGCATCGGGTCCCCATACAATCTTCCCATCGCCGGTTAATTTCGACCAATAATTATTCCAAGCATCATCTCCGTATTGAGAATGTGCCAAATTATGGTATCCTTGTCCGTGTCTAGCTAGAAAAAGTACCTTGTACCGAACATTGTCACTTTCGGCTGTGGCGTTAAGCTCATGGACATAATCAAACACCTTATCCCAGGATTCCAAGTTTAATCCGAACCTTTCCTTTGAATAGTCAAAAGTGGCTTCGTTGGTTTCAGTTAATGATTGTTTGAACACACCGGTGACTGTGGAGAACTTCCAATACGAACGATTGGACTGCTGTATCTCCAGTGCGAGAAGTTCATTGTACTTTTCCCTTTCACTGGAAGCAATATGGGAATCTATAACGTCTATCTGCGAGGGCATACTGTAAGTTACGCTTGAGTGTGTGGGTGTCTGAAGGTAATTGTAGAAACGTGGAGAATTTATTTTAGTGTGGTAGTGTGTAGTCTATAAATGTGTAGACTAGTCGTTGCAGTACTATAAATTCTCTTAATAGTACTGTCTGCTGCAACTATTACTATGATGCTACTTGTTGATGCTTACACCATTACTTAATGGTTTGTAATAGTAGTGGTGCCTTCCAAAGGAACTACGTTTAATACGACACTTGACCAGAGGAATATTTTTGTAGGGTTGCATCATTTGGGTCCCAAAAATGTCGCATTGATGGGTGTAGCCATACCGCAGGGGGGGGCATTCCATAAGCTATTAACCTTTCTAACATAAACAAAGAAATTGGCTAAGTGTCATTAAGATATTCAGACTTGAACCGCTAGGCCCCACTTCCAGACCCCACCGGTACTACTGCTTGTATCGCATCACAGTATGATACTACCCAAACTTCTTGATGTCGCACTTTCGTCGTGTGCGCCTCAACATAGGGTACGAAACTACAGGGTTAAATAGCCAACACTTGTTGATAGTCACAGTACTCTTGACGAATATAAACAATAACACTACTAATATCATGGATAACTTCAACGACGACTTATATCCATTGGCCTTGCTAATGGATGAGTTGAAACACGATGACGTGTCGAATCGAGTGGAAGCCATGCAGAAGCTTGATACCATTGCTATAGCCCTTGGACCTGAAAGAACACTTAGTGAGTTATTACCCTTTTTATTGGACGTGGCTCATGATGACGAAGACGAGGTGTTTGCTGTATTGGCAGGTAAATTAGGGGATTTCATTCCCTTGATTGGCGGTCATGAACACTGTGAACCGTTGATCCAAATTCTTTTACCCTTGGCTTCTATTGAAGAGCCCATTGTCAGAGACAAGGCTATTCAATCGTTAAATAAGATCAGTATGGAATTAACTGATGAAGAATTGAACACCATTTTCTTGGGCTTGATTCAAAACTTATCGCAAGCAAATTGGTTTTCCAAGAAGATTGCTGCTTGTGGCTTATACAAGTCGGTTATTTTGAAGGTTAATGCTCAAACCAGAAAGAACCTTTTGGCGATGTATTTGAAGTTGGTTACTGATGAACTGGCTCCCATGGTTAGAAGAGCAGCGGCTAATAATTTACCCGCCATAATTGATTTGTTCACCAGCGGTGAAACCATTGAACCAATCACGAGTCAAGATTGGGAATACATTTCTCAAATGTTCCAAAGTTTGATTAATGACGATCAAGATTCAGTTAAATTTTTAAGTATTAAAGTTTTGATATCCATCTTGGAGTTCTTTGACCATGCTAAAGATACTCTGCACAACCAAGAGTTCCTCTTATATTCGTTAAAGCTTATCGAAGATAAATCTTGGAGAGTTAGATACACGGCTGCTGATTATTTCAGTGATATTGCAAAGCATTTTTCAGGTGAGGATTTGGCCAAGTTAATTGATCCTTTCATTGCTTTAATGAAGGATAATGAAGGGGAAGTTAGAAAATCCATTGCTAAACAATTACCAAGTTTCTGTGGTCTTTTAAATAAATATCCAACCACCAAATCTTCAATTTTGGCTAAAATAATACCCGTGGTTAATGAATTAAGCCAAGACCCCCAGGAGAACGTTAGAGCTTCGTTGGCTTCCTCAATTACTGAATTATCACCTATTTTACAAAAGCAAAACACCATAAACAAGTTATTGCCCATTTTCTTGAATATGTTGAAAGATGAATTCCCAGATGTCAGATTAAACATCATTAGTAACTTATCTGTGGTGAACGAAACCATTGGGATTGATATGTTATCCACATCACTTTTACCAGCAATCACTGAATTGGCTCAAGATACTAAATGGAGAGTTCGGTTGGCTATCATTGAGTATATTCCTAAATTGGCCGAGCAATTGGGTGAGAAGTTCTTCAATGATGAATTATTAAACCTTTGTATGTCTTGGTTATGGGACTCAGTCTATGCCATTAGAGAAGCTGCCGTCAACAACTTGAAGGAATTGGCAGTTATATTTGGCTCCAAATGGGCTAACACCGAGATCATTGCAAAGATTTTAAGTGCCCATCGTGATAACAATAAGAGTGATTCAATGAATGACAACGATGTTGAAGATAATGATAACGATGATAATAATACTACCACCAATAATAACACCAACAATATAAACTATTCTAATTTCATTACTAGAATCACGTGCTTGTTTGCTATTACCAAATTGGTTCCTGCTATTTCTCATGAAATTATTGCAGAAAAGATCTTACCCTTTATCAATGAATTATCTGGAGATTCTGTCGCCAACATCAGATTCAACGTGGCCAAAGCCTATTTGTTGATTGCCACTCAGTTAGCTCTGGACCCCAAGTACCGAGGTCTAATCGAACAAGACTTGTGGAAGCATTTAGAGATCTTACAGAACGATGAAGACATTGATGTTCGGTTCTATGCCAATGAAAGTGTTGATGGTATTAAGGCACTTTAAACTATTTACGTAGTTTGAATTATTATGATGATCCTCTAGCCAGTTTGGCCTCTTCCAACTTATCAAAGTCGAAATCAAATGATGATCCACACCCACACGATGTAGAAGTGTATGGAGAATCAACTACTTTAAATTGACTACCTATTAACTCTTTAGTGTAGTCAACTTTGGAGTCCTGTAGGATTTCTAAGCTTGAATCATCAATTATAACTTGTGCTGGGCCTCTCTTGAACACATAGAGATCGTTATCTTTATCTTGAGCCAACTCTTTGGCTACTTGAGTTAACTTCAAATTATATTGGAATCCATGGCATCCCCCACTTTCTACTCCTATTCTTAACGCTGAATCTGGGTCTTTGTCTGTTTCAATGATCAGACGGAGTTTAGAAACAGCTCTTTCCGTTATAGCAAGCTTTTTGGGCGTCACGCCATGAACAAGTTTTGTTATAGCAAAATCAGCAGAATCTGTTTGTAACTGAATAGTTTGCTCTGGTGTTAATTGCGGAGGTGGTGGATTATTTTGAGGAAGACTGAAACCAGAGGCTTTGAGTTTGCTTACAGCTGCTGCTGACGATGACGTTCCGTTCCACCGAACAGACAGATATCTTATACCTCTACCTAAACTTCTAATCATGTTGCTCTTACGGATAAATTACTGTTAGTAATAGAAATTATTCGGAGTCACTATCGCACTTCACCTTTAACCCCCCGGACTCTTTGGTCACGTGATGTTGGTCCGGGTAACCCATTGATAACCTAACATTACTGCTGTATTGCACTAGACATATGTTAATGTTAATGTTAACGTTATTGTTTATTGATATAAAGTAAATAAGAATAGTATCAAGTGTCAGTAGATAATAATAGCAACTTATTCGTAGTTATCGTTGCCAACTCTCCAAGTTGGGAAAAGATCCAAGTACAGAAACTTTTCCTTTGGTCCGTCCATACCAAATACCAAATGTCTCCAGTGGATAAAGGCATAGATAACACCAACATATGACAAAAAGTGCAAGACGTTACCCAAAACAGGTCCTCTACAACGAGTGATTGCATTGGACCACAATTCTAATTCATAAACCCAAACCAACATGGCAAAGTATAAGGCTGGAACATAATGATGGACATAAGTGACTCTTCCCATGATAATAAATGGCATAAAGTGTAAACCCCAGCCAAACATAGGATAAATACCACCCATAAGGAATTGTTTCAATCTGAGTGGTTGAGTAGTGGGGAAATCAACAAATTGTCTTTGCCATCTTAACAAGAAGTATAATACAACAATAAAGAATGCCAATACACCAAAAGTAGATGGCAAAGTGGTACCTGGAGATCCAATCATATAATACTTGACATTTTCAACACCCCAACCACACATTCTAATACCGGTATTCAATGTGGGCCATTGCCAGGCACTTGAACTCAAATCATCTTGCTTTTCAGTGTCTGGAACCAAAGCATTGTTAGTAGCCATCATAGCCAAGTTCAATTGAATGAAATCTTTAAAGAAAGATGTACGAGGTAACGAGATATTATCAGCACGTGGAAGAATATCATTTTGATGGTTTTCAATATTCCACCAAGTTCTCTTATCTCTTTTGAATGGATTCTTAATACAAGTAACTTCACCTTGTCTGAAACCCCAAGCAGGCAAGTTGTTTCCAGAGGTGGCCAAATAACAATCCATAACAACGTTCTTCAATCTAAAAGAGGTAGATAAAGGATGCAACTTCTTTCTGTCTTCGTCACCAAACTGTTCAACAACTTCAACACGCCAATGGTCCTTGTCGTCACCAATGGTTACGTTACCATAACAGGAGACTTCCTTATAAGATTTACCAATAGGAGCAGCAATATCATGAGAGTGTAAGTTTCTCCCAGTTGAAGTGTGCATAAGTCTAACGATATTACCATCAATGACATATTCGGTTTGGTTTTCTTTTGTAACATCGTAAGGAGGTAAGTTTCTAGGACGTTGCAAAATCCAATTGTTGTTAGAATCCTTATGGGAGTAAACAGTGACTTGTTGTTGCTTAGAACCTTCAGGATAAGTTTGAACATGCGAGTGCAAAAGACCGCCCGCCAAACCTTGGTTCTTAAGAGTAATGACAGAATGACCAATGATGATATCTCTAGCATCACCACCAACATCTGACCCGAGTAAATTGGCTTGGAAAAGAGACGACATGGTAGCATCACCAGTCCCAGATTTGTACAACAAGTCAAAATGAACTTTAAAGGAGATCATGAAAATAATCATTGGAATAAGAATAAGAGCAATACCTCTTGCAAGCCAATGTTGACCATAGGTTTTCCAAGACATGGATTTTTGGCCCAATTTATTCCATAAATCAACAACGGTGTAGATACCAACCAAAGTGGTGACAAACAAACCCACCATTTTGACGGAACAAGTGCAACCAATGGAGAACCCGGTAAGCAATAACCATTTCCACCATTTTCTCAGGAATTCCAATTCACTAGTATTGAAGTTATTAAATCTAGTGAAAGCAAAGACAGTAGCAACGGTGAAGAATAATAACATAGAGTCCAACAAAATGAACTTACCCAAAACGATATAGGACAATTCCAAGGTGACCATCAAGGTGAACAACCAAGTAGTCTTGACAGAGTAACCTATTTCCTTACAGGTGAAATAAGCCAAGGGAGTACACAAAGCAGAGAAAACAACTTGGAAAACTCTCATTTTAGTATAGTCAATGTATTCAGGGTATTGTTCACCAGAGGGGAAATCCCAAGAACCATTGTAACCAGCCAAATAACCAGACAACCCTATCAACATTTTACCTAATGGGGGGTGGACATCATGGTAAAATTCGTGTCTAAGGTAATAAGAACCAAACTTACCGAAATGGGCTTCATCCCATACAACGTGGTTATTGGCCGAAATACGATATAATCTGACAGCAAAGGCAAGAACTGTGAATACCAAAGGTGCAAGCCATGATTCCAATTGAGCCAAGGAAGATTTGCTTTCTAGTTTCGCGTTGAACTTGGATCTTTTATGAGACTCACGTTTATCCAATTCAGCTTCACGAATCTCTGGGGTTGAGGAGCCAGAGAGTGACGACGACGTGGACGCCTTCTTACGCTGACGGAGATCTTCTTTACTGCCACTTTTAATTCCTCTAGAAGAAGATGCAGTGGTGTTGGAAGACATGTTGGTGATAAGAACGCGCTTTTTAAATATACTGGTTTATATTCGACGTTGACGTGTTTTATATGGAATAGAGACGGGGTTTTTGGCACACTTCCATGTAGCCAATGGTGATGTCCCGAATTGTCTGAACGGATTTAAGAAGCAAAGAAGCCTTTGAATTTGGTCAATTGGAAAGAAAGACTCAACTAATGGGTGGGATTTTTAGTTTTGCTGTCAATAACTTTTCCACCACCGCGAAAAACTTTTGGTGTTGGGGTGTTCTGAAATTTTTCACCTTATGGACAGGTGTTCGTGGGTTTAAGGTTATATGCGACGCCAATTGCCTGTTTGGGTGTGACATTGGGAACGAATAGGTATCCCTGTTAGTGTTCTTATCTATAATAACCTAATCTAATCTATACTATGTCAAAGCTCACTGTATAATGTAGAAATAATATACGGAAGTAGCTGACTATGGGTTGTAGAAATCCGTACCCCACCATCACCAAATAGTGATAAAGGTCCAGTAATCAATCGAACAACTTCCAAACGTGAAAGGTTAAGGGTCGTGGTTTTGGAAACAAACTCAAGGATTGTGTCTATTGGGGAAGACTCACTAGGTTCTTCAAGTAGTACTATTAAGTCATCGGAGGGAACAGACACTGCTATGTTTTGAAGATGATCGTTGATTCTCAGTCGGACATTCCCCTGACCGAATACCAATTCTAAAGACTGAAGCTGAGAGAGTTCAAACTTTCTTTGGAACATCAATAGTACGTTATTGGCAACCTCCATAAGGTATTCCGATGATAACGTCAATGCTCTGATTGCTAAGGGTATATTTTCGGTTTCTGTTGGGGTTTGCTCTGATGGCATGGATTGGAGAAGTGTTAACATGAACCCATCAAAGTCCTTAGAGGCAATGTATCCTTGTCTCATACCATTTTTCATAAGTATAACGCTTCTGGAATCAGTGGTTTCTCCCGTTATAAACACTAGAAGCAATCGGAGTCCTACTTCCGACTGTTTTACGGTCAAATAGCTCACCCCAAGAATATTTGGATCATCAATATCGCCTTCTTTTTCTGGTGTAACATCCAACTTCTTAACCACATGCTTTACAATTACTCCTCGAAGAAAATCGGATGCATTGGAGATCCCACTATTGCTTATCGACGTAACTCCGTTGTAAACGTATTTGGTTATGTTTAGTCGTATGTACTGAAGTTGCTGGTTGCTGAAGTCAACGGAGATCGCCCTATTGGTTTTATAAAGTCGAAACGATTTATTATGGAATATTCTGGGGTCTATGTCATCACCAACCTCGGAAGTCATTGCAACACAGATAACCCGAAGATTCCTTTAGTTCAATTCTTATAAAGTACTCTCATGTGTAAACAGTGAATCGGTATAAACAGATTTTTGTGTAACTTTCACTAACCTTTTGATTATGTAATAGCTAGCGTAATCAAGAAATCATGTGACCTTCACTATTGAGTGGTGCAATAGCAGCAATCTAATCGCATAATTCTGCACATTGGCACCCAACAACCAGCTGATTTTCAACCTAATTGAATTGACATGTGGAGGTAGTACCAACTGAAGCTTCTCACTTCAGAGTTTCGGATCAAAGGGATAACTCAATTGAGTCTTCTACAATCAATTATCAGCAGTACAATGTATTTCAATATCTCAAATATAAAAATAACTATATACGTTAAATATCTTTATTAATAAGCGTAATCGTGTCATCAGAGCCAAATTAACCATCGGTCGAAAGGCACAAAGGAAACCATAAGCTCTACACTTATTTCTTGGCGATCAATTCCAACAAGTCAACGACTCTGGTGGAGTAACCGTATTCGTTATCGTACCAAGAGATCAACTTGACGAAAGTAGGAGACAACAAGATACCGGCCTTAGCATCAAAGATGGAAGATTCGGAAGAGGTCAAGAAATCAGTAGAGACAACAGCATCTTCAGTGTAACCCAAGACACCCTTCAAGGCACCTTCGGAAGCAGCCTTGACAGCAGAAGTGATTTCAGCGTAAGTGGTTGGCTTGGACAATCTAACAGTCAAGTCAACAACGGAAACATCGGTGGTTGGAACTCTCAAAGACATACCGGTCAACTTACCGTTCAATTCTGGAATAACCTTACCGACAGCCTTAGCAGCACCGGTGGAAGATGGGATGATGTTACCGGAAGCGGTACGACCACCTCTCCAGTCCTTGTGGGATGGACCATCGACAGTCTTTTGAGTGGCAGTGATGGAGTGGACAGTGGTCATCAAACCTTCTTCAATTCCGAAAGTGTCGTTAATAACCTTGGCCAATGGAGCCAAACAGTTAGTGGTACAAGAAGCATTGGAGACAATGTTCAAGTCAGAAGTGTACTTGTCAGCGTTGACACCAACAACGAACATTGGAGCGTCAGCAGAAGGAGCAGTAATAAGAACCTTCTTGGCACCACCTTGGATGTGCTTGTTAGCACCTTCGAGGGTGGTGAAAACACCGGTGGATTCGATAACGAAATCGACACCAGACTTACCCCATGGGATTTGAGCAGGGTCACGTTCTTGGAAAACCTTGATCTTGTGGCCGTCGATAACCAAGTTGTCACCTTCAGAGGTAACTTCACCCTTGTATCTACCGTGGGTGGAGTCGTACTTGAACATGTAAGCAGCGTAGTCAGGAGAGATGAAAGGATCGTTGATGGCAACGACGTTAATGTCCTTTCTGCCCAAGGCAATTCTCATCACCAATCTACCGATTCTACCGAAACCGTTAATACCAACGTTGATAGCCATTTTGTTGTGTTGTTCTTTGTTAATGCTTTGTTTAGGTCAATTGAATCAAATCAAGAAATCCTGGTGAACAAAATTCTTTTCGTTAAAACATTTTTCGTCCGGGGGGATCCCCCATATTTATACCCTTGAATCCGGCTGTCCAAATTGACGGACCCATAATTTTTCGCAATGAATAAGAAACCTGAATAATTCCACTTCACACCATACCACAAGCTGCCGGATTATTGTTACTGTGTAATTTTTTTTGATCTTAGATACAGAAACAATTTTTAATGTTGCATCAGCTTGAGCGTAGTTTTGCTCTGAGGGGTGCCTTAACGTATACTCTTAGAGGTACCTGGGCACACTATTCCTTCGTCCGTCTTGGGAGCGAGAGTATTCCTTTACAGGGCTGCGCGGCGTGGTAACTGCTAATACAAAAGACGTGTGTGCACCGGTTCTACGCCTAAATATAGGGAAAACGGGCCGGGTGACGGGTGTCCTTAGGATTCTGTAAGCGAATAACCAAGAGTGGAGTGCTCAACTCCGAGGAGCGCGGTGAATTTTGTTCCGTTGGTACTGCATGTAATGTTGATTAATTATGCTTATAGTGGCCTTTTAAACATGCCATGCCAATGCAAAAAACACTCAAATGATAATGATCCATACATACACAACCTTGAGATGTGTTGTGTTGACAGAAGGTGATTAAGTAGATTCTGTACACTGTAGAACTCTATTCAATTGCAACCAAACGACGTCACGTAAATGCATTATGACTCTGATTGAGTTTTTCTACGGTGGATTATTAATACTATTGTTTAGGATGAACGGAGATATTTAGTACTATCGTGATGACGTTTGATATTTTGGTAGTAACTAAATTTAATACCTACCACTACAATAACTGATATGCTCAAAGTTTTAGCTAGTATTCTAATGAAATTCATATATTCCCCCACAGGTTCTTAAAGGCCGAACGGGAATACGAACAACATCCCATGGGTGCTCGGTGATTGTCGCTAAACATCCCGGGGGCTCCCGTAACAAGCTTAGGTATTCCTGCGAATTGCGGGGACACCTGATGTTCCTCTGTGGTAATCTCTTATTGGCTAAATGCTACGCTTCATGAGTAGTAGTTGGATAATGTAATACAAATGGCATAATACAAATAAGTCAAGACTTTAGTGGCAAATAGTACATAACCGACTCTGCCGAAATATCATGAACTTTAAATGTGGATCATCTTGAGATATGACACTACTGTGCCGTATAAGAGTCATCATCAGACGTAAGTGCGGGTAACCCAAAAGCTATTAGTACAATCTTCAACTGCAAATATAGATCTATGAAAGGTACTGGAATCTGATACACTGTGTCTTGAATTGGCATCACTACTGTTAGATAGCAAGAATGATTCTTTCCATTAGTAAAAAAGGAGGAGAAAGCTTTCTTTTTAGTTTATCTAAATAAAACAAAGCTGATATTTCATGGTAATTGTTACACTATTGTACAAAAAATAGGATACAGAAAAAAAACTGTAACAAGAACTCGTAAGAATGTAGTAATGCCGTTTTAATGAGATCTCTTGACGTGTAGCACTCCTTTGGTTAGAAAACACTTTTGTTAGAAATTGCAATTTCTATGATCCTGAAAAGATTCAAACTCAATGGCTTTATTGGTAAAGGAAATCGTAAATGTACTTTGTGAAAACAGAAAAATGCGAGAATTAGCAAACACATATACAAGTACCAACTGATTAAGAGAGAGTCATCTAAAACTTTCTTTGGTGGAAGTACAATCTTGACAAAGAAATATCCATGTAGGAGTAAAAACACCTACGATGTGACTACAAAGCGATTTGAAATGAAAAATTAAAGTTTGCTCATTAAACGAGTAATAAGTACTCAAGCCACTAAAGTCCTTTGCGCCTCTTATCTATTGTATATGTTTTAACTTGTGCCAAACGATGCTAATCACGAGACACTTTGAAGTTTATAGCTGAATGAAGAAACCGTAATAGTACATAACTGCCTAAGATATACTGCATAGTAATGTCCTTCTTGTTCATGTGCTACAGATTGGAGTACTGGAATGTAGGAGGATGTTTGCGAGAGCTCGTAAATCCGTGCATACATCTAGAACATCATTCTGTAAAAACGGTGATATCTTCGGATGTTTCGCTTGTAACTACTTCAGAGCGAGATTGTCATACTGCCAGTTATGAGCGCTGCCATTGACAACGCTTTGTATTGTTGTTTGCGTCACATCATATATGTTTTTACCATGAACATAGTCACGCGGGCTAATTAAGAGTTAGTACAATCGAATTTAAGCTTATTTAATGCAAGTATGAATACTGATTATCACGATTTGAAAAGTGTTAATAATTAGACATTGCTTGGAATATACAGAAAGTTTTCCACAACCACTGTGTCGTTTGATGACAATAAAGCTTTAAAACAGTAACAAAAAAGTTGTACTTTAATTACTAACTCATGCTTACAAATGGAATCAAGGCATTTCCTTGAATCCATAGAACGATCCATGGCAGTTGTACCGAAATAAGAAAAGTTGATCGCTTCCTACCAATTTGAATTCTCCTACGCAAATGAATGAACCACATGAAGGGCACCAGTAAGCGGGTAGTAATCCACAAATGTGTTTATTATTTTTTCCATGATTTCTACGAATAGATCACTAAATAAAAGTTTGTAAAAACTATGTCAACCCTGACTAATTTTTTATGAACTTAGTCCCCACTATTGTATTATCGAACGGCTATACATTGCTTGATATGGACCCCTTGCAAACGTTAGGAACACCAAAGAGTTTTGCATTTGCAACCAGAGTCTCCTTAGGGCAACAAAGCAAATCAAACCTGCAGCTTACAAGTTTATTGACAGGTGCCAGCATGAATGTTCATTCACATTGCAAATGGGTTGCGAGCCCAAAGGGGTTTGCTATTATGGTGACTATCCAGAAATTATTCACAATGGTTAGAACAAGGTTGAGTTGAAATTTAAAACCACGAACACCACCTTTAACAATTTTTGAATATGCCAGCTTTATCCTATAAGAAACACATTTTGTTCATTTAAGAGCTATACTGCATTAAGAACGGAACAATTAGAAGCGGAACAACTTGAAAAGTTATCCGTTTGTGAAGTATAGCCTTGTTTTAACCTCTCTTTTCAACTCCCACCAGAGGAAATTGGAAGAAGGTAACATCAGTCAAAAGATCTCTATAAACTTTTACGTTCGAAATACAAAACTGAATCACCGTGGTAGTTGGGCCAATTTTCGGGATAATTATTTATTTTGCCATGTTGTCCAATAGCGGTAAAGAAGTTAAGACTTTTAGATCTTAAGTGGCATGCAAGGTCAGTGGATCATTAATGGGTATTATCCGCCGTAAATTGAACTAATAATATTCCAAGAATATCACCCCCAGTACAAAGCCGCATGAGGTATGTAGTGCATTCGAACAATACAGCATAGCATTCCCAAGCAGATAGAAGGTTTACGTGGATTAACTTAACGGAATATATTTAGCTAATAAGAGTGAAAATATGATACATTGATAGCGCCAATTCCGACAATGTCAACTCAAATCATCGTAGACTCTGTGTCAATCATTACTCCCATTCGGTGAATTATGTTAAAGGAGACTTCGATTGATGAGTTTTCTGGAGTATTGTTCATTGTTGCAAATAAGAATGAAGTTTCTTTAACTGAATTGTATAATTGCGTAAATGCTTTATTAATATTAGGTCCAACGCGGCTTTGGGCATTAGTCAATTACAATTAGGGTGGCTGAGGGATTGTCTCAGTTTTGCTAAGGCTAGTTTTGCTATGGCTACATATAATATGGCAGAGCTCTATGGCTTCTCCGCTCAAGATGTAATAGAATACGACGTAAGCCTCTAAATAAGCCTCCATTATTATGCCCTCTTTCCGCCGTAATTGAGTTGAAGGAAGACTCCACTCAATTGATCAAATTTAGATTTGAAGCAACTTAGGTTGAGTCTTGCACTAACCTAAGAATTCGTATTTGAGTATTTCGGTAAACTTCAGGTTTTCTTTACAACTAAGTCAAATCATCAAGTTTGTCGAAGCCATCTCTAGCAAACCATAAATGCGTATATGTCATTTTTGAGAATCACTTACTAGATACGAGGAGTGTTCCACCTGAAACTTTTTTGTGTTACCGACGCTTACAGAATTCTATTATGATCTAAAGTGGACGTAAGAAATATCCGATGCAATTTTCCGGAGCATGCTTTTATGTCTTATTACTATTGAAGTTTAGAATGTTGAGCAACACGATCATGGTACACCTAAAAATAGACTATTCTTTCTTGCAGAATAAACAGTGCTGCAAAGATGAAATGGCAAATAGTGTAGTAAAAGAAGTCCATCATTCCATGGTGTTACTGGTGCAACTTCCTGGCGCAGGTTTTTAGAAGTTGACAGCTTGCGAAGGTGCACTTGTTTAAAATAGAACCAGGTGCATCGTGAATTCGATAGTACCTGGAACCAGCTCCAACATACTAGAAAGGGGAGGGGCGGGGAGTGTAGGAAACAATTGGTGAAGTTGTGTGTCAAAATATACCACAATAGAAATGCAGTGCAGGTGCGTAAATGCGTAAACCTGTAAGTTACTGATTATCGATGGATTAGTATGCAAGTTTTTTATGCACCTATTCTTGCGACTGGGGTTATTATTAAGATGAACTAGAGTTGGGCGATAGAGTTAAATTAGACGTCCACAGATAATTGCAGAAGATTGCAGGACAACCACCAAGGCATCAAGCGCTCAAAATAAAAGGTTATTTAAAGACAAATAATTATCACAAGGCTGAATTTTTTTCACTCGACTTGATTTTGATTGTATCTCTATGGGAACTTGAAGGTTTGAAATATATTAAGAATTGAACTTCTTGCCTTTACTGAAATAACAGGAATTGATTCATGTTTTTGAATACCGTTCTCTTGTTTCATTAATTCTACACTGTCCCAGGAATTCACTAAAAGAGGTGTTGTGTGTTGCAATACGGCTAAATAGGTGCTTAAAACTACCACAATTGAACTTTTGGGCACACGGCATATCAAATTGGTAAACGTCCCCTAAAAGGTTTACACTTCCATCGTCGCTCTGTGTACACCAGTACACCTAACACGGTACGACAAAAGCACATACAGTAGCGGAGAAGACAAACAGATTACCATAACCTAAGTAATTATCACTCAGACCTCGATAACTACGTCGCCTATCAACGCATTAAAATAGGCTTTCCGGATCATCTATTACAATAACGAATAAGGGAGTAAAAAAGATTTTGCTTGTACCATTCATAGTACTAAGCACTATCTAAGCTCTTTTTCTTGATATAATACTTCCTATAACCATTATTGCTCATAATAACCTTACAGCGCTACCAGGTTGCGTAATTTGGTTGATTGAACTTTTTCTCCAGGCACGTTTGTGTAATCGGAGATTTGTTCCCGAACTAGATATCCAACGCTCCGTGCTTTTTTTTCCGACCGAATAATTGTCACCGACCTAAATTTATCGACGCCTACCGATATCCGACACCGTTTTCCGACACCGACAAAGTAACAATACCGACAATTTTCACCAGACACAGGAATTTCCTGAGGCTTAACTCCATATATATACCTTGAGGTTAGCTCCATCAATGATGCGACACATGTATCGTAATCGTTTAATGGGTGGCATAAAGACAAGTAGTTACGGTTTAAGTGCCTCCAATTCTATCATAAGTGGTGGCCTCGATTCATTAGATGGAAACGGTACGACTGCGAAAGCTCTCTCAAATACAAGAAGTATGACAAATAGCAGTTTAAATGATGACCGTCATCATGACGACCACCATACAAAGAAGAAGCGGGTTGTTAGAGCCTGTGATTCTTGTCGGATTAAGAAGACAAAATGTAACGGGTTAAAACCATGCTCTAGATGTATACAAGATAATAAGATTTGCGTGTTTTCTGAGAAGAAGAAGCTGAAAGAAAAGACTCATCCAAGTGGATATGTGGAATTGTTAGAAACCCGTTTGGATTTGGTGACAAAAGCATTGGAGAAGGTTGTTTTATTAGCAAGACCCTCGGTTTCCTTCCTTGACGAAATGGTTACAGCTTATCAGGAGCAAGTACTTCACCGTCAACAGCAGCAGCAGCAGCAGCAGCAGCAGCAGCAACAGCAACAACAACTGGAAGCAGATGCAGAAGGAACTTCAAACTGTACCATTCCTTTGAATGAGGTTGTTACCTACCTTATAAATCAAGAAGGCTTACTCTCCAATCTACCCGTTGAGTGGGAAGATGGAGCACGTATAGCAGCTTCGGTCGATTTAGCAGACAAATCCAGTATTTTATCGGCTTCAAAGGAGTTTGCCCAACATCGTCTGGATCATACATATATTAACAGACACCAGGAAAGCTCTCCCCTGCCCTCATCTGTTAAAGTTGAGGAGGAGGAAAATCATTTTATTGATACACCCGTACACCAGAATGCTCTGTTTCGACAACCACGAGAAGAGACAGCAGCAGTATCAGCATCTAGCTTGACGGAACAGCTTAGTTGCTTGGATAACAACTTTACACTTGGAGGGTTTTCTTCGGGAAGGTATAAATTATCCACTGGTATGTCTGCCAATGACGGTAGTACGAGCACAGCCAATGAACAATTTTCAAACTTAATAAATGGTGGGATTAACAGTACCACAACTAGTCCCTCTATGGCTAACTTCCATAATGATTATACGAATTATCTGGATGTGGACTCAGATTCCAACTCCACTTATTCCAATAATATGATGAGCCTAAATATCAACTCATCATCTTCTGTGCCAACATCAACTGGACCATTGACAACTTCTCTTTTCGATCCAAACTTCCATAAGGAGACTGGAGGCTCCAAAAAGTCTATTTCCTTATTCATTTCATCTAAACATATGGACTCTAATCAGTTGACACTTAATCATCAGAATTCGAATGGGTCGCTCTCTTCGCTTACATATCGGTTTGAAACTCATGGTTTAGAGTCGCCTGGATCCGCCACATCACCACAGAATGGTTCCAATGATCAGTTTGTATCGTCTTCTGAGGCTGCAAATACAAAGCGAAGTCTGTCTTTGTCAAGAGCTTCTTCAATCCATAAATTGAAGTCAAATGGACACATTCAAAAGGCTGGACATGCCAACAATAATCATGCAACAGTTCAGAGACGTTTAAGTAATGTATTTTCTGCTCACCAACAACACCTGCAGCAGCAGCAACCAACCTCAAACGGGAGTCAGAATTTATTTAGTTCTGGCGCATCCTCCACTGAATCTTCAACACCCAACGCGCAATATATGTTACCAGGAACCACAGCTAGTACACCAGTTTCGATCCTGAATCCTGATTCAGCTAAGACAAGTGAAGGGCTCTTGAATGGAGTATTGAATGATTTTGATAACGAATTATCAACATTTACAAGCTTACCAAGTGATGCCTTAAAAGTAAACGGAGGTAACCAGCTTTATATTCCTTCAAGTTTGGAAGTACGAAATACCCCATATGGAATGAATGGACTTGACGTAATGGAAGGCGAGGGTTTTGATCTGTTCCTCAGTGGATTTACTGGGCTGTGCACTCAATGAAATGATCGGGTTTTAGGATTGCAATGTTACATCATTTATATATAATGCAAAGCAATGGCGTTATTCCTGGTTTACTGCTTACTTTATCTTTTTCTTCGTTAACATTATTATATAAGTAGCTTCAGGACGTCGGGATTTGGAGATAGTGTTATGTTTCAATGTATTGTTTAATTTAATTTTATGAGAATCGAATTTTAATGTAGGTTATAATAATAGCCGGTTTGTAATTATTTGATAAGGTTCTATTTGATAAGATTTCTACAATTTTTTCAAATAATTGTTTAGTGTTGATGGAGCCGTCAATATCCTCAAACCGACTGCGAAAAATGACTTCACTGGCAAACGTAGTCAATCGCTTGATGATAATGATTAGATTGAACAACTGCAATCCTCTTAAAATGGCAACATAATGACCGAAGAAAGGAAGAAGCTTACATTGTTGATTCCACGGCTGTAACTTCAAATGTTGCAACGGACGGAGGTTATCAATGTGTGACGGTAGGGCTTAAATGCCGCATCCAAGCGGAAAAAAATCATATCAGCCGGAGGATCGGATATAAGCACTACCCGTTTCTCATGTATATCACTCAGACAAAAACCACATCGCGACACTTTGCACAAAAAGTGTGACACTTTTGTCTGAAATATGACGTCATGTGGGATTGTGGTTAGCGATTCTGGAGTGATTCGAAAGCAAGCAAGCAAGCAATAGATTATAAATGGTTAAGTGGCCGGCCAGGTCTTAATGTGACAAAAATACAAAATCATTCTACCACACCCATGTTCTTTATTCAAGTTTATTGTACAACTATTTGGAAGACGCTATCTTATGCTGAACACTATATTCCAAAACTGTATTGAGAAAAAGAAAACCCATGAAAGAAAATTCCATTTAAGAATAAGTGTGACTCCACTTAGTGTTAATAAACCACTATCATTTACGGGTGAATACCCGTAAAAGTAATCCTTTTTAGTAAGTAATCTTATTATGAACGATGCTTCTGCAGCTGCTGAGTAACAGCGGTGAGTCTAGGACTATTTTTAACTAATAAGTACCACATATCAATGCACAAATTTAGGAAGATTGCAACATGCAAAGTGTATTTTATTCTTTATATCGGATACAATTTTTTTTTACTATTATCCTCAGACATTATGGGCCAACTACTTGGCGTTAACACGTTAGCCAAACATAAACAAAAGCAGTAGATGCACATGCAATCAACACATTCGTTAATCTATTTTGATTGTCTTGTTGGGATTTTGCGCCGTTCCTTCTTATTTAGTATCAATAGGCAAACCAGAACTTTCTCCTGTTATTGGCCTATTCTCTTTTAAGAACATATGATACCCCATATTAAGTATCCGACACTTGAAACAATCAAGATTGATGTCTTCCTGTGCAAAGGAACCCCTTTGGTATTTTTATTTTTTCTATGACAACAAGTTAAGTTATTGTAATGAACTAAAAAGCGGCTATTGTTCCTATGCATATACTACATGCATCTGAGGACTTACTTTATACAGTCGACTATTCTATGTGGAAGAGTTGTTTTCCATTGCAACTGACTTTAACCCAGCGGCATCAGAAGATAATCTAGAATATCATGGAATAGGACGAAACTGAGACAAGGTGCCTATAAGCAAACTAGTCCTTAAACCGAAGGAGTCACTACACCCCCCGAAACATTTGATTTTATTCGTGATGGCTTGGCCAGGCCTAAAAATGTCACCAATGGTTTAAAACGGTGTTTACAAACAGCTAAGGAAAAGCCACATAGTTAACCGGAGGAAATCTATTTTTTAGCTTCAGATGACACAAAATTAGCTTCTACATCTGGCCTCACAAAACCACTTCGGAAAATATGCAGCACTTAGTCAAGGGTGATGCGGTGGCTCAATGGTAGAGCTTTCGACTCCAGATCGAAGGGTTGCAGGTTCAATTCCTGTCCGTGTCAATTCCTTTTCTTGGTCCCTTGGCCCAGTTGGTTAAGGCGTGGTGCTAATAACGCCAAGATCGGCGGTTCGATCCCGCCAGGGACCATTATTTTTGCTTTTGTTTTTTTTGAAGTAAAATTTAACTTGAGAGGTTCTGCTTTATACCACTGATCCGCTATATGCAGTTACACAATAAAAAACTTGATATGCATCAAGAAGATACAGATCAGCTGTAACAACTGCCATTGACGACTAACAACAATAAGGAATAATATTCTTATATTATGGCCAAAAAGGGTAAGTCGGCGCCAGCGTCACTGAAAGCGCTGCCTGTTCCTGAAGATAAGAAGGGGAATGCCAAAAACAGTAAGAAAGATGCTTCCAGTAAAGCGAGCAAAGATGGAGATGATGATCCAAAGAAACCCGCTAGAGGAATTGTGGTGGGGGATAACTTTGGATGGACAGGAAAGTTACCAGCCACATTGCTTTACGAGCATTGTCAAAAACAGAAATGGCAAAAGGTTGAGTTTGATATGATGAAGAAGCCCAATGGGTTCATTGGAATAGTTCATTTGAAATGGGAGAACCCTAAGACCCGAGAAGTCATCCAAGTTAAGATGATTCCTGAAAGCGATTTGTATACTCCACAGGAAACTACCAATTCTGCTCGACACTATGCTGCTACATATGTATTGCACCGCATCAATTTTATGAAGAACATGAAGATTATGCTTCCGAGGTTATTCCGAGATTATTGGGAAGATATAGAAAAGAAAAGACTTGAGATACTTAAATCGAACAAGGAGAAACATGACTATATTTATAATGCCAATCCTTTCCTAGTTGTTTTAAACCAAAGAGAGAAACAAGCAAAGTTGGAGAAGGAGAAGCAAATTAAAGAGCAGAACGAACTGAAGATCAAGAAGCCAACTAACATAATTGTCACCACTACAAAAGCCTTAGAGAAATCTACTGCTAGTTCCAATTCAAAATCCAATTTGAAATCTAAAGCTAATAGTGCTGCAATTGTTAAACAAAAGACTTCCAAAATTCCTTCTTTTCCTAAGAAAGTTTGGGAAAACGCACCGTTTATCGACTTCCCATCGGACTTACGGTTGTCGATTGAAAAGTCTTTGAAGAAGCACATTAAATGGCTTGACAATGTGGGGCCGAAGTCAGAGTCGCTGGACAAATCCACCTTTGAGTTATTAAAGTCTCTAGGGTTCAGAGAGCTGCATATCAAAGAGTCCTTCCAATACACTAATGCAACTTCATTTGTGGACCCTTTAGAATGGCTCATCTTCCACATACCAGAAGATGATTTACCACCGTTCTTTGCAAAGTCAGATAAGGATTCGCTAGCCCGATTTAAAATTGCCAAAGACTTGCAGTTTGAGTACATGATGCAAAGATTGCAGTCGTCTGGCTTTGACATTGACGATATTGTCTCGATGTTGAAGGAATATAAGAATGATGAATTGATGACTGCAGTAGCATTGACCCAGTCATTAATCAATCAAACCCCAGCATCAGGAGAAATCGGTGTATCAGAAGAATCTCTTGAACTATGGAACCAAGAGTTAGAGGGCATAGAAACCATAGGCGAACATAAGATTAGTTACCTTAGCAACTTTTCTAATAAAAGAGTCATAGAAATAGAGTTGCATCCTGAGAACATCAAACATGACCTATTAAAGGTCCGAATTTATCTTGCACCCAATTATCCCTATGAAGTGCCTGCAATACAACTCATAGTCAATGACCCTTCTTTTAACCTTGCTAACTATATTAAGCTATCTATTTTACGCCAGGTATTGCACTACTTGGTTGACAATCACATTATTGGAGATCTCATGGTTTTCACCATCGTTGAATGGTTGGAGACCAATATTCATCGAGTCATAGATAATCCAGGGACATTAGTGGATATTCATGATAAGGTGACTGAAGGAAGTAATTCAACGGAGTCCAGAATGAACACTACGACCACTACAAATATCAGTTCAAATACCAACAAATCAAAGAAAACAACTACTTTGCTGAACCACGATTTAGCCTTGATGAAGGAGAAGTATGCATCAAGACAAACTTCTCCCAAACTAAAGGAAATGATCAACCAAAGAACCAACTTACCAGCTTGGAAAAAGAGGGTTCAGTTAGTGGACGTAATAAATTCTAATAGGGTAACATTAATCACAGGTGAAACAGGGTCCGGGAAATCAACGCAAATCGTCCAATTTATTTTGGATCATATGAGCAGTCAAGGAAACTTCAGCTCTACTATCATATGTACGCAACCAAGGCGTATTTCAACTATTGGTTTGGCTGAAAGAATAAGTGAAGAAAGAATCGACAAGGTGGGAGAAGAAACAGGGTACATCATTAGAGGTGAAAACAAAACCAGCAAACATACAAGACTTTCATTTGTAACCACTGGGGTCTTGCTTAGAATCCTTCAGTCCTTTTTAGGCTCAGAAAATGCTGCTACTTCATCATCATCAATTTTCAATAATTTGGAGTACGTTTTCATTGATGAAGTTCATGAACGTTCAGTTGATAGTGATTTTCTTCTTATTATTTTGAAGAGAATTTTAAAGCGATTTCCCAAGTTGAAGATTATCATGATGTCAGCCACTATCAACACGGAGGTGTTCATGTCTTTCTTTGAAACTAAAGTTAACCATCTCCACATTGAAGGAAGAACTTTCCCTATTCAAGATGTTTATCTTGACACTATTCTTCAAGATTTGGATTACTCTATGACTACTTTTGACGGGGATATCATCAAACCCAAACCAGACTCTCACTTCTTCAAATCTGGTAACATCAACTATGAGCTATATGCTCAGCTTGCCCACCATATTGATAAGAAGTTGAGTGCAGAAGGCGACCATAATGGCTCCATTTTGATCTTTATGCCTGGTATCATGGAAATAAACCAGTGTATTAAAGCCATTGAGCGTGCTTTTGATAAGCTGTCTTCTTTATCAAATTGCTGGTGCTTACCTCTTCATTCTGCCCTTTCCTCTTCTGATCAAAAACGGGTGTTCAGTTCTCCTAGAAACGGCAGCCGTAAGATAGTTGTGTCAACTAACGTCGCGGAAACGTCCATCACAATACCTGATTGTGTTGTCGTTATCGACAGTGGAAGAGTCAAGACAATGTACTTCAATACGGACATCAATGCAACCAAATTAGTGGAAGAATGGTGTTCACGGGCCGAGGTTGGCCAAAGAAGGGGTAGATCTGGGCGTATCACTAATGGTACGTGCTATCATATGTACACTAAAGATACGCAAGACGATGTGATGAAAGCCCAGCCAACACCAGAGATCAAAAGAATTCGTTTAGAGAATTTGTACTTGATGGTCAAATCAATGGGTATCAATAAGGTAGAGGATTTTTTGAATAGTGGAATTGACCCTCCAGAACAGAAGTCGTTGACAGAATCTAAGGACTTTTTAATTCAGATCGGAGCATTGACGGAATTCGATAATAGTCTTACTCATTTAGGCAAGTATTTGTCGTTTTTACCCACCGACCTTCAATGTGCCAAACTCTTAATCTATGGATGCTTGTTTGGGTGTCTTGATATCTGCTTATCACTTGCGTCTATCAGTTCTACAGGGAACCCATTTATCAACAACATGGAAAATAGAGACAAGATAAAGTCCATATTGAAGAAGTATTCCGACAGACAAGGTGACTCCATTGCTATGGCGAATTTGTTTGCAGCATATGCCGAGTTGCAGAAGGATGATAAACTGCGGGCCAACAAATTCATAACCCAAAACTGTTTGTCTTATTTAACCATGAAAGACATTGCATCCAACAAATCACAATACGTGGCGATTTTGAAAGACATAAACTTTATTCCTCAAGACTACAATGAGCTGAACACTCAACACCACTTGTGGTTGAATAAGAATAATAAAAACTACCCAATCATTCGTGCCGTACTTACTGGTGCCATGTACCCCCATCTCGCTCGTGTACAAATGCCTCAGCCTAAATTTGTTCAATCTGCGGTAGGAGCATTGGAGGTTGTCCCCGATACCAAGGATACAAAAATATGGATATGTAACAAGGACTTTGTGAGGAAATTGAAGAATAATGACGATATGCAAGACACACTCCCAGGAACAAGGGCCTTCTTACATCCTTCTTCAACCATGTTTATAGACTCAAGCAAGACCCTGATGTCAGATTTACCAAATTACGAAGAATATCTAAAGGAAGACGGTACAGTGGATACAGAGAAGGCAAAGGAATTATACAAATATCAACCAAAAATAGACAATGGTGCGGATGGCCTTAAAACATCGTTCATTGTGTTTGGGAATTCTCATATGTCGACTAAACTTTACCTCCGAGAAGTCACCCCCATTTCCACTTTAGGAGCTCTTTTGTTTGGGGGAGAAATTGCTTACGATCTTTCAAGTTCTATAATGAATGGCAAAAGCTCCCCTGGTATTGTTTTAGATTCGTGGATCCCAATTCGCACCTGGTGTAAGAACGGGGTTTTAATTAAAAGATTACGGTTGCTAGTGGATGAACTTATTGAAACAATGCTTACGAAACCTGGGTCCAGACTTGACGATTCAAATGCAGACATTCTTTCTGTGATAGAACAAATGGTAACATCCACTTAGCGGAAGGATGCAGACATTTCTCTTTCCGGCAACACAGTTAACAAGTACATGAACATAAGCTGGTTCAAGAATCTGTAAGCCACTAGTCTTTTTTATACTGCACATGTTTATGCCATGCCATGCACCAGGATTCTCTCTTTTTTTACATTTCCAAAAGCAATAGGCATCAGTACATGCATCAATACCTTACAACCACCGCATGAACAGTTTCTGGATACTGTGTTTGATAATTAATGTTATGCACTTACTAAGTCGCTTTTTGAGGTTCATTATATAGGGTTAGGGGGCATTATAGAATATTAGTAATAGAAGTGTTACATTATTATTTTTTATTACCGGAGAATTTTTTTTATTGATTTTTAGTATCCATTATTTGAATAACTTCCTTCTTGTTGAAATGCACTCCTGGACTTTCAAGAAGTTTATAGTTTTAAAAACTTTGCTAGTTGTTATGATTCGGATTTTCTCTTAACCAAAGGTTCTACAATAGAGCTGCTGTTTCGTCTTATCATGGAGAATACTATGTTCAATATATGTTAATTGTTTAAGAGAACTTTTTTTGGTTTTGCCTCAGCAGGGGCCCACCGATGGTGAGGAACGCCGTGATAAAAAGTTGAAAATGAAAATATTTCCTGGCATTCTTAACAATGAATTTGACATAGATCCGAAATTATCATCATCAAGTTGTTAATCATCCCTTTTAGAACTTAAAAAAAGTCTCAAAAAAGAGTACTTTAAGCTAAACTGTTTCCTGGAAGAAAGAGATCAAGACGAAATCAATTTTCTCCGATTACTGCAAAACTAAAAAGGATCAACATGGATTGTTAATGACAATTAACTGTATGAGCAAGGTTGAATTAAAAGATGTTTTCTACTATATTAAGTTTTGATTACCAATAGTATGGGTTTATCGGTCCATCATGATACGGTTTTATCGGTCATGGTTTTATTGGACCGATTATAGTCTGGATCCGAGTTTAGTGCGGTTTTATCGGTCAAAAATTTGGTTTGATCATTGGCCGGAGCACAATAGTTTATTCGTTACAAGTAATGGTTCATCGAAAGAAAGCATTTAGCAAGAGAGGTTTTATTAAGGCCAACGGTTTCCATAAAGCGGTCTTATAATACATGCTGATAAGAGGCAATTGAATCAATAATACGCTAGTACTTGTGGTAGTGCATTTCTTTTCACTGCTCACTAATCCTCAACAACATTAGTCATGGTTTATTAAGGATTCGCTACCACAACTAATAAAATGGTTTGGTCTTAGACGTTTTTAGACTAAAGTCTGATTTCAAGTAGAAGAACAAACACATGACAAGAGTAAAGATTTTCCCATTTCCAAGTCTTTCAAAATATCAATGACCAGATTTGTAAGCAGTCCGAAGGAACCACTCTAATAAAAGAGAATTACTAATTAAATAAAGAATCCAGTATAAAATTACAGACATCAGCAGTCCATACATTTATATAAGACAGTTGCAAAAGACTTTGATATTAACTGGGTACAGTTACCATATTAGTCGAGAGGGGCAAGTTGGAATGCGATCCAGTCCGCGAAACTTTGAATGCGCCAAAAGCCATATTGGTCTTTCCGCGATAAGTCTTCCGTTGTGGCGTTGTCGTGGTGGGGAAGGCCGATATTGTCTTTTCAGGAATAAAGTCGCTCCTGGTGCTTTCCGCCGCTCAAGCAGCGAAGGGGAGCACTCTTGCTCACAGTATAGCGTCATATAATAGTCGTAAGTGACGTCCTTCAGTTTGATTTGTACATGCAAGCATACAGTAGGGGTGTTGGCAATAACTGAAAGTATGGCCATCAGTTCAAACCATTAAGGGTATATGTCGTATATTTCCTATAGCCGAGAGTATTTAATTAAGACTTTTAACTTATTATATTAATTAAGTTATGATTTCTGATGGTGGACTACGTTATAGGGGCTTACACAAAAAAGTGTTATCAGTTTAAATCCAAACTGTGCGGTTACTACCCGATTAGGTAACACATTTCGAAATTGGAAGCCGCTAAGAAGCATGTTATCAAGCTATATATAGGGTCTTGAACATCTCGTATTCTAGAATTTCAGACAATCTTATTCTTCAATAACATATAAGCAAAACAAAGCAAGCAACAATGAATCAACTTAAGATTAAACAGGGCCGTCTCGTAGATACAATTCATCACACAGCACAATGGGGTGCCAGCGGTGTGTGGGGGTCTCACCCCACAGAAACTGGCGTTCGTAGATTGGCATTAGGTGATGAAGATAAGAAGGTTAGAGACTGGTTGGTTGAAGAAGCTAGGCTGTTGGGCTGCGAAGTTAAAGTCGATGCTGTGGGGAATATCTTTGCTATTTATCCAGGTAAAGATAATCTGCAACCTCCCACGGGTATGGGATCACACTTGGATACTCAACCTACGGGTGGTAGATACGATGGTATTTATGGTGTTTTGTCCGGTTTGGAAGTGTTAAGAACCATGAAAGATAACAACTATGTACCAAACTATCCAGTAGCGTTGGTAGATTGGACCAATGAAGAGGGTGCTAGATTTCCTGTTAATACTATTGCATCAGCAGTTTGGGCTGGCCTTCAAACTAAGGAATACGCATATGATCTTGAATCCATCTATGATACCGATAGAGTTACGTTTGGAGGTGAATTATCTAGAATCGGATACAAGGGAGAAACCGATGCTTCTCATGTTACCAACCCTCTTGCTGCTCACTTTGAAATTCACATTGAACAAGGTCCTATTTTAGAAGAAGAGAACAAGAAGATCGGTATTGTCACCGGGGTTCAAGGCTACTCTTGGAACCGGGTTATCATTAAGGGTATTGCATGTCACGCTGGAACTACACCCATGAAAAGCAGAGCTGATGCATTGGAAATGGCTGCAAAGATGATTCTAAAGGGTATTGAAATAGCTGAAGGACACGGTGGTCAAGCAACTATCGGCACTATGAGTGTTGAACCATCATCTATTAACGTCATTCCTGAAAGAGTTGAATTCTCCTTCGATGCCAGACATCACGAAGATGCCATATTGAAGCAAATTGTTGAAGAAGCCGAAGCTGCGTTCACGGCCATTGGTGCTTATGGTAAAAACGGTTCCAAGCCACTTCCAGTTGAATTTACAAATACAATGACTTCTCATTCTGTTAAATTTGATACCAACAACATCAGAACCGTTAAACAGGCTGCTTTGGCGTTGTTTAAGGCTGAAGATGTAAAAGAGATTATTAGTGGTGCTGGTCATGATTCATGTAACACCTCGAGGGTTATTCCAACTTCCATGATCTTCATTCCATCCAAGAATGGTATTTCCCATAACCCAGAAGAATACTCTTCGCCTGAAGATGTTGAAAATGGTTTCAAAGTACTTTTAGAGACCATTATTCGTTACGATCAACAGAGGAAAGAACAAAGCATATAATGGAGTCATTTAATGAAGTCACTACGAGATAATTAGGGATATAGGCTCAAATGAGGACAGTTTCCCAAAGCATGTGCCGTATATCGGGCGATCATACTTGTAATGCCGACCTCAATACCCCATAGCTTATTTCTGTTTTGGGATTAAGCTCACGTGCTATGACGAGCCACAATTTCCATCGGGCATTACTAAGTGAGATGACCTTCCCCTTTTGGAGGCTTGATCTAATCATGTCGGACTTTATAGTAAGTAGTCCATGCTTATCAATGATTCCAGAAGATGACGTAAGTAAACATGTGGAGATTCATATATATATATGTTATTAGTTATCATTTAGCTAATGTTTTTTTATTTAATAGATTATTTACATAGTTAGCATACTATGACTAATACACCCAATATTGAATCGTCGCCAGTGCACGATGAAGACCACATACCGTTGATGGCAGACCGAGAGTTTCCCAATGACTATGGCTCAGTAGAAGATTCTGACGGTACCGTTGAACTAGACTTACATACAGTATGGACTAAAGATACAAATGATAGTTACTCCGACGATGTGCTTGCGTTGCCCGAGGTAGTAAGAGAAACCGTTCCACTCCAAGACAATCCATATGTTCCAGTGTTAACCCTAAGATACTTTGTATTGGCAACACTATTTGTGGTGCCTGGTGCCTTCATAGACACAATGAATTCATTCCGTACGACTTCTGCCCCATATTCCATATTCTTTGTCCAGATAGCAGCCCATTGGGCGGGCAAATGGCTTGCACGTACGATGCCCAAACGACGGCTCAAAGTTCTACTGTTGCTGATAGACTTAAATCCTGGTCCTTGGTCCATAAAGGAAACAGCCATGGTTACCATAACGGCCAATAGTGGAGCCACAGGTAATCTTGCAACCAACGCCTTTGCATTGGCCGATCTACACTTTAAGGAGTCTGTTTCTCCATGGGTTGCCTTGCCATTCATGTGGGCCATAGTTTTCGTAGGTTACTCTTATGCTGCGATAGCCAAACCATATTTGATTACAGATACCAAGTTCACCTTCCCCAAGACACTAATGAAGACCGCTCTACTTAAGTCTCAAGAAAGTTCTGATGGAGGAGGGAAGCAAATGAAGGTGTTTTTCATCTTGCTTAGTATCATGGCAGTGTGGCAGTTATTCCCGGAGTTTATATTCCCCATGACTTCTTCTATTGCTATACTATGCTATATGGCACCGTATAATGAGACAGTGAATTTCATTGGTTCCGGGTTAGGGGGAATGGGAGTACTTAACTTCTCTCTTGATTGGGCCAACATCACCTCTTCTATCATGTTGTACCCTTATTGGATCCAGGTCATACAGTTTGTGGGGTTCGTCTTAGGAGCGTATATACTCATTCCTTTGGTCAAGTTCTCCAATTTAGGATTCCACAAGGACGGGCTTATGTCTAATAGGCTATTCACTTCCGATGGCCATTTGTACCCCACAGAGAAGTTGCTTACCAGTGACCTCAAGTTCAACAGTACGACCTATGAAGCGTTGGGGCCCGTCTACTTGGGCTCTCAAAGAGCTTGGAATATGTTTTTTGACTATGCCGCTTATGTCAGTGGAGTGGTATGGGTTGTGCTCTTTGGGTATTCGCAGTTCAAGAGCCCCTTTGCAGCAAGAAGTACTACTCCAGTCTTCACTGACCGTTTGAACAAGCTACACAGAAAGTATACGGATGTACCTACATCTTGGTACATTACGTTATTCTTAGTTTCCTTTGCCACACTATTGACTATCTTTGTCAATGGCAACCTCTTCTTAGAATGGAAGTTCATGATCGTCACTTTGATCTTGGGTGCGATCATTGTGTTTCCTCTTTCGTGGCTCTATGCCCTTTCCAATTTCCAGTTAGCTATCGGGACCTTCAACGAGTTATTGTACGGGTACATGGTCCAGAATAAAACCTACAAACATCCTGTGTCGGCCCTCATATTCGGATCCATAGCAGGTGATGCGTGGTATAGAGCTCAATACCATCTCGAGGTAATGAAGCTCGGCTTTTACAACCATTTACCTCCGAGAGCCGTGTTCTTCTCTCAATTGTACGGAGAACTTATAGGTATTCCCGTCAACTACATTGCCTTGAAGTGGGTACTAAAGACTAAGAGGAGGTTCTTGACGGGGGAACAAACTGACCCCCTACACCAATGGACTGGCCAGGCAATAACTTCTGCACATTCCAATGCCATCCAATACGTGGTACTTGGACCGTCGAGATTATTCACCAACTATGCATGGCTTCCTTATGGGTTTCTATTAGGCATAGCTGGTCCCTTTGGTATATATTGGCTTGCACTACGTTTCCCCCACTCGAAGCTACAGTTTAATCTATGGAATACCACGGTGTTCTTCTCAACCATGAGTACCTTTTACGGTAACATTTCCACAGGGTACCTTTCCAGATTCATTGGAGGCACAGTGACGATGTTCTATGGCTTACGATACAAACACGACTTGTGGAAGAAGTACAACTACATATCAGCTGCTGCATTGGATACGGGATATAATTTGGCTGTGGTGGTATTGTTCCTATTTATAACGATGTTTCCAGGTATAACGTTTCCCAATTGGTGGGGGAATGATAAGGATAATATTGAGAGATGTTTTGCATTGAAGTGATACATGTATCATACATGCGCATACGTAAATCTGCACAAACATACATGCATTATACATACACACAGTTACGGAGTATAAGCTTCAACTATGATATAACTATTTGTATAGTAGATTCTAATAATGCTATTGCGCAAATGTATAAAGTATTAATAATATAGTAGATTTATTACAGAATACTTCGTAATTTCCTCCCACATAGAAACAAATACTGAAAATGTACATACATCATATACTATAATACATTATTGGTAAGAGCACGACCAGAACAAATTCAACTCAAGAGCCAAAATAAGATATTTGTGTTCTATCCACTTACCTTCCACTTGTTCTTCATCTACATCCCGTTCACTATGAATCAAAATAACCAAGGCGGAGGTCACGATGGTGCCAATGGAAACAACAATGACAATAACAATGCAGGTACAGGGCCTGGTACCGGCGGAGGAGGAGCCAGTCGTCTTCAACCTCACCAGGCCACCAAGTTGGTGCTGGCGTACCAAAACGAAATGAGACAAGCACGTGCACCAGGAGTTGATCCCGCTAAGGCTCAAGAGCATCTTAATAGAGCTGAGCAGATTAAGCTGATTCTCGTCAAGTATCAGCAACAACGAGCCAAGTTACAACAGCAGCAGCAACAGCAGCAGCAGCAGCAGCAGCAGCAACAACCACAACAACAAGGTGGACCCAATCAAGGGCTTCAAGGGCTTCAAGAAGGTCTGCAACTGTTGCCCCAATCACTGCCTCAAATGGGTAACAATATGAACTTTCAACAGCAACAGCAACTGCAAGCATCTTCTGTGCCCCAAAGGTTGACACAATCTGCTCAATCACCGCAGATGATGGCAAGCAGTCCAGGGATGGCCAGAACACCCAAATCAGCAATGGGCTCTCCTATGATGGGGGGCAACCAGCAACAGAATAATCTCCAAATGAGAGCAGCTACAAGTAGTCAACTACAGTCTATTCCACAAGGAAGCAACAGACCTCTTTCTCAACAACAACAACTGCAAGTATTACAAGGTGGAAACAAGGGTCAGTTTCCTTCTACTGCTAATAATAGTAACAGTAATGCTGCTCCTCCTTCTACAGCTGAAAGTAACTTCACGATTGAAAAGTTCAACCTGTTGAAAACCAAGTACGAAGAGGTCAATAACTTACTTCAGCAGTGTGAAAAGCGGAAGCAGTTACTGCAAAACCCTGCAGAAGTAGAGAAAATCGATGGTGATATTAATCATTTGAAAGAGAGAAGTAATCAACTAAAGAAATTGCTTCTTCACGTTAGAAGTCAGCTTATCGCCAGACAGAATGCCAATAATGCTGCTGCTGCTGGTCAAACTCAATCTGGCACTGCAGCCGGGGCGCTGGGTTTTCAGCAGAATATGGCCAATAACGCTGGTCAAAGATCAGCAACAGGAACAGCAACAGTAACAACAGGAGCAGCGAGACCCCCAATTTCACAACAACCAACTGCAATTCCGCCAAACAATAACCAAGCAAGAGTATTTCCACCACAACAACAGGTTACTACACCTGGAGCACCCGTTTCAGCAACTCCAAGACAATTACCTCCTACAGCCAACCAACAAATCAATAATACCAGTGTTCCAACCTCTGGCCAGTCTTCGCCACCACCCGTTTCAATGGGTGGTGTTGCTGAAAATAACAAGTCTTCTTTACCTCCAGGAGGAGGACAAAAGTCAGGGTCAGTTTCTAATTCAGTAAGTGCTACGGGAACTCCTGGTTCTTCAACAGGAGGGAAACAACTTCCTAAACCAACTACAACTGTTGGGCAACAACCTGGAAGACCCAGTCCTGCTCCCAACCCCGCGTTGGCTAATATCACCAGAAGTAGTGTGCCATTAATTCCTATTTCCAATACCATTAGTGTCAAGCCTCCTCAGCCAGTTACATTGAAGCAAGGAAGTTCAAGACCCACCATCACGGGTGGTGTTGCTGTTGGTATGGGCCAGATTTTAGGGACTCCAGCCATCACCAAATTACCCACTTTTGAATTGGCATCTGGAAGTGGAGCTGGTGGTACCATTCAAGATAATGGTGGCCGGGTGTTAACCAAGAGAAAGCTTTCTGAATTAGTTAATACTATAGGTGCAGATGAAGGAGATGGGAAGACTGTTATTGATGGTGATGTGGAGGAATTGTTGTTGGATTTGGCAGACGAATTTATATCCTCAGTTACCAGTTTTGCTTGCAGATTGGCCAAACATAGAAAGGTTGATACTTTAGATGTTAGAGATGTTCAATTGCATTTGGAAAGAAATTGGAACATCAGAATTCCGGGTTATGCCATGGATGAAATAAAGGCTACTCGGAAATGGCAACCAAGCACAGCATACAACCAGAAGTTACAAGGTGTGGAAATTGCAAAGTCTGTTAATGGAAACCTTAAATGATGTGCAACTACCCTTTTGTGTTTCATCTAAATATATCATCATCTTCTTCAGCAACCATATATAATTGACTGGTGATTCCCTCTAGAATACCTTCCTTACACCAATACTCCAATGCGTGTCTTATTTCGAACTCTGTAGCTCCTAAACTCTCCACAAGCAGACTCACTGAAAGCTCCCCATCAACATCATTGAATTGGTAGATGACCATAGCTTGGAGAGGAGACACAGTGTAATTTTTTGGAGCCTTGGTTCTGAATTCTGTTAACTCAATGGTGACACTACCCAAGGTTGGTATGAGACGAAGATACCTTCCAGGCTTTTCTGCCTTGTACAAGGAAGAATATTCATCATAAGAACGTTGTAAAGTATATGGGAGCTTCCATGGACTTGTTTCATCTAAATTGGGCCAATACAAATGAGATAATACCACTGAATCAATGAACGGATTCGCTTGATCCGCTTGACTCTTTCCTGTGGTTAAGCTTTGTTTAATATCATCAATCATAATGTCAAGATTAGTGAACTTATCATCACCAAATTTAAGTTTCAAGAACTTTACATCTTTGGCGATTTCATCAACGTTCCATCTTTCCTTCCCGATCAACGGCTCGACAAAGTACTTTGTGATTTGAGCAATGAACAAATCTTTAGAATCGAATATCGAAATCAAAGACTCTATGATATCGGTGATTCTATCTCTCTTGAAGTCGGGCAAGGCATCGAGGGGATCAGGAACCCATTTCAAAGTAAGATCATTTGCATCGTCATAATAAAGACGTGATGACTTATGGGAACCTTTATTAGTAGGGGTTAGTCTTAAGTCTTCTGCAAGTTCAACAAGTTTATTCTGGGGGGATGTATCAAGTATCCCTTTAACCAATATGTATATGGTATCGTCTCTACTCTTTAAATATCGACGAATTGGACGGACCACTCGATCTAGTAACACTCCTCTTGGATCAATGATCAAGAACAGCCATATAGTTTTGGTATAGAACTTAATAATATCCACCGTGTTCACACCTGAATGAAGTAAGTTGTTCTGGCAAGAATCAATAAACGTATGCACCAATTTATCTCTTTGATAGTAGTGATTTTCCAGTACTGCCAAACAATTGTATAGTTCTTCAAGCGATTCCCGAGATTGAGGATACCGACCAATGATTTGAAAGCAATTGGCAATCTTCAAGGTAATAACCTCGGTATTGGTGAACTTCAAAAGCATATCCAAATCGACCAATTGGGCGTTCAACTTATTCCAATTGGATTGAAGGATCTCAGACCTGATAGATGCATGGATTCTTTTGAGACATGACTTATCCCAATCATGAGAAGTACTTTGCACCAAATGTCGGATTCTTCCAATTTGAAGATCAAGAATCACTTCGTAGAGATCGGTTGCCAATTGGTACTTCTGAAGAAGTAAGCCTATAGATACGACTATGGTCTCATCTTTGCCACTTATATTACCCTCCGCTGATAATTTCAGCCTGGTAAGCGTGAGAAAATTGCTTTTCCTTATCAAATGAAGTTCTAAAAGGGCAGTTAAGTTTGCATTAAACATCTGTTTTGCACCCAACGTCAAGTTCAAATACCCTAATCTTGATTGATAGTACTCATGGATGGCTTCAACTAGCGCCAACACTTGTTCCAACGTTGAGAATGTTTCTGGAAACCATCGACCGAATTCAACCATCATTTTACAATTATAAGCAGCGACAAAGGCTCTTTGAGTGTGTTCATCATCTTCCTTAAGACTTTGTCGTATGGCTACTTTGGTACGGCTAGAAGGACCTTCCAATTGCTTCACATGCGCCTGCGCTTGAGCAACAAGTTCACTTGCATCTTGCTGTTGCAGCAGCAGCAGTTGCAGTTGCAGTTGCAGCTTATTTCGGGGGTAACCCGGTTCAAGCCAATGGATCACGTATTCTGTCTCGTGTTGATTGTCTGACGTCGGCAGAAAACTTTCGCTAATGCACCCGAAAACCGCGTCAATGGCTTCCCTCGTATTTACGGGAACGCTCTCCAGTTTCCCTAAACGCCGTATCATGCCGTATAATGGATTTATGGTGGAGGTATTTGCTTACAAAGTGCTGTTGCGCTAATGTTTATACCATAAGATTTAGTCGTGTTCATTACAACTGCATAGGTCGTGTACAGAACAACAATTGCATTATGATCTACTTCAAGTATAGAATCAATTTAAAATATAGCCTAGCCTGGTTGATATAACTTGAGATAACTACAATGAAGGTACGTTTTGGAGATTGACTAAACAATACGATCAACTAAACTGTATACTAACACTTGTGTTTAGAAGACCAGTGTGCTGAGTTTTGTTAGTGTAACAGGGGCTCGTAAATCAACAGCTGAAAGATATTTACGAGATTCAGGTAACAACCTACAACGGGCAATTAACCAATATTACATGGAGAATAGTAACCAACAAGAGGAAAACAACAGCATCAATATTAATGATGAGACGTCCCGGACTTTGAATAGTCTCTTCAACAAATATATGGATCCTACAGACAACACCATCACCGATATAGATGGGACTATTAAGTACTTGGAAGACATGAAGATTGCACCGGATGAATTGGACAGTTTGACCCTTCTGTACTTTCTTAAAAGCAAAAGTATGGGCATATTCCTGCGACAAGAGTTTGTAAGTGCTTGGAGAAAGGCTTCAATTTCATCTATAGAGTCAATGGCTCCATATATACGGCTGATGACTTCCGGGCTCTTGTCACGTGATCCGGAATTTGATTTATTATACAAATTCACCTATGGATTCTTATTGGAACAAGACGGTCAGAAGTTGTTACCATATGATCTCTGTATTGATTATTGGCGTCTCTTATTGATAGAGGGCAAGTACAAGGGCAATGCCTCATTAGTAAAGAGATTGGACCAATGGTGTGTCTTCATAGAAACTGAACAACAAAGAGGAATTAGTAGAGATACGTGGGATATGTTCATTTTATTTATTAGAGAAATAATACTCCCTGATCCTGAAGAAATGAAGGAATATGACGACATGGCAGCATGGCCCAGTGTGATAGATGAATACATTCAGTATCTACGAGAAAACAAGTTAATGGTATAATGGTATAATGGTTATAATTATATTATTAGTATATCACTTAGTTTAATAAGTTGTCTATAGACGATTTACGTAATGTAAGCAACGTCTGCGAAGCATCATGCTCCTTTGAATCAGTTCCCATATCAGGCAAGCATTCACCTTCATCGTCAACAATGCTGAATGAATTCTTGAGTATAAAGTTCAGCGTTTCCCCATTGGGATTCTTAGACTTGAAGTACTTGCGTTTGGGGAAAAGATATGGTGTAGAGGATGTTGATGATGGTAAACTGAACGATCCAGATTGGGTAATCGGTGTCGCAGAAGACATAGACGAGGATGATGTTGATCTCACAAGAGAGTTATTATTATTATGGTTATTGGTTGGATATGAAGTTAAGGCAGGATCAGGTAACAGAAACTTGGATGCCAGATTTGACTTTAATAGCTGACATTTGGGTGAGAACTGGAACACAGGGGAAACAGAAGAGTCGTAAGCAGAGACTTTGGAGTGCTCAAAGTTACTCAATAGGGTGAATACTGGTCCCATGTCTGGGGTGATTTGGGGGCTTGGTAATTGTTGATCTGAAGATTCTGAGGTTGCAGTTGCAGTTGCAGTTGCAGTTGCAATTGTGCCTGCACCTGCAGTTGATGCGGAGGAGGAGGCGGCTGTATTGGTTGGGGTAACATCTGGCATTCTTGAGTGGCTGGGAACAGCAGTGGATTCGCTTGAATCACTGGACTTATGCTCCAATTCAATGGAGATGGAAACTGAATGGGAATTGCGAATGCTCGCATTTGGATTACCTGTAGAGTCCAGGACTTGTTCTTCTTGTTCTTCAATGACGTCTTCCTCTTGGATTTGATTTAAAGGTAGTGGTCTATATTTGGGTTGTTGGGGGTTAAATTGAGGCATCGAAGATTGACCAAGGGGTTGTGGTGCATGTGCTTGCATTTGCATTTGCATTTGCAGCAGCAGAAGGGCGGCATGATTTGTTTGTAGCAATTGTTGTTCAAAATTTTCAGCCAATTCATTAAAGTTGAATTCCTTATCAATGTTACGATATTGATTAACATCTAAGGGGATCTGAGCCCACAGAACATCAAAGTTGTGATTTGGATCCAACTGACTTATTATGGCATTTTGCTGTTGAAGAATATGATGAAGATAAAGTATGTATTCCACTGATGACTTCAATATGGTAAGTTTGTACATCCCATCGATCTTATTATTGTTAGAGTTGTTTGATGCCAGTTTAGTCGGCTGTTGTTTCCCTCCAGGGGTAGTGGCGTTGTTAGAATTAGAGGATCCCGTTGACCGGCAAGCAGGAATCAAATACTTCAAGGCTTCAAACTCTCTATTGATCTTAATACGTCTTCGCTTCTCAATGATTGAATGTAACTGCTTTGTTTCAGACTTTCTTTTAGCCAACTCTTCTTCATCTATGTTGGCAGTGGATCTTCTTCTCTTACGTTTCTGTTGTTCTACCACTGGTGGTGTGGAAGGCGTAGACCCTGCCTGATCGCCACTACTGCTATTGCTATTGCCATTATTATTGTTGTAGTTGTCGTAGGACGTTAAGATCTCATAGTTTGAACTTTCATTGTCCAATTCCTTATTCAATTGAATTATAGTTGTCTTTAACAACGGAGGAGGAGGTAAGTTATAAGCCATTTTGATTGCTCACACCTTCAGCAACCGATCAAAGATGACAATCGATCAATAGAAGCAATAGGGTGGTATATATATTTTTTCGCTTGGGAAGGGTATATATTTTCGCAGCATATACTCTTTGGGCAATTTCCGTTAAACGTGGGTCTAATTGTAGTCTTGTGACAATTAAGGCAGTGCAGGGAACCCGTTGGAAATTAGCCACGCGATAGTGTCCAAATCTACATATAATCAATGTTGTGTAACACATGGGAAGATACATGTATGGGATGAGGTGAGATAATTATACTATAATTACCACAGTAATAGCTGCATTTAAGTCCAAGTATGGGGTCGGTATACGATATTAGGGTGTGGCATAGAATACGGTATTAGAGTATGATATTAGTGCTAGTGTATGATATTACGGATCGTGTCGCTTAGTATAGGCATTCCTCACTACAAATATTAGACAGTGATTATGGTACAACAATCTACGGCTACTCCATTTTGTTCTCCACGTGGGCAAAACAATTAACAGTATACACACTAATCAAATAGTTGCAGCCATCCGTTATATAAGTCATGATACGAACATGGTTCCCAAATAAAAAATATGCACGTGAAAATCGTCACGTGCATGTGGTCCAGAAGTATCTTGTGAATCATTCATTATTTTGCATATGATGCCATGCTATGTACAGTAGATCAATAATACATCGTGTACTTTAGAAGTTACGAGCGATCTTTGATTTGATCAATCTCAGATGCTATCAGTCCAAGAATGAACGTCGATTACGACACTTTCTTAGCTCTAACAATGTATCAAGTATACTGTTACCGTGCTAACTACATACCAGACCGTATCCACAACGAAAGATACATACTTGTCAGACAACCAGCTTTACAAGTTAGTATCAATTTACGTCGTACATATACATGTACCTGGTACAAACGTCATAGTCATATATACATAGATACTTTGATGCACAAATACATACATAGATACATACGTCCGTTGTTAAATCTTCCCCTATAAATTTATCTATGGTGCGTACAAGTATTTTATCTCACTGATACTCTGAACATTCTCCGATACACCTTCTCCTTACCTGTAATCATCATCACTATCATAGTAATCCCTAAACACCTCGTATATAATGTCTAGAGTCAGAAGTGGGTTCTCGCCTGCACCAATCCCCAAGGTGAATACTTGGACTTCAAACGCCTTACTTGTTGAAGCGGCTGCAAAAAAAAATACGACCAGTCCGAATAGACGAGCCAAAAATACATCACCCAGAAGAGGGCCTATTGGTAAAAGGAAGAAGCCTTATTTAAAGAAGAAAAGACCTGATAATTTGAAGCCAGTTGTCCAATTAGACGTATCAGATGATAAATCAATGACATCCATTCAATTGGACGTATCACATGATTTAGAGTCACTCACTCAATTAGACGTATCAGTTGATAGTTTAAAGCCAGTCGCTCTATTAGACGTATCAGATGATTTAAGGCAGCTCCCCCAATCAGACCTACCAGTTGACGCTTTGACTCCCACCCAGTTAGACATATCAAGTGACTATTCCGCTGTACTTTATGATTCAGGCTACGATTCAGATCTCAGTTCCATAGTGATGATTTCAAGCTCAATAACGGAAATAAAGCATAACCCCAGAGCGAGGTCTACTCGTGGCATGGAAGAGGTAAATGAAATGACTTTAGACGACACTCTTTCATCAATGTCTTCACCATTCCATGATCCATATTATCCAACTTTAGTCTTCCAAATCTATCCTCAGCCCACCCATGACATGAACATGATTTCCTCCTACCAATATCTTCCCATGTCTCCTCTTCATCATCATGTTCCGTTACAACCATACTTTGAAGCTGGTATGAAGCAACATAACACCGCTGCTCCTACTCGACGTGAGACTATCAAGAAGCAATTGAAATATTATTTCTCCATAGAGAATTTATGCAAGGACATCTACTTAAGGCAACAGTTCAACCACAAGACTGGGGGGATCAAGATCGATACTCTTTTGAATTTCAACAAGATCAAATGCATTATTGGGAATGATAAGCGACTACTCATTAGCATAATCCGGGATCAATGCTCAGAGTTCTTAGAACTCATTGACGATGTCGGTGATCAAGAAGTTAGAATTTACAATTGGCAACCATGGGTGTTACCAAAACGTAATTGAAAAGATAATTAGTGATCCTTTGTTGGTCCATATTTATCTTTTAGTTTCTGTCTTTTTTGATAATCTCTTTGTTTTATTGAGTATTCCTGTTGTTTTAATTTGAGTTCCATTAAAGTCGGATTTGATTCTAGATTCAAATTGAGATCTGTTTCCATTAACTTCCGTTTACGTTCTTCATCTACAATCTGACTCTCAGATATATTGGCTTCTTTGGTCTTCCTGTCTTGCGAGTCCTTCTCCCAAGCGAATCGTTGCAAGTCTTGCAATTTCACCGATTCTCCACTTAATTTCTTAACAAATTGGTTACTATCATTAAGGAACCCTTTGGTTAAGTCCTTGGTTAATCTGGATTTGGGATCATATTCAAGCTTTTCCTTTGCGGTGATGTTTAAGATATACGATGAGATATCTTCACGGTCTCGCAATATTTTCTCCAGAGGATCTTCCTTGACATTAGACTTAATGTCTTTGGGTTGTAACCCTAATTCAATCAATTCCAATTCGTAATCAGTGTCGTCCTCATCGCCATCAACATCTGATTGTGTTTTGTTGCTTTTATTCCCATTCTTTAAGGTATCCCATTTCTTCACCATGTTGATCCATTCTTCGTTATCGTATCCATACCATCGATCTCTTTTGGTATCATATGTTAAAGATTCGGATGTGATTCCGGGCTCACGAACATTTGTACCCTCCACAAATGTATCTTGTATACCCTTCCCCGCCGTGGGTAAACTGTGATCTTCAATTACTCCATCTTCTCGTCTTTGATGGGCTAGATAGTCACCGTCGTCATCATTATCACTATTTTTATGCTTTTGGTCATCTCGATACCAAGGCTTTGAAACTATATACTTGGGAATATGCGGATTCTTTTCCTTTCCGCCATCCTTATCAGCCATCTCTTTAGTGGTCAGTCCACATACGTTGTGCCGTTCTTTTGTTGTACTAAAATTTCGCCCAACTCAACGCGACTACTACATTCTGGTGATGGTTATACACAATAATACAATAATGATTTAATAATAATGATATTATTTCTATTATGATAATGCTAATGCTACACTTAAAATCCAGTCCATTCTTCTTCTTCATCATCTTCATCGTCCTGCTCATCTCTGTTTTCATCACTGGAGGCCGATTTACCTTTAGATTCCACTACACCCCATTCAACCAATCTTTTGTCATCTAAAACATCGTCCTTGCACTTCTCCCGCAAAGTTTTCAAAGATGCATTTTTATTTAAGGCAGCAAAAGGACCAATCAAGTTTATTATGGGGGTAACGGAGGCAATTTCAAGTTTCTTTTCAAGCACTTCTTTGTTATTTTCTTCGTCTTGTTCCAGATCAGAATTCAAGTCTCCAAACATAACGGTCTCCAACTCATCAACGTATATATCACACAAATGGTAAGGTAAAGCATATGGTACAGATTTATCTCCACATAAAGGAAATTCCTCCATTACTTTCAAGTAATCTGTTACTAACAGCTCCTTATATTGATGTTTCTTGAGGAATATCAACGAATGTCTGAGTACACGTCTCATTAACAATAAGAACTTGTCTACTCTCCATTGGTCTATTTCTGGCCATTCTCTAATCATAATGGACCAGAAAGCTGCTAAAAAGTCACCAAATTGCTTTTCACTGATAAACCCACTGAATAACTCTCCTAATTGTTCTGCCAACCGTTCTTGAGGTGCTGGTCTGTCACAGAACCACATTGCCAAATAAAGACCTTTCCATAACTTCATCATTTCAAGTTTCTTCATTTTATTTGACTTTGACCGGATAAATTGCTTGAGAAGATCAAACGCTTTCTCTCGAGTGTGCTTATGGTTCGATGCAAGATTCTTCACGAACCCGTTCATCTTCGATGACATTTCTACCGACATGCTTAGCTATAGTAGGAGTACCAATGCGTTAGGTTATAGCATCTTAAGGTAGTGAATACGATTGTGAAAACTTGCCCATCGCGATGATTCACGGTAGCGCGGGTATATGGGGCGTACGCGACTATCGATCACGTGATTTTTATAGTACTACGGATAACACTGATCATGCTGGTAGTGTTGGATATACTTAAGGCACTTCTGAAGGCAGAATACCAGTGATATAGTGCTACAGATGGAATAATACTAAACGACCATTAATATCAATACCACTTTTGAAGCCAGCACTACCATTACGTGTCATACAAAGACCAAACTAAAACGTATATTAAGTTGATGTGCTAAATTGTGACTAAAGGGTTTATTAGCCCGTAAAGCTCTAGTTTTACAATGAGGTACCCTGGCCATTGCCACCGTTTTATTGCACCGATTAATTATCCATGGCTCAGCCATTGAATATCATTATTCTGTGGTTAACTTAAACAGAAACTTAAACAATCAAGTATCTAATTGGGATGTGGATCAACTTAACAATGTATCCAACAACACCCATCATAAGGAAACCAATACCCACGGCTCTGACGATCTTAAAGTATTCTATTCAAATTAAAGTTAGTACTTTGTTCGTTATAACAAAACATGGTTCAAACCAGAGGAAAAACAAACATACCCTTCTTATCAGGCTTGGTACACTTTCTAATGAAAGCAGAACCATCCTTGAAGAATTCAGCAGGGACTTCAGTCAACTTTTCCAACCCTTCAGCAGCCATTTTTCTTTCGTATATTTGTTGATTATTGATAAGCTAAAGAACAACGACTGATAAACTCGTCCTTAGTTTTCGAGCATTTTTTTCCACTTCGTTGTCAGTTATGATTTGGGATACACACGACCTTGTAAAACATATGTATGGAAGAACTTACCTACGTACGTATGCACGTATGTATATGCATATATACAAAAGTTTTAAGTAATATATAAATACGATGTTATTTCCAAGCATTGTTTATAATAAATAAGATATGCAAAAACTACATAAGACCAAGGAAAGAATCATCATTTTCATCTGCTCTAAGCAGTACCATTTTCTTTTCTCTCTTGTCTTCAAGTTCAGCCATGTAGATAGGTTTGACTTGAGCGTACCATAGAAGTAAAGACTCTTTCATTTGCAGATCAATACTCCATTCCTGTATGAGAGGTTCCACTTGGCCCATGTGGGCGAGTTCCAGTTTATATGAGATCAAATCTTTGACTGCAGATTCGTAAATGTGTCTTACAGAATCGTGATATTGGCCCAATGAAACCGGGCCAAAATTGTATGACTCGGGGGAGTTAATAGTATGATAAACTTGATCAAGTTCTGTAAGAAACTTATAGACAGGTTGTTCGACTTCGGGATTGACAGCTTCTGCTGCAAGAGAAGTTTTCAAATCATGTTTCAATGATTCAGACAAAATCTTGTAATAGGAATAATATGCTGAATTGGAGTAGAAACTGTTATTTGCTTTGTACAAGCTCCAAAGAGCATTCATGGTATTGAGTCTTTTGGTACGAACAGACTCCACGTACTCCACATAACCCTCGTAATCGAAGTTTATATTACTTTGTGCTTCTTCCAATGAAGACACCACAGGAATGGTGACACTTTTGTCTGAGTTCGTATTTTCAATCTTCATGAACATGATTAGCGTTTTGGATTCGTCGTATCGTGTCATGTTCTCGCTCCATCGGAACAACTTGCCCCATAACGATCTTGCATGTCTGGAAGATAAGTCGATGTTGTACAGCTGTTGGAAGGCATTGATGTACTTCAACCCGCTGAAGATCTCGTTATTATAAGCATACGCAACAAAAATAGCCTCCAACACTTGTTGAGTTGGTTGCACGAGGTCTTCTGATTTGGTCATAACCAATTCTCCCTTGGCGTCAATGCCGTAGATCAAGTGGATCATCTTGGTTAAGTACTCTGTGTTCCGAGAATAGCCGGCAGAGTAGATCAAGGCTTTGACAAACTCACTACCCAATGACTTGCCTAATGCAGTGCCTCCTCTGACCTTTTGCAGTTGCAAGAACTCATTGAACACCACCAAGAAGTTCTTGCTCAGCTTGAGAAAAGACTGCTTGGGCTGGTGGTTCAATGTGGTCAACTCATTAACCTTGTCTGAGATCTCCCACGACGATGGGTACCCCCCACAGTAAGTTTCAAGCTTGAGAACCCATAACCTGTGGGTCATGTGATCTATGCTGGTTTCACCAAATTGTTGGTCAAATCTTTGGAACCATTTAGACGCCAAATCAAACTTCATATTGGTGATTTCCAATTCAATCAAGTTCTCATAGTCATGAACCATCAATTCATACCCGGTCCAGTCTGGAGATACCGTCAAGTCATTTCTCGTACTTCTGTCGTACATAAATGTCTGATCACGGCTCCCGTATAAGAGGTTATTGTAGATTGTTCGTATATTATTTTTGGTGATATTGGCGTTTTGAAATGGTTCAATTTGGTCCAATGAAACGGCTTTGCTGGAAGTGGCTCTAACCACCAACTGTTTCTGATACGTAACTAATTTTCCAAGGAAGAAGGAGAGTTCTTCTTTGGTTAATACGTCATTCCATCTCCCCAGTTCTTCTTGCGTCTTTGTATCAGTGAGAGCTTTAAGTAATCGGATCACCACCTCGTATTGATTATTCTGTAAGCACTCGTAAATCTGCAGTTTGACTTGATCTCGTACTATACGACCTTCTGCAGACACTGCAGATGCCAAATGCGAACTTGAAAGGGACCCGTCAAATTGTTGGGAAGGGAAATTTCTAGTTCTAAGCTTCGATACTGTTGAACCTTTCACTTCACTATGAACCTCTCTAAATTCGTAAATCCCTGTGGTAGCAGGGATCGCCGAAGTGGCTGCCCCACGCACTATAACATTTCCCCGTCTCAATACACTCCTCATATTAACTGCAGATACACACACACATAAACACACTTTGGCTCTAAGGTTGCAATCAGACATTGAAAAATTACAGACAAAAAAAAAAGTTCCAGTGCGGGTAACACCTTGTGGATGCTACACAAAGAGGAGCTAACTTGCACCTACTAAATCTGCATAACTACTCTAGTTCATTAAGCCTATACATTCTAATTATAACTTGACATTTCCCATGGCTTCAAAGAACTTTGCACCCAAGTTCTTAGCGTTATAGTCTTGAATCCACTTGTACCCCTGTTCAGCCGTTCCACCCAACATGATGTCTTGAATACTCTTCTTTGTACCCTTGACTGCCCATTGCTGGTATCCACCAATGGTGTCGGCCAAGTCCAAAGCGTATTCAAGCCCTTCCTTGTGGGTGGGGAACACTTTTGATACGTAGCCCAACTTCAAAGCATCCTCCGGGGAGAAGACTTCACCAGTTAAAGCGTACTGATTCAAGAGTGAAATGTTGTTGACGAGTCGAGGCATCCGCTGTAAGGTTCCAATGTCTGCTGGGAGACCAATGACAATTTCTCTAATGGAGAACTTGGCATCTGCAGAGGCAAGTCTAATAGTACAAGCAGAAGATATATCTAAAGCCAACCCGTAATTAATACCATTCAATACCGCAATGGTAGGTGTATTGATTCTAGATGGTGTACCAATAGCATCTTGGAAATCTCGTATATGTTGAAGCAAATACTCGTATTTTGCCTCGTATGTACTGGTGTTATCATCAGAGGCAAGTTTCATGGCTTCCTTCAAGTTTAACCCCGATGAAAATGATTTGGGCACGGCTGATGAAATGATAATAACCTTCATCTCAGGTTCAGCGTCTAATCTTCTTAATATCTCTTGATACGAACGCCAGTCTGATTCAGCAAAGGCATTTAATGTCTTTGGATTATTGAACTTAACATGTGCAATGGTGTCGTCCACCTTCTCCACAAGATAGTGTTCGTATTTGTATGTACTGGCGTCAAAACCCATTTCTATTGAGAAGTATATGTATATATGTGAGTTTATGTATATGTGATAATGGCATAATTAACGGATCCTGTATTTTTAGTGGTTCTTCCCTTGCATTTATATGCGTTTACCGTACGCATTTCGTAACCGAGGCAGAAGTACCACATGTAGAGGCTTTTTTGTGGGGTACCGGCGGTACCAGTTTACGACATGTTTTCAACTTAGGAGTACGTATATACATGCTTACCTAAGAAGTCCTAACTGTAACCCACGGAATCTATACTGTATATTTGGTGGCAGGACCTTTAAGATCATCTTTAGCAGCTGCTTCAAGCCCTTCAATCATCCGTTGTCGAATAAGATTATTGGCAGCTCGAACAGATGCTTCCGTTAAGCCTTCAACAAGCAAATAGAGCTTGGGTGGAATTGGCTTGGAATTTCCCGTAGGAGTAGTAGGAGCAGGAACCTTTGCATTGGGAGGATAATACTGACCTTTATTCGTAATTGAAGTAGAAGTAGATTCAATGATTTTGGAGATGGAATCTCTATTCACCACAAGCCATCTTGCCTTCTGAGGCAAATCATTGATAACAACTCGGGAATAAAACTTGCATTTATCTGGTCCGGAAGTCTCTGGTGTTTGTCCTTCAATGATTTGGAAATCTGGAAGTAAGCTTTCAGTTGCAAGTGATGTCTTAGTGGGTAGTGATGATGAAGACGATGATGATTTCTTATCCTCATCATCTCGTGGAACATCAAACACTTTACGCTCAAGATCCCGATTATTTTGTCGTTGTTCTTCCAAATTCTCAAGCCCTTTACCTCCAAACCCAAACTTGTACTTCTCCTTCCCTGCTTTGACTTTGTTAAGAAACTCACTGCTTATAGCGATCAATTTGGACGGTATTTCCGATTCTGGCACCTTACTCATTCTCATTGCCTTCACTAGGTCCGTAATTGCACGCTCTTCCGTCTCGTTAACAAATGTAATGGCTACACCTTTAGTGCCTGCTCTCCCAGTTCTGCCAACTCTATGAACGTAATCTTCCATATGGTTTGGGGCATCGTAGTTAACAACAAGGTTCAAACCTTTAACATCAAGGCCACGAGCAGCTATAGACGTAGCAATCAAAATATCTAGGCCACTATCAGACAGTGAAAAATCTTTAATAGTGTGCTTCCTGTCTATTTGATCTTTACCTCCATGGATAGCAAGACAAGCGATGGAATGATTCAACAAGTGCACAAGCAACTCATCTACGCCAGCCTGGGTTTCCACAAAGATCAACACTTTTGTATCCTTATTGGTGTCCAAAATATTAAGCAATTTGTTTAATTTAAGCTGTTGTAATTGCGCTTCGTTCTTCTCTTCAAAAAGTTCAACTTTCTGAGTGATGTCCAGGGCCACCACACTGACTCCACCAACGATGATCTCCACGGGTTTACAAAGTATTCGTTTCGCGAGCACCTCCATTTTACGAGGGAACGTGGCTGAAAATAACACACACTGTCTGTCAGGTCGTACCTGCGTAAAGATCTTAGCCACTTGGGGTTCAAACCCCATATCAAACATTCGGTCTGCTTCATCTAACACAACGTATGTCACCAGATGCAAGTTGGTCACTCGACCGCTATTAGCCGCTAGTAGGTCGATAATACGGCCCGGCGTTCCCACCATGATGTCACATCCTCGCTTCAAGTCTGCAATCTGAGACTCAATGGAAGAACCTCCGTAGCAGCAAACTACCAGGATTTCAAGCTGCTTTGTAAATACCAAGAGCTCCTTGTGGATTTGTAGCGCCAATTCTCTCGTCGGAGTCATTATCAACCCAATTGGACCACCACCAGTATGGCCACTACGACCAGATAGCTGGTCTTGTATGTGCCTTAGAATGGGTAAAACAAACGAAAGAGTCTTCCCGGAACCGGTCTTTGCTACACCTATCAAATCACGTCCTGACGCTATAACCGGAAGTGCTTGACACTGAATCGGAGTCGGTCTCGGGAACCGAGTCTCCAAGTTTTCCTGGACAGACATCATCAAACCCAAGTGTTTCCATTCGCTGATTGGCTTGGGAACATCAAGACCCCGGACATTAACTCCATCCAACATACGGAACATGGCAACCTGTTCGTCGGCCATGGCCCTAACTTCTCCGGACTCCACATAGAAGTTCTTCCGGAACGGTGTGAGATTTGATTGGTTGAAATCAACTACTGCCAACTCCTTCTGTTTATTGAGTTTCTCCAACCTTTGGAAAAGAAGCTTCTGTTGTGCTTCGTCGTCATCATCTTCATTGTCATCAGATGCTCCTGCAGCTGCAGTTTCTTCGTCTTCTTCTTCGACGTGGTACGCCGTTCCTGAATGCCGGACAGTACCGTTACCCTCGGTGTTAGCTAACATTGCCAAATACAGCTCCAACTCATCAACATCATCAGATTTGATACTGCTGATATTATTGTTCCGAGAACTTCCGGGTAATTTGAGCTTCTTGACTACAACATCTTCACCTTCATCATCGCCATCTGCTAATAAGTTTCTCTTGATATGACTCGTCACATTCTTGCCCACGCTGCTTGTAGCTTCCGTCACGTTCTTCCGAATGCTTAAAAATCTCAGTGACTTCACAGGCTTCACAGGCTCTGATAAGACCTTCTTCATTGATAATGATGATGGCTCACTCTCCTTCTTCTTCTTCTTCCATGCTGCAAGTCGTTCTTGTCGTAACCTGAGCTTCTCTGCATCATCTCCATTTGTGTCTGCATGCTGCTTTTCTGCATCTTCTTGAAGCTTGTTTGCCTGCTCCTTCTTTGCCTTCCACTTGGCCAACAGCTCTTGTCTTCGTCTTAGCTTGTCATCGTCTGACACTTCTTCCTTTGTCTCTTCTTCTTTCTTCTTCTTCCACGCTAACAACTGCTCTCGACGCCGTCTTAGCTTTTCCTCTCTGCTGATTGGTTCTTCTGGATTGGTGTTAGTACTTGAAGTCATATTTCCGCTCTCCAAGGCAATGTCGCTTACTTCTTGAGCTGTTAAAGCTTTGTCTGTCGGGTTGGAAGAGACATTCAGTGTCAGATGAGTTTGAGATTAATGTCTATAAATGTACTGACTATATGCAGTGCGTGATGAAAAATAAAGCACTATACGAATATATTACGATACTACATAGGACATGTAGTCTTGATTCTTATGCATAGTCCCATCTTCGACCTTAGGTCCACCTTAATTCCACCTTAATTCCACCTATAACGCAGTCGTAACTGTCACGGTTTGCGAGTTAAACAAAAGCATAGGAGGTAAATTATCCATCCATATAGCTAAGTTATTGGCATAGTCATAGGAGTCGTCATTATTTAAATGTGTTCCTAATTCAGGTGTTGGTAAAGTAGAAAATATAATGGTTGTTGAGTCTTTTGTAGAATTCATCTTCATAAGCTCATTCAATATCAAATGTTGTCCCTTTGCTGGTATACTGTTAAAACTCAAGTTGGTTAGCTCTTCCTGAAGTTGTTTCTGAGTAATGGGGCCTTGCCCTTCCACTTGTCCAGCACCCTTATTACGGAAAACTTCATCTGTAGCATTCGATTGAACGCTTCCAACACGATGAATAGTAGATGGTACATCAGAGATAACGGGGATATCTTCGTCTTCTCCGTTATCAGTCGCTAAGAATTGAGGTGTACGTAAATGGCGTATGGTTTCATCATCTGCAATCATAATTGAAGGTGTTTGATCGCCTTTTCTTCCTAACTTCTGTTGCAGTTTCTTGACGGAAAGGCCAGAACCCTTGGTAGCATGCAAATTAAGTCTGTATTCAAGGTCTTTGGCATTAAGTGGAAGTCCTCTTTGTTGCTGAAGAGATCCAATGGGGTTCTTAGGACTGATAGAACCAGATTTAGGTATTATTCCAGACGACTTCACATCTGTTACTTTCTCTCCTTTAGGTTCAGATCCCTCAGCCACGTCATCATCATCTTCTTCTTCTCCTTCAACTTCAACTACTTCCTCTTCCTCTTCCTCGTCTACATCATCAACAAAGCCAATGTTCCTTCTCTGTGAAACTTCCGGACTCTTTCCATAATAATCTCCGGCATCGTCACCACCGCCATCATCATCATCATTCAACTGTGTCTGGGGAATCATTACAGACTGGAAGTTAGGCTTCAAGTACAATGCACTTCTGCTGGACCTCGTAGATAAAGCGTCATCGTTCATATTATTAGTGTTGACCTTCATGAACTTATCAACTTGAGTATTAGGCTTTCGCAACTGGTTTCGGTATTCAGTTGTCTGTGTCTGTGCACCACTTTCTATACGAGGGGGTACCATCCTTGATTCGAATTGCAGAATACTACTGACAGAACTGTCTGAAGCAGTCTCCGTTTCTCTTTCACTTTCACTGCTAGAGTCTTCAGATTCAAAAGGATCTCGGAAGAAAGGATCCATTCCTCCACCAGGCGTGGCATTGATGTTCATCGATACAGACAATCCACGTTCGTGCAAATTCGACATGGTGTACCTTCTTTTACCTTGGAAACTCATCCCCGTTGGATTTGGTGATGTAGATTGTAAGTTCAACGGAGCAAACGTTATGCGAGCTTGAGTATCTATTTTTTGGGCCTTCTTCCGGAACCTTTGCTTTTCAACTTCTCTTAAGGCTTCACGGGCATCCTTAAGGTTTTTCCACCATTGTTCATTCTTCAAAACCTCATCAATACCACCATATACCTCTTTATTGGTTTTATTCTTAGCATAACCTTTAACAATGAAATTGTAAGTGTTCAATTGGTTATCTTCAAAGCATATAACCTTAACCTCGGCATCTATACGTAAGTTTACTAACAATTCACATACTCTTTTACGTTCTTCTTCAACCTCACTCTTCAATTCCACAAAGGCTACTACCCTAATAGTGTGGTTGGTGTATTTCCAATCGTTCACTGAAGAAAGAACATATCCCAACTGTAAAATCAAGGTGTAGGTATCAAAATTAGTAGATAAAACAGACTTTCCATTGTCCAACTTGTCAATAGATGACATTTGAATTGGATATAAATCAATATACTTCTTCTTTTTGTCGGTATAATTTGGAGTAGAAAATAAAGAAGTAGACGTAACTTTAGAGTTTGGAAGTTGTAGCTGTGAAAAGTTACTGGCAACAGCCACCGTGGCTTGCATAACAATAAGATCTTCAACTATTTGTACCCATTGACTGATACTAACTTTCTTTTCCTTGCGACATTCGTCTGTAGGTAAAGACGTGATCCCACTGGATAAAAGGGAGAAGTCCACTCCATGTTTAACGAAATCATAAAACCCAATTACCGTAATATTTGGACGCATACCACCAAGACCACTACCTAAATAAACGTTTCTTACACCCCAGGGCAATGAAGGCCCAACTGAGATTTGTACAAAAGCTTTAATTTGAGATAAGTCTCTGATTTTAACCCAAGCTTTCCTTTGTTTCTCTACTTCTTTGTATGAATGAGGATTGAACCCTCCTTCCAGTTCATCAACGTCATTCATGATAATCACATGCCCCAAAATGTACAACCCACCTTTCTTTAGGTGATTACAGAAACAAATCAAGTTCCACGATGTTCTGGGATCATCAGATAGTAATAAGATTTGAGGACGCCAGTACTTGACACTTAGATTCAATTTCAATCGAAGCAAGTACTTTCTAACCTGATGGTAGATTAATAATTGGGAAATATCACCAAATTTAGAAGGTGGAGTCATGTAATGGATCATGAAGATAAGAAGCATCAAGAACAAAATTACTGCAGTTGCTGATAACCCATCAACAATGTACATTGCTGCAAAACAGAACAAGACCCCGAAAAAGGCTGTTCTGGCCCCGAAATATTTGAATGAAGGTCTGAAATTTGGAGCTGACCCCAACTTCAATAAAAGACACGCCAAATTGGTAACAATAAATGTCATTAAAAACGCCATGGTAATGAAAGATGCAATGACATTAATGTTAGCAAACAAAAAAACTTGAGCAATGAACCAAGTAGCCACAATGGCCAAAATTGCAGCCCTGTCTTTCTCTTTCTTTGATTTCTGCATCGTAGTAAAGATGCCAAGACCAGGTAAGATCTTATCATCAGCGATTGCATTCAACATTGAAGCTGCACCCACAATACCCATGATAACGGAGAAAAGAGAAGTGGATAACTCTCCTAGAATGATGATGATATCCGACGTATTGACGGTTTGAATGATCTTGATGTCCACATACATCATTTGACGAGGGATGGCGAACCCCATCAGCAAAATTACCAGTGAGTACAAGCAAAATGTGACTACAAGACCTTGGATGGTTCCTCTGGGAATAGATTTGGAGGGCGTCTTCAATTCTCCAGACATTGAAGCTCCAGCAAGAATCCCGGCCGTTGCAGGGAAGAAGATACCAAACAAATCACGGAAGCTTTCCTTTACGCCTGGAGGAAGTACTGAGCCAGCAGCACCGCTTGTGAACTTTGGCCACAAGTTGTTTTGAAACGTTGTCCAAGACAAACCCGTGTAGAAGATGCCATCGTAGGGCGGAGATAAGTAGTAGCCTGGGGTCTTGAAGAAGGTAGAAACAGGTATAGACAAAGTACTGATAGTTAACATGACAAACAACCAGAAGGCTGTTTTGGATACTAAGCTTGACCCCACAACGGCCACACAAGTACAAAGGAAAAGGAGACCTGTCAGATAAATGTTCTGCCACACATAAGTATCGGGTAACCATTGGGCCATGTCACCGTCTGGAGCCCCGAAATTGACTAAAATAGGTTCTATTATACCCACGACGTTCAACGAGGAGTTAAGGATCTGACCAATGAAGAAGATGATCCCAATAGCACCGCCAAATTCCGGTCCTAGGGATCTAGAGATCATATAGTACGCACCACCACCCTTGACGGTACCATTTGTTGAGATGGCACTGACAGATAACGTGGTCAAGACGTTAATGGTGTAGGATAGTATTAGAAGAAAGAACGTGCCTATGATCCCCATTTGACCCAAGATGAACCCGAATCTAAGAAACATCAAAATCGATAGAACGTTAAGGGAAGTAGGAAGGAACACTCCTTCGAATGTGGAGAGTTTGCCTTCATTCTTGGATGACAGTGACTTCTTGATATGAGTAGCTACTGTAGCACCATTGGCACTGATCGCTGTAGTATTACTTGAAGCGGCTGTACAGTTCCGAAGTGAGCTGCTCCCCTTTGTCCTTCGACTAGTCTGATACTGTTGATGTGGTGGCTGGAGTAATGCTGTCGTCTCCGATGACGGTATGCCTGGTTTAGATGTCATCAAGCTTAACCAATGAGACTTGGACGAGAAGAATGACGGTTCAGTTGCTTATCATTGCTGTTACCATCACGTCCTGTGTTTGAGATTATTCGTGTGTCTACACTACAATCCAGATCATCGTCACCCAATTGGGATAGACGATAAGAGTGCAGTCGTACAAGGGAGACGTATAGACAAGTAGACGGTTCACACCGTCCCAGACACTGAGAGTGTGACTGCTTTGGTCTGAGACTCAAACCGTTGACACTGCTAACAATATGATGGTGGTATGTAGTGGTATGCTACTACTAACATAACGATGTGAAGTGCCATACTTAATCCCCATTATGACTCCTATATATGCCTCTGCTCGTTTATATGTTTCTACTCGTATACATCCATATACTTCCTCTTGGTTCTACAACTTATAAAGCGTATTAATTAGCTTAGTCTAATAGTCCCTCACCTTATCTCCATTCCCGGACTTCACAACTAGCGGTCGCTCCTCCGTCCACTTTGTCTATACGATAAGGCTGAGTATATGTGTAGCCTCCTTATCTCGCCCTCGACCCCTTGATCCACGTTTCACACGCGTCCCTCTCGTATAAACAATGTTGGGACAAGTGTGTTTGGTATTCTTACTTCATCAAATCTTTTAAGCGCATACTCTCTAATAGAAGGTGACTAAGTTTATCTTGGAGACCTGTATATAACACCCCATCTGATTCACGTTATGACTCCAAGTGACTAGATTGTAGAACCCAAACGAATAATATATCTATGTGTAACCGTTGGGAGAAGAATCGATGCAAGATTAGGTGGCAATTGTAGCACCACTATTTTCTTAGGAGACATCGTTCCATTTCTTTCGGGCATGCAGCTAGACAATTGGAGCACAATGCACGCCATCTGCTTACTTTAACATAAATATAAGTATATATATAAGTACAGATTCATGTAAAAATGTATACATTAAAATAAGGCTGAAATAATAATAAACTGAAAGCATAGTTAACTATATAATTAAGTATCCACCATAGGTATACTCCACTTTGTTATACCCTCGGAATTCAATCCTACTATATTCGACACTAATTCCCTGATTAGGAAAATCAATTCTTACAGACTTCTTTTTTCAAGAAAAAATTCACTTGATCTTCAAATTACAATTTTGCCCTTGAGCATCATCCCTATTTAGTCCCAACGTTATACTTGTTTGTGTGTGTCCGTCCCCAAACATGTTCAGATTAGTCCAAGCCAACCAGCTGCTTAGACCCGGGTTATTCCTGAAGGTTAGAAGCAACAACAGACTCCACATTGCCAATGCAAACACAATAAACACAAGTATTCCTCCTAATGCTAACAGCCAGTTCACTAGAACCAATGCCACTACTGCTTCAACCCCCTTGGGCCAGTCCGGTTCAGCTGCTTCAGTCACTCCTGCTGCTGCTGGACCTGGCTCCTTTCTAAGTCCAAGCACTTCTCGTTTAGAGTCATTCATTGCCACCTCCACTCAACCACAAGATGCTGCTTCCACTGAAGTCGAGGAAGCTTTGAAGAAAGAGGCATTCCGTAAACGTTCATATATCCGTAACTTGTTCACGGACTTCGAACGTATGAGAGATTCCAGATCTAACCCTAAAGCGTTGGTTGATCTTGGGTCCAAGATCATCCGTCTGATTAGTGATCCGGAAGTCACTTCTGTTATTACTGTTCATGATTTAAACCAACTTGGTGGTGTTTTGAACGTCACTATGTTCCAACAACGTTCGGCCAGATTGGGTAACTCCAAGAATAGAGATTCAGATGAAAAGGGTGAACAATTGGGTATTGAATCAACCTTACAACAAAGTACATTGGATTTAGCTCATCGTATAATGAATGGTGAATTCAACCAACTGTTATCTGCTCCCTTCCTCACCAGAATGATGTTTACTTTACAACAATTGAGATACTATCAAGAAGCTGTTAACTTATGGGAACATGGTATCAATGATGCAGAAGTTGGTTCTCTTTACTTGGATCATAAGGTACTTGCTAGTGTATTATACATGGCTTACGAGATTAAGAGGTTTACCTATGATGACGTTTTGAGAATCTATGAAGTTAACACTAGAGATTCGAAAACTATCCATTATGATTTGAGAGCCACTGTGGGGAAGATTTGTATACTTTCCGGAGATTATGCTACTGCTTTAGATCATTTGGAATCAATGTTGCAAGTCTATGAAGAAAGCAAGCGTGTTAAAAGGCCATTCTTAGATGCCATCAGAGATTTACATTTGTGCTTTATTGGTATGTGTAAAGATGTTAGAATTGCCAAACATTTCTTTGATAAGGTTATTAATCGTGATTTACCTTATGATGTGAGATTAAAAGTACCTCATATTGTTGGGTTGTTACACAACTGTTACGAGACTGGTGAACCTGTGGATTCCATTTTATACTTTTATCAAAACACTCTTGCCAACTATTCCGAAGATGAAAAAAACGGCAAAGCCAAACGGATTAATGCCAGTTATGCCCAATTGAATAACACCATCTTCAGTATTTTCTTTAAGCTTTATCCTACCTTGAATCAAGAGGCGTTTGAAAAGTTGAAGGAAGTTATGGCCATTTATGCCCAATATGCTCCTATAGATGAAGTGTTGTTGAATACCATTATCACCAACTACAGCTGGAACGATAAGGAAGTGTTGGAGCAATTAATTGCCAACTATGATTATTATCAAGTGGACCGTACACCTGTATCCTACCGTATTTGCTTGAAAAAAGTAGGTTCTGTTGATGTCTATGGACTTGAAGAGATTGTTAACAAATGGAACCAATCCTTACAGAAATTGGATACTGATGGCTACAAGTACATTCCTATTGCTGACTGGGCAGCCATCCGAGATGCCACTATTTTATCTGAAAAATATTCTGCTGAACGCAAGCAATTGTACATGCAAATTCTTAATCGATACAAGGACTATTTCCAAGATGCACAGAGTATAAATCGGTTTTTGAAAGTTTGGAGCAGATATTCCGATCATTATCGTGATATTGTTGTTCTGACTCGTGGAGGTAATGAAACTTATGAATATCCTGTGCCTCAATTACGCAACTTGAAGCCCGGAATTAACTTTAAAGACGTTTCTTCTCGTGCTGCAGAAGCTTTCGGACATTGAACACTGATGAATGAATGATACCGAACAACTTGTACATATACATAATTTAACCAGGGATGATGGGTTTATATAATAAAGTATTTAATAATATTATAATATCAGAAACATCGTAAAGACTTAGAATAATAAACCTAACGGTGCAGGTTCTGGACTTGAAGGTCGTGGTGCAACCAATATCTGACAACATGGCGTAGACAGTTGGTTACAGTATCTCCTTTTCTTAATTTGTCGTGTGCTAACCAATCAGATATGGAGGCAAGCATTTGGGTGGAGTTCTACATAGTAATACCTTCAACCCTACCAGAGCTCGCTATTTTCTAGAGATATCTATGTGATTATACGCTCTTTTAACGTCAACGATCTAACCATCCAGGGCGTATGCTGTCCCATGATCGACATATATCTATAGTATACGTTTACGTAATCCTGCAACTAACTAAAATGGCAATTACTACAGGCCATGATATTCACGACATTGTCGTGCTGGTAACGACATTGCACCGGCAGCCGCATTGTTCCGTGTATACTAAATCCGAAACACGATACACTACGCCACCACCAATTATATCGTTCATTATCAGATGGGAAGTTGTACGTCTAAACCAATAGACAATGAGAAGACAAGGGTTGACGTCTCTGGGAGGCAGAAGCAACAGAAACGGCTTTTGGTGAACCCGAGTCAAGAAATCTCAGAGTCCAAGTCGAAAGCCAAAGTCCAACCCGGCAGCACTGGACATCGATTAGGAGGTGGAGAAGGTGCAGCAACACAGGAATCTTCAGACACTTCAGCAAAGGAAGCGATGGCTAAAGCGGCTCAAGATCGTTTCCTTAGGCAACAGAAGCATTTGGAAGAAAGCAACAAAAAACTTGATAACTATAAGAAGACCTCCAGAGCCGAAAAGAACTTGGCTTCGAAATAACAGTGGATACTAACTATTATTAGCAATGTTCAAGAAGTCATTCTATAAGGAGACTCAAGAAAATATCGTTGAGGAGATCAAAGAAGATTTGGTCCGATTAGTATTAACCCATTTACCTCATTTGCAACTTTCCAAAGTCCGTCAAGATGATTTATGGGAGTTCATAGCCATCAAACTCAATAACAGATTATTAAAAGATGCCTTGAATGAAACCTTAAGTTCCAAGTTCTCCAAAGTAGACGAATTGCCTACTTTAAATGGACCTTTTATCAAAACTCTTTATGATAAGTTGTTTAAGGACTTCAAAAAGAGACTAGTGTTCAAAGTCAACAACAACACTTCCCCATTGATTGAATTCAATTATGGTAGTAATCGGACAATGGATTTGTTTGATGAGCCAGTTGAAAAGATGCTCTGTAAGTTGTATGATATGGAATCCCAGTCAATAGAACTTTTATCCAAGATAAGCTTGGAGAATTTAGAAGAAACTTATCGAACCGAATTGACTCCAGACTTTGAAGATTCTTCAAAGTATCATGAGAACGATAAGGCAGCTAAGAAGCGACTCTCGATCGATACAGAAAAGGATGACATCTATAAGCAGCAGTTGCAGAAACAAGTTGCTTCTGTTATGAAGCTCGAGGCAGAGAACAAAAGACTTCTTGCTTTGAATCAACAGCTTTTGGAAGACATGGGATCAACACGGTAGAATAGTTAAGTTAGTTAGAGTTTTTATACGCGGTCGTGTGAGTACCATGGAAAATTGAACCTTGAACATCAAGTGCAACCGTACTAACAGTACACTTCCTATAGGTACCAACAGTATTCACAGTAGTGACGATATTATCCCTAACAAGAGTGTTAGTTACAACGTACTCATTATGGAAACGAAGGTGCCCTTGTCTCATTCGCTCTGGTCGCCTCATGATACAGTTAAAGATGTTGCTGAATCATTGGGGATCAACATACCTGAAGATGCAGCCAAAAACCTTGCTATGGATGTGGAATATCGAATACACGAGATCTTAGAAACTGCAGTCAAAAGCATGAGACATTCCAAGAGGAAAGTCCTCACCACCACCGACATCAATAATGCCCTCAAAGGGTTAAACATCGAACCTTTATATGGATACGATAACTTCCAACCATTACAATATAGAGAAGCCCTTGTGGGAGTTTCTGGTCAAACATTGTACTATGTTGATGATCATGAAGTTGAATTGGAAAAGTTGATAAATCAACCACTTCCAGCGGTCCCCCGTCAAACCACATTCACTGCTCATTGGTTGGCCATAGAAGGTGTTCAGCCTTTAACTCCGCAAAATCCGTTACCAGCAGACATTAAATCCATTCCTCCAATAGTAAGAGGTGCTACATCTTCAATGTTGGACAACAGCTTGCTTTCATCTGCCCAAGACACCGATGCTAAATCAGGAAATACAGTTAACTCCGCTGGTAGTGATATCACAGATAACATAACCTTGGAAAAGGATAGCGGAGTTAAACCCTTGGTAAAACACGTGTTATCCAAAGAACTTAAGTTGTATTTCGATAAGGTGGTTGAGGTTTTACTTTCAACAGAACCTGATAACGAATATTTGAAGAATGCTGCTTTAACAAGCTTAAAGAATGACCCGGGTTTACACCAATTGGTACCTTATTTTATTCAATTTGTTGCTGAGCAAATAACCAATAACTTGAGAAACATCGATACTCTATCCACAATGCTTGAGGTTATTCTGGCCCTTATTGACAACAAAACGATCTTTTTGGATCCTTACGTCCATGCACTTATGCCCTGTGTCTTGACTCTTTTACTTGCAAAGAGTATTGGTCCATCTTTAAAGGAAAAATCTGAAAAGGAAGAACTGGAAATCTTGAAGAATCAATTGGCTATACGAGAATTCGCAGCTATTCTTCTAAAGCATATAACCTCGGTATATGGTTCATCATACTCTACTCTTAGATCAAGAGTTACTAGAACTTTACTTCGGGCCCTATTGGATTCTTCAAAGCCTGTAGGAACTCATTATGGTGCACTTTTGGGTTTGCAGAATTTGGGACCCGAAGTAGTCAAATTGGTGGTGTTGGGTAATTTGAAAATGTGGTGTACTCTGGTTATTGATAAGGGAGAAAAGAAACCATTGGAGAAGGAAACTTTATTGAATGCCATTTTGGATATTTTACGTATTTTGAAAGTTGAAAAGGTTATTGAAGCCGATTCAAACTCAATGGACGTTGATAAGACCGTGAATGATGAGTTGAAAGATAAAATTCGGTCAAGATTTGGTGACACAGTAACAGATCTTATATTGAAACAAGATGATGCTTATGATATCATTCATGGTATGCTTTTTGGAGAGATCAATTAATAATTTATAGTTGTATTTCCTCATAAAATACTGTAATATTATGTGCTTAAAACTGATCCTCATCTGTATCATAGTAATTTGTAGCTTGACTTTGACTATGACTTGAAAGCTTTTGCTTTTTAGATGGAGATTCTCCGTAGGAATTATAGTTGACTGACGTGGTAGAGTTCTTATTTCTGGATGCTGGTGAGCTATCATCAATTACTCTATCTCGCCTCAAAGGTGGAGAACTATCGATTATAGTTCTGGTCATCATTGGAGAACTACCAATAACTGTTCTAGTCAATATGGGTGAACTGTCAATAGTAGTAGTTGCAGGAGGATTCATTTTTAAGTTCTGACCTTCTTCTTCCAAAAAGGAAGCAGCTTTCAAACGGTCATTAAGAGAGAACTTCTTTGTACTCGATGACGGTATTAATTTGGTGTCGGACTTTGTCATGGGTGTGTCTATCACTTGAGATAGTCTGTTGTGCTTCATTGGAGTTGCTTCCACTTGGGCATATGAAGGTTGCTTGGTAGCTGTTGAAATCTGAGAGTTACTGGATTTCCTTCCTCTAGTGAAAATGAACGATTGAGATGGAGCTTCAACGTTTGACGAAACTGTTTCTGGTTTGGTGGTTGTGGTTGTTGATTCTGTGAACGACTTCAAACTAACAGAAACATCCACTTGTCTCCTCTCGAGGTTTTTAGAAGACGATAACGAAGATTTGGACCTTCGGAGATTAACAGCCGGACGTAAGTCTTCAATTCCTGATAAAGAGTGTTTAAGAGTTGGTCTTTTAATTTCTCGTTTTAAGTGCTTATTATTTTCACTTTCGCTCTTAGAAGTACGTGCTTTATCCCCTCCTCTACGTTTACCTTTAAAGCTCACTCCTTTGATCTTCTCTATCAAGAACTTGACCATAACAGGCATCTTCTTGCTGTAATACGGAACCACAACATATGCTAGAAACGATTTGGAGCTATCGGTTGTCGACTTCTTCGTTCGAAGTGTATCCCAAAGATTCAACCTCTCCATGAGATTGGATAAGATGCTGAACAACGCAAACTCGTCAATAGTTGTTCCTGATGGTGGCAGTGCCATTGCCATTGGCAGTGCCAGTCGGTTATCGTAGTTAATTTGAACACCCATGCCTAAAAATGTCGGTACAATCTTTCTCCTTAACTTGTTCTTTCTTACCAAAGACGATCGTACCATTTTCTGAGCCTTTTTAGCTCCATTCTCTTGTTCCTTCTGACACTTTTCAAGGAACAAAGACTCATCGGATATTTGTAGCCAAAGCAACTCAAGTGTCACCAAAATTTGTAATTGGGCTTCTCTAACTTTCAAATCAAGCAAAAGAGTCCCCAACCTTTCTTGTGCCAACATTTTAGATTTATTAAAGTCAGAATCGCCATCAGGGTCACCATCACCTTCGGGATCACCTTCAGTCACCATATCGATTGTATCCTTAAATTTACTGATGAAACTGGAATGGGCCAATTCTTCGGAGCCGGATCTAGAGGATGGCCAATGGTCTGGATCTAAACCAATCAAACACCCGTATTTCCCCTGGTGTCTCCTATCGAAGTCTTCAATGGTGAGCACCAACTGGGCGAGGATCTGGCTCACGGTGTCCTTCGAACTCGAACAAAGGTTCATGAGTCGAGTGAAGGCTGTTTTGGAAAAGTAACTTAAGGGAGTCGACGTAGAATAAAGCATGGAGTAATATCGTGTAGATATGAAAGTCAATGGATCGGGAAGGGGATCAGCTACAGATGTACCTATTGAACCTGTAACTGTGCCTGTTTGTGACGGAGGTTTTAGACGTATCACATTAGCGGCACTCAACTTCAACCCAAGTCTATCATTGGAAGTTTGTAATTGCTGTAGCACATCATCACTAGTATTGTTATTTTGAAGAAGTATTGGTGATTTGCATACGCCACCTGTAACAGTCTCTAGAAAACACTGGGACCCAAACACTATGACTCCATAAACTCGGTCCAGAACTTCAAACATAACTCCATTGGCCAACTGTGCATGTTGTTGTACATCAACAAACATGTATGGATCATGCACTTTGCGGAGTGCTTTTAGTGTCAGATCATTGGGTTCAAAGTAATGGAGATCAACAGACTCAAACGACTCAAGATTTATGCCACTAAAGGTGTTGATAGTAGTGATTCGGATCTGGTGATCACCATTGGTCAACGTTATGGGAGGACAATACGGAGACATAGAGATGTAGAGATGTGAATGGATTCTCGTTAGGTGCGCAGTGTTGTAAAAGTATATAGCATGAGTATATACAATGGGGATTCATACTATGTACATTACTAGTACATTACTTTGTACGCATACATGTATGCATATATGTTCGTATATATGTATCTATATGTATGTATATGTATGTATATGTATGTATATGTATGTAAACATGTACATATGTATGTATAAGTATGCATTTACGTACGTATATATATGTTTACGTATTTATCACGAACTTAACCATTGATGTTCTGCAATGTCAGTAATGCTAGGTCTTTCCTCAATAGTTCTGACCAAGATCATCCTAACCAACCCTATACAATTGTCTGAATACAGCCCACTGATTCTAAGGTCTCCCTCCATAATATCATCCACATTATAAAATGGATTCTCCTTAAACAATAACGTATAAAGAAGTACTCCCAACGCCCATATATCTTGAGGCTTACCTTCGTATTTCTCACCTCGTAAAACTTCCGGTGATGCATAATGAATAGTGCCAACAAAAACATCAAACGGTCCAGACTTCGTATACGCAGCACTACCAAAGTCTATCAACTTGATTATCCCATTCTCATCAACAATCACGTTCTCGTCTTTGATGTCGCGATGGACAATCCCATGGGTATGCAAATGATAAATGGCCAGGACCACTTGACGGAAGATGAAACGACATTCTGTTTCCGTCATGTCCTTCTTGATCTCAATGTAGTCAAATAAATCAATGGCTGGTGGGTTTCCAAATATGGGGGTCTCCAAATAATAGTAGTTACGATCTTCAAAGTAATCAACTATTCTCATGATGTTAGGGTGCGGCTCATGGTTTAACGTAGCCATGATTTGGATCTCCGAGGGAATGGTTCCAAGTTTCCGATCACGAACCCAAGTATCTACTAAGATTCTTTCTTTGGTAATGCATTTGATGATTATCTTATAGGCAGGGTCCTCCTTATGTTGAGTCTGGACAACCTTCCCATACGCTCCTTCTCCCAAGCTCTTGACCACTTCAAACTCCAGAAACTTCTTTGTTCTTCGTTTGGCCCCGACTTCGGTTGGCCATTGACTCGATTTCTTCTTGATCTCCTCAAGCGACTCGTTCTCGAGTCGAAGCATGTCCGCTTCCGAAAGCTGGTAGTTGAAGTTGATGACCAAAGATCGGCTAGGAGGAACTTCAGCAGATGGTTTACCATCTGTTTCGTTCCCTTTCTTCGAGCCTATTTCGTCACTGGAACTGGGTGGAGATGAATCTGTTTCGGATTTATTAGTGCTGAGAATGGAATCATCGGTCTTGTTGGACACAACTCTTTGTTTAAGAGTCTCATCGTTGCTAATGGCCGTTTCAAGTGCTATATTCACTTTTGTCAAAGGAGTGATCAAGGGCTTCTTGCTAAGTCGACGAGTGCTGCTCTTACGACTGATTTCAGAGCTACTGGGTGCACTTATAGTGGCTTCAGGGATCTCTGCCTTTTCCTCATCAAGTAATTTCATCTGAGAGGGCAATTGTAAGTCCTTTTCTCTATCTTTTGATAGACTTGTGGTACTTGTCTTTTGACTCAAGGAAAGCGAAGAGGCACTGGAATTCAATCGGTGAAGCTCGTTGGCTACACGTTTCTTCAGTATAGAATACGTGATCCAAAGCACAAACGTATCGCGAGATCCAGCTCGTAATTGAACGTCAACAAAGATGGATTTCCCATCCCGATGAATACCTTCCAACCCATGGGATTGAAAGAAATAAGCCTCTGCGTCATTAATCCCGTCCTGTTGGGCCCTTAAGATGGCATCGTACTTCCTAAAGAAATGTTCTGGTAAAACTAATCCTGGCACCACTGGGAACTCCAAGTTATCCGATAATCCCAAAGTCAATACCTTGGAAAAGTTGGGAATCAAAGTATCAATGGACTGTTCAACAAGTTTATTGGCTGACTTACCAAACAAGTTCTTTGCAATAGCATTATTGCACGATAGAATAGTATTGTCATATGCATTGATGACAAACATACCTGCAATGTACGGTAATGAATGGATCTTCAACTTCAACTGCACTCTATCTTCATTAATTAATAGAGGTACAGAAGTAATTGCACAGGGGATATAATAATCGTCTTGGTCAAAGTTAACGGTATAATATCTGGTTTTGGTAATGAGGTTACTATCAATGGTGCTCTGCTCTTCTTCAGAGTCAATATTGTCCTCCAGTTTCTTATTTATTTCACTGGCCAATGAGTCGCTGATATCAGATAATAGCTTATAATTCTGGCTGTTCTTCAATAACTTACCAGCTATTTCGGTTATGGAATCAATGACATAACACGGCTGGTCTTCGTTCTTCCCTCTCAGGATCGTCACATCAAAAGCATTGCATGGGATCTGGTCAAACATACAAATAATCAATTTCCCCTTTCGTTTGGCCCACATTGAAGTCCATGCATAGTCCTTTTCACCGGGACGAACAATGGCAACAATCTCTCCAGCAAATATGATATCATTCACTGGACTCTTATCGACTGAATAATTTTTTAATCCTCGGTCTAACAATTCTGCTGTACGTTTGTTCAAACGGTCCATGACAAACACTCGGAACTGAGGAGCAATCAAGTCCATTAACGTAAGCGAGGGAATAACCTTCTTCAGAACCCCAAACATCAAGCACGCAACGTCATTGGCTGCTTTAACGGACCATGGGAAATCAACTTCAACAGTGAAAATCGACTCTGGAAGCGTATGCTTACCTGAATAAAGTGTATGAAAAGGTCGTGCTGAATTAAAAGCTTGTTGCTGCTGTTGCTGCTGTTGCTGCTGTTGAGTATGAGGTTGTGCTAACATATTCAATGCCAAAGATGATTGGTGGATTTGCATTTGACCGTCGTTGATCATGGGAACTCCTATGCTTTCAGCACCCCCATTACCGTTTTCAATAAAAGGGGTTGCAAGAGCATAGAGAAGCTTATTCTTTAAGAAGTCGTATTTCAACTGGAAATGGTCTGCTTCGTTTGTTGATAATGATAAATCATGCAAATTAGAAGCTACCTCGGTATTACCAATAATTGCATCGGAATTAGATTCCAAAAGCTTCAAGATTTCCCGAAGTTCGTCATTCAAAGGCAGCTCTCTTTCTTTACTGCTACTGCTGCTGGTATCTCGTGGTTTGATTAGTACTCCATCATTAATGGGTGTCTTATTTTGGAAGTTGTACTTCATAGAGTACACTTCGTCAATGGGTAGACTTCCTGATCTCTTCACTTTAGGATTGAAGAATGCAGCAAGAGCAGCCGAAGATGCATTGTGTTTGGTCGATGCCAAAGCTGGAACGGGAGTTTGGGTGCCTCCCGTATAAAACCCAAGCGAAAGCTTTTTGTACTGTAATGACTTGTAATCGTTTGTATTGGAAGTACTTCTAGAAATCCCAGGTCGTCTGACAGCTGTGTGAGGAGCACGCATGCTTAAGAACTCGCCTCCTTCTTCTTCTTCAACATCTACTTTCATCTCATCGTCAGAAGCTGCAGTGGCAGAACCAGTGTAAGGACCATCAATACTTTCTGAGGCACTCTGTAACGGTTGCTGGACATAATGCTTTGATTCGTTGATAGACTTGAGTAATTTCGGCCTATCTTTCAAGATTTCAAGAGACCTTTTAAGGACCCCTAGACGGAAGGAAAGGGAATTCTGAGACAACTTGGCATAAGAATAAGCATGCGATGATTCAATGGGGAACTTGAGTATATCCCGGCTAGCCGAGGTCTCCTTCTTCAATAACGACAGTTGCAGTTTGCTCTGTATCACTGGCGCAGTCCCTCCACCAGATGAAGGGATCAACAATTCATGGGACCCCGCTCTGCTAGCATTAAGAGACCTTGAAAGGGCCGAGCCAGATATGGCTGTGTTAGCACCCAAGAACTTTTGGATTTGAGTATTTGCTGATACTGATGAAGATGAAGACGGTGCTAGACTGTGGAGTTGTTGTCTTTTAGGAATTGTAAAGGAGAGTGTGTCTTCCTTGTCTAAACCGAAACCATTGTCATTCTCAAAATGTTGTTGTTGATCTTTGTTGGACATTGAGGCCGATGTATTAGATAGATACTGTATGAGGTTATATGAATAAGTTAATGGATGAGTGTATGTGTAGGCAGTTGAATGGATGATTGGGTGGCTCAAGTAAGCCGTATGTGATCTTTGAACACCGATAAGTGAACTAGAATAACTTAGTTTATATAAGATTAGTGAAAATTAGATAAGGAATCCTTTTATATTGAGTTGAATCTTTAACTGCTTCAAAATGGGGTATTATTTGTTTGTTCGTATTTTATCACCAGTTACCATTTTTCTTCACTCGCAGTGGAAATCACCACTTGCGACAAACGTAAGGTGCACTCGGCAGGAGTACATAATTACGGTACACCACAGTCCGAACTACAAAAGTTCATATGAGTTGGTGTGATGACAGTTTAGATGCAAGTACCATCAATTGTATAACGGTATACAACACAGTACAAATGGGGTAGTTGGAGTGGAGGTAAGTATAAGTTACTGTTTGTTAATAGTGTATGATACACATATTTGATATAAGTCTCCTATATGCACATCCATGTCATGTAAGTCAATGATGTATGGCTGTGACATACGTCTAATGTACGTCTAATATACGACTGAACTACGTACGTCTATGATACAATCACCAGCTTCATACTCAGCATTATGCAATGTACACTATTTAGCCGTACATTGATTATGTGCAATAATAGTGTAAAATATGCGACACTAAACTAATAATAATACTATACTTCTATTTAACTTCATTGATTGGTCACAGACCGTACCCAAAGATCACCATCCTCATGGTCTCTCCATAATCTACTCAATTGGATACCTAAACTATACTTGTTTTTATCCAATTCATCTTGTTTCATCTGAAGCTTCTCAATGGCTCTACTAATCTTAACCCTAGTGGGGTAGTCAATCTCAACGTTATAAGGAGGAAGCAAGTTTGTTAAAAAGTGTATTTCCTTTTCAATCTTCACTATTTTACTCAGAAAAATGTCATACTTTTGTTGTGTTTCCTTTATGAGTCGTTGGGTAGTGGCTTCTTCGGCACTTATGTTGGTTTTCATCAGCAGTTTCCGAATATATGTTCCGGATGAAGTGCTTATGGCTATTGGGAGAGAAGATTCACCACTTTGTGATCCAGTTGATGTTGATCTTGAATGAACAGGCTCGCTATTGACACTTGTAACTCTAAACTTAACTGGTTTCTTCATGGGAGGCGTTGGATATGTTCCTGCCTTTTTAGATCCACTAATATTAATAGTATTAGTATTATCATCGCTATTCTTCTTTCCGTCTGCAGCTTTCAGAGGGTCCACGGACGGTACATGTTCGGATACAGGTTCGGGTTCAGGTTCAGGTTTCCGTTCAATCTTGTGTATAATCATGCCATCATATTCATTCTTGGTGGAGGTCTGAGAAACAGAAACACTTGGTTTCAGAGCCTCTTTTTCTACTTCATTTGCTTCATCTTGTTTTGCTTCAGCTTCTGCCAATGCTTTGTCGAGAGTAGTGACACCGTCGCCTAAATGATTTGATTCCAAGCTTTTGATCAACTTATCTGTAGAGTCTTCCGAAGAAGCGGAAGTAACAGAAGCTCTTCTTTCTGGTTCAGGGACAGCCATGGTCGCTGGAGGTGGTAAATCGGGAGAATTTCCAAAGACAGAATCGTCATTAGCATATTCCGTCTCTTCAGCCATTGCTAATAGTATTAAAACGTAGTAAGGATGAATGCGGGATGAGAGCGCGGCACCAAACTGTGGAATGTAAACCTGAAGAAAGTTAATACACTTGAATGTGTTTATGTTACTGTGAGAAGAATGGCTTGACTCTAAACACGCAGGTTAATATGAGGAGGTAAATTTGGTGATGATGGTGAAGGTAAAGAGTGTTTCAAATCTATTTGATGTTCGTTTGTCGCACTTTTACCCAATACGTAACTGGGTATACGCCTTTAATACGATGCTTAAGTAAACAATAGGACGCGGATATATACGGAAAACACACACTTAAATTTGATTATGGCATTAACTATCTGTATATGTATGTGAATGTACCTGTATTATGCTAGCGTCAAACAGTCTATGCATATAAGTTGCACATTCTATACTTATACTCCTATTTGTGCAGCTGTCAATTGATTCATTGGTGCTACCATACATAACTTATAGATTAACACCAACAACTCCGATATCAATTGCCTATAGTATCCGATCATACCACTACTAATGCTCTATATACCTATAGCTGTACGGTTTGTTTTAGACACAGAGACCTTGGCTTCTTCTGGAGTCCATATCGTCACCGGGTCTTCCGATTACTGGATCACAGTGTCCCCCACTTCTTCGTTAGGACAACAAGCAAAGCAAGTACTAATCAATACCCCATACATAAATGGTTCTTCGGATATAGTCAATTGGATAGATGTCACTTTGAACTACAATGTATTTCCTTATTTGTCTACGTTTTTAGAGTCATTTGCGAGAACCAATGGGTTTGAGGTCACACCAACTCCTAGAGTCTCCTTTGTCAGTGGATCATGTCCCCTACTATGTCAAAAAGTCCCTCTACACCGCTACAAGCAGTATAAACCAGATCCAGGAGTCGAAAATGGTACCCCATGTCAAGTGACACTGTGTCCCTTCAACTTGACAAACTCACTATTATTCTCCACCTACGTGGCCCACGGATCCTTGACTACAAGGTTAGGAGACTCGTTAGGGTATCTTTCGGACTTAAAGTACTTGGAAAATATGGTGGGGGGTGTAGTGGTTCAGACACCCGATTCAATTGATATTGGTGTTGTGGCTCAACATATTCGAAAGGTTAATGGAGACGGGGATTTGGTCGTGGTACTACTGTGGGGAAAAGTACTAGAGACTGTAGGTATAGCTGATGTCTTTAGTCGGAGTGGTCCAAAACGGCATCTAGCCAGTGATGATAGTGCCACTATTGTGGCATGGCCTAAATTCCCAGTGTTCCCAGTTCGAACCGTGCTGACGACGAATGGACACTCAAGTTGGGGCTCATGTGTGCTCCTTAAAAATGACCTCCTAGTAACCAACACTCATGTTCTCACACCATATCTAGAAGACCCTTTGGGTACAGTGCTCGTTATAGATTTACCTGATGGTCCGTTAACCATTCTGAACCAGAAGCATGCCTTGGTGACCCCCAGTTCCTTGGTAGACATCTCCACCATTTCTCTTGCTGAATCGGATATACTCAGGTTCACGGGGTTGGGGTATTCTCCAGCACTGTATCAACAACAACGACAACAACGATCTCTTCCACCTATAGTGGGGCAAAATGTAGTTAGTGTTGGCTACGGACTTTATCTTCTACCACAATGGCAGTCTCCCGGAGTTTCGCAGGGTACACTTGATCTTGTGTTCCGATCAAGGTACAATGCGAACACACCATACAAGATGCCCTCCCTAATCATCACCAGTGCTTCATGTTGGAACGGGTCAAGCGGTGGCGGATTGTTCAGAGACAACGAACTTGTAGGGATAATATGTTCCAACGCCGAGGTTCGAGTAGATGGCCGGCCCTTAGAAGATGACGGCAATGCTCCAGTAGAGAAGCTAACTCGATTTGTGTTTGTAGTTCCTATTGAATTGGTGGAGTATTTGATCAGTGGTGGGTCGATTGAAGATGACGGTCCTTTGGTGAAAACATGGAAGTTGGATACGTTTCATAAGGATCGAATCTTGGGAGAAACGAAGTTGTGATGAAATAATGAATAAATAAATAACGAATAAATAAATAAATAATACATATTTGAGTAAATAATAATCAATAAGGATGGCCTCAATACATTCTGAAACCGTCACCAATGGGTAGTACTGGCAAGAACTGGCCAATCATCAACGATGGTAAGTCAAAAAGGTCTCTTTTCACTGTCCAAACACAACAGAACTCCACACATTTATCTGAAGATTTAGTCTTCAAATTGCATTTGGTTACAATGGATGAATGGAGATTCCCAACAGCCACAGACTTGAATAACTTAAAGTAGTTTAAGATAGACTCATCGTCATACATCAACTCCAAAATAAAGCGACGTTGTGAAAGAATATCGTTGATGTTATATTCAAGTAGTGAGAGCATGTCGTCTGAAATAGACACGATCTCTCCCGTTCTTCTCCACATTATAGTGGGAGAAGAGTTCAATTTCATTAACCGTTGATGATCAAACAAACATCGTTGAAACAGAATCTCCAAGAGCTCTAGATCGTGAGGAATTAATAAGTTCTTATAGGCCAGAATAAATGTAGGTCTGTAACTGGCAATTAGCTTTAAGATTTGTAATAAATTCTTTCTCTTTGTCTTGCGTTCTTCTTCTGTTGAGCCATTGTGATCAATGCCAAACCGTGTCTTAAGGAAATGGGTTAATGAATGGTAAGACTGAGGGTAGTCGAAATTAAGAATCTTATTGGTATAGATGTCTTGAACACTTTGATAAATATGTCGTTGTACCAAGGGAGAAACATATTCTGTGTTCAATACGGAATGATGAGGATGAGAAGCTGTACTTCCCAATGGTCCTGAAGTAGGTAGAGGATGCTGATTCATAGGGATGTTGGAGTTCAATGGATCTTCAACTTCATCACCCAGAGTCACTCCAAGTGATATGAAAGGTCTGTGTGATTTATTAGTACCTGCTGAGCCACCAGTGATAACACCTCCGATATTGGGTAATGCTGTTTCTGGAGGCCAGCTTTGATCTGGTTGAATTGGAAGAGATGAACTTGAAGACTGCAGGTGAGAAACAACATGGTTGGAAACTGGTGCAAGATTTGGTGATCTTTGTTGTTGGTATTTAGAAGAATGATGTTGAAGCTTAGATGGAGGTTGATGCGATTGTGATTGACGGCTCCATTGACGTCTGTGAGTTCCAGCAGTTTGGGAAGATAGTAAAGGATTATCAGTTACCGTACCGTAATCGACACTTTGAACAGACGGGGAAGGTGAAGATGGTTTGGAATGAAGAATAATATCTCCTAACATAAGATACTCTTCATTAAGGAAATTAGAATGAAAGTTACTCATAGATTGAGACACAGTATCGCTGCCATCGTCGTCTACAAGGCCTCCTGTCACGATATTATTGTTTGTAGGTGTAGAATCGATGTTATTGACTGCTTTGTTAAGATCTGTTTGAAGAAACCGATTAATTACATCTGAAGTCGATTCCGTAGTGATTTGGACTGACGGTGAATACACCAAAGGTGGTGATGCAGCTGCTGTGGCTGTTGCAGCTGCTGTGGCTGTTGCAGCTGCGACAGTCGGACCGTTGCTACTATCATCATTGGCCGTATGCGACAACGGAAGTCTCATGCCAGGGGGTGCTTGACCAGAAACAGATATAGGAAGATGATGGGAGTTCTGTGGTGTAGGGGAGGACATGGCAAACGACGGTATTATGGTCGATGATGGTGGTGATGGTGGTGGTGGTTTCGTAGGAGATGTTTTGGTGTCATTTTTTTTAACCAAAGTTGTATCTAAAGAAGGACTGGCTAACAGGTACTCTCCAGTTGGCATGGTCTTCAAATACTTTGTCCTCTTGCGGACTATATCGGTGCAAGAATCCGCAATATTACGCTTGACGCAATTATTGCATGGTCTTTCATTCGAACACTGCAAGTGCTTGGAATGACAAAATGTGCATGCTCTAACAGCAGGCTTCCTACTTTTCTTTTCTTGTGGGGTTAGCTTCTTGGTCATATGGACATGGAGATGCAAAAGCTATAAAAAAAAGGCACACCATCCACGCCACGGTAGTGCTTGCAATCAAGTGCACTTCACTTTAATTTGAAGTGGTTTGTTTTGATATGGATAAACTAGTGAGAAACTCTGGGGTAACAATTAGATCATCCGATGAGAGAAATCTCTATAGGTGTACCGTTTGAAGCACGACTTTATCCGCACGCACTAGAACAAAATTGTAAACCTGAATCGGTACGAACCACTTGAGCGTTTAGAATACTTGTGCTCTGTAGAAAAGAAAATAGGTTAAACTTTTTAAGCTGTATCTTTTGATGGTCTTCCCATTGGTAATGAACAAAATGCCGTTAATGGTCTTTATATGCAGCGATTTTGTGTGTATTTGTGGAGATGGTCGTGTGAATAGCCTAATAAATGGGGTAGCTTTTCAGAAATTAGAGGGGGATTCCCGGTGTTGGACGGGGTGTGTTCATTTCCCTCCGAAATTTTCCGAGTCCTAGTGATTGGTTGAGTATATTTGGTCACGTGATTAACTCACTTCGGCATTGAAGGTGAACCTTTGCTAGTGAAGTATAAAAGGTGAACACTACTACATGAATATTAAATGCTTAATATTGCAATACTGTATAAGCATATCCATTACACAAGATTGTGTATCTGGAGCCGTAGCTAAATTGTTCCGAATCTGCTATCGCACAACTAGCAAAGGTGTTCTCTTTGATAATTACATAGGATAGGAAGAGATAAAAGTGAGATCTGAAATATACCAAAAGGAGTCAAGAGATTTGGTTCACGACTACTTGAATGGACCCCTAACTTGATACATACTTCTATGATGTAGTCTCATCTCAATTTCATCTAGTTTGTGCCAGACTATTCAAAGTGTGCCCTGGCAACAAATCGCGTATCAAAACCTCTATTGTTTGCAAAGAGACAAAGAATGTCCAACTGTTGCCCTGAAGTCAACAGCAACACACGACTTGAAAATACTTCAGATCAGATAAAATGATACGGACTACTAGTAAATTAAGACTAAGTTACAATTTAGCCATAGATATACTTCCTCACTCTATGTATATCCGTTCTCTAAATCCTAACTGGGTAATATGGTTCCGTTCGATGAAGAATGGTCAATCCCTGCAATTCCTAGGCCGACCTATCTGTTGACGGGGATATACATGTATTTATAGACGGCAGGGCATGGCGTGCCACATTGATTTTTTATTATGAAATTTTACGACCGCCAAGAACTACCTGGGTTTAACAAGAGAATGTACAGCTCAAAGGTTTGCCAATTCTCCTATGCTTACTATACTTGCATCACACTATTCGTAGGAATTATTATCTCCGCTTCGTTTGCCGTCTTTTTTTCCGGATTTTCTTTTTCCTCCTTTAAATACCTGAGCCATCCGACCAAAGTAACCGTAGCGTCTCAACTACCCTACAGGAATACTGGTTGTCGCTTTTATCTGTAGCCCGCTCTTATCTGCTTGATCTCTACACCCAAAGTACCCCCGTCCCAACGCTAGAAGTAGTGGTGTGTTGGAGTATACGATGCGGTACAAGGAGTAATTTTAATATCAGAGTTTGTCGCGTGATGATGGCAATAGTGAAATCGACCGGCATAGTACATCCACAAAACTTTAAAGCCCGTCGATGCATGTAAAAAAGATCAACATCCCATTCCTTCTTACAAGTACTTCATAATAGATCTTATATCGCCATCTTTTTTTCCTGGTTCTATTTTTTATCTTCCCTTTCCTCTTTGGCTATCACATTGTTGCTTACTATTAGAAGAATATTAGTGCTACCTGCTATAATTGCTAATACTATTCGGGCCATATCTTAATTAGGTTGCTTGCTTGCTTGCTTGGACTTCATACTCCATTAACCTTTAAACTTTTAACTTGGTGGGGATTTGTATTAGCTCTTTAAGATAGATACATATATATATGTACATGATAAAGTATGCAGTTACTAACACCCATTCGACTTTTAGCATTTGCCGTCGTCCGATTCATTCGGTCTGGCCTCAACGATAAGTCTATTTTTGGACTAGTGCTAAACTTCTGCATTAACTTTGCACCTGTGTTCATATGGTTACTGATCTTCAAGAACGCAGGCATAATCCCACATCTGTGGAGACCAGAAATCCATGTCAACTTGGCGAATACCGTTGACCATTTCATGTTCAACACCATCATAGGAAGTGTGCTCACTGTTATGTTTTCCCTTAGTATGTCCGTGTTGCTTTATTTGCATTTTTACCGTGGCAATACGGATCCAAAGGAATCGGGCAATTATGTCGAACTTTCAACCTTAGAAGCAAACCCAATCAATATTGTTGATAATGGTATTGATGATGATATACAATCTCAAGGGTCTGGGAAAATTGGTTCCGATAGAGAAGAATCAAACGAGTTTTTTTCATCAGATTTTGAAATAGATGAAGAAGAATTAAAGGACTCAGAAAGACTGCAACCAGATAAAATCATTGTTAACTTCCCTATATCTTCACAAGCTTCTACTCAATATCACAAAAGGAACTTCTTCCCGCTAAATAATTGGAACTTGGCTGTTCCATTACTTTTAGCAACATCATGGATAATCTTAAACATTGATCATTACTTTAGTGAACCTATCTACACAGAAAAGGATTTAGTCTCATGGTTTTCATATGTGATTCTCCATTTCTGCGCTCCTCTTTTCACTGCCATTTGGCTTTATGCATTCCATCCACAAGGAGCTTTGAAACTGTTTGGTATGAGTCTTGGACTTCAAAATATCTTGGGAGTACTCACCCATTTGGCATTCCCCAATGCACCTCCGTGGTTTATTCACGTTTATGGTCCTGATCATGAAGCTAACTACGAAATGGAGGGCTATGCAGCAGGATTGATTAGAGTTGATACCGCCATGGGTACTCATTTACATACCAATGGATTCCATAAATCTCCAATTGTATTTGGGGCTTTGCCCTCCCTTCATTCAGCAATGGCGGTTTGCGTCTTCTTTCATTTGGCGTATTACTCAAGATGGACAGCCATTAAAGCCTTGGGTCTTTTATTTGTTGTTGTACAATGGTGGGCTACAATCTACTTAGATCATCACTGGCGTCTAGATTTGTATGCTGGATTGCTTTATGCCATTGGTCTGTTTACACTCTTCACATCAATGAGAGCAAAGGTTGACGAACGATTCTTCCATGCCAGATTTACAGGTGACTTTGTCCGTGGCTCTACTATGGGCATGCGTGTGTTCAAGAATACCAGATTACAAAATTTCTTTGACCCACTCCTGTAATATTCTATAAAATACTCTATTCCTTTATAGACTCAATTCTTATATATACATCAGTTATCCGGTGCCGTACTGTTGTGTCAATAATAATAATGAGGATTAAAATTAGTGCGGATTAACAACAATCGCGCTACCATGATAATGACGCATTTTATTCGCATCCCATCGCTATCCCCATCACCACTTACAACAATCAGTCAATAATTATTCTTTAATTGTCTCCTGTTCTTCTTTACGTATTACCGTTTAGTATTTCCGTTTTACACTATGAACGAGGACTCTGCGTCATCGAGCTCACGCCGAAAAATGTCCATAGATTCTCAGCTATCAAACATCTCAAGACGACGTCGTTCTGTCCAGGACCAACTCCAGGAACTCGAAGAATTAGAGGTTAGAACATCACTTCCCGAAGGAGTCAGACCACCAGTTGAAGAACCATTACATTATGGGAAACGATATAAATTACGAGTGATTCTAAATATACTTCAAGGATCATTATGGGGTGTTTTAGCCCGTCGAGGTTTGGACCTATTGACAACTTATAATCATAACTACCTAGGAGGTGTAGTATGGTCGAATTTCACCGCTTGTTCTGTTATGGGTGTCCTTGTGGGTACAGAACAGTTGTGGGAAGATTTGAATGACATTAAAGCCCGTATTCCACTTTATATTGGCTTATCCACTGGTTTCTGTGGGACTTTTTCATCCTTCTCTTCAGCAATGCTAGAAGCTGTTGAAAGAGGTATAAATGCACCCTTGAGCGAAGTAGGTGGCTCTCTCCCTTCAGCTCCGTATGGTATAATGGAATCATTAAGTGTAGTTATTTGTCAATTGGCTCTCTCTATAATGGGGTTTAGTATGGGTAAACATTTAGCGGAAGCACTTGATAATTTTGTGCCTCCAATGACTCAAACCATAACACAAATTTTGGAATATGGCTTGATAGTTATAGGGGTTTGTTTATACATTGCTGCTGTGGTATTATGTGGAACAGAGTCATCAGAAGTGACGCTTCGTCAATGGACTTTTTCCATTGTTTTTGCATTTTTTGGAGCCTGGACCAGGTACCTTGTCTCTAAGTATCTCAATGGGAAGCTAAAAAAGTTCCCACTAGGGACGTTTACTGCCAATATTTTGGGGTGTATTATTATTGCATTGGTTGTTTCACTTTCGAATGGTAAACGTCATAAAAATTGGTCAATGGGAGTCGATAACTTAATAGTCAATACAAGTATTTCCTGTGAAGTACTTGCAGGGATCAAAGAGGGGTTCTGTGGTGGTTTAACTACGGTTTCCACTTTTGTGGTAGAATTGTTTGGTTTAGAGACAATCTACGCCTATCGCTATGGAACGATTTCTATTGCCACGGGATTCTCCGTATGTATAGTGATTTTGGGTACCGTTAATTGGACTGTTGGCTTAGGAGATGCAATATGTTAGGCTTGGAACTGTGTATTAAAAAATAGAGGAAACCAATAGAAAGTAAAACAAAGTGCCGATATGTTTAGGAGACATTGCTCCACAGAAATGTCGCACTTTAAAGTAGTTACGACTTTAAAGTAGTTACGACAATAGAAAACAATAGTTATATGTACACTGCTTCCATCATGCAGTTTACAGATCAAGGATTGGCTACCTTTTTTCAATGTCGCCGACCAAAGCCCGGTTTCTATTTTCTACTTTGAGCTCAGATGTATCTACTGGGAAAGACTAGAGTAACAGTATTAGAATCCTTACTTTCAGCTCAAAGGGAGAAATCGCCTTTATTATTATTGTTGATTGGAGCAATTTTGCAGAAATACTACTACGATATTTCTTCGTGATAAAAGACAAGTGGAATGTGTGGCGTATAAGATAAAAAATAACTAATTAACTCTTGTCTATGATATGATAGGAGATTGATAAAATTGTAGTTATGTTCGATTTGTTGTGTAGAGGGAGTAAATGAAACATTTGGGTAAACATATTGTTGATTTGAACTAATTACACATTTGACGCACAACTTTTCGTAAATTTTACTCCAATAGTTATTGAAAAAGTACCTACGATTTATAGTAGTAGATTTCTCTCAAACCTGAAACACTTTGGCACATCTCTGAATCGGCTAACACCATTTGCATGCCTAATTTGCATGCACCACTTACTGGCGGATTTCTAGTGGTCTAGTAAGGCCGACGGAGCTCAAAGCTTGTTCTATTTCGCATCCTGGTTAATCCAAATTGGTCAATTTAAAATAATCCCACAAGCAACGATCATCTCTGCACTCAATATGTATTCCATATACGGATTGTGAGCAGGTTAGGGTTCTCTAGATGCTCAGTTTTTGGGAAAAGTTGCTTAATCTCAGGGTCTAAATGGGGTCGATTTCCTTTATGGTTAATTAAGTGTGTTCTGTTTCTCTGGATTTGAATCTTTACTTACTCTCAATTCTTTATCCCATGAACGTATGAAATAGGCTCTACCTTAGTGGAGAGGTTTTTTCAGGTGTCTTGTTTTTGAAAACTTTTGCATTCCAAAGTACCCGTGGTTTTTCTGTCGGTTGAACGTCAATTTCTATTATGTGCGCTATACTTTTTCTAGTGAATACACTAACCTATTATAAAAGCTAAAAAGAGGTAGAATCGAGAAAAGAAACGGCAAACTTATATACTCTTGGCTTTAACCGATAATATCATGATATTTTGAGTACTTAATTTAATTAAGTTGATCCAATGGAGTTCATAGAACTTGAAGTAAGGGATCATGAGTTACAACAGACTAAAAGATACTAAAAAGCTTTCTTTGGCAACTACAAACTGGATTGGAGTAATTCTATCACGTTTTATGTACACTGATCGAAGTATAAAGAATTTGGCCTTAGAATATCTGACTCTAACTTGACAGCCATTGGTCCTTGAATGATAGACACCGGAAGGAAAATCAGAGCCATCCCCACAAATGCAAAATAACCGCAGGACAAATGAAAAATAAACCCACAGCAAAGGCCGGATAGACAGGAGCAAACTCGAACAGAAAATAAGAGGTCTTCAAACGTTTTTGAGAATCAACGAATACGAATATCCAATGGATAATGGATACTCTAGTTTTATCAAGTCTTGGATAAGGGAAAATAGTCAATATTTGCACCAAAGCCTTTGTTCAGACATCGTGGTCATTCTATCAATTTATTTAGTAAGTGATTCATTTTCTCTTATTTTCATCTTAAAATCTAGGTAAATGTAAAGTTGCTCGTTTGCCTTGGATACTCGAATCGCTTAAGAAGCTGCAAACTGCCTTTGATTTACGTTTACAAACATATTTTTTAATCGTGATATCAATTCTAACGAGTGCGTGTTTTGTAGGTATTGTCTTTCACGACAGTCTACCCAATTTCATTGAGGGTCACTAAATGTATTTGTTACATCAAAATGGCAACAAAAACGACAAGAGCACTTACAATGGAAATTGCACCCTTGGTTCCAGAGCCTTCAAATGTTGAGATTGAAGCATCAGTTGTAGGAGCACTTTCAGAAGTGGATACAACTGTGGATACAACTGTGGATATACCAGTTGATAAGACCTTACTAATGATATTAGTAATAGCGCCTTCAGTTTTATCAGAAGTGTGTTTCCTCCCCTCCAAGGTGGTGCTAACAACTGGTTCACTTGTTGATGTGGTTTCGCATGGCATTGTGGTATCAATAGTTACTGTTTTACCTGCTTCGTCCTTTGTAGTAATCTTGTTCACCACACCAGAAGTGACGCCAATAGAACACTTACCTTGGCACTTGGTTGTTGTGTATACAACAATAGAGGCACCCGTAGTTGTGAGAGTAACCTCACTAGATGCGCTATTGCCACTGAACTTTGTAGAAATAGAAGCGGACTCTGGGTTGGTTGAGTTTGCGAATCTGGCGGATGAGAACAAATCTGGTTTTGACTTACCTGTTTCACCAGCGGTTGTTGCAGAAGTTGCCTTAGAAGTAGTCGCATACGTTGTTTTAGAGGTTGCTTTAGGAGTAGGCAAAAACCTGATTTCAGAAGACTCAGTATTGATAGTAGTCAGTGAAACATCGCTAAACTCTGATTCTTCAACAACAGTTGCAGTTGCAGTAACCGTATAAGTTTCACCATCTCTCTTAACAAACCCAGGCGCTTGTGTAGCGTTGGCAACAATAAAAAAGGTTGCAGTGTATTCTCCCGCACCATTGGAAACACCGCTCAAAACGACACTTCCAACCAGATTATCAGAGTAAGCAGTAGTAAACTTGAAATATTTGTAGTACCAGAGTGAAACAATTGTGGTGGTTGATGTAGGTTTTCCATCAACTGAAGCATCCAATACATCAGACCAAGTAAAAGTTTCAGAGGTTGAGGCATGAACATCGAACGGGCTAAATTCAGCGGGAACCTTTATTGTGAATTCTGGAGCATCGGAAAACTTACCACCAAACACCGTTGGCACAGAAAGAGCAGAATTAGTTGAAGTAGAAGCATCTGAAGTAATTTTTGTTGACCTTGTATTTTCTGTCGAGCTAACAGCTTCGGTTTTGCTAATAGCTTCAGTAGAGCTAACTGCCTCAGATGTAATAGCAGAGGATGAAGTTAAAGAGACTACGTCAGAGCTTTTAGCATCTTCAGTTAGGAAAATAACAGGAAGGTATGTGACCGTTGTCTTAATAGAGTTTGTCGCATCAATAGTCAGGACAGCCAAGATGGTTGGAGCATATTCAGTCACAGTATCCGTGGGAATAGCAGAGAATGTGATTGTGGCACTTTCACCCGCCTCCAAACTACCAGTAAACCTGATGAACTTGTAATACCATAAACTAACTGAAGATGTATAATAATCACTGTCAATGTCCTTACCATGGACGTCGGCAGTCAAACCATCCGCCCAACTGAATATTTCATTTGTAGATGCGTGTATGCCAACTGGAGTGAACCAATCAGGAATAGTAATTTCAAAGTATGGGGTGCCATCAACAATGTATCCTGAGGAATCGGGTGTGGGCATTGGATCTGCAGAACTGAAAACCTCCTCAGCAATAGTAAGTGTAGTGGTATAGGTAAGGGTTGTCTTAACTGAATTGGTAGCATCAATAGTCAGGACAGCCAAAATCATTGGAGCGTATTCAGTAACACCACTTGTGATGATGGCATTGAATGTCATTGTGGCAGTTTGCTCTTGCTTTAAAGAAGCAGTGAATCTGATAAACTTGTAATACCACAATCCAAATGCTGTAGTGTAATAATCACTCCCGATTTCAGTTCTATCGATGTCGACAGTCACACCATCCGCCCAACTGAAGTTTTCGTTTGTAGACGCATGGATACCAGCTGGAGTAAAGTCGCCAGGAATAAGGATTTCGAATTGCGGAGCACCATCAACCACCGACCCAGTAATAGCACCTTCTCCGGCTATTACTGATATAGCACTAGTGAACCCAATTACAGCTGTTTCTAACAAACGCATTCCAAATAATTCAGCTAAGAGAATATCGTCGCAGAATAAAACGCTTTCTGGATTCGTATTAAAGTAACTAACAAAATTAGTGGAGTGGTGTTGTATTTAAATGAATTTCGAGTCAAATATTCACAATTGGCTTAAATGGTTAAGCACCTACATTCTAGATAGTGTGAATATGCACTGACTTCTCTTATTGCAAAATCGTTTGCCAAGTTCCTATCACGAATTTTTCCATTGTTTCCATGTTAAGGTTAAGGCTAATAAAATTTTGTATATAGAGGTAAAGCCGATGTTTTTTATATCTGTTCATTTAAAAGGCCGAATTCTTAAGGAAATATCGTTGTAAATGCAGGCTTTTAGGTTGCAAAAAAGCGCAATGTATAACAGCATTCTGAAGGTTGGACAAAAACGGCTATACACTACGTATCTGAATGTTGCATGGGCAGTCCGGTCTCGGGAATAAAATTAGGAGAAGGAGAAAAGTACATACTAAACCGATGATGATGATTTTGATTCGAATTTGTCGAATTTCCAAATGCGATGGTAGAAAGGCATATACTTCTTGTGAACTATTATATCGGACTATAAATCTTTGTTCTAACGAAAGAAAATTGTTCTTCGGATTGGCTAAACTTTCGCTGTGTACTTCGTTGAAGCTAAAATAACTCTTTTGTGTTAGAGGTCGTAAATCAATCTGATAATGCGAGATCCGGGCCCTCTCAAACTTTTAGTAAATAAGTGCCCAGAATTTGCCCTAGAATATTATTGTTCCAAATAGCCCGTGTTTAAAGCACCCAATAAAGATTGGTACTTGAATATATCAGGCGACTTAATGAACAGAATACGCGAATGGTATTCTGGGGACCCTCCTAGTACAGTGAAGCCAGACCAGCAGTGGTTAACACATGAAGTGTATAACATTTACGGCCTAATTTACATCTTAACTAAATCCTTTATTGATAGGTTCATTTTTTTAAATTTTGTCAGATGAAGACTATAATTCTAGATGTTACGGATATCGAGACCTCAAATCATACATAGAACCGGGATCTGATTCTGAGACTGAACTCAATGCGGTGACTGAAACAGTGTTTAAAAGAATCTCCAATTTTTGAACAAGCGAGGAGCAGTTTTTTGGAAAACGCATCAAGTCAAGCAGGCTTGGATGTCTCCAGTATTGAATTATGGTATCAGATAAAGCAGCTGTAAGAATGGCTTGGATGAATTAAGTTATCGTAGCTTCATACAGAGGATTTGTGGTTCTATTTCCAATCATGGCTCATCTTCATTAGGATTCCACATGAATAGATAACAATATGTCACAGTGTAGTAGAAGCTCTACGGAGCTTTTAAAAAAATTAAATCATACACTCACCAATAAATTTTCAAACATGAATAAAAAGATCTTAAACCTAATCTTTCAGAGTCCACACTTAGATACATCGTGCTCTCAACCACATTACAGAAACTTTGTGAACTGGCTAATGGTATCATAAAAGTGAACATAATTTAAAATCGGCAATTTTATTAAATGATAGCTATATATAGTTTAAACATTACGATACTTATTGTTATACAGAATTTAACCAGTACGATACTAATTGGTGTACAAAATTTAATTATTGAATCCGGTGATCAGATTATTAATCAAATATACAATAATCGAAAATTCATTAGATGAATTGAAGGAGGTAAAGTGGAAGTCCGGTGAGTAAGCCCAATTTCTTCACATTGTTAGCTGAACCTTCATATGTCAGAACCGATGCAGCATTGGGTAAACTAGAAGCTGGAGCGCTACTAGCTGAACTCAAAGTAGTAGCAGGCAGTGAGCCAGAACCAGTGCCAGAACCAGTGCCAGAACCAGTGCCAGAACCAGTGCCAGTGCCAGAACTAGAAGAACCAGAACCAGAACCGGATGAAGAACCAGAACCAGAACCAGAGCCAGAACCAGAGCCAGAACCAGAGCCAGAACCAGAACCGGAACCGGAAGAACCAGAACCAGAACCAGAACCAGAACCAGAACCGGAAGAGCCAGTGTCAGAGCCAGAACCAGAACCAGAACCGGAACCGGAAGAGCCAGTGTCAGAGCCAGAACCAGAAGAACCAGAACCAGAACCAGTGCCAGAACTAGAAGAACCAGAACCAGAACCGGATGAAGAACCAGAACCAGAACCAGTGTCAGAACCAGAAGAACCAGAACCAGAACCAGAGCCAGAACCAGAGCCAGAACCAGAGCCAGAACCAGAGCCAGAACCAGAGCCAGAACCAGAGCCAGAACCAGAGCCAGAACCAGAGCCAGAACCAGAACCAGTTCCTGTACCTGTGCTGTTGCTTTCAATAGTAGTCATGGTTCCACCAGCTTCTCCGTTGGATGTTAAAGATGATTGAGAGTGACAAACTTCCTTGGTACATACAACTGTTACAGTTGTACCTCCGGTAACTGTTACCATGGTAGATACCCCTTCTGAAGACATAATGCTCGTACTTCCAGTAGTCTTAGTTCCAGGTGAAGTGTTTGCACCTGAGGATTCATCAGCAAAAATGGTAGAAATAACACCAGGTGCGACAACAACTGCAGTATTTTCATACTCATTATTATCATTATTTGAACCACCATCACCAGCACCTGCAGAGGCAGAAGTGGGTCCAGCAGTTCCAAAAATAACTAATGTGGATGTATAGTTGGGGTCAGTAACATAAACCGTTTTAGTACCTGACAAAGTCACCTTAGAACTTTCAACATTTGAGGTGGAGTTAGTGTACCTGGCTGAAGTGAACGAACTTGAATATGGTGCAGATGAAGGTACCAAAACGATTACTGTCTGCGAATTGTCAATAGAAGTCACAACTGTTGTAGTATATGACCCTGTCCAAGTTAAAGTATCACCTGCAGAGGGGGTAGGAGCGACAATATACGTGGTTGGATTACCATTAGCATCAGTGGTAACCACAGTAGTGGTTGCACTGTCAGAGCCATATGATGTCAGGTATGTACCTGGAGTGTAAGCAATGACTGTTTGAGTTCCGTCAATAGTGGTAACCACAGTAGTGGAGTATGATCCAGTCCAGCCATCAGTGACACTTGGAGTTGGTGTTGGTGCAACAACGTAGGTGGTTGGATTACCATTAGCATCAGTGGTAGTCACAGTAGTGGTTGCACTGTCAGAGCCATATGATGTCAGGTATGTACCTGGAGTGTAAGCAATCACCGTTTGAGTTCCGTCAATAGTAGTAACCACAGTAGTGGAGTATGATCCAGTCCAGCCGTCAGTGACACTTGGAGTTGGTGTTGGTGCAACAACGTAGGTGGTTGGATTACCGCTGGCATCAGTGGTAGTCACAGTAGTGGTTATCGAATCTGATCCAAAAGATGTCAGATATGTACCTGGAGTGTAAGCAATGACTGTTTGAGTTCCGTCAATAGTGGTAACCACAGTAGTGGAGTATGATCCAGTCCAGCCGTCCGTAACACTTGGAGTTGGAGTTGGTGCAACAATGTAGGTGGTTGGATTACCGCTGGCATCAGTGGTAGTCACGGTAGTGGTTGCACTGTCAGAACCGTATGATGTCAGGTATGTACCTGGAGTGTAAGCAATGACTGTTTGAGTTCCGTCAATAGTGGTAACCACAGTAGTGGAGTATGATCCAGTCCAGCCGTCAGTGACACTTGGAGTTGGTGTTGGTGCAACAACGTAGGTTGTGGGCTTACCGCTGGCATCAGTGGTAGTCACAGTAGTAGAAATAGAGTCAGGCCCATACGATGTAGCATATGAATAAGGAACTTCTGCAATAAATGTAAATACACCATCAACAGAAGTCGAAATAGTAGTAGTGTAAGACCCAGTCCAAGACTGAGTCACACTTGGAATTGGAGTTGGTACAACGACATAGGTGGTTGGAATACCATTAGCATCAGAGGTAGTAACGGTAGTGGTTGCACTGTCAGAACCGTATGATGTCAGGTATGTACCTGGAGTGTAAGCAATGACTGTTTGAGTTCCGTCAATAGTGGTAACCACAGTAGTGGAGTATGATCCAGTCCAGCCGTCAGTGACA